TTTTCATATTTTGGGTAGACCCCTTTAGTACAAGGTATTGATGGTGACTCGCCGCTACACTCCCTCAGACTAACATGGAAGCTCCGAGAAGGCCTCTGTGAATGGAACCAAGTCTTCCAAAGGGGTCTTGGGAGCTTCCATGTTGGTCTGGGGGGAGGGTATCTCTCTTGCAGCTGAACATGCAACGTACAATGGGGGTCCCCAAGAAGGAGACACGTTTTTTTTTGGCCTTCGTTCGCCAAAGGCATAGTTGTGACGGATTCATAAACGCATTGGCAAAAAGGTGGTGTTTCATTCACCCAGGCTTTCCTGTCTTTTAGGGAATCACTATGAGTCGGTTTCGATTCCGCGGTCTCCGGGGTCAAACTGCTTGACTGCGGATTTCGGCCGAAGCGAGCTTTCCCTTGCGCCACTCATAGGGGTCTCTCACATACCAGGACCCTGGAAGGGGCTCCCGATATTTTTTTGGGGGTTCAGGCAGGCCACAAAATTAAAGCAGTGGTTGGGCCACAATGAATATTACCACCATTGCTTCTAGCTAAAAACATGTCATCATCCAAAAACAACACCATTCTTTTCATGGGGGTTGAACGCTATAGGAGATATGTGATCCGCTACATGTTCGATGTGCTGATATGGTCTAACCAGCTCCAGAAAGTTCAAGCTCGTCAACTACCCACCCCCTTAAAAATGGAATGGGAGGGGGGCAAAAACGACGACTGGAGATCTCCATTTAGGGCAATCCATTTTCCCTTGAAGACTAGATGGGATTGAGTCCCTGATACCCATAGTCAAATTCCCACCAAAGGCCGCACGTGTCTGGTTCTGACGCTTTTTCGCTTCCCGGCTCATCGGTGTACTGATCACAGGCGCAGCTCGGGCGGGTGTGCACAATGTCCTAAGAGCGGCACGGCGTCGCGAATTGAGGGCACGGCAGTTTCAGTTTGCCCAGAAGTTGGGGGTCCTCTGGATTTCAAGCGAAAAGAACTTCTAGGACAACTTGAAATCCAGGACAACTTGTTGCTCCCAAAGTTGCATGATGGCAACTTGCTAAAAGAACGTCCAGGACAACTTGTTCAACAAACCCCCGCTCTCAGATGGCCCAGATCCGACGATGAAACTCTCACTCGCGCGGTCCCCACCCTCAGCTCCCGATCCAACGACCAAAACGAGGCCGCCGAAAGCGGCGCGACTTCGAATCTGGCGATTCATGGGTAGCGTGTCAAAGGGGGACCCCCAAAATGGATCAAAATGGTCGGCGTTCGTTTCGCTCTTCCTTGAAAGCCAACCCAAAAGGGGGTCCCCCGAAAAATACACACGCACCCTCATGTTCAAAGTGCAGCCGCGCACATGAGGGTGAGCACTTGACCTGTCAACTCCGGAGTAGCGCCCTGGAAAAGCGCGGGAAAAGCTGGAGCACTTGCAATGTCATGAATGTGGAAAATTGGTTTTAGGGACACTTGTTGTGCTGCAGTACCTCGGGAATGATAGAATCATGGTGGCCCACTTTGGTATCACAGCAAAAAGCTTACTTGTCACAATCAGGGTGTCATATGGGATGGGGCAAAATTAAACCACCAGGAAACCTCAGGTTTTGGTCCATGTGTCCACTTACTCGGGTTCCATTTGGGGTACCTATTTTTGACCCACAGCCATATTGAGAGCTGAAGACCTTGCATGAGAGTCCACCCCGGCAACTAGAGGACACCTGCACACAATTTTAACTTAAACCAACCGGGGGGTGTCTTTTCTGAGGGTGCCTATTTTTCTGTGGATCGAAAGGGACACCAACAGCCAATTCATTTTTTTTGGCTAGAAAGACAGGTCCAAACAGTAAACGGCTGGTTTTGTTTGAACATGATGCTTGACAAGTTCCTGGGAACCCATGTTACAAGCAGTGTCCATGCAACTTTCCTTTATGCTTGTGGCGCGTGACAACGACCTTGCCGGCCTTGGCTGAGCTGCTGCTGGGTCCGAAAATGACCTTGCCAGGTTTATTCGGGATCAACCCCGATGCAAAACGACCTTTTAACAATCCCATGTCAGTTTTTTTTTTTCTGGAGAGGCTTGTCATGGCACTTGTTACAGCTCCTGAGTCGGACATGTACTAGCTGCCGGCGCATGCTAACTGACACCTGACAGACATTGGCAAGATATGGGAAGCGTTGCCAGTTATGACAGGTTTGGGTGAATCGTAAATTACATGCGAGCTACAATATTGAGTAACATGATCAGCGTTGCCACGCAAGCAAGCGAGATCCAAAGGGAAAAACCATCATGTTTAGATTCATTTTGGGGGTTCCCTTTCCCTAAAAAAACATACACCCAAACGTTCAACACTAAATGTTCTGATGGTCGAATCAAACAAAAGAGTTGCCCGTAGGCCAGATTTGGTTGACGCCAGATTTCCGTTGAATCAAGTCAAAGAGCTTTTCGTTAGAACCACAAAGAATTCGATGTTTTGGCACAACTGAAAAAAACTTCAGGCACATTCGCTTGCACTTTCCTGCCATGGGACTTGGCTATGCAGGCCATGAGTCATGCTGCTGTTTCAAGCCGTACGAGTGAGTACCGAGCGGATCGGGCGCTTAAAGAGGGTTCCCAGTGATTCCATTGTATCTCACTCCCGATCCTTGACTTTATACTTTTTGGGTTTGGATCATTCAAGTGGTCAACAAAACGGTTCGACATGTTTAGACTTGGTTTGGCCAATCTACTCAGGAACTGAGGTATAGTAGGTAACCAAGGGAACAGCCCTCAAACAAAAAGACAAAGGACATTGACAATGGCTACTTACCTTCTATGGTAAGTGGGATCAAATGGGCTTGTACAATAAACGTCACTTCAACACCGTCTAAATGATTAGCGCGGCTCCGCTCATGGGGGGATGGATTTAATGTGAGGTTCGCTTCTCGTACGGTCATCTGGATTCCCAAACGGGTGTGAAGTTTTTTTGAGGCTCGGTACTCTTTTCGTTTTTTTTGGTTGGTTTCAACGCCCAAATGGGTGTGTGTGTGTGCAGTGTGTCTGTGTAGGGAAACCTCTAAAATCAGTGATTTGTTTCCTTTCGGTTGCCCTTCAAATCAACCCCCCAAAAAGGGTACCGAACCTCAATGAGTTTCCTTCGGTGGCCCTTGACCCCTCTTCCCCCGGTACCGAGCCTCCAAAAAAGACATTTGGAACAACCAACTTTTGAACAGGGCTCCTTAAAAGATACATTTTGCCCACACCAAAATAAAGGGAAACCACCATCTACAAGGCAACGTTCAGGTGTATAATGTAAGGATCCGGGCGCCGATCCTCCCAAATAGATAGATGGACATGGACGGAAGCCTCGGTGAAGCCGCGGCTTGGGAAGTAATCCAGGAAGTTGGGGAAGTTGCAATAGCCATAACTCACTCGGAACGCGGGTCCCACATGGGTGAAAAAGCAGTTGCAAGTTGGGACCCGGGTGCTGGCGGGTGGGGCTTTATGCACTTGTGGGGTTTGGACCATTTTTGTGGCAGCTCTCGCCATGTGCCCCCCAATAGTCTGACCCTCAAAGGGGCATTGCTTCAATTAGCATTGTCGTTTGAACGGAAGCCAAAGGGACAGCAAATTTGCCTCCACCCAAGATTTGGCCCCGGAACCAAGTCTTGAGTTTTTGCCATTGGGCGCCAGTGGCAGGTCCCTCGGTGTAAGAAAGCTGTGGTGAGGATGTTTGAGTCTTGTTTGGTTCTGTTCATTTTCGGAAGGTGCTAGATCCGCGCAAAGGGCTAAATAGCAAGGGTGGAAAGGATCCACAATTCACAGAAGGAGCAGGCGGGGGATGGGTGGCAAGGTTTGGGGAGTGACTTGCCAGTCCCCGGCCCTAATAGAAACCTCATGGTGTCCAAGGTAGCCACGTCGCACTGCCGCAGGGATGCGGGTTGAAGCTACTTAAAAGGTACTTGGGATCCTTAAAGCCTTAAGGCGTCACACGAATTCCTGCGAAAAGGTAAGACCATTTGAAACCGTTTTTCGTTTTTTCTCCGACCACTACGGCGCCCTGATTGAAAGGCCGTGTTTCTGGTGATGAATCCAAGTATCTGACGGGGAGGCCAGTCACCATGCTCCTTTTCTCGCGCTTGCGAAAGAAATGATCCAGAGTCAAAACCCGGGTAAGTGCAGTTTCGTAGGGAACATTCCTAGCTATAAACGGTACGGCCGCCCCTTTGATTGCTTCCGCGGTTTTGGATAGACCACCTTAATGCCAGGTTTTGATTATGACTCAAATGCGGTGAGCTCGGCTTTGTACTGCGGCGAGGTAGATCCGAAGGTTCTGTACCACGTCTTCCAGCATTCCTACAGCCCCCACGCGCAGGACGAGAGTTATGGAGAATTCAAATCGGACTTCCCCTAGTATATGAAGGATTCGCAGATCGCATAGAAAGAACCCTGCAGCTAAGCCCATTGACATTGATTCGGATTTGGAAACCGCCAAGCCATCAAAGGCCATGGTTCATTCAGGTCTCGGAGCCTTCTCGGACCTTCGAACTTGGGAGGTTCTTGGACAGCCCAAGCACCTTCCACACACAGCCTCATGGGCCCAATGTGGAGCTAGGCGGAAAATGCTCAACAGTTTTGCTCAGAAAGTCTTCAAAATCCTTCTCTTCAATGGGAACCTGAGTTTCTGAAGAGAACAATTGGCGAAGACAATGGCTGCCTCGAGCGCCCAAAGCGAATCGACCTTTTGACCTTTAAGTTCCCCCTGTTGCTTCATGTTTGTTCATGGAGAAAGGTTACGAAACCAGCTACAGGAAATTCCTTGTCGGGTGTGTTTGGCCCATGCCGTGCATAATTTTTATTGTAGCTGCATGGTGTTTGTGAGGGTATAGTCGCACAGCCACTCCCCTCGGGAGTCCTTGTTTGGTCCCTGAATCCCCCAAAAACATGAGCGACACAAAGAAACCAGAAGCACACCGCGCAGGTGCTTCTCCGAGCCATGTTGGAATCCAAGAAGGGCCCCAAAACAGCGGACCATGAGAGTGGCTCTGTTGGTTTCTAAACAATTTCCAAGGCCTACGGTTGGTCCCTGGGTCGCAGGAGCGGCGCCAAGCGGAGCAGTTTCTGCACCAGGCGGCCGGCAGCCGAAATCTGCTCCCGGCCCGAAGCCACAGACTGGGTGTGGAGGTGCTACGCCCTGGTGGGTCTGTTTTTACAGGGAAAGAAGAAGGACACCACTCGAATTCTCAGGGGCCGTTTTTTTTTTCCCCGGAGTTTGCGGAAAGCCCCAGCGCAGCATTTCAGGGATCGGTTTTACTATCGGAGTGTGCAGAAATATTTTGGGTGAAAGGCCTTCTTTCCAACAAGAATGGAAGCTTACAGGAGGGTTTGGGAAGACTGTAGTCCTCTTGCAAAGGCTGGTCCACTTCCATGATTGTTGGAAAGAGGGAGCAACAGGATGTTGGAACCATGAATTCAGATATAGATAGATGCTAAATCAAGAAACTCCGTGCATGCTTGTCGGACAGAGGGTAGTGTGCCTTTGGGAATCCCCCCCCAAAAAAAAAGGAGAGAGAACGTGGAGTTTCTTTCGCTTGCCCTTAAACCAAGCCTGAAAAGGCTAAATGGTTGGTAACCCTGGTGATAAGCAGGCGATTCCTGGTTTACCTGGTGAGGGCCATCTATTTGCCCTAAAAGGACGCGTTGAGACGTCCCCGATTCGCCGATGCGCCTCTTCGCCGCTTCCTCGGCGACTTGAGGCACTTCTGCAAGTCGCGGATGCCGCGCAGGCAGAAGTGCCTATCCGACAGGCGTCCGGACTGGCGATGTGGGCATTGAACGCCTAGCTTAGTCGGGTTTGCTCACGCGACGTCGTATTTTTTAAAAAACCCGAAATAGGGGAACCCCCCCCTCCCACACATAAAAATGCGGGGTTTGGCGGGTCTTTCTCAGGGGAGCCCCAAAACGGTGGGTTTTCCTTTTGGCGTCCCTACCAAAAGAGGATACCAAGCCTCAAAAAAGACACACCCAAGTCAGCTTCTGGACTTGAGACATTTTTGGGGGAGTCGGCACCAGTTTTAAGGCAGCCAAAGGTAAGGAAAACTACCCATGGGGTTTACAATTTGCAGATGCCATGTCTTTCTCCGGAAAGGTCAACGGATCACAAATGTGTCTTTGTTTCGATCCCAAACCTCTTGGTTGCGAAGGCAAACTTAAGAAACCGAAGCAATCCCATATCCTGGCTTGCCCTCCAAGGGCTTGCCTCACGCTTTGTGGCTGGGCTGCCTGTAAGACTGTCCTAAAAAAGAGGTCCTCAACATGGTTTGTCGCTGTACCCATGCACGGGTACATGTTTTCCTTTTTACATACTTCGACATCATGACATGGTTTGGATATCAACCGTGAGCTACACATGTGGCGTCTTGAGTTGTATGGTACAAGCGTGTACAAGCAACGGCAGCTTCTGGTTGCCTCCGGACTATCGCCGGTCTACGAACCTACGGTTCTGGACAAATTGTAGCTTGGGATTCTGGGCTCCATGATGCTTTGGTTCTGGTGAATCATGTTGACCACTTAGATGGTCTTGGACTTAGTTAAATGGTTGGTAACCCTGGTTATAGGGGACCTACAACCATGCTACGTGGGATACAACCAGGCTTACTAATCACTTAGCTAACTCCCAGCCCATTTAAGCACCCAGTAGCAGGTCATGACAGAACACAGATAAGTCCTAGGGGTTGAAGGATTGAGCATAGAACAAGGACATGAAAAAACAATACGGCGGGGCCCTCGGTTGCTTTGGACTTGACGGTTGTTGAAGAATCCATATCATATATTTGTTTCTCTTGGGTTACCTCAAGCGACCGTTCAGGAGCAGGGGCTCCTTCACAATAGATTAGACCGCAAATCAGAAGGGTGCTAACCAACCGGACAAATGGCTCGCTCATTTCCGACTCCTGAGCTTCACTAAGCCTTTGGGCGTGTATGTTTGCCATCAGGCCACAAATCAGCACCAGAGGCTGCTCTCAGCCTGCAGGAGCGGCCAAAGTGCAAGGAGCTGTCGACTTCTTGCCGCTCCGAGCGAACCGTTTTACGGGCGACATGTGACTGACGCTCACGCGAGGAAAGAGATGTCCGAATTGGACGCCTGATATCTCAAATTGTGAGCGACCTCCTGGACCAGGCTGTTGTGTCTGACTCTGCCCCTCACTTGATCAGGTTACGAGAATTGAGCTTTTGTCCAATTGCTACCTTTAAACCAAGAAACTGGGGTTGCCCCTTTTCTGGGGTTGAAGGGGAAGCAATCAAGTGTAGGGGTCCCTACTCAAAAAGGGACAACACCCAGGTGAGCTTCGGTGAACGAAAATCCAGACCCCTTGTCCAATTGGGGAAGGGCATGGCCTTACTCAATTTGCAAAAGGAAAGGCTGTAGGACTCCGTTTTTACCGCACAAACATGGGCGAGTCATTCATTTATCTCCACCTTAAAAGTGGAAGCGGGGGGAGGGTGACCCCACTTTCCCTTTTCTGGGGAAGACTAGATAAAGGGAATTAGGGTAACCCCAACCCCCCTCCTTCTCAATACAGGGGGGATACAAATCTTCCATTGTCCAGTAGATCTTCTTAGCTGTTGCCATGTTTGTTTGTTTTTTCTAAAGTTTTGCTCATTTTCTGTTGGCTATAGCCACGAGCTTTTAGCTTTTGTTTTGGTTCTGTTTTCATGTCTTTTCGTTTTGGCTGGTTCTCTTTTCTGTGTTGTGTTTGTTTTGGTTCTGTTGTTTTTTCCTGTTTTGGCTGGTTCTGTTTTCTGTTTTTAGTGTGTTTATTTTGGGTTCTGTTTTGACCGCAAAAACAAGTCAAACCCCCGTCTGCTCGTCGCTACCCCACTCGCCGCACGCGTTGCTCCGGCGATTTGTTTTGCGAGGCGGCCGCCATCCAGCTGAAGCATCAGCTCAGAGACTGGGAAGGCGCCGTCCTTTGGAGCGAGCGACGCGGACGTCGGCGCGATGAATGCGGTGGGCTGGGCTGTTGTCTCTCAAAAGCCTCAGTGGCCCCAGCTCAAAGTTTTTTGGACTTTTTGGTTGTCCCCGTTTGGTTGTCCCATTGGAGAGACGCTTGCGGGAAATGTTTGATGCGGGAAGCGTTTTTTTTTTGTCTCTCAACGGGTTGGTCTATGTTTTGTCTTTTGGTCCCGAAAGTTCCTTGAGTCTGCGGGAAATGTTGATATGCAGGAAGCGGTACTGTAGCTGTTTTTTTCTCTCAACGGGAAGAACAACTTAAAGCACCGTCCGGTTCCCGACTAAAGTCACTAGATGTTTTAGCTTCAAACAAGGAAACTGTATCTTTAGCCTTGAGCTGTTCGTGGAATCGTTGTTGTGACCCCAGTTGCCAGCAAGAAGGCGTTGCTCTTTTCGGGTTTGTGTAGCTCTGTAGTACTGTAGCATACTGTAACGACACTTGGAGCCACGTCGGTTGAAGGAGTTTCGACCAGACGAGGTGAGGAACAAATGTCTCGTAGTCGCATAGTCTATGGTCAATTTGGTTGGTGCGAGGCTCTCAAATTTCAACCACAAAAGCCCGGGGACTCTCTAAATTTACCCATGCCGAGGGTACAGAACTGTGACGCACATAATATGGTTTGAGGCACGGTCAAACAAGAACTGCACAGCGCAGAATCGGGGCCACCACGTAATTCTCTATTCGGGTCCGTGTGGCTTGTTTGTGGGATCCCAACCCTTCCGATAATTCGACGTAACCATGGAAGAGCACTGCCCCAGATCTTTCTGGACACGAGCTCACCCGAGAACACGAGCTTGCGTTGAAGGGCCTTTTAGGGGATTCCTTCTTTCAGGTTTGTGAGTTAGAGTCATGTTGACCCCGGATAAGTAAACCCGTCCTATTATGGGGAGGTGTTCCCTCCAAAAGTGATGAATCTCCACTAAACCCCAGCTCCATTAATACAATTGGGGGTCCTATTCCGCCGACATCGGCGTCTCTTTTCTGTGGTTGTAGTAAGGCAAACACGCAAGTTGCGCTAGTCTGACTCATACACCCAACCGTTCGCACTCAACACATGAGTCACAATCAAAACCCGGGAAGGTGAAGGTTAGTAAGGGGGACAATCCCAACCACAAATAGCTGCGGCCGCCTTCATAATTCTTTCCATGGTTTTGGGTTTACCGTTTTAATACAAGGTTTTGATTGTGACTCACATGTATTGACGCCGCCTGGTTAGCACATGTTGCGCGTTTTCCGTTTCCGTTCCGACAGGCGACAAGTACAGAGAGGAGGACAAGGCCGAGCTGTTTGCTGAGCCCAGCTGAGCACAACAATAAGCAAATGACTTCATTGACTGCCAGCCTATCGCTGAGCTTGTATGTTAAACACTAGCATATGATTGTAAGAGACGTATAGGGAGAACCTCAGAGACAAACTCTTGTTAAGATTTGGGTTTTGGCATCATCTCATGAACAAGGGTAGTTTTTGGGGCCACATTTTAGTTTGGGCAATGTTCAGGCAGGACACGTTTCTTTTGTCGCGGTTGACAAGTTGACACGTGTCGCTGAAGCTATCGCGCGGCGTTCTCCGGGGAACGCTTCGTAATCAGGGCACGCATTGCCGAGATAGAGGTGGGGGTGTCTTTTTACAAAGTGGGTATGGGTCAAAATTAATCCACCAGGGACCACAGGTTTTAGTCATTGTTTCCATTCACCAGGGTGCCATTTTGGGTACCTATTTTTGACCCACAGCCAAGTTGTCCTTGTGGTTTTCCTTTGGGAGTATCAACACAGAGGTACCAACTCTAAAAAGCCACCACCCGGGTAGGCTCTGCAACTTGGTGGAACTATGGCCATGTGAACAAGGATCACTGCGTTTTGAACAAGGAGATGCCCGTTGGCATCTTATGACAATCAACAACCATTTGTCTCTTCAAAACCATCAACAAAAGGGTACCCTCAAAAGGACTTACTCATCTTTCGTATATATCGCGTACCTCGCCTCGCCAGTTCCTTTGCTAGGCACCGATTCGGCACCAGCTGGTTGACAGCGTAGCAAAGGCTGTTCAGGAGAGCTGCGCCGCTCAGACGCATCCAGGCTGAACAACCTTAAACGTGAGCCATGTTTTTTTTTTTGGGGGGGGGGGATCTGGGGGGGAAACAAACAGAAACAAAAAAAATATGGCGGGTGGCTTCCCTTCAAACCACAGGGCTAGAGGCGGATTCTCCTGGGACGGATTTGCCAGCTGCACCCGCGGGTTGGGCACGGATGAATTCGGATTCTCACTTGCCTCAGTGAACGCTGGAGATTTGGAACCGCCAAAGCGGTAGTAAGAATATGTCTTATTATCCCCTGTTGGTTTTAAAGGGAATCTGTCCCCACAGGAAATATGTTGTTTTCCAGGGGACTTCAGCAAATGGAAGTATTGGTGATGACTGTGTTGGTGGGTGGATGCAGGATTCTTCAACTGATGCCTCAGTGGCTCTGAATGCAACAAGAACGTCGTGCTTCCTTTCCGAGATCGGGAATGAACTATTTGCGTGGATGAAGGACAGTAAGGAGGAGTTCCAGCCATAAATATGTGACATCCGCTCTCAAATGAATTCTTTGCATTGGTTTGGGGAGACCCTTTTAGTACCAGGCTAGGTTGTGACTTAATTGTGTATGGGTGTGCACATGCTCATAAGGCTCGGTCATATGTGGCCATGGGTCAAAATCCCGTACCCCCAGTGAACATCCCAATCCCCACGAAAAAAGGTTCTAAAACGGGTGGTGAATTCACCTACCCCAAAATGGGATATCAAAACGGTTTTGACCACCACAGCCATTTCCAGGGTACGGCAAAGGGGAAGTTGGAAGTGGGGAAGCGCAAAAGCTACGACCGCAGAGAGACCAGCTCACCACTGTGCCTAGTTTAGGAAAATGATGAGTCAACGTGTGTTTGGGGGGAAGGGGGTCGAAACGAGCTCAATGAAGACCCTTTTCTTGGGGTTTTGCAGGCAGCACAAAAATATGTCAGATGCCGAAGTTGACACTACTTGACCATCCATTTCATCCTGCGCCGGTCGTAACAGCCTGCATGCCTGGGGTTCAGGGCCTTTCGGTATACTCAAAGGTCCTGATGGTGTCAAGGCGAAATGGGTGTCAAAAGGGGTGTCGACCACCCTTGACATGACCGGACCATCCAAGGTCAGGCCTGGCTACCTTTCAGTTGGGTCTGGGGTCTGGAAGACTGACTTTGACAGCCAATGAACATGGAGTCAAGATATTGCAATCCATGAGCAAATCGCAAGTTGATGGACGATACTTGTGCAATCCCGCCCAGTTTTTACGCAGCGCGTAGCAGGTGCAATCCCTGGCTGGCTACACCACAAACTGTTAAAGCATTCATAAGAAGCCAGCTACCGGATGTTCTGCAGAAAGTTCGCACAGCACCCGCCATAACCCTGCAGGTGTTGCCAAGGCTGCTGGTTGGGTTTCTTGTTTCGTCAAAAACGCTCTCTGGGAAAGAACGGCCGTTGCGATGCTTTTTTGCAGGTGCCCAGTTTGGGTTTGTTGCTAGGTCCCTCAGTAGCTCGCAGTACAAGGACCTCAAGGGGTACACTGGGAATTGACCCGCTCAAAGGTCTTGGAGAGGTCAAAGGGTGCAACAGGCTTGGGCACCAGAAAGTGCACCTTGCACGGAATCGACATACGACTGTTGCTTGAGATTCCCGAAAGACAGACTACGCAAAATGAAGAAACAAAAAGCTCAGGTGATATCCCCAACAGCATGCGATGGAACCCTTGTGGAACCCTCGTGGAACCTTACCTCAGGGCCCGACCACCCCACAGCCTAGGGCTGAGACCCCAAAGCTTTCAGCTGTTGGGGAACAACAGAGAGGAACAGTTGGTACCCTTCTAAGCTAGCCAAAGGAATAATTTCTGTTTTTCTGTTGAGCGATTTCCTGAGGTCCGCGTTCAGTTGGTGGAGAGCTTCCGCTTGGTGGACGGCGTCTCAGACGGGGTGGGTGCCACTACCCCCAACCACCCGCAGGGTATATTGAGATACCCTTTATGTGGCTATATAGTGGATGTATATCCCATTAACTGGGGTAGTTGTGGAAATCATCTTAGAGTCTTTGGTGTGACCTTAGCCCATTAGACCTTTCGGAAACAAATGGCTTGACAACTGGTTAGACCGTTTTGCTCAGGGGAAAGGGAGCAACCTGGTCAAGTAAGCGTCAGCATTCGGGCTCAGGTTTTTTAAATTCCATGCTGATCTTGAGTGTGTTCTGGTTGCTCCTTTGAACCTGACTGGGGGTCTGTGGAAGACCATGTTCCTCTTGAAAGGACATTCTGGCGGGTCCACTTCAGATACTTAGTTGGAGGGTAAATGTGTGTGTGTGTGTTATTTGAGGGTACTTCTTTTTGGGTGGCTTTACCGGAACACCAAGCATTTTTGGGCTCCCTATAAAAAAGACACGCCCAAATAGCCAACACTCCCTAGGAGCCCCGAGACCTTCTATATGAAGGCTTTCTGTTCGAGACCTGCGCCGGAAGGCACCTCTAGACAAGACCTTGAAAAACAAGGTTTCGGAATTAGATAGCTCAGCGGGGCCCCAGGCCTGAATGTAAAGGCCTCAGGTTGATGGATCCACTGCTAGGTCAGGTGCTCTCTCCCGGCCTGTGTTCAGAGTAAAGGATCGAGATATGAGCACTTGTTGATCATCAAACCGCACGATTGGCAAACCAGACTTTGTACCTTTTTCGTAAAGACAGCCATACTTGACGCTCCACTTTCCAGACAAGTTTCCCACTGGTGGATGCCAGCCACAGCAAAAAAGAAGACATTCACGAAATTCCTTGGCTAAAGAATGGCGTGTCGAAAGGAGCGCAGGCCGGAGTGCCGTTAAAATGCGTTAAATTGACCCCCGAGGCCTATTTAGCGAGGCCTTGAGTTAACACGTGTTAAAACGCGTTAAAACTAGTTAAACATCGTTAAAACGAGTTAACATGCCTTCAGCCACGAAACTCACCTCATAACATGTCAATACCTGCCTGAACAAATACGTGGACAGATGCGTAGAGCTGAACTTAGTACAAACTTGAAGGAACTATACAGCTTGATTGTATGTGATTCAATGTGTTAGTCGTCCCTAGGTTTAAGTCCGTTGCCTGATCACAGTTGTTTGCTGCATTTGGGCCTGAAAAAGACACTCAGAACAGGTTTCTTCATGTGGGGCATGCCGCTGTCAACTCTTCCGAAGGTTCTGAGACCCAGAAAGTAGAGAGCTTCGGCTGAGACATCTGAGACCTTCATATAGGACCTGGCTCCGCAGTGTTCCCAAAAGGAAAGAAAAAGGGGATGGGCATTTTGGGGTTGGGATTGGGATTGGGCATTCCTGGCTCAGGGAAAAAGGGGATGGGCATTTTGTTCGAAAAGTTGTTGTTTGTTTTCCTTGACACAAGAACAAACGCGACATGACACGACTGTCTGGAGGGAAACGCGCTCGCGGTGGATTTTTTGCCAGTTCGGGCTGGGGATCGAAAAACCGAATTGGACAAGAGCCGCTCGTTGATTGTTTATCATGGGTTTTAGACTCATTGCTCGTGAACTACTTTACCTCGCTGTTGGAAGAGGCTTTGTTCCCAGGCAGCACAAATATGGGTGCGTCTCCAAACAAGGATCCCCGTGTTGGATGGCGTTAAAGGGATCCTGGAAGCCTACAAACATCCTTGTGTGCCGCGGTAGAACTGTTTGGGGTGGCTGGGGATGGTCATGGACCTCTTCGCCCGCAATTCATTGCAAAGGTTGCTACCATAACATGACCATGGCCTACGCAAGAAGTCTTGAAGATGACACATATACTATAAACATTTCTCAAAATAGGGGGACCCACTTTTGCGAAAACGAAAGGGAACCACCTATTGGAGGTTCCCCCCCCCATCGTGAGACAAACCCACGTGAGCAACAATCAATATTCACCGAATCTACTGTAGTCAAGGATGTGACGTTGGGTACAGCAAATCGTCACCACGAAATGGAGGTTCGCCAAGATCCAATGTCATGCAAAACAGGAACCATCGACTGCTCAGAGTTGATTTTTGTTTGCAGGGTGAGCAAACTTCGTTGGAATGCCCTGCCAGAAATGTGGGGCATGTGTCAAGCAAATGCGCGTCCATTGAGCATGGTTTCCTTCTATCACTTGGGCCCCTTGGCCTCAAACCATGGAAAGGATTGTACGGCTGGCTTCCCAAAATGGTTTTGCCAAGGGAAACTGATCTTGAGCTGTCCCTTTTCTTATGCAGACCCTGGATCCTGGCCCTAATTTGAGTGGACTGATCTTGAGCTGCCCCTTTTCTTACGACCCTGGACCCTGGCCCTTAAATAAATTGAGTGGAGCATGTCGAGGATCAATGCTCCGGTGGGAGTCTTTCCAGCGGATACCGATTCCCGCAACCCTGATGCGAATTGGCGCGCTCCAAACCCATGGTTTTGAGCATAGGTTCCTTTTTAGCATATCTTTTGGTTGGAAGCGGATGGCGCTGGTTTAGATGGGTTTCATTCCATGTAGCAGGGCAATCTATTGTACCAAAAGGGCACCCGTGGTTTTGAGAGGAATGTTGTTTTGAAATTTGCCCGAAACGAGCTCCATGCTAGTCTCAGTGGGACTGAGCAGTGGTACCAGATTTCGGCCAAAAACGCTCGGTGCATGTCGTGCGAAACAAGCAATTCACATCAATGCGGCCTCCGGGCTTTCAATTTGGGTTTCCCACGGATAGAATCTCCACTCATTCAAGAGACTTTTTTTGGAGACCTTTTGCCAGAAAAGGCCTTGTCACAAAATTTGGACATAGCCAACGTGGGTGGTTCCCTCCTGGTTTACCTTTGAAACCAGCCAAAAAAGAGAGTTCCGGCGGAAAGACCGATTTGCTTCCGGCTTTCCTTTGAAACCAAAAGGAACCAAGCCGCCAAAGAAAAATAAGCTCAGGTGATATCCCCAACAGCATACGGCGGAACCCTCGTGGAACCTTACCTCAGGGCCGCCCCGCCCCACTCTGGAGCCTATCTGGGCTGAGACCCCAAAGCTTTCAGTTGTTGGGGAAAAATCCCGAGCTGCGCGCTGAGGCCTTGTATGACTATCCCGATCGCTGGCCAGGCTGGGTCACTTTCTTTTCGCGTCACGGAAGGCAAAAAGGCCAACGGGTGGTAAATGAATTGGAACCCTACCACCCCTCCCCCGCAATTGCTGCTTTTGGAACAGTCGGGATTTTGGACATGGGAAAAGCAGTTGTCGGGGGTGCCGTTTTTTTTTTTGTTCTTGCACTGGGGTCGTGATTTTGACAGGCGGCAGTCAAAAACCGGTTGGTTGTTCCATTGGCGGCTAAACAACTGAATCCCTTCCTCTGATAAAAAACATAACTACCTCCCCCCTTCCCGCCCTCCCCCCCCCTCCCCTCCCCTCCCCTCCCCCCCTTAAATATGTTCGCCGGGGGCCAAGCGATATTAATGCGTCCCAGCAAAATTCTGCTACGGGTCCTCGTCGTGGGTCCGTTCTTTCCGAACTCAATACTCGTTGAAGATGTGACTCTGCGAGGAGTTCAAGCAGCAGAAACCTGAGTCATTTTTAGTTGGATTTTGCACTGTCGGATTGCTTTAAAGAGTTGCTTTAGTATCGGTTTAGTATTGGTTCCAACATGTTCCCGTATTAGACTGGAGATGGAGTCGGCGTGAAATTTGCTCGTTTAGAATCAGTTGAGTGGTGGGAGATTTGGGGTCTGGGAAAACGCATGACAATATGATGCAATGTTTGATAGGGGGAACAGACTAGGGGGCAACTGTGACAAATGGTCAAGTATTGAACCGACTTACGACTCAATTCACCCAACATGAAAGTCGTTTTGGTGTCAATTACTTTTGCACACGCCGATGCGTTGCACAAACGGCCAAGACCAGCAGCCCCCACTGCTTTTTTTCGGGTGCGAAATCCTATGGAACTGTCCAAAAAGCAGTAGTTGGGACGGTAGGTGTGGGTCAATGAGAAACCACCCAGCACCGCAGATTGTGGCCCTTGTTTCCATTTATCAGGGCAACCCATTTTGGGTACGTATTTTTGACCCATACCCATTTGACACCCGGAGAAAACCTGCTCTCAAGGCGTGCTCCAGCGTCTTCTGCAGGGCCTGTGCTCGGAGCAAAGCGCCGCTGAGCGCAATTGGGCGCGGCGCGGTTTGCCTGTGGGGTACTTGGGATAGCCCTGGGCCCCGGGGTTTGAGCCCTAGGTCCCCTGGTAGGGCCCTTTTGCCCTTTTGCCCTTTTTTGGGGGGAGGGTTCCCCTACTAAAATAGACAAAAAAGATAAAAGTTGGTACCAACTTATTCTAACCTCTCAAATCTGGAGGACCTGGCCCTCGCAAAACCTCCGGCCCCCGGCCATTTTGGTTGGTTTGTTTTGAGGTGTTGAGGGAGCCTCTTTTCTTCCCCAGAATGAGTTCCCCTTTTTTGTTTGGGGGGGGGGTCCCCTTTGTTTTCCACTAACCAGGCAAAACTTATTCTTTTTCTGCTGGGGTCCTAATTCCAGCCAAGTTTCGGGTTGAGTTTAAAGGGATAAGAGGACATGCGGCGCTCTGCCAAGCTGGATGAAATGCTTCGAGTGAACGTCCACACCAGCAAGAGAAACCGAAAGGAAACCGTCGGCCCAGTTTTGGGGCCTAGCTATTTGAGACAAGCCCCATGACCCATGTTACTGTGGGTTGGCCGCTTCACCACTTGCAGCGAGCTCTGCGTCGGTTCACGTCAAACACTTTGTGCCACCCTGGGTCCATGAGAAACACCTACTGTATGTGGGGGTGTCTCTCTTTTTAAGGCTACCCTTTTCAGCTGCTTTGAATGGAAACGAAGAGGACGACCACATGTTTGGGGGCTCCCCTAGAAACAATTAGGTACCCCACCCGAACCCGAACCCGAACCCGAAACCACGCGCAGAATGGCCTCAGGCCACTAGTGTTTTGACTGCGCAATCCAAAACACTGTATCCGCTATGCCAATGATTAAACATCACTTCCTGAGTTTCTGGTGGCTTTGTTACTTTTGGGACCACCATTTAGCAAGTTCGGACAAATGGTTTGGCCAGGCTAGGAAATAGATCTCCCTGGTGCCCAAGGGTCCCCAATCAAGAGAGCCCTTGTTGTGCCCTTTTGGCGTTTTGACCAGAAGTGAAAGAGGGAATGTTGCCTATTCTGATTCTCAGACTTCAACTGCAGTCAGGTTATAGCCTTAGTTGGGATGGTTTGGATTGGTTCTCTCGCACTTCAAGAGCTTGGAGCAACGATCCTATTCGACTCAATGCTCCGCTATGAGTCTGTGCGCGTATGGTCCTATCGCGACTCTCAATCGTGCCACCTAGACGGGTTCTCGGTGGTTTTCCTCACCTTGGAGTCGGCTGTTTGAAGACAAGCCCTAGCAAGCCCCATGTCCTCCAAACAACTGTCGTGAATATGGCGCTGCCTGTAGTGTACACATGTATGCTGCCTTGTCGGTATACTTAACGCATCGAGGCAATTTCCGGGCTGAGCAGCTTACACAAATGAACCCGATGAGTATAAGAGTTCCGCGAAGTAAATCAAACTGGATGCGCTGCATGTGTCGCTGGCATACATTGCTGAGTAACAACAGACCGCCAAAATGACCGCGAACCCTGGTCATGAGCAGAAACCAACCAAACACAACAAGACACCCTCCAAAACAACAGCCAAAGATGACCAAATTGTTGAGAAGGGATAAATGACCCAACGGCAGCAAAAAAAAACGCAAGACAAAAGACAACAAGCTTATGAGTAGGGTGACAGAAAGAGGCACAACAAGACCCCCCAAAAAGACCACTACAGCTAGACACCGCAACCCTTGCGTAAAGCCGAAGAGTCCCTACGAATGGCAAAACTCATCATTAACTCACTTTCTGAGTTCTGGACTTTACACTTTGGGTTTAGTGGCAATCAACAAGTTTGGAAAATCTGCGCAGCAAGTGCGGAGTTCAAAAGCGACGCCTTCCAACTTTTCGGTTTCGAGCCAAAAGATCAGACCAGGGGAGCCCATGTTGCAAAGCTCACTTGCCCAAAGCGAACCGACCTTTTCACCTTTTGGTTTTCCTAGTTTGGTCTGCTTTTTGGTCATGGCCCAAACGGTGCACCTTCTATTGTTGTCTGTTTTTCAGGGGCCCGCTAAAATTGTGACTTTCCTTTGTTTTCCCTTCAAACCACCGAACAACGAGCACCCTCAAAAAAAGACACACCCATTTCTGGGTCCAAGCTGGGCAGCCCTCGCGCCAAAGGCGCAGACCATGTGCAGCTTACTGCTGCTCCGACAGCTCTTCAAGCTTCTGGAGATGCGATCGGCACCTTGCCTTGTCGGCTGGCTGTTTTTGAGGGAACCGTCTTTTGGTTGGACAACAAACTCAGTCGTTCAGTGGCCCCCTTTTCTCCGTTTGTTTTTGGTGGCTGCCCCACTAAAATGGTCTTCCCAAGAAAGGGTTCCCTTTTTTTCCAGGGTCACTGAACAACTGAGACAAGGGAAACCAAAAGGAACTCAGATAGAACTATAGTTGGGTTCGGCTATCCTAGGGCTTCGCTGCAACCAAGCTGCGCTGGTTGGCTGCAGGGGTTGATCAGCTCAGCGCCAAGCGCACATCAAAATCCCATGAGGTGACCGCATCCCCGGCATCCCCCGGCATTCCCGCAAAAAAGCAAGCGAAACATGAAAACACACGGTATACGCAATGACTTTCTGTGTGTCAAAGTGGTTCAATCTAAGCCAGGCTGGAAGCCGCGACAACGTGGACGGTTTTTGAGTCGCAAACCAACAAAGGGATCTTTATACTGCAGCTGACAATTTTCATGTTCACGTTTATCTCCTCGGTTGAACATGCCTATGCTCAACTACTAACCAACAAACCCGGTTTTGAACCTGGACGGCTTAAGTAAACTTTCCGGCTTGGTGCACACGCATACACACCATATATACGTGTATAGTAAACGTATACACAGCACACACATGAAGCACACCACGCACCTACTTTCTATACACATACATATTCATAGAAATGCAGCATTGCACACACAACTTGGTGCACCGAACCTGGTTGGGGTCTCTGAGGCGGAGCGCCGTCGTGAGCTGCAAGACCTCTCTGCGCAGAGCCTGCCGAAACCTCAGAGCGGCCTGGAAATCACAGCGAGGCCACGCCCGTTGTAAACCTCCCACCCTACAACAACCTCAACCAACTACAAGCCCGCCCGAGCCGCCCTAAAGCGATTCAAGGCACCCTGGCGCAAACTTATCGCCACCCTAGACAAACCGAAAACCTGCCCTAAACCCAGCTAAACCAAGTGTAAACCCACCGCGATCCTTAAACCTACCCGAACCCCAGTGTACATCAACCCGCACCTATTCTAAATTTTCCTGAACTTGTCTCTGCGCCCAGTAGCTGCCTTTACCACGAAAAATACATGGCGTTGTTTGAAAGAATGTCTTTAGTTGAGTTTTCTTAATTCAGATTCTAAAGGAGGTCTCTTTTTCGAGGATTGAGTTATTCATTTTCCTTTTGGAAGAATATGTTTAATCGTGATTCTCACTTCTTATTTGGTTTGTTTGGGGCTTCCTTCCGCAGGATGTCTTTTTCAGTTTCTAATAAATTGAATTTAAAGATAATGTCAATAAAAGGCACCTTCTTCGCTGCTTTCCCCAAAGCGCAAAAATGCAGAAGCGCGGCAAATAGCGTTAAATTTTGAAAACCTTGGACATGTCCAGAAGCGGGTAGGATCTGCACATGCATGTTTACGCGCGTGCGCGCGCATTTTCTAGAGGCGATATGATGCCTCTTCGGGGTTTGCGAGGCTTGGTTCTAAGACAAGGAAAGCTCTTGCTGCGTGTGGCGCAAGACAGTTCCCCACAAGGTGGGTTTCGCCTCCACGGACGCGGTGGGCATGGTGAGGCAACTCGGCCCGGGCATCTAGCAGAAAAAGGAGGCCTGTGCGCCGTGCTCAATGTGTATTCTTCGTCAGACGTCACCATAGATCTGGGCGTCAGAAAGGCAGAGGGGTGCAGTTCCCACAAACCTGCTTGTTGCTGCTTCCTTGCCAGGTTGCCCACAAGAACTGGAGATTGCGATGACTGCGCCTTCACACAAGACAGCACTCGTGCACCCTGATCCCAAATATGTGGTAACAGGCATAGCACTGCTAAACCCCCTCAGCCCAGCCTAAAGCAACCAACCCCGCGTTGTTGGATGCCTGGCACGTGTTTTGGTTCATTGGAGTGTGCTTTTTGACAGGAAAGAAATCAATTCACCTTTGTGCCCTGTTTTTTGTGGTTCCGACTTCTGATGACACAACGACTGGGCGTTCTCCGACTGCCGGGGCCCGAATGAACCCATATAGAGCCGGTCACGCAGGCTTGCGCCGACGACGACGAACGTTTGTGTCGCGCGAATCAAATCAGCATCGCTGCTCTTCTGAGAGAGAACAGCGAGCTGTCCAGGCTGCTTCTTGGCAGATGAGTGAGGGCGGGGCTCTGTCCAGCTCTGGCTTTGAGGATCAGTCATGTGTGTCCCCCTCTTCTTTCTTCACTTCTGTTGCGAGTTGTGCTCATGTTTCTCCGCGTCAGTTCACGGAGTTCACAGCGCCGAGGAGCGTCGCTGTGACAGTTGCAGAGTCTGCAGAGATGCAGAAGCTGAACGAAGAACGCGCGGCTGTTGGTGTTGGTTTGGATTCTGTATCCCAACCGTATCCAAAGGATTTCCCAACGGTATGATTTCACAGCCATATCACCACGTGTTTCCCTGGGCTATTGTTCCAAACAGAAAGCACACACCTAGTTTGGCCATTACAGCCTGTGTTACTTGGGGCGGGGTATGTCTGAAAGGCAGCGGGTTGTTTTAGACCTCGCTTGCTTGGCGAGTTGAAGTTAGGTTTCCCGGAGGATCTTTTTGTTGTCCTGGGCAATGTCTTTGAGGATGGCTTCGTGGATTTCTTACCCAGCGTTCTTTGGGGGATGCCTTTGGGAATGTGTTTGGGGGATGTCTGGGGGTGGGGGCGCGCCTAGTCTGTGCAGACTGAGCTTGGTGGGCGCGGCTACAGCGTTGGTTGAGCATAGACCGTCTTCCGCGGATCGTCACCCTCCACTTTTGCCCAACTCGTGCCTGGCACGCGGGCCTTGGTGGCATGAAGGGCGTGGTAGCTTGCCATATGCCTGGCTGGATTGCTCAGATATTCTGACGAGCAGCGTCTGGACTGCCTTGTGTGCCTGCTGATATACATAGTTTGAGTACCAATCATTTTGTCGGTGTTGGAAAGCCACGAGGAAGCAGCATCAATTGCGCAAGGCCTTGAAGTTCCCCTTGCTCAATGCCTGGCCAGAGCACCACGTGACCGTGGCCAGAGGGGCTGACACACTGAAGGTGGCCAAGTTTATGGTTGCGGGGGCAAAGCGTGTTGGTCGCGGTTGCGTTGTTAGCGCTTTGCGGTTTCTTTGTTGTGGAAATCATCCCGCCACCTTGTCATTAACGCGCGAGTGTCTTTGCTCCGATTTTCTCCGGGAGACGAGTAGCCTTTGAACACTTGATGTTATAGTTCGCGCTTAGCCCCCGAAGGCAAGGCTGGCGCCTTCAAGCTGTTGCGCCCTGGCAAAGCGGCCTGCTTCTTGCCAAACCTAATAACGTCCAAAACCAACCCCAAACGCACTGTTCCAAGCCAACCCCAAATCCAACCGAAACCCACCTTAAACGCCCTCAAACCAACCCGCAGCCAACCCGCCCCAAGCCCACCGACCCGAGCCCCACCCTAAGCCCACCCTAAACAAACCCTAAATCCAAAGCCACCCCCAAACACCAAACACCCGTAGCCAATCGTTGCTTAGTGCAGTTGCCGTAGGCTTCGGCCACAGGGTGCACAAAGAGGAGATGGAGAGTTAAAAGGAAAAAGTGCAAGAAAAGGGGGAGGGTCAAAAAAGAAGGGGGGAGCGGAGAGGGAAGGGTTAAACAAAGAGGTTTATTGCGTGAAAAAACAGGCGCGAGGCAGGCAGGCGTCACAGGTTCCCCATAAGCGTGGTGATGGCCCAGTTGTGTGACTCCAGCTTGGGCGTTTTTGGAAGGGTATGCAGAGGGCCATTGTCACACGCTTTGATTCTTCCGTTGCTTTCCTTTTGCAGAACCCGGAATGAACAAACCTGGTTGCAAGGGGATTGGCACGTTTCAGAGGCAGCTCTTCACTTTGCGGGGAGCCTATGACCAATCCCTTGTAGTTTACGGAGATCGTAGTTGCATTCCCAAAGTCCTTGAAATTTCCTACTAAGAACCAGCAAGTTTAATCAGTCAAACACTGGGTTCCATTTTCTGACACGCACACACATCTCAAGCATCTCAAGGATACAGAGCAAAGGCAACACAAAGGGAGAGGGCCCGCGTCAGACGTTCCAAGCCTGGGTGCCTCTCGCCAGGTTGTTTCTGCAACATGTCAGGTTTTGCGACCAGACTCCTGCAGCACAGCTCTCAAGGTAAAAACCCACATCAAGAACAGAAAGGGGCGGCTAGATAACTGAAGCGCCATATTTCTGTTTTCCGGTCTAGTCTCGAGGCCTGTGGCAAAATACTTGGATGTCGAAAAACCCCGAACGAGCGATTCATCAGGCCCGCCAAAGTTCTGCTGCTTTCCATTTCTGTGACGCAAACGAAGAACTCAGAATGGACATTCCTCAGCTAGTTAGTGAGTCTCCTTCAGAAACTTCTCCCATTTCATTCATCCTCATGTCCCGATGTTATGAAGTCCCAAAATGGTTTCGGTTTTCCTTCTAGTTTCCCTTCAAAACCCCAGAAGCCAATACTACGGGTCCTTGGAAAAAAGAACCAGACCCAGATGGCTTCTGGTTTGAGGCCAATGCTGCTGAAGCTTGCCCCTGTCCTGGGTGAAGCCGCGCAGAAGAAGTCCCCAGAGGCCTGCGCTCTGGCTGCGACAGCTCGAGCACGAGGTTGAGGCAGCAGATTTGTCGGTTTGCCAGAATTGTTCGTTGGCAACCCATACACTTGCTGAAATGAATATGGTGTCCCTTGTTTGTTTTAACATGGTTGTCGTTGGGAAACATTTTACATTTTTGCTTATTGCGGTTTATTGGGAAATCCCCACTTACCTGCTAAAATTTAAATGTTTGCTCCCCTTCCCACGTCAACCAAGCGCAAATGGAAGTGATTGGTGGCTTCGGGGTTTGCACTCCTGCTTCTTGTAGAGTGAATGGGTTTTCCCACCTCTTGACCTCCAGCGAATGCGCCAATCCAAGCCACCTAGGGAAGCTGAGCCGGGGCTCGGGGAGAGAGAGGGAGAGAGAGAGAGAGAGAGAGAGAGAGAGAGAGAGAGAGAGAGAGAGAGAGGAGAGAGAGAAGGAGAGAGAGAAGGAGAGAGAGAAGGAGAGAGAGAAGGAGAGAAAGGAAGAAGCAACAAATAACAAAGAAAAAGAGGCACAGAAGTAGTTGTCCAAAGCTGACCTTTTGACCTTTTGGTTGTTTCGCTTTGGTCTTTGTTTAGTCAAGGTCACAAAGGGCCAAACTTTTACTTCCAGGTCCTTTGGGCAAGTGGGTATACTGGAATAACAATGACAAACAAAATCAGAAAGAACACAAGGATATGATAGCACAGTAGACAAGGTAAACAAGCGGCGAGTATGAGATGGTCTCTCGAGTTGAGAAGTGCATGGCTGCCATGGTGTGCCTCTGAATTCCTGAGTTCATGGACGTTCTAGTTGTTGGGTTTGGACCATTTTAGTGGCATGCAAGAAGTTTGATTTTTTCGGCCATCGACCCAGGAAGTGAGAATGTTCGCCCTGCCCATGTTGTTTTTTGCTGCGGAACATTTGGGGTGAAAAACCACTCAAACGCGCCACTCACTTGTTGAAACTGTGTTTGTTGATCTTTCTTGTCTTTTCTGTTAGTACTTCGCATTGTTGTTTTCACCGTTTTGTACGTCGTCTTGGCTCTATTGTGTTTCACTGCCTTGTATGTTGTCTTGGTTGCTTCATGACTTAGTCCATCATCAAAGCTTGAGCTTTTCTGGCATGCGAGCGACCAATCAAAAAACCCCCATTTGCAGCTTCCTTCCGAACCTTTCCCAGGCGAAAGCTTTTGGAAAATGGGGCGCCAAACCTCACTGGAAAGCTGTGACTTGGACCATTTTCCTCCAGGCCATGTCTCTCCCCGGTTGAAAAGACTAAAAGCATCCAGGCGCTGGAGATGCTGAAGTTGGCTGGACACCCAGACCGCGAGCTCTTAAGATCTGGAGAAGAGGAATTTCATGTTCAGGCGGATTCACTGGATATGGGCCAGAGCAATTTTGAACAAATATGCAATGTAGCCCCCCCCCCCCACTGCTTTTTGGACAGGAATTGGGGATTCGGAAAACAACAAAAATGCGGGGCAGGGGGGGGAGATATATATGCACACACATATGTTGTTTGTGTTTCAGTGGTTTCCCAAGAAGGATATGGAAAATCAGATTGACCAACCCTCCATTTTGAAGAGCAGGATTTGCTTGCTCTAAAAAACTCCAAGATCTGGGCCATGGTCAGCTGTCGCTTCGTCACATTAGCCCCGAAAATGATTTGTATAAGGTTCGGTCAAAATTGCTGGTTCATGGGAGGGACATGGAGCAGTGACTAAGTTTCCGCACGCAGGGGGGCATCATGGGGCATCACTAAACTTCCCATGTCCTCTTGGGGGAGCAAACAATTTTGATCGTGGCTCACATAGCTTGCTCAGAATGCCAACACGTCGTTCAGCGATAGCTTACAGTACTTACACTTTTGATTCCCTGTTTTAGGCAACATGTCAAACCCCAAAATGGCTGGTTTCCTTCGAATCCTCGAATTCCCCAAAATGGGTGCACTTAAAGAAGGACACTGAAATACAGTCAGGCCAGCAGACAGTTTCATTTAATGGCCACGTAAAAGGTGAACCCTGGCCATCCGGTCCTTCGTGTGTGGCCAGCGGGACTGCAGGAAAGTAAGGGGCAGTGGCCTTTTGTGATAAAAATAAGCGTGTTTTTGGTTTGAGGTTCTAAAGAGAGGTTTGTTCGGTTCTAATCGGCGGTGTTTTTGGTTTGTTTTTGGTCTTCGGCGTGTGTTTGGGCCTTTTCTTTGTGTGTTTTTGAAGAGAGGCCAAACAGGTAACGCGCAAAAAAAAAAGGGGGTCCCCTGAAAGCAGCCACGCCCATTTTCCTGTGGCCGCTCTGCGGTTTGCCTCCGCGAAATGGGCTGGACTGAGAACTTCTCGGCCGGGTGTAGAACACCGGGGGGCTATGATTTTTAATGGTTGGAACCCCCTGAAAAGTGGTTGGTGGACATAAATCCCCGCCAAAATGAGGTCCATGACAGGGCCCCCCAGCATAATTCACCCCCCAAGGGGTCACGATCTTGATGGGTTCTGCGGGGCATCAGCGTCAGAAAATGGTTGGTTGTTTCCCTTTATATACATACAATTTTGGGGGTGACTTTGATCATGGTAAAGTAATGGGCTCACATGACAATCCCAATGAGGCGGTCGATGCATTTGCTCAAGCTGTGCCTTTGTGTCCAAGATGGCTTTGAGTTGACATGGGCAAAGCTGGTTGGCACCCAAAAACATGGGAGCCTCAAGCAGATGGATGTTTGCCTTCAGCATTGAAGAATACATCATGGACCCCTACAAAGGGGGGGTATCCCTTATTAACCCCTTTACAGTCCTTGTTGTCCTTGTTGAGGGCTTATCCTTGGCATAGCTTATCCTGGGATAGCCGGCCCCCCAGACCCCCCATAAGGGTCAATGATTTAACCAGGCTTTGTTTCACCAGAAATGCTGCGTAAGAATGCGATTTATCAGCTCTCAACAATCACCCTCGGCTGCGCGGGCTTCTTCAATGTAGGGTTTGTTTTTTGTTTCTCTCTCTCTCTCACTCTCTGTCTCTCTCTCTCTCTCTCTCTCTCTGTTTGTGTCTGTTTGTAGTGGGTGGGGGGCCGGGGGGCGCAGGAGAGGTGTTTGAAATGAAACAACCTGAAAAGAGTGCTCTCAAAAAAGCACGGGCCCTTTCTTTGTATGGCCTCAAGTCGCGCATGGAAGGTTCTGAAGTGCTTCTACTCGGCGGTGCGCATGGCTGTGCCCGAGCAGGTGCAGAAGGCCGCGGGAGTGCGGATCTCCGCCCTGTCGATCCTTTACATGGGTTTGGGTAGAATGTGTAGTACCAGGTGTTGTTTTTAATGACTCGCCGGGTAGGCCAGTACCAGTTGTTTTTGTTATTATATAAGTGCCTCACTATGCCAACCCTGGTTTTGGATGACTTTCAAGGGAACACGTCAGCAAAACCACAATTTTCGAGTTGGTCATTTTGGATTTGGGCAGCCCTCCGACCCCAAAAATATCTGAAATGGGACACCAAACAAGTTGATCACTTCCCCCTAGCTCCCCCTTTCCTCCAATTACTACCTTGTATTCGCTGGGTGGGTGGGACGTTTGTGCCATAGCCAGGGGTGTTACAGCAGTCCTTGGGTCAGATGCGAAGAAGTTTATGGTCTAGTGTTGGTTCTAAAGCGTCAACCCCAAGACGACGTCAGCTGGGGTCGTCAGCAAATCTGTGAGTTTAGAATTGGTTTAGTACATGCCAAGCCCGCCCGACTGTATTGCCCGTTGAAAAGAATAGAGTCTGGGAAACATCATATGTGTTGATAGGATGCTATTATTAATAGGGGAAGTGATTTCTCAACCAGGCTTTGATTGACTAGAGTTTTACTTGCCCACGTCTCTTTTGGGAACCCCCAACAGTTGCAGTATCCAATGACGCCTGCTAATCCTTTCCGTCATTTCTCAAAAGGCATAGGGCCAAACATGGGTGGAAGTTGCACCACACCTGCTGACCAATGGTTGTTGGGAATCGCTTTTGTTCCGGCCCCATCCCCCCGGCACCTTGTGACGAATCGCTCTGACCAATTCTGGCCCTAAAGCAACAGGTGATTACAATAGCTAAGAAGCTGAAGATGGTTGTCATCGGGCAGTGTGCGCCAAGTGTGATCAGCGTGTTTCTCACACAACCCTGGGAGACGCTAAAGCGAGCTTTGCCAATCTGCGTTCTTCGCATGCGCAAGAAAGAGTGAAAGAGGCGGAAATTGGGTCACAGTACTGCTTTGTGTGGTTTCTTTTGTACACTGCCAGTCAAGACGGGAACATCTATTCTTCCAGGGCGTTGTGTAGTGGGAACGAGAAAGAGAAACCGACAAGAAGCCGAGGTGTGATTTCAGGGGTCCGAGGAGCTTTGATCATCCCCAACTCGTTGCGATAAGTTGCGGTACCTAAAGAGAGACTGAACAGTGGCTTCTCAAAATGCCTGTGGGAATTGTGCTTCGCTATCGCAAAGGAATCCATAAGGCAGCCAGGTATTTGCAGTGGCCTAATCAGTTTCCATTCCAGGCCCTCTATGAATTTCAACAAGTCCTCGATACACTTAAGGCCAGGCGCCCCCCAACCACCAAAGAAACGTTAATGATGCAGGTCTAATTGCCCGCACACATGATTGACGGTGTTGTTTGCTGGGCTCGAGGAGTACTTGTCAGGTTGGTGGTTTGGATTGGTTTGGGATTTGAGCCGCTGGTGTTTTGTAGTGTGTACGTGAGGTTTCCCCTCCTTTTCACCACCAAACCACCGATTCGGCTCCAAACCACCAAACAGCGAAGGAAGCTGAACTGTTTGATCCCAGAACCAACCAAGAAGACACCTCGAGTTCGCCCTTTGTCTATTTCAAAATCGATTTGACGAAACTCTGAAAAATAACATTTTGCAGGGGGGCCCTGAAGAAAATGTAAACCAAATATATGGAATTTAATGATGCGAGCCACAAGATTTGGCAGTCCAAAGAGTGTCGCCCTTCGGGCGCGGCGGTTGCCGCGTCTTTTTGGCAGGACATCCAGCAATGGATGGGCCTGCTTCTTGGCGCTGGGTGGCCCAGCGAAAGATGGTGGGAGGACGCACCTTCCTTCCCAGAATTAATTTCCCTTTGTATTTTTTATTTGGGGGGGGGGTCCCCTTTGTTTTCCACTAACCAGGCAAGAAAGTGTTTTTTTGCTGGGGTCCTAATTCCAGCCAAGCTTCAAAATACGTATCCCCTAACAAATAAAACCCAATGTGAATCCATCGCCATGTGCAGTGTTTGATCTCCATTAGTTCAAACTGTAAGCCAGGGGTTCACACCAATTCGCACGTGGAATCCACCCATTTCGGAAATAAAAGGGGAATTTCCCTGCCCCGGACTGATTCTCCGAGTACCTGGGTGTAGGAGTATGCGCGAATTATAAGAGGGGTTCATGAGGGCTTTGATTCGCATGAGTTTACGGGCTTATACATGGTATGAGTTTATTAGGGGTTTATAGGAGGCTTGTAAGGGTTGTAGAAGGGGATATATGGTGGTTTGTTTTCGCATTTCATTTTAGGCACCTCTAAAAAAGGGCGACTCGAAGAACGCCTTCCTTGGGAAAGCTCCACGTCCAATTTCTTTGTGAAGGGACGCGTGTCAGCTACTTAGTGTCTTAGTGGGTGGGAAGGTACTCATTCAGGAACCCGAGCGAAGGGTCAGGCATTGGGTGAAAGTTGATAGGCATCCCCCTTTTGGTTTGATTACCTTAATTTAAAGGGAAACCCCTAGACAGAAAGAATCGGACACCCGCTACCACCGGAGGTCTGCGTATCAGCACCCTAAAAGTTAGGGTTCGAAAAGGTGAAATCATCACAAGGTAGTTTTGGTTAGAGCCAAAAGTCCATGGGCGCCAGGTCATGAAAGCTGCTGTGTTTATACTTTCCCTGAGCCACATCACAGATGGAGCTTGAATTGTCCACCAAGATTTGGAGCTTGCATCAATCCCAAATTCTGCGAAGTGGATCTTGTTAGGGCGTCAAATTCTCCCATTGCTTTTTGCTCCAAAAGTTAAACCCAAAAGGGAATGGGATTTTGAACAACCAAAAAAAAACATGTTTTGATTCGTTTGCCCCAAGGGACACGGAAAGGGAAACAAAAAGCCACGGGACGTCCAAGGTGTTGGACCTAGAGATGGCGATGCCAAGCTCCGCGCTGGAGCAAGAGGCGACGGAATCGGCGTGTTCGGGGAATCGGCGTGTTTGGTCGGGAGCAAAAATGCGTCCCAGTGGTCCCCTTTCTTAAGTGCTATTGGGTTGGATCTTTAGACTCTAACTGTCTGCAAATCAAGGGGTTTTCCGCTACACCCCCCAAAAGGTAAGCTTTTTGCAGGGGGGTCAGCAGCAATCAAGTTATAGTGGCGGACATACACTTAGAAACGATGTTGTTTTCCAAAATGTCCGACAACAAACACAACGGTATTTGCATACACTTAGAAACGGCTCGGCCGACCAACACTTAGAAACGTCTTTCCCCCTTCATGGTGAGTCCGATGCATATTATCAGCCAACCAACCCTTAGAAATGTGTCCAATTGTTACCCAAAAGGTAGCTGCGGCTTCTCAGTGTTGGTCATGAACGTTGCCCCGAAACAGGGAAGAGTCGACCGGGCAGGGGAAAAAACGCTACGTACCCAATTGATCAACCACATATATATATATATATATATGCATAGTGCCATGAGCATGCTCCTGGTCAAGTATATAAGTGGCGTGTTCCTTTGTGGGTTGCATGTGCGCGAGCATGTTGCTTGACACAAGTGTGTACAAGGTCGGCCGTTCACACACACACACAGCACCCGCAAAACATGATGAACATATCGCATCTTGGAGTCAATGGGTGTTGGGCTAGTGTTGAAAAACGCGTCTAAAAGATGAAACACATTTCTACGTGTTGAATGTGTAAGTGTTGAAACAATTTGCTATTTGTTGGATTGGTGCCGAAGCAGTCCGGAACAACACATAGAAACAACAAGTACCTGCTGGGGACATTAAATAGAAACGCCACAAGTACCCGCTGGCAAAAGAACATGTCCAAAGCCGGAAGTGTATGTCCGTCACTATAAAGGGAACCCTGGTTTATGAATAAACCAGCCTCTTGAAGCCAATTCTTTCTGACCCTGGGCCCTTAACAAAGGGAACTCAGACCATGGCAATATGATCAAGGGTAGTTTGAGGGTCTAAGGGGAACCCGAATCTAAGTAGAACCTCTGGTTGAATTTGATTGGGAGTTCCCGTTTAGCGGGGATTCAGACTCACTTGAGGGAACACCCCCAGAACCGGTTTATGAATCTGGTGGTTTGATGGGAGAGGTGCTGAAGGTATCCAAGTTTGCTTTGAAAGAGGGAGCCAATCTACCAGGAGTTTTGTAAGGAGATGGTCATGATAGTCAAGGACAGCCCAAAGTTTCAATTGGGGTGGCTGGAGTTGGGAAAGGATTGAATGTGGATGCAGCCGGGTCCTCCCAGTCCTGCCACACCTATTCTAGGCCCGTGCTTCGCTACATGGTTCCTCAGGGACGGCCGGTTCGGGGTGCTGTGTGTCTAGCCGAAAACCTCTCGAAAACTCCGTGTGTGTGCGGAGTCCAGTATGAGCGCCCGAAAACCCAAAAGTTGGCCATAAGTTGGAAATCAGTCCGGGCTTTCTTTGCCTGCTTTCCCAGTGGCCCAGTGGCCCAGCGGCTTGCGCTGCAATCCACCAAGAAAAACAATCAGTTAGCAGGGCTTCCTTCTTTACAAGAAACCAACGCGAGGCCTACAAAATCTCATGGCCGCTGGACTTCCGCTGGACTTCCGAAAGGGCGTAGGACACACATCCTGGCAGAACCCAGCGTCACATTTGAGGGCGCTCAAAGCGGCGTGTCAGTTTCCCACTCATGCTCTTAAGGGGTCCCAAGTAGTCTGTCTTGCTAATCTTTAGCAAGTGCCCTCCCAAAACCCCACAACTACTGTTTTTTAGAAAATAGTTGTTCGGGGGTGCCGGCTCTTGTTCTTGTTTTGAGACGAAGTTTCCCTGTAAAAGTCAAGCGCCAAAGAAATGTCCTGTTTCCCAAAGCCAATGGGCTGAGAAAAGCAAACAACACAATGACTCTTGGCCAGGGTGTGGGATCACTCGGGTTTTTTTCCAACCACTTCTGTGATATCTTCGGGCATTCCCCTCTTATGGGGTCTTTGGGAGGCCCTTGTTGTTGTATCACAGAAGTGGATTCCATTTCCCACAGCCCTGCTCTTGGTACGACGCGTTTGGACCAACAGACCGAGGGCCGTGCCAAGCCAAAATTGGGCCCGAGCTATGTCCATGCGAAGGATCCCACGGCACGAATCCATTTTGAGAACGGTGCGCCCAAAATCCTGTACGGAGTTTGTGTTCGGGCTGGCTGTTTGATCGGCGGTGAAACCACCACCTTCAGAGTTCCCGACCCTCCAACCTTTGTATTTTCCTTCATCTAGCCCCACTATTCTGTCAAAGTCGCCCCCCAAAGTGGTAAGTTAAGGGAAGACCACCACAGTCTCACTTTCAATCATCTTCCCAGAAACGCTCCAAAAAAGTCATCATCCCCAGAAACGCACGTTGAACAAAGTGGATCCCGGCCCCATGTCCATGTCCCAAGTGTCGGCAATCGCCCCTCGCGAGGTTTTGGAGGCCAGCTGCGAGGCGAAGTGCCGGAAGTGGGTCTTCCAAATTTTGCCCGGCGCCCCAGCCGAGCTGGGCCAGAAAAACTGGGTCCCCCAGCAATTGGTGCCCTTCTCTCCCCCTTTTTTGGTTGGGAGATTCGGTTCCCCTACTAAAATAGACAAAACTGAAAAAAAGTCGGTACCCTTATTCTAACCTCTCTACTGGAGGACCTAGCAAAGCTCTCACACCCTGGCAAGACTTGCCAGGGCCTGGACCATTTTGGTGGTAAGCAAACAGTTTTGGAGCTTTTCTTGGCCCAACCACTCAGGAAGCAGGAACCGAGTTCATGGGCCAAACGAAACTCCCAAACTGCTTGTTTACCACCAAAATGGTCCAAGCCCTGGCAAGAACGCAGGAAGTGAGAAAGAGGATAGCTGAGCGACTCACTCCCTGAGACGTTCTGCTGCTTTCGTTTGGGGTTTTCCCGATTGGTTGCAGAATTGCTCACTTGGTGAGTTCATGGACTTGAGGCACTTTTGGGGCTTGGACCATTTCGGAGGTAAGCAAAGCTTCACTGTTCTTGGCATGTGTTTTTTTTTGGTTTTTAGTTGTTTGGTTCTGTTCATGTTTACTGGGGGTCTGCAAAAAACTTTGAGTTTTTTGCAAGCCCATACCAAGAGTAGAGATGAAACAGTTTGGGAGCTTTTTTGGGCCCATCTCAGGAAGTCTGAAGCTGAGTTGGGTGACATGACGCCCACAGCATCCCAAAGGCCCCGCCTTTGGGATGATTCCCGAAAACTTGCAAGCGCATCGAGAAAGAGCGACACCTTGTTACAGTATGGGCAACTTTTGGTTGTGGCCCCGTAATAATGTTAATCATAATTATAATATAATAATAGTAATAATAATAATAATAATAATAATGATAAAAAATAATAACAGTAATCATAATAAAACATGTTTCTGGGCCCTTGGGCAAATGAGATGCCCCCAACAGAGAAGGGATTTGTATCATCTATTTTTAGCCTGGTGTAAGGCGAATCGATTTGGCACCCAAGTTGATGGTGTTTGAGTGTGTTAGTGTGTTTTGTTTGATGGATTGATTGCTTGTTTGTTTGTTTGTTTGTTTGTTTGTTTGTTTGTTTCACTGTTTCTTTGTTTGTTTGTTTGTTTGTTTTGTTTTGTTTTGTTTGTTTCTTTGTTTTGTTTTGTTTGTTTGTTTCGTTGTTTGTTTATTTGTTTTGTTTTGTTTGTTTGTTTGTTTGTTTGTTTGTTTGTTTGTTTGTTTGTTTGTTTGTTTGTTTGTTTGTTTGTTTGTTTGTTTGTTTGTTTGTTCGTTCGTTCGTTCGTTTGTTTGTTTGTTTGTTTCTTTGTGTGTTTGTTTGTTTGTTTGTTTGTTTGTTTGTTTGTTTGGTTGTTTGTTTGTTTGTTTGTTTGTTTGGTTGTTTGTTTGTTTCTGGTGTTTGTTAGGTTTGCAGTAAGCGGCCCCCATCCCCTGCTGTTTTCCTCAAGATGCCGAGCCGGAGGGGGGGGTTGGGGGGAGGGGCGGGTTCGGAGGTGAATCTACACGCCCTCTATCTTGAGAAATAATTGGAAACTTGCGCCTGCTCCCAGGGGAAGATGGGAGAAAGCTCGCCGGGAGAAGCGGACTGGCGAACAGGTAGAAACCTGGATACGCCTCCAACTCCATTTGAGCCACTTGCTCAAAACCGGGTAGATGAAGGCTAGTAAGGGATAGTCCCAGCAAGAAACAGCTGCGGCCGCCTTTGTATTTCCTTATATGGTTCTGGGTCATCCATTTTAATACCGGGTTTTGATTATGACTCAGTTGGCAGGTAGACCATGGTTGCTCCTTCGCAGTTGTCCAAAGCTGACCGTTTGGTTGTCCCGTTTTGGTCCATGTCTAGTCAAGGTCCCAACAGTTCAACCTTTCATGTCCAGGTCCCTAAGGGGCAAGTGAGCCTTTGGCTGTTCCTAGATGATGGCCCAATCAGATGGTCAGGGGAGAATTTTCAGCGTTTTAGCGTCGGGTCGGAGTAACTTGTTTTTTAGTATTTTTTAACAGGGAATCTATCACTACTGGATTTGTTGTTGTTGTTGTTTTTTTTTTTTTGGGGGGGGGGCGTATACGCCAAAATGGAAGCCGGGCCAGCGAAGCGCGAACGAGGGTTCTTTGGGCGAATGAGGCTTTCCTAAACGATGGCCTAATCAGGTCAGGGGAGGAGCCGGGCAAGCGAAGCGCTTGACATGGTTGTTGTTGGGAAACATTTTACATTTCTGCTTATTGTGGTTTAGTGAGAAATCCCACTTAGCTGCTAAAATTTAGTTTTTTGCTCCCCTTCCAACGTCAACCAAGGGAACCGGCGGAGGCTGAGATTTTTCCAGAAGCACTGTCACCTGAAGCGCGTGGCCGAGGGCATGGAGACCTTCGCGCAGGCCTTCCGTCGCTCGTCGCAAACAGGGGGCAATACGAGGCATTGGGCCTTCTGAAAGAGAACCGATTCCGGACTTTGTTTGACCTTTGTGTTGTGATTCTCAGTTGTTCAAAGCCGACCTTTTGACCTTTTGGTTTTCCCTTTTTGGTCCATTTTTAGTAGAGGTCCCAAAAGGTTAACCTTTTATAAACAGGTCCTTTGGGCAACTGAGGATTGTGAATTTTGCAGGAGCCCGGGATGAAGCAACCCTGGTGGATTCATGGAGGGTGTTCCATTTAAAAAAGATCGCCTTCTTGGGGGGACACCCGTGTATTAATCTGCCATGTGGATTAGTCCGGGGTCCAACAGAACTGCGACGACCGCAAGAAAGTAGTTGGGTTCGGGCAAGAGCGGTCCTTCATAGGGAATCTGCTGAATTGGGATTGGGGCGGTGAAAGCCGCTCAGATTGGGTTGACCGGAAGACCTTCTTCAGAAGTGGCCTGGAAAGAATGGGGAAGGTACCCCTAAAATAATAAAAAAAAAAACGCTAAAAGGGAACACCACGCAGTAACTCGCCTGAATATATATATTTTTGCACGTGAGTTGCTGGCTTTTGACTGCTTAAAAGGGGTATCGCATCCTCTAGTATTGCTCACCTGGCTTTGTGCTAGGCTTCCGAGAACCTCAAGCAAAAGCTACTGTTTCACTGGGTTTCGTTCGGCATGAAGTGCCATTGTGGGCTGTGCCTGTGTGTTCTTCTCAACGGGTTTGATGGTTGGATTACTGGAGAATGCAAATGCCAGGCTCATGATTCTAGTTCCACCCACTGGGATTGCCCTGCGCACAACTGAGTAACTGGTTGGACCCCTTCAATGGCGAGGCCTTCAAACAACCAACAGGTGGCCCAAATCGGCTTGGGTTCAGTGAGCCCAAATGGGCCCCAGTGATCCCAAAGAGGCCAAGGCCTGAAAATGTTGGGTGATCTTTGGGAGGGACTTCGCTGATCCTTGTTGAGTCTTTGCGTTGGCATTCCTTCATTTCTCCGGCAAACAAATGCGTCGTGATGGAGATCCGTGTCGCATCCGTCGGGCAGCGAGGGACTCCGCTGACATGTCCGCAGGCCTGGAACGACTCCTACGAGGCGAGCGACATGAGTGGCAGGTCTCACCAGTTTGTCTGGGCGAAGGCAATCCTTAGAACTGTCAAGCAAGGGGTTACGGAAGGAATTACGGTTTTCCAATAGGGATTATGGAACTTAGTTGTCAACCTGAGGGGTTACGGAAGGAACTACGGTTTTCCAATAGGGATTATGGAACATCGGAGCCAACACGAACCATTTTGAACCACCTGTTGGGGTGTGTTTCTGCATGTGCCCATACAGATGTAGGCCCCTTCGGGGATCTCTCACATGCAATCAATTGTTTGACCCCGGGCAGGGCGTTCTATGAAGGCATCATTTAAATGTGCGCTCTGATCTAGAAACCAGTTTGAAGCATTTGGGCCAACTGGCACCTTGGCGGCTCACATCCTTGGACCCAGCCCGACTTGGGCAAGGCAGACATCCAGGAAAGAGTGTGTGCATGTGTGTGTGTGTGTGGCACTCCTGTCCAATCAGGTCCGTGAGCCTCTTTGATGTTTGAACGTTCCCTCAAGCCAGTGACGAGCTTGAGCTTCCCTAGTGGCCCTAGTGTGCGTGTGTGTGTTGGAGGGCCCGCTGTGGTTTTTCTTCCGGGTGCATGGTCAACATGTCACCCCTGCTTCCGGCTTTCTGCGTGTCTTTGTTTGAGGTCACAGGTCCCGATGTTTTGGACATTCTGGACCAGGATTTGGGGCATATGGGTGTGTCAAGATACCGCACAAGGGTGTTTCTTTTGGTTTCCGATTCAACCAACCTAAAATTTGCGGAGGCCTGTCAGTGCGAGACCTCAAGGGGCTGTATGTTGCACGCTGCTTTTCTCCCCCCAACGGTGGATCAAGGAATCTTGGCAAAAGCCCGCCAGAATCAGTTCCAATGGAAAGGGTGAATGGTGGAATTGGGTCGCTTCAAGCAGGTTTAGCATGGCGCAACTTCTCTTTCTCCCCTATACTTCGAAGTGCCTACCAACAGATTCTGAGTGAAGCTGACTTTGACCCTTCTTTACAGCAAGCACTCCCAGCCTTGTCGGACCCCAACTTGACTGGTTTCCGTTCCTCAGCGGCTCACTAGCCCGTAGGGCAGGTGTTCCCGCCAGGATTTGACACGTGGGTAGCCTTCGCCCGGCACAAATAAACAAACACAAGTGCGCACACAAGTTTGTTTATAATCCAACAAACCGATATACACATATGACAAACATACAAACAATATACATACACAAAATATACATACATACATACATACATACATGCATGCATGCATACATACATGCATACATACATACATACATACATGCATGCATGCATACATACATACATGCATGCATACATACATACATACATGCATGCATACATACATACATGCATACATACATACATACATGCATGCATACATACATGCATACATACATACATACATACATGCATGCATGCATGCATACATACATACATACATACATGCATGCATGCATGCATATATACATACATACATACATGCATGCATGCATACATACATACATGCATGCATACATACATACATGCATACATACATACATACATACATGCATGCATACATACATACATACATGCATGCATACATACATACATACATGCATGCATACATACATACATACATGCATGCATGCATACATACATACATACATACATACATGCATGCATGCATGCATGCATATATACATACATACATACATACATACATACATACATACATACATACATACATGCATGCATGCATGCATGCATGCATGCATGCATACATACATACATACATACATGCATGCATGCATACATGCATGCATGCATGCATGCATGCATGCATACATACATGCATGCATGCATGCATGCATGCATACATACATACATACATACATGCATGCATGCATGCATGCATGCATGCATATATATATATATATATACATATACCACACGTGCAAGAGTTGCGCTTCTACCGTGAACATGGTGGGCGAGGGGCTGGCCAGGTGCCAGTGGCCCGTGCCGGGCTCAAAGAGGTCTGCGCCCGTGCTCGAGGCCATGGGATGCGGAAGCGCGGGGTTGGCAGAAATACTCCCAGCGGAACCCTTCCGGAACCCGAGCCGCTCCGAACCATAGAGCCTATTTGGGCTTATCAACTACACAGCTTTCAGTGTGAGCAAAAAGAACGTTGACAGGTTGATTCTGCGGTTTTTCTCCAGGGATTTGGGGCAGATCGGCTAGAAGCCATTGAGCTTGCTGGTCCGATAGCTTTGCGGGGATGAGTAGAATAAGTTGACCTCGCTCGAGTAAGCCAAATAGGTAAGCCCAATTTGCCCGATTTGCCAAATAGGTAAGCCATCCCAAATAGCCCAATTTGCCCCTATTTAGCTTTGCCCTATAAGCCATCCCCGATTTGCCCGATTTGGCTTCCTTGGGAATCCCCTTCTGGTTCATTCCCCCAAACCCCGACTCGGTCGTTTCCTATCGCCAGCAAATCAAGGGGATAGCTGAGCAACTCACTCCAGTTCTGAGTTCCGGGACTCGAACTGTAGGCTGCCTTCATGTTTGTTGTTTTTAATCGTTTTTTTGGTCGCAGAATTACTCACTCCCTGAGTTCATGGACTTTAGTAAACCACTTTTCGGGCTTGGACCATGTTTGTGGTAAACAAACGGTGTGCAGACATTTTCTGGGCCAATTTATTCGGGAAGTGAGGCAAACGTCGGGGAATTGTCTGGCTGGGTTTGAGGGACGAGCAAACCCGCAGGGGATGACCGGCTACCCACTGGTCAACGAGCATTTTTTGGGTAAAACGGAGGTGTCCAATCACCCGCCAGTGGTGGGTATGATTTGTCAAAGGGGATAGCTGAAGCATTGACATCTAGTGGTACCCTCCCCATTCTCTTCAGAGATCCGATGGGCCGAACACCGGGAACAAAGGTGGTTTCTAAAGAAAACGATGGGTGAAGAGAATGGGGAATCAAACCTGAGAATTGATGAAATTCGCCATCTTTCACCGAACTGGCTTCCCTTCCAAGCAGTTGGACTCTTGTGACTTCGATTTCGCGCAGTCGATGAGTTGCTCCAGGCACTTGGGCGCCAAACAGATCCCTCAGCCTGGCACTGCGCGGACACGCAGCGAATCGGGGACTTTGGGAAGGGAAATGGGGGGCCTTCTTTTCGATGGATCCCGTTTTGGGGTTGTTAAAACAAGAATCCCAATGGAAACCATGTGAGAGGATCTGCATTTACATTTGTTGGCCCATGTTGGAACAAATCCAGCATGAAACCAAGCGTTGAAAGTACCTGGTTGTGAATCCCATCTTGCACAGAGTCAATCGGTCTAAAACTAGCGGGCTTTGGAATATGTCGACAGTGGACACACTTTACCACTTTTTTCTTGGTGGCTCCCCCGTTAGTTTAGTGGTGACCCCAAAAATGTACGTTGTTTTGTTGCTGGTCACTGGCCAAGTGAGACAACCCTCCAGCGACCGTCTTTGGGTAGGAGCAACGGTGAGGCGTGGCAACGCCGTTCATCCACAAAAGCAGGGGGAAATTGCAGCCAGGATTGAAAACACGGTTCCGCAGCGTGTCTCAGCTGAAGACGGGATGTGTGCATGCGTGGCTGTGTGTGTGTGTGTGGGTGTGTCTGGAAGCTAGGCACCCGTTCGGGGACCAACGAGCATGGGGTGTTCAACTGGTTTGCACACATGCCTATGTCAAAACGAATGGGACCCTTTGTTGCTGATGGTTGCGAACAAATCCAAGTGTCATTCAGGAAAGGGCCGACTGGCCATAGTTGGTGCCCCTTCAAAGCCCTCCGCAACTTATGTTCAGCAAGCTCTACAGCCAACTCACCTGACAAACTGTAGACAATCCATGATGACCAGCGTCTATGGGCCATCAACTCACCTGTAGGACGCTTCGAGTACCATTTGTATTGTGTGCCGTGTTTTGTTGGCACATCCGTATTTTTGTTCATGGACCTCACCTGAAGCTACGAAGCTGCTCCATGAGGTGTTTTTCTCGGCAACAGATCCCCACTCGTTGCTCCGTGACACGGGCACGGTTGTTTTTTCTCAAACTTGGTGAATTTGGATTTGTCTAATGTTGACCCAGATTAATAAACCTGTCCCATTATTAGGGGGGCTGTTCCCTCCAAAAATGATGAGTCCCCACTACAAGGGGACACCCCCTATTAATCAACCAGGGGTTTATTAATCCGGGGTTTACGTTCCCCGTCCGGTGACAGCTGCAACCGAGCTGACGCGAGGTTGTGCCTGGCGGAGGCGTGCCGCAGGGACCAGGCATACCAGGCCGAGAGCGAGCGACCGCAAATGTCCTGAGTCGGTGCAATCCAGCAAACCGAACCACCAAAAGGGAAGGTGAAGGTTCCTTTTGGGTAAGGTCGAGTGTCCTTTTGGGTTGTTTCGGTCGAACCTTGATGGCCTTGGTTTACCTGCGTGCTTGTTAATCTACCCGGGGCCATGTTTTTTTTTAAGACAGCGATGCTAAGGCCTGGGGCTCACGCCGCTATTTTCCTAAGGATTGTCATCATCCAAATTGGGTCCTTGCCATTTTAATGGAGGCAAGGAAGCCTAGGGTATTGCCAATACCTTCAGCCTGCGCAAAGGGAGAACCTGAGCGACGGTGGAACCTTGGGGTTAAGGTGAAAGCTCCTCGTACGGAAAGCGAGAAAAGGGCGAGCTTCGAGTTGAGGCGCTCAAGCCGGACCTGCAACATCTCCTGGAGCTTGGCATTTTCCCGCAGGCCGGAAGGGCGCGTGTTTTTTTTTTTTTTTTTCTCCTTTGCGTTCAAAGATCGCTGTGTCCTTTGATGTTTTGTGTTTTTGGAGAATGGGTATTCTCAAAGTCTGACCAACAAAGAGTTTGACTTTGTGCAAGAGGTGCAGGCCCCATTGGCTCGAATCCTGGCACATGGTGGGGGGGTCGCTTGCAGCGGCGTCCACTACGGACCACATTCGGGCCCTTTGCCGACCAGAAAGGTGCTCGGAGCCCTTCCTTCTTCTAACTCCTAAGAAGGGTCTACGAAGCCTTGCTAGACTGTGGGGGCGCTAGGTGTTTCCCCTATCCCTCATTTTGAACAACCCATATCTTTTGAGCTCACTCCAAAAAAGGGAGTGTCAAATTGTCGCCCAACTCAAAGGGTGCAACCCTTTTCAATGCGCTATTCTTTCTGGTGGCGGAATCACACAGTCCAGCTTGATTAATCTGGGGTGACGAAAACTAAACGTCCTTTTTCCGAAGCCCAAATTGTCTACGGCCCCCATTTGGGTCTGGCTCAGAATTTAACTCAACATCCAGGGGGCCGCATGTTTTAGTCTACTTTTTGATTTGCCAGGGTTTCATTTTGGGAAATCCCGTCCCATTTTGGGCTTTAGAGGGACATCAAAAGGAGGGACTCGCTCACTGCGAATATGTCCATGGCTTCCGGAAAAATTAGCCGTTCCGTGAAATCCCAAACTTCAGGTTGACTTTTTATGAGTGCCTAAGGCCCATAATTGACTTGGTGGGGGCTTGTTTGTGACTTCCTTTACGCAAAAAGAGGTAGCCTCCTCCAAAAAAGACACCGACCCAGATGTGCGTCGCTGCGTTGGATCTTTAGTCGTTGACATGGGTTGAACCAGGGCCTGTTTTGAAGTGGGGGAACCACACGACTTGTTGCAAGGCGGACAATTCGAGCTGTCACAGGAATTGTTCAGAGCATCGCAGTCGAACCCCCAGCACCAGACTGGCAAAGGGTAAATGGGAGGGTCATTGAGATCGACTGGATGCGGGCAACTGTCAAAGCTGCTTTCCGGGAAGTACACCAAAACAGTTGGAAGACATTATTGAAACATGCAGTGACGAAAACCAGCTCAACGCTGCAGTCAAGGCGCCAGAAGCTTTCCTCCTAAATGCCAGACATGCTCGGGGCATCAGAAGCGAGCTTGCCAGTCACGCGGCTGAACAACTTGATGTGAACCGTCAGTGTGAAGCAAAGGCGAGAGCTGTTACAAAGCTGACTGATGATGCGGACCTTGCCGCAACCCGGCCGATGGAAGCCCAAAAGTCTTTGGGCTGTTTCTCTGTTCCGCAAAGAAGCTCGCAATCCGAGTAGTCAGGGGGTACCAACCCTCTTTCAGACATTCCCAATTTGAAATGCTCCAACTGGGAGTTTTTTTTTTTTGCAGGGTACCCACCAATGATGGTTTCCTTTTTGTTTTCCTTTTAGGACACAAAACAACAGGGTACCCTGAAACACACACACACACACCCAACTGATTCTCTGCGAAGATCTCGCCCCTTCCTTAGTTTGACCTTCCAGGTGCGCTTCGGGGAAGCTGAACTCCAGCTCTGGAGCGAAGATCCGGAGGACATGAGTTGAGATTCAAGCAATAGAAGTGGCTACGTGTTGTGTTATATACATATAAATAATATAGATATACATGTACATATATATGTATGTATACACATGTATATTAATATATATATATATATATATGTATATATGTAGGTGTATATGTTTACATATATATATATATAGGGAACCACCTCACATGTGGCTCATGGACATGCATCCGCGCCTAAATGATGTGCACCAGTTCGGGTCTCCTCTGAAAACAAGGTTCTTTTTTTAGAGCGAAGAACAAGAAACATGTCGTGTCGACGTGGTCATATTCAGCTGACGGGCCTGAGAAACTTTGGAGTTTGCATCGATCCTTCAAATTGGCTGGGGATGGCTGCTGGGTATTCCCTACACCTTGACAGCTTTTTTTTTTTGCAGGAGTAGTGCTCAATGTTCACCATGGTTTACCACAAGGATGAGATTGGGTCACTTGACAACATAGCATTAGGAAGAGGATCAACTCCCCATGTCAGTGTAATTTTTTTTGCCTTGTAACTTGGTGGCTCCCAGCCTTCCTCTTAGCCTTTTAGCCTTTTAGTGTTTAGTGGTAGCTTCCATTTAACCCACTAAAAGTTGGTCACTTTTAGCGGGGGATCAGAAATCGGCCCAGGTAAGTACATCCTCAGTCTCTCCGAGTTTTTGGACTGTCCCGTTTTGGGTCTTGACCATGTTTTAGTGGTCAACCCAATGGTCGAGACCCAAAAAGTGAGAGGCAAAGATTGGCCTATTGGGAGTTGGTCAAGACCAAAAAAGTCCAAGACCCGTTTTAGTGGCTTTCTTTTGGGGGGGGGGGCAATCTACGGGAGTGAGACCAAGGGACCCTCCTGCGAGAACAAGACAGGAGCTCCTGCGAGAGCTGCTCAGCGACTGCGACTCGGACTCCAGGCCCCACCAGGCCGCATGTCCACCGCGCAGCTTTCTTTCCCAGAACTTGTTCAAACGTCAAAACCGTGAAGCCAACGAACCCGCATGAAGGCAGCAATGGATTTCATGTGTTGCAACTTGCAAGATCCTGAAGGCCCAATTGATACAGAAATTTGTGCTCGAATGTTTTTGGCACAAAAAGTGCCCGAAACGTTTCTGGGAGCCAGCGACTTGGCGCTAGTGTAGTCACCAGAATTTGGGCAGTTGTTGAAATTGCGCTCGGTTGCGGATTTGCGCCCGAGTTGCGCGAAATTGCGCCCGAAGTTGTGCCGAATTGCGCTCGAAACGCGGTGCGCATTTCGGGCCAAGCCGTCTTCAAAATTGTGTGTTTCCAATCGGGCAGAAAAAAGCGCTCGAACTCCGAAAGTGCGATTGAGCACTTTTTTCTGTATCAATTGGCCCTCCAGGATCCCTTTTTGGAAGGTTGAAGCATGGACTACTTGTTAGCATCCAACTACTGCTTGTTGGGCAGTACTTGGGATTTTGGATATGGGAAAAGCAGAGGTTGGGCGGTGGTGGTGTTTTTCTTTGTTTGTTTTTCTTGGTTTCATAAGACGGTGCAAATAGTTCCACCGATCCGGGAGTAGACCGAACGAACACCCATGCAGGACCTTTGCTTTGGGATCCACTTCTTACTGCATACTTTGGAATAGGAAATCGCGGCTACACACGAAGAGTCGCGGCTAAAGGGAAGGAAGGATCCTCAAAAACATCTCCACCTGTTGGTTTCCCTTTCTGGTCCATTGTAAAGTCCCAATCTCAGCTCAAAACGGATCGACCTTTAAGCCTTTTCCCTATTAAACGTCATAGATAATTAATTATGTTCGTTCCGAAAAGTGTGGATCTAAAACATCCCCTTCAATGGGAACTTTCCGGTGAAACGCCTGAGGGAAATGTGGCTGAACTTTGGATCTAAACTCACCATGCCCAGAAGTGCCCTGCATCCCCTACCAGGGTTCCACTTTTTGACTACGTGTAGACTTAAACCCAGTGGTTCATTCCTCCTTGGGTCGTCAGAAAGTGGCTCACCCTGATTCCCACCGTAGCTCATGGAAGCCCACGGTCGATTTCGCAGGCGGCCATTGAGCTGGTGGAGCGTCTCCTGCTGTACCGCAACAAGGAGCTTCGGGTGCTCTGAACCCGGGAAGGGAGGCTCGTGAGAATGATCATGTTGTCCAAGTCCCACCTTTTCACCTTGTGACAATTTGGGTTCCCCATGTTTTGGCCCATGTTTAGTCAAGCTCTCAAAAGGTGAACCTGGAATTTCTAGATCCTTTGGGCAAGGGAGATCAGCAATGTGTCTTCATGGCTGGTCTTTGGTGCAACCGAATCACCCCTTAGCTCTGTTGGAACCATTTTCCTTTTCCATTAGAAGGCGATCAACCTTTTCTTAGATAGGAAGATAAACCCTAGCGCCCCAGGTCTAGCCTCGAACCCCTTTGCACGGTTGTTGGTGGGAAGCATTTTTCCCATTTTTGCTTATTGTGGTTTAGTGGTTGAAATCCAAATCCACTTAGCAGCTAACATTTGAGAATAGTTGCTCCCCAAACCCAACGTCAACCAAGCCTAGGTCTAGATCCCCTTTCAAGGGCCCCAACGAATCGATTCTGGAACGGCCATGAACCAACGGGTGGTAGAGCGGCAATTTGGTTCAACGGCTTCACGTAGTCAAAATCTACTTTCTTTCTTCTTTTTTCCACGGGTAGACTGTAACTTAGTCAGAATGGTTATAACTTCTGGGGTTCGAAATACAGGTAGTCTATACACGGGTTTAAGTCTATACCGCGCAGTCAAAACGCTTCTGCAATGAACCCTGGACGACGCCCCGAGGTTTTTGGAGTTGAGTCGCTTCGCCGCCCATTGTTTGTGGCTTTCGGAGGGCCTTCTTGAGAATCTACAAATAATGACCACACCAAGAAGGTAGTAGAAAGCTTATAGGGATTTCGTCCCCCTGCCAAAACCAACCTCTATTTCTGCTGATTAAGTTGGACAGCCGGGGGCTCGAGAGAAATCCATGGAAAGAGGGCCCTTTCTCGGAACATGATCTAGGATTTGTAAACTTCCACGTTTGAAGGGAGGGCTTTTTGTACAGAACCCCACCTAAGAGGTTCTACTTGGAAGAGAAAGTGCCCAGGAAATAACGTGGGTCTTAGGTAACACCTCAGGAACCATTTAGGACATGCGAACTAGACCGAATGCCCAAATATACTTGTATACTTGTATGTGTGTTTGTCTCAAAATAGGGGACCCCTCAAAATGGTTGATTTCCACGTGGTTCGCCCTTCTTTCAGTCGTCATTTTTGTCAGTCAACACGCAAGCGGTCCCCCCGGGACGCCCGCCAAAGGGCCGGTCAAAGAGTTGTGGGGATCGGTTCCCGTATTTTACCAGCAGTAGGAATCAACTGGCCAGGCTCGGGGCGGGAGGGTATGATAGACGTTGACTGAGGGAGTCCCACCCAATCCTCCTGTCAACTTGCCCAACTGGAGAGATCGGGATGCTCACGCAAGAGCCGGGGAAACAACAAAAAAGGGCCTTAGGAACGCACATGGCTTGTGTGTGCTTGCTGTTACGTCTCATGTTTGTTTGATGTGTTGGTTCTACCAAAAACCGAGTGGAGCTGTGCTTCTTATCTCGCTCTGATCTGCCTACCGCTGAGGAGGTCCTCCTTCCGCTCTTCCAATTCTGCCGTCAGCACCTGGAAACGGAGGCAGGGATGAGTTTGGGCGGTTTGGGCTCGGGCCTTCGCGGGCGCCCGCGACTTGTTTAGTTCTCACCTAGGTCCCCCAGCTAGGTGCCCTTCTCTCCCCTTTTTTGGGGGGACCCCCCCTACTAAAATAGACTACAGAAAAAATGGTACCCTTTTTCGAACCTCTCTACTGGAGGACCTAGTCACTGTGCCACAAAACGGCCCCTCTACATAAGACGAGTAGGAGTCAGTTATTGGAAGGGCTGTTTGTCAGAAGCACCACAGATGGTGTCTGTTTAGGGGCCCAAAAAAGGTGATTTTCCTTTTGGTCTTCCTTTAAACCAACCCCGCAGAGGGTACCACCAAAGAAAGACACAAAGAGGATGGCTATTTTTGTGTACCCCAGATATAGGCCAAGCTTTGGGACAACAAAAGAACTGCGGCCTCACAAAGTTCTTGGGCAAACGAAAGGGGTTTGATGGCTGGCCTCCTGCAGCAAGTGGTTCAATGTGCGAGGCATTCAATTCATCAAGTTACCCAGAAATGTTTGGTGTCAGGTGTTTTCTGGAATGAAGAGGGTCTCCTGGAGTCTCCATCCTTCCTTAACCTATGTTGAAGATTTGGATGGGGTCATGGAAACAGGCATCATGTTTTGTTACGCATCACCGATGACGGCACCAAGCCTTGGAGCATCCCTTTGAGAATTCCTTGTCGCAAGTTAATTTGAACCCTCCGAGCTGGGATATGGGTTTGTGTCAAGATTGGGGTCTGTGTCGACCCAACACTGCATGCTTGTTGTTGGGACACATTTTTCCCATTCTTGCTTATTGTGGTTTAGTGGTTGAAATCCAAATCCACTTAGCAGCTAACATTTGAGAATGGTTGCTCCCCAAACCCAACATCAACCAAGACTGGTGGTTCTCCCGCCTCAAAAAAACCATTTCCATGTTTCTCTCGAAGCCATGATGCCTGCGACCTCACCTAAGGAGACAGTTTCCGGGAAGGAAGCCTTCCGTGAGTCAAGGTTCCAATAGGCCCTTCTATCTCTGGTTCCCTTGGGCAAGTGAGTATGACCTCAGTTGTTCAGTGGCTCCAATTATTTTTCCCCCTTTGTTTGGTGGCTGCCCCACAACAATGGTCTTCCCAAAAAAATGTTCCCGTTTTTCCCAGGGTCACTGACCAACTGAGTGACTTTCGACAACCGTATTAAAAATTCTGAGAAACATTTCGCCATCAGATGCCTTGATTTTCACTTCCAGACCCCTCTGACTCCACCAACGCGTTTTCGTCGCCGAGGGTTTCGCCGCTCAGGAGGTGCAGGGGGCATTTTCTCTGGTATGCATGGCGAGTGGTGGGTGGCAGGGTCTCTCTCGAGTGGTGGCCACGCTCACTGACGGCGACCAACTGAGGAAGTTGTCACGACCGAAGGCCAGGGGACAAACATTGGACGCCGCAGCATTGGCATTGCAGGTTAACGATTGTGACGGCAGGTGATTTCTCGTCCGTCGCGTCAAGATTTGATTTGATTTGGTTTGGTTGATTGATAGACAGATTTCATTGATTGATTGATTGATTGATTGATTGATTGATTGATTGATTCATTGATTGATTGATTGATTGATTGATTGATTGATTGATTGATTGATTGATTGATTGAGTGAGTGAGTGAGTGAGTGAGTGAGTGAGTGATTGATTGATTGATTGATTTGATGTGATTGATTTGATGTGATGTGATGTGATTTGATTTGATTTGATTTGAGTTGGTTGATTGATTGATTGATTGATTGATTGAGCGAATTGACTTGATTTATTTGATTGAGTGATTTCACGTGTTTGTTTTTATTGTTTGATTGATTGATTGATTGATTGATTGATTGATTGTTTGATTGCTTGATTGATTGATTTATTTGACTTGATTGATTTGATTGAGCGATGTGATTGATTTATTGATTGATTTGATTTGATTTGATTTGATTTGATCTGATCTGATCTGATCTGATTGATTGGTTGGTTGATTGGTTCATTGATTTATTGATTGTTTTTGTTTTTTTTTTTTTTATTGATTGATTGATTGAGTGATTGATTGATTGATTCATTTGGCTTGATTGATTGAGTAATTGATTGATTGTTTGATTTTTTTAAATATGTATTTATTTATTTAGTTGATTTGATTGAGTGATTTGCTTGATGGATTGATTTGATCGATTGATCGATTGATCGATCGATCGATCGATTGATTGATTGATTGATTGATTGATTGATTGATTGATTGATTGATTGATTGATTCGTTTGTTTTGTTCTGTTTTGTTTTGTTTTGTTTTGTTTTGTTTTGTTTTGATTGATTGGTTGGTTGATTGGTTGATTGAGTGATTGATTGATTTATTTAGTTATTTATTTATTTACTTATTTGACTTGATTGATTGAGTAATTGTTTGATTGTGTTTTTTAGTTGATTTGTTTGAGTGATTTGCTTGATGGATTGATGTTTCAATGAGTCAATTGATTGATTGATTTGATTGGTTTTGTTTTGATTTGATTTGATTTGATTGATTGCTTGATTGATTGATTTGATTTGCTTGAATTGATTTGAGTTGAGTGGAACTGAGTTCAGTCGAGTTGAGTTGATTGAGTTGAGTTGAGTTGAGTTGAGCCCAGTCGAGTTGACTGGAATTGAGTTGAGTTGAGTTGGGTGAAATTGAATGGAGTTGTGACTCAGAAACTAAGACCAACATGGCGCGGGTCAGGCTGAACATGTAGAAACTACGACCAAAGTGAGAGGGCCAGCCGCACCCCTTTTTTTAGGCTGGGACTTCCTTGTTCCCCTGGATCCTTGAGCCTTGGGGCGTTGCACAAACCGTCTATGACTCCTTCCTCTGGATTGATCTAAATGAGTGTGTCTTTTTTGGGGTACTTGTTTGGCTTGTTTTTAAAAGGAACCTTCGATACAAAACATCCATGTGGGGGTCCTCGATTTCGAGACAAGCCCTGCTTGGAGTTGTGTCAGGCCACCGATGCGGCAGCCTGCTCGAATCAGGCCTCGCCGTGGGACAAGTTGACGCATCGGGGCGGAACATGCTGCGACTGAACTGGGCCCGTTCAAGTTTTTGACCCGTATTTGTTGTTGCAACTTGAGGTAAGCTTCAGCTTGCCTCTAATTGTTGGTTTGGGTTGGTGGCTTGCCCATTTACCCTCTATAAGAACCAGGGTTTAAGTCTCCAAGCCACCAATCCAAACCATCAACTAGGGGCGACCTGTAAGCTGGAGGTCAAAGAAATAATATGTTTTTGTTGAACATCGTGGTCCCTTGGCACATTGCGTTGTTGATGTCTGAGGAGTTGGCGTGTCTTTTTGCAGACTCTGTTTCTCATACTCTGGAAACTTCCGCCCTGACCACAGTTTAAATTGATATGATTTTGCGGGTGTCCCACAAATCCCTAGGTACGTTGCACCTATGTATTATATATATATATATTTATATATGTATATTTATATATCACACTCAACTCTGCCCAGCGTTCTTGCAAAGAACGCCATGTGTTCTGTAAGATTGGTCGGCACTTCTCAAAACCACATCTAGCAATTCGGCGCTTGTTTCTTCACGGTTCTGCTTAACAGTGTTGATTTGTCTGAGGGGTGTGCATGTTTGTGCGTGCGTGTTTTTGTTTTTCTTGGCACTTCCGTGTTCTTATGTGAGCCCACATTTCCAGCCCGGCAAATGCAGAGGATCCCAGGCGTGTGGGCTAGAGGCTTCGGGAAGTCAATCAGAGGCTATTTGGCTCCATGAGTTTTAATGAGGCATGCCGTCCCAAAAGGGTGGACAGAACTTCCCTAGACGATGGGCGCACCAGTTTGGGTCTTACAAAACACTAGTTGCTCAGTGGTTTCCAGGCTCCAAATCTTCCATTTACTTAAGAATATAGAGGAGTCACAATCAAACCCGGGTGAGTTCAGGTTAGTAAGGGGCAGTCCCAACCAGGAAAAGGTGCGGAAGCTTTCTTAATTCTTTACATGTTTCTAGGTATATCATTTTGATACCAGGTTTTGATTGTGACTCAGATGTCATTTTCCCCTGTTGGCTTTGAAAGGATTCCAGTGTTCTATGTTTATTTGTAGGCAGGAGATTTAAGTCAAATGGAGGAAGTATATGGATGTACTTGAAGAGTTGAAACTTCCAGAGTTCGCCATAGGAGGTTCTACCTGGTTTTCAGAAGTGGAATGTAGCAGGGTCTGAATCCTTGAAAAGGCTGCTTGACCAACATGGGTTTGGGCCGAATGGCTTGGCTCAGTTTGAAGGGGTCAGCGGTAACCCTTGGGATTGGTCAGTTGTCGCCACTCGACCTACCGATTCCAGGTAGCAAGCTGCCGTGATTTGTGGGGTTTCGAATGGTGTTTCACTCCATTCAAGCCCTGCCAGCACTCAAAAACATATGACAACTCCTGAGATCTTACCCGGAAGCAAGCGCAGGCCCCCCAAAATATCATTTCCTTACACAAAAGGTGAATGGTCTGCAATCTTCAAAGCGGACTGTGCAACCAGCAGCCCTTTTCGGCCCTTTTTCTGGAACACGCCAAAGGCTGCGGACACCCTTCAAGAGGGGAGCTTGGGTCCCTTTCAATGGAAAGCTACCGGAACAGGCTTCCGAAGAACCAAGGCTAGCTTGCAGAAATTGCTGTAGGGACCCTCCGTAAAGCTCGGATGTTGCCAAAACCGTGGTGATTTCCAGTGATTGGTTGTCTGAGCGGTTCCCAGTACGTTTCCTTGGACTGAACTTTGAGCGCTTAGCAGGATTTATGGCATATTCGGCAGGAACCTTTTTCCTGGGGATCAACCCAATTGGGCCACCCCTTTTGCAACTTGCGTACCAGTTCCTTGCCCACGAACCGCCACGGGGCCTGCGGGGGATCAGAAGGTTTGAAGGTGAAGCCCCCAGCGCCAGGATGGGGCTCTGGTGCTGCTGGGGGTGATGTCGGAGTACCTGGTAGAGCTTGATCCGATGCAAGAGGATCAGGTGCGGTTGGCCTTTTGTTTTTTGTTGGCCAGACGAGAAGGTAGCATTTGAGCCATCACCCGGGTAGATGGAGGTTAGTAAGGGACAATCCCCTTGCCATAAATAGTTGCGGATATCCGCCTTTCTAATTCTTGAAGCATGGTTCCGGGTTCACCATTTTTGTACCAGGTTTTGATTGCGACTCATCTTGACACAAAGCCCTTTCAGGTTTTGGAATTGACGACAACATTGCGGCATGGGGTACCCTGCGATCGGGGGCTTGGTTCCCCTTGAACAGGGGATTTGGGAGGGGAAGACTAGAAAATAGAATTGAGTTCGCTCTGAAGGAGTGGATTCCAGGAGGATCAGGCCTGTGCTGTGGATTCCACCCGGTATTCTCCTGTTTGTATGTGAGCTCCCCAGTAAAAATGAGGTCATCCCACAAACGGGTCCCCCAGTCCTGTGATGTAGGAGGGTTGATTTCCCATGTTCATGTCACGTCCGTTGTGTGATTGGCGCGTAATATGTTCTGGGTATTCTGTTTCTAGGCATATTAACTCCAGAGCGGGCGGTTCCATTTCAAGTTCAACCAGCATTCCTTTCAGATCCCCACCATTTCTTTTTCCTGGGATTTGACATGATTCAACCTGGAAAGACAAGATGTGCTGGTTTTCCCGAAGATGCCGTAAGCTTCAAAGTCAATCCAAGTCCATGAGGGGATCCTCAATCTTAGGCATCTTAGGCACCCCCTCCCCCTCCGAAATGGGACTCGAAGCGGAAGCGGTAGCTGGACTCATGGGCTGCGCTCTGATCTCACACCCGACGGTTCCGAAAGGCTTGCCAGCGGAACAGGAAAACCATAGTTACTATAGTGAATGAACTGGAAAGGGTAAAATGGTGGAGGAACTGGGTTGCTAAGGTGGAACGAGTGGAACTGGCAGCTGCAAATCTGGGAAGGGTGTCCTTTGTGGACTGAACCGGATCGGATTTGGCTCGCCTGGGACGGGAGAAGGTTGCCACCGGGCCAAACACTCCCCAAGGCTCCCCGAATGCGTCTGGCCAGGCTCGCAGGAAGCGGAGAGGCAAGAAGGTCCAAGGTGTGAGCTCCTCGTTTTCAAAGTGGCGGGTGCGCAGCGTTTTTTATATATTATGATCATTGCTATCATTATTGTTATTTTTTCCCGAAAGCATGGCGAAGGGTTCTTCCGCTGGGTTCACTTGAGTTGTTCTCATGAGAGTCATTACAAGGTGTCATTGCAAGGAATCATCATCACGACAGTCATTGCAAGGAGTCATTGCAAGGAGTCATTGCAAGGAGTCATGGGCAAGGATTGCAACTTGCACTTGACTCCTTGCACTTGCAACTTGCACTTGACTCCTTGCACTTGCAACTTGCACTTGACTCCATGCACTTGCAACTTGCACTTGACTCCATGCACTTGGCTCCTTGCACGTGGCTCCTTGCACTTGACTCCTTGCACTTGCAACTTGCACTTAACTCCGTGCACTTGCGACTTGCACTTGACTCCATGCACTTGGCTCCTTGCAACTTGCAATGGCTCTCATGAGTCCTTGCAATGACTCCTTGCAATGAATGACTCCTTGCAATGACTCCTTGCAATGACTCCTTGCAATGACTCCTTGCAATGACTCCTTGAAACAAGCAAGGAGTCAAGTGCAAGTTGCAAGTGCAAGGGGTCAAGTGCAATTGACTTGCGAGGAGTTAAAATCTCTTCTTAGGGCGGCGGGGTAGTGCCGACGACACTACACGAAAATCGACCCTCTGCGGGGATCGGTTTCCAACATGCCCGCGCGACCCTCTGCGGGGATCGGCGTGGTCGAGGTGCAAAAACCCATGGTTTTTTTGCGATTTCCAACATGCCGCGCGACCCTCTGCGGGGATCGGCGTGGTCGAGGTGCAAAAACCCATGGTTTTTTGCGATTTCTGCGGTGCTCGCGCGGGGATCGGCGTGGTCGAGGTGCAAAAACTCGAGGTTTTTTGCGATTTCTACGGTGCTCGCGCAACCCTCTGCGGGAATCGGCGTGGTGGAGGTGCAAAAACTCAAGGTTTTTGCGAGTTTTGTTGTTCGAACTGGTCCTCGGGAGTTGTCTCGTGGTTCGCGCGCCTGCTCCCGGAACCGGCGGGTCGCGGGTTCGATTCCTCCCTGGTCCGCGGGCGGGCGTCGCAAGATGCAACTTGCATTTTAAAGCAACTTGCGCAGAGCAACTTGCGCAGAGCAAGTTGCACAAAGCAACTTGCGCAGACCAACTTGCACCGACCAGTTTGCGCAGAGCGCCTTGCCTAGAGCAACCTGCGCAGAGCAACTTACGCAGAGCAACTTGCACAGAGCAACTTGCACAGAGCAGCTCGCACAGAGCAACTTGCAGGGAGCGGAATTTGCACAGAGCAACTTGCAGGGAGCCACTTGCAGGGACCAACTTGCCGGAGCAACTTGCGCGGAGCAACTTGCGCAGAGCAACTTGCACAGTGCAACTTGCGTAGAGCAACTTGCGCAGACCAACTTGCACCGACCAGTTTGCGCAGAGCACCTTGCCTGGTGCTGTCTCGCGCTTGCTTCACGAATGCTTCGTGTAGGGAAAAAGAACGCATCCTGCAGCGTTGGGCCGACCTCGCTTGCGATGTTCTGCTTTCGGGCCAACCGTGGTCTAGTATTGTTATTGGTATTGTGATTATATTATTGTTTTTATTATTATTAGTGCGATTGTTATCATTTATGTTCTTGTTGCCTGGGAACCTGTGAAAAGAGGTAACAGCTGATTTGTGATGATCGTTTTGTTGTTCTCTAAGGGATCCGTGAAAACAGGTAACCCTACAAATTGATGGTTTGGGCTTGGGGTCCCCCAACCACCAAGCCACCAATCCCAACCACCAATGCGTGGGAGACTGATGTTTTGTTCCGCTTGCCCTTGGGCCACCAAGTCGGTTGAGCTCGTGGAAACGGTTGGACCTGCAGGCCGCGAACTTGACAGCATGTTGTTCTTGCAGGGGATGGTTGAATAATGGCAACCACTGGGTTTTTCGACCTCACCAATTCCTTTGCCTTTCTTGCGTGTTCCAATCCCAGGCTTTAATGTTTACATGGGCCCGCAGATTCATGGGTAACCCTGGTCATAATTGCAATCAGACTGGTGCGCACCAAGCTCGCTGCGGCAAAACCAAACTCGAGAAATTGGAAGGAGATCCCTTCAACTGGGTCCATGACCGCGTTTGGTGCATTGGGACAGCCCAGACATGAGATGGCACTTTGATACCTCGTAAATTCGTGCCTTTGGGTGACTGGGTGTGTGCAGTTGCACTTGGGGGTGGGGATTGGATATCAAAAGGGAAGGGACATTGGGCTTTTATCAACAGAGAGGGTTCCTTTTTCTTTAAACCAAGTGACCAAATCTTCGGGGATTGGAGCTGTGGGTGGGCTGCTTTTCAACCACAGCAACTATGATTGGGGTTTATCTTTAACTTGGGGAACCCCCCTGCCGCCCTTTGGTTTTGCTTTGACGGCACACACACACACATTTTAGGAGCATGATGTGAACAACAAGGCCGACCAATGCACACCAGTTGCCGAAAGGGTGGCCTAGAAGGAAATGCAGAAGATGGGCGACCTCCTCCCCAAATTCGGAGGAACAGGTTCAATTTGTTTTTCTTTCAATATCTTATGACCCACTATCCAACTCCGATTGTGAAGGGCCCCAAAGTTCACACACATCCCAAATAGGCCCTCTCAGGCCAAGTGCCCCTTTTGTTCACCTCCAGCATGTGGGTGGGCCTCCCCCTCCCCAAACCAATAGTCCGCCAACAAGTTGCCAGCTCACATGGGCCTGTCTTGTTTTAAGGGCTCCGAGTTGTTTTGGTTTTAAAGGGAAGCCAAAAGGAACCCGACAGTCTTCGAAGCCAAGAAAGACCCACCCGGGAGGTGAGAGCTGGGCCCCGGCTGTTTAAACCCATCGGTTGTAAAAGGTTAGCTCAAGCGGCACTTTGAGTCGCGCGTGTTCATCTAGACAGGCTGCGTGTCAAAGGAATGTACCAAAGTGGCCACCTTAGCAAGTAGAACCAAAGACCAAGACTTGCGCGTCCCCCCAGTTCTTCCTTGATTTTGCTATCCTTTGTTTATTACTCTTTCCTGAACCAGTCGGGGGAGAAAAGCGCACCTTTTTCCGGGACTGGACTTGGGAGATTCTCTCCAAACCTTGAAAACAAGGCAACAAAATCGCACCTTTGGCCGGCAATCCAAAGCTGGATCCATTTGGGATTGTGTTGTGTACGGTTTTTGAGGAATTAGGGGCCCAAGATTCAACATTGAGTCCCTTTCACCAAAGACCTTAATTGAGGTCTTCTGCCGAGAGATTTTGATTGCCCTTGCATTACATGGCGAGTCGGTCTTTGGTGTGAACCCCCCCCCCCTGGTTGCCGTACGCAAACCAAAAGGCATTTTTTACAAAGATTGCCCTCCCACCAATTAACATGGAGCCTGACGTTGGGTGTTTTCCTGAAAGGGAACATAAAACAAACGTCAAGTTCCATGTTAATTTGTTAGATTTCCCTAGCCATCCGGTTCTTCTTTGTTTTTTGATTTTTGGTTGGTTTGGTGGTTGGATTTCAATTTCACCCAGCATTTTTAGTGTTCAGGGTTGGATTCCCATCTCACCCAGTATTTTCAGTGTTTAGTGGTTGGAATTCCATTTCACCCACTATGTTCAGTGTTTAGTGGTTGTTTTTTTTTTACCCATTTTCAAGTCCCTCACTTTTCGGGGATCAGAAAACGGACCGCCCATCCAGAACTCAGCCTAGGCGTGGAAGAGATCATGACGCGCTACGTGCGGCCTGCCATGACCTCGCCGGTGGGCTTCCTGCGCCTCCCGGGCCTGTCATTTTTTGGGGCGAAATCCGGCGGTTCAAACGGGGGGGGGGGTATGTTTTTTTTCTTTTGTTTTCCCATGTGTTTCTTCTTTTTTTCCTTTTTTTTTTTGTTAAGCCAACATGTTTGAAACACATGCCCAAATACTGATGTTTTAGCCTTGGAACGCATGTGGGCCAAAAGCTTTACCAGGGTCTCCTCAACTACGTTATGTTTTCGGGTGGACAACTATGGCTATGAATCATAAGCAGAACAAACCTTGTTAATTGGAGGGGTTCCTGGTTCTTTCTTCGTTTTGCTGTTTCTTTACTCACTTCCCGAGTTCCATTTCGGATTCTAGTTACTTTTGGGGCCTTGACCGTTGTTGACTTGACCGAACATCCAAGTAGAGTCTCCTCCCAAACTACGTTATGATTTGGGATAGACAAATATGATAAAGAATCGGATCGCATTTTATTTTGGAGTAGCCTATATGTTTTCCAAGGTTAACGCAGCAGTATTTTAGCATGTTTTCCGGGGGTTATAGTTCCCGTTGAAGGGTTGCTGATTGAAAGGGTGTCTGTTTGGAAAGCCTGGCAAACCGGTTGCGTTACTACAGTGGATGCCGCCAACCATGCTCAACCGCCACACCTTGGGAAGTTAGTGTACATTAGAGAGTGCCCTTGTTCCCTTCCTTGCAAGATGCAGGGCATCCACCACATAATTATGTTTGAAGGCTGGCTGATTTAACAATTCCCTTCAACCAGCCATTTGTTTACAAGGAAGTTTGAGAGTGCAAGCACGTGTTCCTACATCTCACTGCCACGCCAGTTGCAGCATCGCTTGTTGAACCACAACGAGCGAGTGCACATTAAACTCCTTGGGGAGGCTGTTCTCCCTTAATATCAACGACACAAAAAAAAAGGGCACCCATTTGTTCTCATACCCACACTGGCCACAGTTCGTTCATACCCTTTGGCTCGCGTGAACAAAACCTCAACCAGCTCAGAAAACCCACCTGTCTTTCATCAACCCTAAACCTACCCCTTCTACCCTAAACCCACGCTAAACAGACCCAACAAATCAACCCCACGAACCTAAACGAAATTTGCACCAAATTTGGCCGCCTCCGTTTGCTTGTAAGGGTTATTAAGCCAACCCCAGTTAGGAGTGAGGAGGCTTACCCCATTAGTAGGCAAACAAGGCGGCCCAGCGCCCAAACCAAAGCGCACTCCCAAGCCGTTGCAGCTTTTTGGTGTGACCAAATCGTCCCATCAGGAGCTTTTGGGAACAACCTGCACAAGATGATCGACCTTTTCCTTAGTTGCTTGCAGCAACCCAGTAAAGCGAGTGTCTTTTTTGCGGAACCTTCTGGGCTTGCAAGCCAGAATTCAATCAATCGAACAGAAAAAGGAGCAACAAGCGAAGGCCCTTCTGGGCTTGAAAACCAAAAGGCAACCAAACAGAAAACAGCAAACATTAAGCAAAAATGAACTTGGAGCAACCTCCCCCCTTTCCGCTTGGAGCACCCGGTTTCACCCCCCGCAAGCCACGAGCCACCAGCTCGCCCGCCACGCGCCGCAAGCGCCTGGGGCCAGGCCTGCGGGGCGCCTGGTGCGCCGCGCAGTTCGCGCGGCAGGCGGTGCGACTGGGGCGCCCGGGCGCCGCCGGGGCGGCGGCCTGCGATTGCCTGCGCCTGCTGGGGGATCAGGCGGTGTCGGGGTTCAGCGGCGGTTTCGGGATGGGGGCGGGGGAGGTGGGGATGAGGGAGGGGGGAAGAGGGGGGAAGAGGGGGGAAGAGGGGGGAAGAGGGGGAAGAGAGGGGAAGAGGGGGGAAGAGGGGGAAAGAGGACGGGGGGTGGGGGGCTGGGGGGAAGGGGGTGGGGGGGGAGGGGGTTGGAGAAATGGGGTTGGTGTGGTCTTTTTTGAGGAGAATGCCAGTGGTTTGGTTGGTTTTATGGGGAACCAGGCAAACCGAAGCTCACTTTGTTTTGCTTTTTGTTTTGGCGGGGAGGGGAAGAGGGTCCGCAAGATTAAAAACAATACACACCGACATTCAGATAGCAAAGTGTTCATCGCCAAAGGCGGTGAGGTGCTGCGCATGCCAGGTTCAGCCTGAAGTGGCCGAATTCTACGTGGCCGGTCCTGTTTCTTGTATTGCATGCTGTTTTTTAGTTGTGTACCTTGATTGCTAGCGTAGCTTTGAAAGGGCAATGCAACTTGGGTGGGGTGGACACTTGGTCTATTTTGCAACCACCCTTCAGCTATTTGTTCGGGTTCTCAGCAAGATCGGCTCGTGTCCCTAGGGTTAGAACAAGCTGTTTTCCTCTAGAAATTGCTGTAACCCCAACTAACCCTTTGAAGGTCGTTGTAGCACCCTTTGAAGGCCGTTTTTGTCCCCGAAACCCCGTCCACTCGCACCTCACCGAAGGAGCTGCTGGTGCGCGTCCTGGGCGCCGGGTGTCTGGAAGCCTTCTTGCAGCGCGAGGAGGAAGAGGCCAGCGATGAGTGAACGACCCCTATAAACCATGCAACTGGTCTAGGGGTCGATTCACCGTTCTTTTTAAAAACCAATCGCTGTTTCCCCTGGTTCTCACGGAGAAGGATCCCTAGAAAGAATGGGGAAGTGTCCCCTAGAGTGTTTGGCTTACTAGGAGAGGTGGGGAATGTGGTTGAATGAACCCTAGGTCCCCCAGCTAGGTGCCCGTTCTTTAGCCCTGTTTTTGGTTGGGAGGGTTCCCCTACTAAAATAGACTACAGGAAAAAGGGTGCCCTTATTCTAACCTCTCTACTGGAGTTTTTGTTGGATCCCCGAAGAAAGGAAACCATAGGGGATGGTTTATAAGGGTCCGGTTTTGGGTTGGATTCCCGAAGAAAGGAAACCATAGGGAATGGTTTATAAGGGTCATCCCCTCCTGAGCACCAGCAAGTAAGCTCCAGCACATGCTTAAACTGCGGTGGGGCAAACCACCAATTTTGGGGGTCCCACATGCCTATTGATGCGATTTCCCCGATCGAACCACAATGCCAAGGAATGCCTCTTTGGCTCACGCTGCGGAAAATGGGAGCCACCAACTGGTGTTTCGAGAGACTCTACTAGATTTGGGTTTGTCTAATGATCTGAAAATGTGTGGTTCGCTTGTCCAAAAAAAGTGCTTCAAAACTTGCCCCACTTCCGAAAAAGGAGCTGAGAGAGTTTGGGGCGCTTCCCACTTCTGGTGGCAAGAAAACACGGTGGTTCTTCTCTTCTTTCTAAAAGCCCAACCCACTTCCGCCAAAAAAAGAAAAAGTGGCCCGAGGGGTGCCCACTTCCGGGGCAAAAAAAAAACCGCTGGCCATCGCCTTCGCCGCTCCGCCGCTTCGAGGTGCGGACGGCCTTTGTGCTGCACTTGGCGCCCACCTTGGAGCAGCTCATCCGGCTCCTACAGCAGATCCAGCTGGAGGTGCGGATGGATTGGATCGAATCGCTTTGATCGCTTTGAAAGGTTCGAAGATGTTGGTCCCTCGCCCATTCGCCGCAAAAGAGATGAGAGAAGGGGAACTCGTAACTGGGTTTGAGATCTCAGGGTTCCCTTCTTGAGTGTTTGTTTTTTCCTATTTTTTGGTGCGTTGAATTATAAGTCTGTTGTTCAGTGGCCCCAATTATTTTCCCCTTTTTTTTGGTGGCTGCCCCACTAAAAGTGGTCCAAGCCCCAAAAAGGGTCCCTTTTTTTCCCAGGGTCACTGAACAACTAAGTAAAAGTCAGCCAGAACTTAGGCCGGTCTATCCTGATTCGCAGACTCTCCAAGGTCCAAACGGGGCTCTCCGAAGGAAATTAGTTTGTTCGAAGACGGCTTAATGCTCGTATTTGGAACTCTGACGTCCAAGCACAACCAGTGTTTTGCATCAGCATGATCGGGCGCCAATAAGAAACAAAAGTTTATTCGAACTCGCAAGGGTTTGATTTTTGAAGCCCGGAAGAAAGCAATGACGCCAACCAGCTGATAACCGTATTCCACGGTTAGTTTAGCCATGTCTGATTTCTGTTGCCTCTTCAGTCATTAGACTACGAGAACTTGCCCAGCTTCAACTTGCTGTGGTCAGTCAAATTAGGTAAGGATTTGTTTGGCTGCGTTTGAAGTAATTCCCAACACAAAGGGGACCCTTCTTGTCAGCCTTTAAATTTCCTTCCCAACTCCCCTGTTCTTCAGTGGCACTCTCACTCCAACTTGTTTTCCTTTGTGTGCGAAACCCACTTAAGGTGGTCCTGGCAATCAAGAAATGGGCAGGTCTGCCTCTTGAGGGGCTCAACATTCAACATTCATGGCCAAGTCTACTGGGCCCGAGACTTGGAGAAGAGCCTCACGGTGTCCAACGGGCCCCCAGAAAGGTGAGTTAGGGAAGGCTTCCAAGATGGGTGGCGAGCTCGCGTCTTTTTAAGGACTCCCTCCCCAACCAGAAAGAACACCTGTTTGATTGGTTGGTCCGTTGGTGAAGGAAGCTCAAACTAATTGAACTGCAACAGGTGATCTTTGCGCTTTGTTTGTTTAAGGGAAAACGAGGGATTGTTGGTTTGGCTCATTTTGAGACACACTGATGGTGTTTCTCAATGAGGGTACTTGTGCCCCTAATTTGCCTTTGAACGCCAACCCAAAAGAGGGCCACCATCTCTTGGCGGTTCTCAGCCGTCCGGTTCCCTAGGAGGTTTTTAGTTGGTTTAGTGGTTGGCGGTCCATTCAACTCGCAAGTTGAAAACTTTTTGGCAGGGGATCAGAAAACGGACATCCCAGTCTGTCGAAACAAGGAATGGTTGAAAAAGCAGTTGCAAGTTGGGGCAGGTGCTGGTTTGGTCTCGAGATTTTGATTTTCGGAAGCCATCCCAAGGGTCCCCACTTGAAACACGCCAGGAGGTGGCGCAAGCGCTGCAGGGCCTTGTCGAGGCCTTTCCTCAAGAGGCGCACCTGGGCGGTTGGATGTTGTGAAAAGCTTCCTGGGTGTTGTTTGAGGGTAAGGGGACCCTCAAAATATCCTCAAGAAACCGACAAAGGCAGCGAGGTACAAAAAACGACAAAGGCAGCGAGGTACAACAAAAAAACAACCACATATCCTCAAAAATGGGTTATTGTTGCAAAACAATCATGGGTTGAATTCCCTTTTTATGGCAGTTTGTCCAGGTACCGTTCTTGCGGTAGGCTTAAGGGGAAACTGGAAGGAAAACCACAAGTTAAAGCCGGGATTCCCCTATTTCGACACATACCCAACAAGAAAGTTGATCGGCTCATTCATATTTGCCCCGGGGGAGACCAAAAGGGGACGGATGAGTTTAATTTTCCGGATCCATGTGTTGGCATCCAAAAACAAGCCACAACATGGGTAAATCACAGCGTTTCCCCGTGCGATGCGGCTCCTCAAGGAATACCCCTTCGAGTTAGCAGCGCCTGGGGAGAGATGCACAAAAGTCTGGCGTACAGGCAGCCACTTTGGGGTGCTCACTGCGTCTTGTTTTCAAATACCGCCATGTGCCAATTGCCGATCGCCAATCTAGGGTACAAAGCGACTCGATCCTGAAAATTTCTGAGGGTCTGAGTACTGCTCCCCTCCGGCGTTTGGCACCTTGTCAACCGGATTGGTCTGGATCGGGATTTCATGGTTCTTGTTGGGAAACATTTTTCATTTTTGCTTACTGTGGTTTGGTGGGACATCCTCTCACTTAACTGCTAAAATTTACATGTTTGCTCCCTTCCAACGTCAACCCCGCGGCGCTCAAGGGCCCCTTGTCCGGATTGGTCATTGGTATTTCTCAAAATGGAGCTGTGGAAGCGGAGACAAGACACCTGGCCCTGGCTACATTTTTCGCTCGGTTTTTGGGATAAGCTTCAAGGGCTCGGTGGCCCGTTTCCCGATTCCTGGCATTTCTGAGACTAACCCAAGCCCCTTGGCAACCGTGCACCCCAGGTATTGGAGGGTTTGAGCGGGGTATTTTTGCCTGCGAGTTTTGGCTTACCACAAGTCTAAAAATTACAGCAATTATATGTTCCGAGGCTTACAACACAACAGGGGGCCTAAGGAATCACAATGACCCAGAATCACATTGAACAATGACAACCGCCAACAGCAACAAACAACCCTCAACGAAGCCATAATAACCATTCACCACCAACCAGCTACTAAACCAACAACCAGCAAGCAGCAACGGCCCACCGACACTGACACCAGCACCAGCACCGACAACCACAACGACAACGACAACCACCACCACCAGCACCAGCACCAGCACCACCACCACCAGCACCACCACCACCAGCACCACCACCACCACCACCACCACCACCACCACCACCACCACCACCACCACCACCACCACCACCACCACCACCACCACCACCACCACCACCACCACCAAAATCAGCAAACACTACCGACAGCAACAGCAAGAGCAACAGCAAGAGCAACAGCAAGTGCAACAGCAAGTGCAACAGAAATGGCAACAGCAGGAGCAAGAGCAAGAGCAAGAGCAACAGAAGCAAGACCAAATCGAGTACCTGCCAACAGCAGCAGCAGGATCAGGAACAAACCAAGATAGGCATGGACACACTGGTGAGTGGGTGCACTTGCGCGTGGGTTCTTGCCCTATGCGGGCAGGATGGTGAGCGGTGCACTTCCAACAGCAACAGCAAACTAAACAGGCAAGAACAACAGAAGGAAGACCAACAGTAGCAGGAGTAGGAACAATCCAAGATAGGCAATATACATGTCACAAGCAGCACCTCTGCAGTGTCGTTAGGACGAGATCCTGGGTGTTTGTCTTGGCGTTCAGGTGGTCCCCTTTGCTGCGCAGCTCGTCGCTAGCCTGGCGCAGCAATTCTGCCCTTCGCTGCAACCAACTTCGCGGTCGCGGGCCAGTCTTCGACGTTTCCGTAAGCCTTTCGTGTGTTGGGGTCCTCAACAGGATTGTGGGAGAGGGGCACTTTCTGGGTTCCGACATTCAGGGGCTTTTCCAGCTGAGAGGACTCAGGAAGACATCAGGTTTTGGCGGCGGCTAATTGAAGGTGCTCTTCGTTTTGGTGGGGTGGTATCAAAAGTAAGGCGCGCTAAGGTTGGCAGGGCTCGATTGCGGGCTTTTTCGGGACCTATTTCATTTTGCTTGGCTCGCCTTATACAAAACCGGGTACTGAGCTGTGAAATCTACTTCCTGCAAGGTAATCACGCGGGATGGGTTCTGTGCGTGTGCTTTTGGTAAAGGCCGTTCAATTACAGTTGAGCGGGGCAGTGGGCTGCGTGTTTCCACGTTCTTGCTCTTGTACGGTCCTTTGATATGTTTTGTGAGTTTCTGGTGAGCTGCTATCCGTGTTTGGCACTTGTTGTCTGTTCAATGTTTGCTTGTTTTCTTGTTTGCCTGTCTGCTTGTTTGATTGTTTGTTTGTTTGTTTGTTTGTCTGTCCATTCTTTGCTTGTGTGCGTTGCATTGTGTGTGGTTGCCTTGGTTTGGTTGTTCATTTTGAGGTCGTTGTGTTGTTGCTGTCAGTTGTCCAATTGTTCAGTTTGTATTCAGGAATAATGTGTCCAGTCCCTCGTTCCAGTTTGTTTAGCGGTGTGTTGTTTGAACAGAACCTGTTGTTTGTTTGATTCCTGTATGGCATGAAGATGGCAAGGCGACACACACCTGTGCTAATTGCACGGGTTTTCTGTTGCTTGATGGACATGACTGCAACAAGTGAGAGCACTCAGGCATACATGTTTGTTCCCTGTTCAAGCTTGATCTGAAAGCAATGCGCAGTTGCTTAGAATGCAGCATAGTTACATGATCAATGTGTTTTAAGCATGTATGAAAGAGATGTCTAGTTTGATGTTTGGCGTAGTTCGCATGTGTGTAGCACGTGCCTAGCATATACCTGGCATGGTTCCGCAGCTGGTCGCGGCATATGTCTTTGTCGTGTAGTTGATGTTTGGCACCAAGTTAGCACAATTCTGGTTGGAGCGTAGCACAAGTCGAACCAACTGTCTGACCCCGGCATGGCTCCAGTGGTAGCACCTGCCACGCGTCCAGCACATGTGTAGCATTCCTTTGCCGGTGACTATTATGTTCCTGGCATGGTTCCAGTACATATCTGATATTGTATGGCAAGCTCATGATGAAGCCAGTTCTACCATAGGTATTGCATATTTGTAAATTGTTTTTCCAGTCTCTTTCTACGGCCAGCCCCTGTGCTTCGGCGCCGCTCCCATCAACGATGCACTTTTTGTCTGCTGCGCCCAGCGTGCCCGTCCCTAAAACTAAACCCTGAATCTAGACCGCAAATCTCAAGCCCAAACTGACTGCATGCTTCACTGTATAGGCCACCCTGTGAGAGCACCGGGGTCTGGAGTCTGGGGGCCCTGGCATGTGCAGCATACGCATCTGGTAGAATTCCAGGTGTTTACTTATTCCTATTTTACGCACAGCATATTTCTAGAGATGCTCAGCTCATGCCTAGTCTATCGCAGCACGCTTCTAGCATCAGCTTAGGCTCGCATGGAAGTTCCCACCCAATGCAAGGCTTGATGGAGAGTATCATGTATCCAGCTTGCATCTGGCAGAGCTTGAGCGTCTATATGAGGAGCCTCCGAGTATATTTCTACAGTTCTTGGAATGTGACCTCCCCCGACACATATCAGGGTGCATTAGACAGGGGTCAGTTTCCAAGCGACACAGAGGGCTTCAAGTGCCTCTGCAAAATGCAGCGTATTATCTGTGGATTGAATCTCTAGTGGCGTGAGTAGAGAAACATGGCAAGGATCCTGTCCAATGGAACCCTACCCATATCCATACCTCAGAGAGAGTGCGTTTGTCCCCGCCAAAGCGCCAGACAGGTTTTCAGAGCCCGAGCTCCTAAGCACGTTTTTGCAGAAGCTTTGGTTGGCGGTTGGGCGGGGGGGGGTGGGGGTACTTTGGTGCATGTTGCTTGGATATTAGGACTTTAACTTTGTTTTTCCAACTAATGGGTTTTCCAATTAAACCACTAAAAATTATTCACTTTTAGCAGGGGAGCAGAAAGCAGCCCAGGGGACGTGGTATGGTTTTCTCCCTTTCACCTGCCAAAACCCCAGGCCAGGCCTCGAAGGACGACGAAGAGGACGAGCCTGAGCCTGAACGTTGGCCGACACCCAGTTCCCCGTCCGCGTTCTGGATTTCCCTGCAACAGTCAGCGGCAAAAAGGATTCCCCTAGGTTCACTTCAGGATAAACCACTGGTTGATTATTTGGGGCGTGTCCATGCATGAGGTTGATCATTTGGGTGGTCCATTTGGGCGCAGAATTGCGAATTTTGTAGCTGAAACACTCGGCTGTCCCTTTATTGAGATCCGGATCAGTTTTGGGGGAACACCCCACTTGTAACGTGTCTTAAAAGAAACACAAGTGTGGCTGGGGTGTCCAAATTAGACGGATTTTGGGTTAGTTTGTGAGATTCATGAATCCGGGCTCGCCGATGAGGGAGTTGAACCCGATAACCCTTTTCCTTGTCAGGTCCTTGCAGAGATCACTGGAACCAGTTGGATGTTGGCAGTATCGCAGCTTCACAAGCTGGGCCTTCCACACAACAGTTCCCCCCTTACGGATGGCTTGGTGAAAGGATGCTCAGAAGGAACTCGCCCAGAAGAGTTCTTGATGCCACGCGCAGCCCAGCGAGGAGGCGGTGAAGGCTGCGGTGAAAACGTTCGTCAAGTTCCTATAGGATCCGATAGGGGAGCTGCATCGCAACCTTGCGCGTCTGGCTTCGGACGCGTTGCCTCACTCTCGTCCGGCTGTAGTGACCCTGTAAGAATATCAATCGTTGTGGCCAAGGCCTCGGACCCAAAAACCTGTATGGTTCGGGCGTCGTTTGCCTGCCCCTCTTGTCGTTGGCTTCTCTTTGGACCCTCAGTCTTCCCGTAAAATGGGACAGCACTCATCATCACCCCATCATGTTGCTGGCAGCATCCCACTTTTACAGACTTTGAGGGTCCCTGTTTGTTTGACACGTGTCGCGGCGTGACGAGTCAAGAGGCAGCCTGATCAAAACCCGGGTCGATGAAGGTGCGGGGATGAAAGGGGCAAGCCCAACCACTACCCTAGGGTTCCTTGCCCCCATTAAAAGAAAGGTTCACCCAATTTGGATGATGACCTTCCTTAGGGAAACAAAGGTGGTTACATGAACCCCCATCGTTTTAGTGGTGGTTTGAACCCCCAACCAATAGATGCGGCCGGACAAATCGGTTGCAACATCCGTGATTTTGTTACATGGTTAGGAGATCCATGTACCAGGTTTTGTTTTTTGACTCACCGCGTGCGTATGAGAAAGGGTTAAAATCACCTGCCTGGAATTCAACCCATAGTTTTTGGGCAACAACTCATCATTGAGGGTATATTGAGGGTCCCGGTGCCGGTGTTCTTGTCCCCACGCTGATTTCCCAAGTTTGGGACACCGGTCAGAACTGGTAGTTCCAAGATTCGACTCAACACTTGACTGCTATTGGGTTGGATCTTTAGACTTCAGCTTTTTGTGGAAATCAAGGGGTTTTCCACTAAACCCACAAAAAGTTAAACTTTTTGCAGAGGGGTCAACAGAAACCTTCGATTGTCTCCCTGCAAAAAGAACGGGGCCAACTCCAAAACGTGTTTCCCCAAAGGGAAGTTCCTCTATGTGTGTTAGGCTACCGTGGTGTTTTGGATGGACAAAATCCACTTTGCTGTTTGTGAAAGCCTGGGAGAGTCACCAATCCCAACTGGTGCAAAGCGATCGGTGCTGATGTTGTCCATGCGTACTGTGGATGAAGGAAATCCTGCACCACTTTGCAACCATGGGAAACATTTGTTGTCGGTATGAACAAGGGAATCATCATTCCAGGGTTTCTGAGGTGGTGCAGGATTTCGTCCATCCGTAGGGAACCGGGAGCAAACGAGCCACAATCAAAACCCGGGAAGATGAATATTATTTCGTCTAACCCTTAGGCTTCCATTTTCTTAAGTGTTGTTATTTTCTTTTTTAACCCTGTAAGTTTCAAAACAAATCTATCATTATTGGACATATATTTTTTCTCAGGGGCTTAAGCAAATGGAAGTAGGGATCCGGGGGAGCCAATGGCTGCGCCGTTTCGGGGCCCGAAGCGAAGGCATCGGTTTTCGGTTGTCGAGGCTGCATGCCACTTCTGGAGCCCTTGCAACCATTCTCAGCGTGCGGCGGCCCAGAAACCTCAGATGGTTTCATGGTTGAGTTGTTTTTTTTAAAGCCGAAATGGCAACCCCATAGTGGGTGGACGGAGTCCATTTCGCACCACCTAAGAAGTCCTAGAATGATGATTCCCCGGTCAATACCAACAAACAAATGGTCTCCCATGGCTTCAAAGTGGTCCGAATCGACCTGAAATGACCTTTTGACTTCCGATGTGGTCCATGTTTCGTCATGGCCCCCGAAACAGGTTCACCTTCTGTTTCTGGGATTGTTTGTTTCCCCAAGCGAAACGTCAAACCTAACGGTTAGACGTTTTGGGGTCAAGCCTCTTAGTGACAGACGGTGTTTTGCAGTCCTCTTGAGGAGTCAAGGAACTGGCGGCTCCCGCCCGTGTCCGCCACGGAAAAGGCTGTAATCTTGGCACGGACCCACACGTTGTAGTAGCGGTCCAGACCTCTCTGATGACGGGTGCAATGATGCTGAGGATTTCCGTTCGTTGGTCCCAACGGATTCCAGCTTGCACAGGACAATCACGTGGGTAGCATCCGAAGGGAACTTGTAAAACCCGGGCATTGATCCAGTTGTTGTTCCCCCTTGTGTTTGGTGGGTCCGGGATTTAGTAAATGTGGAATCAACCGAATCCGCAAACGGTTCCCTTTTCGAACTTCACAACTGGGCTGAGCAGTACTGTGTAGCTGTTGAGCCCAGCGGCTCACTCCAAATCCAAGCTTTCAAACGTTTTCAGGGAACAATAGGAAGACTGCTTGATATTTGCAATGCCCAGGTGCAAACAACAAACCTCCAGCCAGCGGAACCCTTCCGGAACCCTCCCAAGCCGCTCTGAACCAAAGAGCCTAGTTGGGCCTATCAAACACACAGCTTTCAGTGTGAGCAAAAAGAACGTTGACAGGTTGATTCTGCGCTTCTCCAGGAAGGACTTGCTGGTTCGATAGGCAGGGGCCCTGAGAAATGCAATGACCCCGAGATAAACCATGCCCTATTGTTTCCTCTGAGGGAATCCCCAAAACCGGTTCATTCCCAACACCCGGACTCAGTCATTCCCTACTGAGCACCAGAAAGTTAAGGTCCAAGGCGTCTTGCATAGCAGCTCCTGCAAAAGACGTTCAGGTGCTGGCAGCGTGCTCTGGTCTCCAGCACCCTGAGGACCTGTTTGCCAGAATTCCACCCTGGCGGGGAGCTGTGGGATTGGCATGTCTATGTAAGCAAAAGATGTTTAACAATAACAAACAACAAACACGCAACAAACAACATCACAAAGCGTGTCTTGTCTGGCTTCCTGCAGAATGTTCTGGCTCAAGATGTGTCCGGGGTTGGTTTAAGGGGCAACCCAAAATAAAATCTGGCCAATTGGATCCTAAGGTTGAGTCATGCATATTTTGAGCAAATTCGCCATCCAATAAAACCAGACAAATTGGGCGAACTGAGCCTTGAATTTGTCCGGCGGATTCGACTTTTTCCCAAACGGCCGAATCAATTTGAAAGGGCTAAAATTCAGGGGCTTTTCAAAGTCTGGATGATTGATCGAATCCAAAAGTCGCGCCGCATTTGGCGCAGGGGTTGCCTGCTAAGCCCAGGTTTGTGGGGGTCAAAGATGTCATTTCCCGACACCCAGGGAGTGGGGGGGGGGCCTTTGGTAAAAGGTCGGGATCGTGGAAATTGGGGTAGGTTGCGATACTAAGTTTTGGGTCGCCACTGTTTGCTTGATGACTTGGTTGTTTTTGTTGAGTGTACCTGGACCCTCAAACTACGAATAAAGAAGCGAATTCACCCCGTAGTTGTGGGGCAATGATCCATTGTTACGCGTATTTTGAGGGTTCGAGTAGCCCGTTTCGAGTCGTTGGAAGGGAAGACCAAAGGCAAGCGAAGCGACGCCCTTTGTTTTGAAGACATTAGAGTAATGCTGCCTGCCAGGCATACAATGCCTCGATCTTAATCAAAAAAAATACGTCAGATTCGGCTCCGCCCCGAAGCAATGCATGGCGGGGCCTACCCCAACAACGCACCCCCAACTGTTTGCCCTCTGCGGGTGCGAGGCAAATGATGTAGGGGCGTGGGCCACCTTTTTCCCGGCCGGGGCAGTGATTCGGTGTGGACACGCCAGTTTGAACTTGGGGAGCTGACCCCCTACCATGTTCCAGATGGCACATCCTTTTGTTTAGCCCATAAGGCAAGGACCCAGAGGGTGCACCTATCTTCTTGTTGCAAACTTTGTCCTTGAAGCCTGGGTGCAGTGCCCAATTCTAGTGAGATTTGGTTTGTTTGTTGGGCACTGCAGTGCCCACCCAGGAGAGAGCTTTTGAGCCAAGATCTCAAGGTGTCACAACTTGCGCCGGGGGGGGCCTCTAGCTTGTCGCGTGAAGACCTTGCTGTTGGATTCGATTGACAAGTATATTCGTTCTATTCTCTGCTGGGTGCTTGTCGGAAATAGCCTGCTTGTACTAAGCATTAACGACTGCGTCATTAATTCTGCAGCGCTCCTCCCTCAGCCATTTTCGAGCGAGACGTGTTCGACTTCGCGCCGGGCGAAACGCGCGGCCAGCCATGGGTTCTGATTCTGTACACCCGGACAAAAACTCAGACAGCAGCAGCGATGGCGGGGCAGGGGGAAATGAGGGGGGGGGAGCAAAAAGTGCTACAGGTGGGGTTATTTTCCATTTGCTGAAATGAATATGTTTTATGCTCCCCTGTTGGTTTTAAAGGGCAGCTATCACTGATGGAAATATGTTTTACATTTTTTCAGGGGGCTGAAGCAAATGGAGGTTATCATAGTTGGTTTCCTCTTAAACAAGCCTGAAAAAGCTCACTCGCAAGACCAGTTTGGGCTTTTAGTTGGCCAATCTACTCAGGAAGTGAGAAAGGGCCCTTAGAAAAGAACACACCCATTTGTCGTGTGACTTGTTGATACCAAACTTAAGGGAGTCCCTTGCACAGAGAATCAACTGCTTTGGTATCACAGAGGGGGGGTTATTTTCCATGTCACTCTTTGGCACATGAATCAACATAATCAACGTTCCTTTCTTGCGGGTCTGTTTAGATGTTCGGGTGAGTGACTATGGTTCAACCAGACTTTATGTGAGACGTCCTCAAAGGAGCCCTCGCTGGTCCCATTGACGGGAAACCCATTTGTTTTGTGTGTGTCTAGCAGTAAGGTGGGTCCATTGCTCAGCCTGCTCCTATGAGCTTCGGGTGTTCAGCAGAGAAACTTCCGCCCAAGTTTCTTTATCCCTGAGCCTTTGTGGTTGAAACCTGCACCAAATGGCAGTATTATTTTTTTGAGACCCCATTGCACATGTCCAGTTGTTCAAAAATGGCTAAAGTTGCGAAATGTGTGGATCCATCAATATGACCTTTAAATCAAAAATATGGTCAAAGCAAACAAAACATTACTGTATTCAGAGATGAACTATTTAGATTTATGACCAGACGGGCTCAGACAGGAGAGGTTTTAGCGGAACAAAAAAAACTCAAAAAAAACTCAGAAAAAACTCAGCCAAAAAACTCAACTGAAAACACAGACTCAAAAAAAACACAAAAAATACACAGCAGGAGACTAAAAAAAAACACAAGAAAAACACAGCAGGAGACTCAAAAAAAACACAAGAAAAACACAGCAGGAGACTCAAAAAAAACACAAGAAAAACACAGCAGGAGACTCAAAAAAAACACAAGAAAAACACAGCAGGAGACTCAAAAAAAAACAAAAATACACAGCAGGAGACTCAAAAAGAACACAAGAAAAACACAGCAGGAGACTCAAACTAAACACAACAAAAAGCACAGCAGGAGATTGGAGTTTTTTTTTTGAGTTTTTTTTGAGTCTGTTTTGAGTTTTTTTTGAGTCTGTTTTGAGTTTTTTTTGAGTTTTCTGCGGTTGTTTTTGCATTTTGCCCCTCCCCCACCCCCAGAACCCTCCCAGACCCCTGCTTGAGTTTTTTTTGAGTCTGTTTTGAGTTTTTTTTGAGTTTTTTTTGAGTCTGTTTTGAGTTTTTTTTGAGTCTGTTTTGAGTTTTTTTTGAGTTTTCTGCGGTTGTTTTTGCATTTTGCCCCTCCCCCACCCCCAGAACCCTCCCCAGACCCCTGCTTGAGTTTTTTTTGAGTCTGTTTTGAGTTTTTTTTGAGTTTTTTTTGAGTCTGTTTTGAGTTTTTTTTGAGTCTGTTTTGAGTTTTTTTTGAGTTTTCTGCGGTTGTTTTTGCATTTTGCCCCTCCCCCACCCCCAGAACCCTCCCCAGACCCCTGCTTGAGTTGTGTTTGAGTCTGTTTTGAGTTTTTTTTGAGTTTTTTTTGAGTTCTTTTTGAGTTTTTTTTGTGTTTTCTGCGGTTGTTTTTGCATTTTGCCCCTCCCCCCCAGAACCCTCCCCAGCCCCCTGCTTGAGTTTTTTTTGAGTCTGTTTTGAGTTATTTTTTGTGTTTTCTGCGGTTGTTTTTGCATTTTGCCCCTCCCCCACCCCCAGAACCCTCCCCAGACCCCTGCTTGAGTTTTTTTTGAGTCTGTTTTGAGTTTTTTTTGAGTTTTGTTTGAGTATTTTTGTGTTTTCTGCGGTTGTTTTTGCATTTTGCCCCTCCCCCCCAGAACCCTCCCCAGACCCCTGCTTGAGTTTTGTTGAGTCTGTTTTGAGTTTTTTTTGAGTTTCTTTTGAGTCTTCCCAGATTCAGACTATTTCAGATTGAGTTTTTCGGATTGGGTTTTTTCTGAGTATTTTTTGTGTTTTTGCAAATTCCTGGATTTGCGGCCTGTGTGGGCGAGATCAGGTCTTAAATTTAGATTAGTTTGCGGCTTTTCCTAGGGGAAATAGGCCCCAATGCCCTAAGTTTAAGTTGTAGAGTTTGCTTCTGGTTTCTTGAATGTATACTTTTTCCACTGCTGTTGGCATGTGTTCAGCTTTTTGGGTTCTGTTCATGTTTAGCAGGGGCTGCAAAAAGCCTACCATACCAAGGCTTGGAAGTTTATTTCACTAGCAAAGCCATGGGTTTGGCTAGATTCCTGCAGAATGTCCCGCTGGTTCAGATCTTTCAACCGCCGGATTTGGTCTTTCTTATCCTTTCAGGGATACCCCCCCTGGAAGCAGAAGCAAGTCCCGATTGCCAGAGATCCCACCGCTGCTTCATGCTTCTATTCCTACAGCTCATAAGTCAATTTGCTCTATGAACAAAACCCTGGTTAATTCATTCCGGCAGGTTACTCCACGGTAGACTTCTTGTCATTGAATTTGGATCATTTTCTGGGACAGACTTTGCAGAGGAGTGGATGCCTTTCCGTTGGCCCTTTTGTGACTCGATTCCTTTCCAAGGCTGTGAATGTGTTTCAGGGTACGGTACCAATGTTCAAAACGTCGGGTTGGTTTAACAGGGAACACCGACGCCACGCGTGGGGTCCAAATCCATATGTTGACACAAACCCGCAAGCGAAAATCAAGTTACTGGTCTGGGGACCCTTTCAACGGTGTTGAAACCCAGGTTCCGTTTGCTTGCACCAAAGGACACTTATCTAGCATCCGATGGCCCAAATCAATCAGGTCCAGGAGGGGCCCCAAACCGCTTTTTTGACCTCCATGTCACCTTGTGGTTTATTATGCCCCCCCCCCCAAACAAAAAACAGCAAAGCAACAAGTCAGAGATCAAACAAAAACCACGGTCCAAGGCTCCCCCCTTTTTTTTTTCTCCTTACGCGCCGCGTTTTGTCTCGTCTTCGGAGGTGGGTTTTTCAAAAGCACGCTGAAGCCAATGGGCCGGACGTGTTGCTTCTGGTTCAAGCTGATGCCTCCCATAAGGTGGCTCCTTGGCTGTGGGCATGGGGAGAGCTTGTTTGGATGTGCTCGGAGGTTTGGCGATGGGAAAGCTTTTCGTGTTTTTTTTCTTCTTCGGGATGTGTGTTTTTTTTGGGGGGGATTTTTGGTCGGTTGCCAGTTTTCAGAGGATGCCAAAGGGAACATGAATTGGTGAAGTGGGAGGGAGCCAGACATCACAGAAACTTCGTTTTTTGTTTTTAGTTTTTTTGAGAAGTCCCTTGAAGGATAGCAGCTGGAGGGGCCAGTTTAAGATATCATCCATACCAGCTGATCCGAATCCTTGTGAAGTGAAACAAGTGGGTTTTGGGTTCGATTCGACCCCCAGCATTGCGCCTTCCAACCTTTCCTGAAGGGAGGGGGGGCCTAGGTTTTCCTGCTTGCCTTGTCCCCTTAAAGGCAGGGTGGCCACGGTTAGGTTCGGTTCGGTTCGGTTTCTGAAACCTTTTGAAAACCTTTCTCCGGTTAGTGGCGGTTACTCATAACCTTCCAAATCCTGCCGGTTTGCACGGTTAATGCAGAAAAGTAAGATAAGGCTCTAGGTAACTCAGTCTGCTTTCGCCCACACTTCGCCAACTTCCACATCTCTGGCATCGCCATCCATCTGACATCGCCATCCCACACCACACACACACGCAGACACAACCACACACACACACACAAACACTCAAACAAACAAACAAACAAACAAACAAACAAACAAACAAACAAACAAGCAAGCAATCAAACAAACAAACAAACAAACAAACAAACAAACAACCAAACAAACTCAACAAACTCAACAAACAAACAAACAAACAAACAAACAAACAAACAAACAAACAAACAAACTCACAAACTCGCAAACACAAAAACAAACAAACGAACCATGCCATTGACTGATGCTGAGCATGTTGTTCCGCGCACGTGGCCTTGGGAAGCATCTCTGCAGTCAAAGCTCAAAAGCGCAAAAAAACAAGTCACTGACCGCCCATGGGTCACTTTTTTTGCTTGCCAAATTTCAGCGGTGTTTCGTGTGTTGCGAGCATTGCGGAAGCAAAAATCAGAACCAGAAGCGGCCAATAATGCGGGTTTGTTGCCTTGACGCGTGCAGCAAAGGGGCCTCAGCTGCAGTGGCCTGCTAAGCGTGCCAAAAGTTCTGGCAATCAGGCTGGTGGGGCGTTGGGGAACGGCAGGGCAGGCCCGGGGCAAGGCGGCAAGAGCAAGCCCTTACAGTGACCGCGGGCAAGTCAGCTTTCCCGTTCGGCCCGCGAGAAACTGTTCCAATCCAAGCCGGGCCGCGCAAAAAAACAACAACCCACTGACCGTCAGTAAGTTGTTTTTGTTCGCGCTGCTGGCGCAGCCAGGCTGCAACAGGGTGCTCGGGCAATCCTGCGGGAGCAGGGGTTGCTGCTCGGACGCGTAGCTATTCCGGCGGGCCAGGCAAAGTTTGCGGATTCAAATCCCCCTGCTGCCGCTTTGGAACAGGATCCCGTGGCGGTGCTGTTGGCGATGCTGTCTGCGCCAAAGCCGAGCAGCCAAAAAAAACAAGTCACTGACCGCTCGTGGGCCGTTTTTTTTGCTTGCCAAATTTCAGTTGTGTTTCGTGTGTTGCGAGCACTGCGGAAGCAAAAATCAGAACCAGAAGCGGCCAATAATGCGGGTTTGTTGCTTTGACGCTTCCTTCCCCTGCAAACCTGGGAACGGTTCGGTTTCTGTTCGGTTCGGTTCGGCTCGGTTTGTGGTTTGTTTCCGGTTCTTGCAGTTTTGAAAACCGGTTCGTTTAACCGGTTTCCGGTTCGGTTTTCAACCTTCCTGTAAAGGGGAATTGCAAACGAGGTCAAAACAGTACTACAATATGTATACATTTAGATACATACATAAATATATATACATATATATACATTGTGCCCATGCCCACGGAATCCAGATACAAAATTGACATGAGAACCCAGATCTGAAGTTTACATGGGTTTTGGAGTCGAGGATGCCTATACCAACATAATCAAGCTTGTATGGCAGTATTTACCGCTTCTATAAGTTGTACATAACCTTCATACCTCCAAAACCCATATAACTGGATCCATATCGAGCTGCCCCAACCTTGGCGCCCGTGTTTCTGGCTTTTGTTGGATGCCAAACTTGTCCAACCAGAGCTAGTGCCGATGTTTCTGCCTGTTGTGCAAGCATCGACTGTTCCGCGAGTCTGCCTTTGTTAGACTGAATGGCGATGCTCAAAGGTTGGAACTACGGGGGTCTTTTTGAGGGTACCTTGCTTTTTGTTTGCGGTTTTGAAGGGACACCAAGAAGAAACCACCATTCGGGGGTCAAAAGAGTGGTTCTCCTTGATTGCTGGTTTGGCTTCGTGGTTTGGGGAGCTTGAAGCCCTGGTTCTTGTAGAGGGTAAATGGGAAACTACGCCTGAACCACCAAAACCTCTTCGGCTCCTAACCTCTCCAAGTAGAGTGAAGCTGCAGCGGTCATTTCAGCCTTCGCCAAGGATCCTGGCGTGCTTCAAGTGGCTCTTGTTGTCGCGCCAAGAGTACCAGATTCTGAAGAAGGCCAAGGACAGGGCTGAGAAAGCCGAAGAATCATGTGGCTGTGGTTGTCAACACCGTTCTGGGATCCCATTTTGGGGTAACCCATTTTAGAACCGATTTTAGTGAGGATTGGGTGTTCACTGCGGGTACGGGATTTTGACCCATGGCCATGTGTCCCAAACAATGGTGATCACTGTGTGTTTTTCTTTGAGTTCCCTGTAAGTCATCCCAACAGGGGCACCCTCGAAAAGGCACCCACCCCCACACACAGTTTTTTTGCACGTGGATTATCGTGGATTCGCTGGTGTAATCCTTCCAACATCGCCCTTCAGATATGTCAGGAAGTATTGGATTTTCTGATGGTGCTGAACAGATTAACTGCGTTCCTGATGTGGCCTGCAGAAGCCACCGCCAGCCCCGCGCTCTGCAGAGCACATGCGCAGGCACCAACATGAAGTGTAAGCCCAACGTGCGCCGGGCGGGACATTAAGCAAAACCAGACTTGCGAGCTGCTCTGGCGGGATACTGGCGGGATCCACTGGAGGCTTCACCAGCAAGGGATACTCAGCGGGATGCTCGGCGGGATCCGCTAGCGGGATACTCGGCGTGATCCACATACTCAGCGGGATACTCGCCGGATTGCGCTGGCGGGCTGCTCTGGTGGGATACTGGCGAGCTACGCTGGGATCCACGCGGGACCCACTTGGCGAGCCGCTCTGGCGCCGCTGGCGAGCAGCTCTGCCGGGATACTGGGCGGGATCCACTGGCCAGCTGCTCTGCGGGATACTCGGCGGGATCCACTGGCGAGCCGCTCTGGTAGGATACTCGGCAGGATCCACTGGCGAGCTACTCTGGCGGAATACTCGCCGAGCCGCTCTGGCGGTGGCGGGATACTGGCTGGGATCCACTGGCGAGCAGCTCCTGGCGTGATTCTCGGCGGGATCCACTGGCGAGCTGCTCTGGCGAGATACTCGGCGGGACCCACTGGCGAGCTCTGGCGGGATGCTGGGTGGGGGCGTGGTGTAGAAGCATCGCAAACGCGGATTCCAACATAGAATCTAACAACCCCTTCCTGTCGGGCGGGGAATTAGACAGGTGAAGGGGGTATATGTGCGGCACGGATTATAAATTGAAACACCCTCAGACATGTTAAAATAATAAAGAAAAAAGGCTCAGGTGATATGCCCAAGCTTGTTTTTTAGTGCTCGCACCACCCCGCAGCCCTTGTGAAACCCTCGTAGAACCTGGTGGAAGGCCGCCCCGGACCACCCCAGAGCCTATCTGGGCTGAGACCCCAAAGCTTTCAGCTATTGGGGAATCGTGTCAGCGATGCTCGTTTCAAGGGTCCCACCACATAGAAGCCAGTAGCTGTTGCGATCAGCGGGATGCGGGGCCCATAGATTCATTTTGCACATGTCCTGGGGAACAGTTGAATAGATAATTCTGTTTGTGGCTCGCTTGCACCAATGCCAAAAGCCGGAATTGTAAGAACATGCGGAATCAATCAAGCCTTATCCACGGCCCTGCCCCTTGTGGGGGTAGAACGTCCTCTTTTCAAGTGGTTGTATGTCACTGCGGTTCTTCTGCTCAACCCGTTCCGAATGTGGGGTTTCGAACTGCTTTCGCCACATGGTTCTAGGGGTACCTACCCCATTCTTGCCAGGGATCCTTCTTTCTAGAAACCTCCGGAAACCCAGGGAACACGGATCCGGTTTTTGGAAAGAACGATGGTTGAAAAGAATGGAAAAGGAATCAACCCCTAGAGGAATGTGGGAATGAACCCAGGAATTGGTCCCCTTAAAGGAAACCACCAGTTGGATGGTTTATAAGGGTCATTCTATTTCTCATTTCCTGGAAGCAAACATGTGGGTTTCGAACTGCTTTCGCCACATGGGGTTTTCGAAACAGGAGCTCTTCAAGACCGTGAATGTGCAGACGGGGTGCTGCGCGGATTGCCCCTACAAGCAGCTCAACAAGATGGAGAGGCGCGCGCTGGCGCTCGCCGGTGGGTGGGTTTCGAAAAAGCCGAGTTCGGGGGTTACTAGGTCCTCCAGGTGCCCTTTCTCACCCAGTTTTTTTTGGGGAGGGTTCCCCTACCTAAATAGACTACAGAACAGAAAATGGTACCCTTTTTCTAACCGCTCAAATCTGGAGGACCTAGGTTACAACGAAGCAAAGGGCACCTTTCAGCTGGAATTCCCGTTTACGGTGCCACTGATTGTTTGAACCCAAAACTCCTACCCCCCTTCCAGTTTTTTTTTGTTTCGAATCATGCAGGTGGAGCGATCCCCTTGACACTTTGTTGACCCCCCCGGATCAGTGCCACCGATTCGACTTCCAACCATGGGTGTCCTTTTTAAGTTAGGTTGTTTGAAAGATAGATGGGTTCAACTGGCTTTGAGTTTTATGCCGTCCATTGACCGGGGACACCTATCTAGTTTCCCAAGAGGACACCGATTCGCCTTCCAAGCTGAGAGGATGTACTTGCATCGCATCCTCAAGGACAACTCGCGCTGGGGGGCCAACAAGAAGCTCAGCTGCAGTTCGAGCCGGCGAGCCGAACGAAACGAAAAAACCGTTGGCCAAGGTTCAGCGAGCCGAACCTGGGATCACCATAGGTCTGCCGTATTCTACAGTGAGCTTACCTGGGGGTAGAACGAGCTCACCATGATAAAGGTCTTTTACTTGGGGATCCCTTAACTCAGCTTTTGGAATTATAGTAAAAATTGCAGATAAGTGTTTGGTTGCTTGGTTAGTTTGGATGGAAGTTGATGGGTTCCACTGGTTTAGATTGGTTTGATGCCCCATTTACCAGGGACACTCATCAGTTACACCAGAAGGACACCCATGGGGATCACGCTCAAGCTGCGATGCCTCTCGCACTTCTACTTCCCCGCGGATATCCGCCTTCTTAATTCTTGAAGCATGGTTCTGGGATTACGACCATTTGAATACCAGGTTTTGATCAAGTGACTCATTGGAGCTTGTTATTCTGAGTGTGTTTTGTTTGTATGTGTGTTGTACCTTTTTTTGTTATGCCCCTGGTTGAGATTGTAAAGGGCAGCCAAAGGGAAACCGCGGATGGGATTCTCATCTTGACACAATCAAAACCTGGGTAGGTGATCCGGTTAGATGAAGTAAGGGACAATCCCAACCAAAAAATAGTTGCGGATATCCGCCTTCTTAATTCTTGAAGCATGGCTCTGGGTAGACCATTTTTGTACCAGGTTTTGATTGCGACTCATCTTGACACAAAGCCCTTTCAGGTTTTGGAATTGACGACAACATTGCTGCATGGGGTACCCTGCGATCGGGGGCCTGGTTCGAACATGGGATTTGGGAGGGGAAGACTCGAAAATAGAATTGAGTTCGCTCTGAAGGAGCGGATTCCAGGAGGATCAGGCCTGTGCTGTGGATTCCACCAGGTATTCTCCTGTTTGTATGTGAGTTCCCCAGTAAAAATGAGGTCATCCCACAAACGGTTCCCCACTCCCTTGCATCATAACATCAACCTTTTTCCGGGGTCTCCTCCAAAATCAGTTTTTTTTTTTTTTACAGGGTAGATTGAGCAACTAGCAACTAGTGCATATTGTGAGTAACTTAGTAACTTAGTTTGCTCAGACATTTTAGGTTACCTTTTCCCCCTTGCCGAGTAACTCGACATAGTGTTTTCTGAGAGGGCCAACATTTGATGTTCAACGCTTGAGTTTCTCCTTGGGGCGGTCTTTGGACGTGGCCCCCAAAGGTGATCACCTTATTCTTGGGTTAAGGGGCAGCTGAGACAAGGATTGGACACACATCCCCATGTTTCGCTTTGGTCCATCACGTTCCTGGCGTGGAGCTGGACGAGTAGTGATATGAATCAACCAACCAGCTTATTACTTGGGGAGTGTCAACCTGGGTGAAAGGTGAGGAATCACTTTTGGAGGGGAATGCCCCCTGGCAACATAGGAAAAGAAGGGCAGTTCAGAAATCAGCTTTGCCAAGAGGATCCCCTTGTACTTGGGTTGTTGCATGCATGTCACGTGGAGTTTGTAGCCATAGAGTAAGCCTTTGCAGCTCAGGAAGTTTATCAAGACCTTCCAGGAGCAAATCATCGACATGCAGAAGAAGGACAGTGACGGAGGAGAGACCATCACAGAGGGGGAGTTCTGCAATGCCGCGCTCTACGCAGTGCAGGAGTACATGGAGAAGATTGTGGACCAGACGCTTGCATCCAATCTGAGCCAGAATCAAAATAAGGGAAAGTCCCAGCCATAATTAGTTGCGGCCGCCTTTGCAGTTATTTTGCATTGGTTTGGGTGCACCATTTTAATACCAGGTTTTGATTGTGACTCAATTGGGATTGCCAAGATTTGTTGAAACAAGCCACCCCGGCCACCCTTAGAGGTAAAAGGATGTTGCTTGAAGCAACAACAGGATGTGCTGACCCTATATAGTTCTAACAAATGGGGAATATGCTACACAGGATTGTCCTTCGGCGCCAGCTGGTTGATTAGAATCCGGGGTCCCTGAAAATATCGTGGGCGCAAATTGTTTTTCCCATCTCCAACCTAGGCTTTGACCTACGTGTTGCTTTTTTGGTTTGTGGGCTTCAAACAACATTCTGCGGCTTGAAGATAACAGGGCCCACACCACCTGTATATTAATATCACCAATATATTATGGTTATTAAACTTGGAATTCAGGGAGTCGACCGAATGCTTGTTTGCAACAATGGGAACACCACACACAAATACACATTGGCCTTCTGACTGTCGTTCTTTCCCATTTCAACACACCTTGTTTTGATCGACCCAACGCCCCCTTCACAAACATCTTAAGATGACGATGCAAAGAACATCGGGGCAGATTTCGACGCCTGTTTTTCAGTGTGTGCCCTCATGGGGAAGACTGGATGAATGGAACGGCCACCACCTTCTTTGAAAGGGATTCGCCTTGCTTCACCACTAAGTTGATCCATTGTGGCAAAGATTCGCCTTTTCGCCCATCATATGCCAACACTATGCAAAGCGGGCTGCTCCGTTTTACTTTCTCAGCAGCAAACATATTTCAATACGCTCAATGGTCAGAGTCAATAAATCCCTTTACTTGGGTGGGCTATGGCCATCAACTAGGCATCGTAGACAAACACAGGGGACACACTCCATGGTGTACAGAAACCTGCAGGGTGTTTCTGCTGTCCAAAAGGGGGGGGGTTCGAGCATCGCATGTTGAGACCAGACCAGAAGCCTTCCGGGAGCTATGGCCCGAGCAATGTTTCTGCGACCAGGTCAGACGACAAGTTTGGCTCTTGGAGGCTTTGGGTAACATTTGAGCCCAGCCCTTGGTCCTCTTGAAAGCCAAAACTTGGTTACTCCCTTCGCCCCCCCCCCCGAGCAAAAGCTCGTGATCGAACTTTTGATGTGCTGGAAAAGCCATTGGTTTCCGAAAGGTCTAAGGGACGATTTGCTCATTGGTGTCCGACCAAAGACCCGACCAAAGACCCGCTATGAAGAGGAGGTTACGCAAGTAATACTTAAACAGGAAGGTGGCCCACTCAAGCTTGCCAAGCCCATTTGAGGTCTGCTGGACCCCCCCCCTCCACCGGATTCCGGAAACCCCGAACTCTAGCCTGCGACCGTGGCCGGACAACCATCCCAGGTGTCTTGGGTTATTTTTCATCTTATTGGGGTAACAGAGCTAGCTCAATGCTGCTTCTTTTTTTTTGGGCCAGATGTTCACCGACCTCGGAATGGTTGCGCGAGGGGGGGTGTGACCTTTGTTATGGAATTCAATGCAACCCCCTGCCCCCCGATTTCAAGGTGAGGGGATGCCAAAAACTGGGTTGCAACCCAGGCTGTCTGGTTTAAGTTTTGTGCGCATGAGCATGACTATACAATAGGGGGCCCATGATTTGTTCCTTGGTTTCGCCTTCGATTCAAGTGCTCACGTGGAACCGACGCAAACCACCGACCTGGAAGTGTCTGATTTCAGTACATGAAGGGGTTGTTGCATTGGCCGTTTCAGTGACTTTGTTTCTAGTGAGATAGGACGATTGTCCACGCCTGTGTTGGTTGTTTTTTGTTTCGACGCCGCTATATAGCCGAAAAAGAGCAAACACTCGATCACGCAAACAATCAATCAAACAAACAAACAAACAAACAAACAAGCGAACAACCAAGCTAGCAAGCAAGCAAAAACACATTATATAAGTACAATGTGTACCCGCCGGCAACAAGTAACAAGTGCTGGAGTTTGTGCTTGCTCGTTTGAAAAGGATGGCCCACGAAATCAAGAAGGAGTACAAGAAAGACGAAGAGATGGCGGAAGCGCCCTGAGATGGCGATTCATGGCATGATCGAAGGCGTTTATTGGTATGTGTCAAACTACGGAGACCCCAAAGTTATGGTTTTCCCTTTAGCTTCCTTGTGAAACCACACCAAAAAGGCTACCGTAAAAGGCACAGACATTGTTAGGCTGTTGACGTCATCAAAACTTGCCGTGCACAGAGGTAGCCACCCTGAAATGGTCATAGAATCTCATAGACCTCTTGGGAAAGTAAGATAACCGTGCTCGAGTTCCCGATTGAGGGAGCCATGGCAACATGACAACGCTCTGCGTGTTTCGAGTTTCACCGCGTGACGCAAGGTCTTCAAGCGGGTTTGGGTCCATAAGCAAGTGCCGAATTAATTTGGGGAGAGGGGGGCATGGTTTTGCTTGGCAATCTTGCCTTTTCAATCCAACTAAGTCTCCGGCCACCCGGGGCCCGAAAAACGGGCCTGGCAGAACTTTCATGGGAGTGCATCCCTTAGTCGGGTTGGTGAAGAGGCTGATCTTGGCAGTGGGAAAATCACTGGTCTCTAAAAAATCCACCCTCGAGGGTGGTTTCCACATTGTCTTCCTCTCATGCAAGAAACAAGGTCCAAGAAAACATATATATGTGTCAAGATCAGTTTTCTCTCCATCATCCCACTTGAAAATGAAGGACACTGACACTCCTTGCACCTCGCCCAAGGCGGAAAAATCGGAAAAATCGAAGTCTTTCGGCCATGGGATTCCGCGTGATCAAGGAGTCATCACAGAAAGCGGCCATGTCCCAGAACTAGACGTTTGATGCTAGGGAGTTCCCTTATTTAAACTTGTTTCCGGTTGTTAAATTAGTGTCATTTGTAAAACCAAGCACCAAAAGGGGGTTCCTTCTTAACTCCCTTCCAGAACACACTTTTGGGGCTTTCCCTACTTAGATGGTCTTGGTCTTGGACGAATCGCTAAATGGTTAGTAACCCTGGTAGGGGACTTACAACCATGCTAAGTGGGTTACAACCAGGCTTACTAACCACTTAGCTATCTCCCAGACCATCTAAGTAGGAGTTCCCTTATGTTCTTAGTTCCGGTTGTTGAAACATGTTTGTTTGTGCAGATGTGTCGCCAATCTACGGGAGCCCGCAAAATGGTTGGTTCATTGTATTTTTTATTATTATTTTTAAGGATTCAAACCACCACTAAAACAACGGGGGTTCAAAAAGCCACCATTGTTTACCTGCGGATTCTCATCATCCTCTTTGGGTCAACCTTTCTTTTCATGGGAGTTGAACCCTAGGGAAAACAGGACTCCCAAGAAAAAGCCCGTGACACACTCAGATCTTCGAGCATCTCGTCGTTCGGCTGTCTTGAGCCGCTCTGGTGGCTTCAGGACTTCCGAATGTTGCCGAACCAGACTTTTCGGCAAGACGACTTTCCTGCTAAGCGGACCTTCTGGTTGTTGTTGGGAAACATTTTGCATTTTTGCTCATTTGTGGTTTAGTGGTTGAAATCCCCACTTGACTGCTAACATTTAAATGTTTGCTCCCCTTCCAACGTCAACCAAGTTCTTCTGGGTTCCAACGTGGACAGGGTACACGACATGATTCTCGGATGATTTCACGGCTGAATATGTTCTTTTGAGTCCCCTTCAAGGCCATTCTAATCTTGTAGCCACTTATATTAGTTTAACATCAAGTGTTTGGCAAAGTTGAAGTGAGTTGTGTTTGGATTATGATGCAAGGACACATGCGGCCTGTTTTATGGTGTCGGCGGTATTGTACCAGAATCTGATCTTAGGAACGATTAAGGTTTGGCGAAATTCCGTGAGCGGATAGTTTGACGCGTGCTCCATTTGTACATCTTACACTTGGTGTTTTAGAAAGGGTCAACCCGGGCTTCCCTCCAAACACTCACTATTCGCAAAGTACTCCACATGCCCTGACTGCAATGAACGCTGTCTTGATTGCTTTTAGGTTGCTCTTTGGTTTGACCTTGGATCGTTTATCTCCTTGGAAAAGGACATTGAACACAAACCAGCAAATATGTTTTGGAACCAGAAGGCATCTCACAAAGCGGACTCCTGCACTGTCAGGAATCGGCGGAGGGCGTGAAACTGTGCAGATCCGAACGAGAACATGCAAAGTATGAACCCAGGTTTTAGTTTGAAGTAGTACAAGCTAGATCATTGCTAGTAGTATACTCCTACAATCATAACTGGATTTGGTTTTAAAGTAGCCCACACCTCTAAAGTACCCCACACCGCACTTCTACGGATCTAGTCCAGTATCGTATCCCAGCCTTCACCGGGTTTCTATCAACTGGTGCCTGGCGTCTCCCGAAACTTGCAATGCAGCCATGGCCCTCCGCATCTTCGTGAGGGATGCGCGCAAGGAGAGCCGCGCTGCTCGGGTGGGCGGTTTTCCCATGGGTAGACATTGGGGTAAACCCTCATACGTCTTGCACCGGGAAATATTTGATTCAGTGCCGTGCATCTTTCATTCCCTGTGCTTGTTTGTCTTAAAACCAAAACAAGAAGTACTATGGTAGAACGACAACGCAGCAGTGTAATGAATTGAAGATCCTCCCCCCCTAGGGGAGGGGGGTGACCCCTAGAATTCCATTTATGGTTCCATTTTTCCTTTATGGGGAATACTAGAAAATCGAATTGGGGACCCCCCACCCCCCGCCCCTGATGGTAGGGGGTTATTTGAACGTCAAGCGTTTTTGTGGTTGTAAATGGCTTAAGGGACCACGCGCTGCCCCGAAACGCCTTCCGCGAAACGGTTGGATGAGTTTGGACCTGACGCCTCGCGTCAGTCTCTGACAGGCTCCCTGAAAGGGTACGCAAGTCAAAAGGGGTGGAGGGGAGGACTGAGAACACGGATTCAATCGATGCGCAGCTTGGAGGACTGAGAACACGGATTCAATCGATGCGCAGCTTTCGTATGTGGGTGGGTTGTCTTTTTTTCAGGTTGGACTTCCCAAAACGGCACAACGGTTTTCCTCTTGGTTGCTCTTTGAAACCACCACAAAAGGGTTCCCTCAAAAAAAACACCATTACGTTTTAATACTGGCCTTATTGCCACTTCGCATATGAAAAAGAAACCGCCTCAAGTAGGTCAGGGATGCTTTTTGTCCTTACCAAATATAAGAAACCTCGGTTTGGTTCCCTTCAATTTCTACCTCTGGCCTGGGGTGCAAAAAGTCTCACGGGCTTCGTTGGAGACCTCTAGAGCCGCCAGCCGATTCGTCCAAGCCCCCAGTGCCCCGTGCCCGAAATGGGGGTTGATCAATATTCCATTTCGGGCCCCCAGATTTGACCGTGGAAATTGGTTTTCCCATTTGGTGCCAATCTTCTTTTTGGGTGGTTTCCCACTAATGGTCACCCTGATGTAAAGGACCTTTCGATGAACCCCCAAAGTCTCAATCCATGGGTTTCATGGGCTTCATTGAAAAGTCACCTGGCGGAGTGTCATATTGAAGGAACTTGATCTGAAAGCCTCGCCTACTATGTTGCTGGGGGGAAGGGTAACGGAGTCTTTGTAAACACAACACTGACATGCTTGTAGAAACGCACACAGAACATTTTTTGCTGGTTGGATGTCAAAGCAACCAAACACCATACCAAGATAGAAATGAACTGAACCCCAAAAAGCTACCAACACAAGCAAGCGAATCAGAGATACGTCAAGCCAACCCAGCGATTCCATTTGCCTGTCTAGCAGCTAACCAAGGGCTTGCCAGCCTTCAAAGACCAGCAGGAAAATTTCGAAGGGTTGCCTACTATAGTGACGAAACCCCTGGGATCCATTGGGCAACACAAACCAACCCAAACAACACTTTCCTGGCCCCATCCTGGGTGACACTTTGTATGGACGAAGTCCTGCACCACTTTGAAACCTGGGAAACCATTGTTTGCTTGTATTTGCAGAGGAATCATCATTCCAGGGTTTTCTCTTACGTGCTTTTTTGTTTTTCTTCGCGGCCATCCACAGTATCGTACTCAATGTCCGCCTCTTTCGGCCATATATCCAGTGACCAGACCCCGATGGTTTTCGGGATCGGAGGTGTCGGGTCTCGAGGAGCCGAGCGCTCGGCGGCTTGCGGCAGTTCCCCCTGGGATCAGCGTGGCCAAGCTGTCGGCCAAGCTCTCGGCACAGGAGGCGCTCGGATTGTTTGCGCTTCGCGAGGTGCGTCGCGATGTGCGTCTCGTCACGGGTCTGTCTCGTTCTCTCTCTCTCTCTCTCTTTCTCTCTCTATCTCTATCTCTTTCTCTTTCTCTCTCTTCGGTTGGCTCGGTAATGTTGTTAATCAACCAACCTGTTGAGTAATAGGGGGTTTTGCTGGGAGCGGGGAATCAGACCACTTTTGGAGGGGAACACCCCCTATTGATAAACTGGGGTTGATGAATATGGGGTCAACATTAATGTTGACCCCATAAAAGAACCCCTGTGGCACAGTGATTGGTTGCTGTTTGCTTCGACTTTTTGGGAGATGACTGTGTTGACCCCATATCAACAAAAGATTGGAACTGGGGGGGGTCCCCAATTCCATGTATCTAGTCTTCCAAGGGAAGAAGGACACCCCGAGGCTTTTTTCTTCTTTTGGAGATCTCAGGTCATTGGGACCCCTTTTGCGCTTTTCCCATTTTCGTCGCGTCAAGTTGAGTCGAGGTCCCAAAAAGGTTCACCTTGGGTCCTTTGGGCAAGTGAGCCCATGATGTCCATGTGCAATACCCAAAGAAGTTCCAGTGCCGTGTCCAAGGTTTCTGGCTGAAGTTGCATGGCAACTGTTCAAGTGACCGCCAGAAACCCAGGCACTGAACAGTAAAGGAGTCGGGTGTCTTTCAGAGCCGCGAAAGCCCAAAGTGCAGGAGGCGGAAGCTTGCAACCGCTTCTGAGCGTGCCCCAAGAAGGTCCCGATGCGGGTGTCCTCGCCAGTTTTCGGCACCGCTCATTTGGGGTTCGTTATAGGGAAGCAGGAAAATAGCCTATTTTGAGGGTCCGAATACTATGAGACAAATGTTCAAGCTAAGTTTCCATTGCTTGTTTGCGTAGCTGGTGCCCGTTTGCAGAGCAACGCCCAATTCTGTCACTCCTTCCCTCAGTCCTTTAGCCACTTTTGGGGAACACCATTTGCCATTTGTCATAGGTTGTTAACCCCCCCCCCGTATCCTCCCCTCCCAAATGCCAAAATCTCAGTAAGACTCACCGAGTGTTGCTGAGGGGGGGGGGTGCTTCAATTTTGCATGGCAAACATTGGATTTGTTGAAGCTTGCCTGGGGCTCGAACCGTCATTGCGTGCTACTAAATACTTGCTGAGTCTGGATCGCCCATGTGCTGTGTTCTTGGCGGGTGATTGAGAGGTCCTGGGTGCTGAGTGCTACTGAGTGTGCTCACTGGGCCGGGATTCCAAAAATATGCTGTGTTAGGTTGTGATTGAGTGTTACTAAGTGCTACTGAGTGTTACTGAGTGTCGCTGAGTGCTACTGAGTGTTACTGAGTGTTACTGAGTGCTACTGAGTGCTACTGAGTGTTACTGAGTGCTGCTGAGTGCTGCTGAGTGTTACTGAGTGCTACTGAGTGCTTACTGGGCCGGGATTTAAAAAGTGTGCTACTGAGTGTTACTGAGTGCTACTGAGTGCTTACTGGGCCGGGATTTAAAAAGTGTGCTACTGAGTGCTACTGAGTGTTACTGAGTGCTGCTGAGTGCTGTTTAGTGTTGCTGAGTGCTACTGAGTGCTTAATGGGCCGGGATTCAAAGAATGTGCTACTCAGTGCTACTGAGTGTTACTGAGTGTTGCTGAGTGTTACTGAGTGTTACTGAGTGTTACTGAGTGGTACTGAGTGAGACTGAGTGGTACTGAGTGCTGCTGAGTGCTGCTGAGTGCTGCTGAGTGCTGGTGAGCGCCTTTTGACTGCTACTGAGTGCTTTCTGAACGCTAGTGAGCGCTTGCTGACTGCTACTGAGTGCTTTTGATTGCTACTAGGTTTACATCCGCTGATGTTCAATTCACAGGTGTGCAGTGCGCGGCGCAGTTGCAGCACGAATGACGCTAAGCACACATAGGAATCATTACTGTTCCAACTACTCAGCAAGACTCAGTAGCACTCATGGTCAATTTTGAGTGGTGGCCATGTCTTACTGAGAGTCGCTGAGCCTTGCTAGCACTCGAAGCCAAAAACATGATTGAGCCTTACTAAGCCTTACTAAATCTTACTAAGCCTTACTAAGCCTTACTAAGGCCTACATTAAGGCCTACTAAGCCCTACTAAGCCCAAGATTCAGAATGAATGTCTTTCTTCATTTTTGGACCCGAAGCCACTCAAAATCACATTTGGAGGGGGGGATACGGAGGGGGGGTTAACAAACTTAAAGATTCAAACTTGCTTTTTGGCACCCTCCAAGAGCCCTCAAATGCTACCCGACGTGCCCTGATTTGGGGCTTTTGGTGCAATATCGAAAGCGCGGGGAAGGCGCTGGGGCATCAAAACACAGTTGGTTACCTTTGGTCTCCAATTTGATCCTTTGTGGAGTCTCCATGACCCTTTAAAAATGGGGTCATTGCCCCAAATTAAGGGGTTATGACCCCTTTTTCTACTGGTCAGGGAGACTCTAGGTTGTCCCTTTGACACCCCACAGGGCCAGAAAATGTCCCTTGGTCATTTTTTGGCCCGGCCAACCGAAATTGGGAACGGCAGGTTTGGTGTTGGCAACATGGAGCCCAGACGGGGCGATCCCAATCCCGAAAAGGAGGTTCCAAAAACGGCGAGTGTTCTGAGGGTCCATGTTAACCTGCATAATGCAGTCCCTAAGGAGGGGTGGTCCGGGGCCGGTTCCCTAGAGCTCCCTAAGGAAGCGTCAGGAATCCTAGTCTCAACCACCCGCCTCCCGTTGGATCATCGTACCAGTTGCCCCCTGTAGCATTAAACACTGCCGGAGAAAACGATAAGGGGCTAGCACAATAAATATCATTCGTTTGCATCCGGCCATCCAGCCTTCCGGCCATCCTGCCACCTCCAAAATTCGATCCTACCCACCCCCGTTGTACCTAGTCCCCTGTTTTGGGATTCAAACATCTGCAGGAGAAGACGATAGTTAAACTATCGTGGACATCTTTACACGAGCAACGGGACGAAACTCGCCCCGGCCCCCAGCCGGGACGCACTCAAAATCTCCAAATCCCTCCCAAAGGAATCTGCCCAACCCTGGTTTAGCTGGCGGTTCAATCAGCTACCAGGGAAACCCATCTATTCTCCCAGGACACCTATGTGCAGGAGAATACGATACAGGTGCTAGATCCGTCCCTCGGGGTTGCATCGGAGCTCGAAAAGCGCGCAGGCACGGCTGTGCATCGATGGCTTCACACTGGGAAGCTGGGAGATGGCCTGCCAGGCGTGGGGGGGGGGAGAGGGGAGGGAGGGGGGGTCAGGGAGGGGAGGGGGAAGGAGGCGGAAAAAAACATATGTCCCATGGCGTCACTCCCTGAGTGAATGGACTTGAGTTCGGGTTTGGAGGATTTTGGTTTCAAACGACAAATTCGATCTTGACCAACGTTAACATGGAGAGCGCAGTTCCCTCGGCGGCTGACAAGGCCTTGGCAACAATTCCTGCGCAACGCCTTCAAGCGCCTTCAAGTACACGGGGTATTCACTGCCTGATTCAGCAGAATCCTGCTCATTGCCTATTCTCAGTTGTTCAGTGGCTCCCTTTTTCCCCAGTTTTTTGGTGGCTGCCCCACTAAAATGGTCTTCCTAAAAAAGGGTTCCCTTTTTGTTCCCAGGGTCACTGAACAACTGAGTATTTGCAAGGCAAGATTCCAACTCAGGGAGTCAAGGATTCGAACCGGCGCGGATCTCACGAATACGCCTGAACACCTTGAATACTGGAGACACGTTGGCATACAGCGCGGTCAACTCCAGGCAGGAGACTTGGTGCAGAGAGCATCAATCCCATGTCTCATCGTTAACATCCAACTGTGGAGCATTCCACTCAGGAAGTGAATTTCTGAGTTTTCGAGCCATTTCCCTTGTGGGAACCTTCAAAAATGGAATCCGATCGTTTCAATGGAAGCTAGCAGTAAATAAACTTTTGACTCGGGGAAATCCAGTGACCCCTTCTTCTCTTGGTGGCTCCCAGCCATCCCCTTAGCCTTTTAGCTTCTTAGTGTTTAGTGGTAGTTTCCATTTAACCCACTAAAAGTTGGTCGCTTTTGGCGGGGGATCAGAAATCGGGCAGCCCAGTTCTGTGATGCCAAGGCAACCACCTCTCTGAGTTATAGAGGGACTGAGATTGCAGAGATCCGGCGCCATCGTGGCGCCAGAATTTGGAGGCACCTCTAGTCTACCCATCGCCCTTTCTCCAGTAGCCAAGGCCAATTCTGCCAGTTGCGAACGGGTCATGATGGACCCAGTCGGTGATACTCTTCAACACCCATGGGGAGGGGTCAGCGAGGGTTGTGAGGGAGGGCTGCACTTCTGCAGATTCACACTCACTTGCCCAAAGCGAATCGACCTGTCAGCTGTTTTTCCTTGGCGTCTCAAGGTTAGAAAGGGTTTTTCCAGTTCCTTTGTGCAAGTGATAGCAAGGAACTCACAAAAAGGGTTGAATCCCACAGGAGGAGGTTCAACCATGCCTTGATTTGTGTTGGTCATGTTAGTTTGGCGGAGAGGAAGTGGATTGGGCTCCTTGACTTGGGGTTGGAATGGGCTGTGCATAGATCTGCCGGTCAATGTTTGCTTCCAGGAAATGAGAAATAGAATGACCCTTATAAACCATCCAACTGGTGGTCTCTTTTAAGGGGAGCAGTTGGGTTCATTCCCACATTCCTCTAGGGTTGATTCCTTGTCCATTCTTTTCAACCATCGTTGTTTCCAAAAACCGGATCCGTGTTCCCTGGGTGTCCGGAGGTTGTCTAAAATCCGATGGGGAAGGTAGTCTTAGAACTGGTCATCTTTAAGACCTGCCAAGGTAAAACAAGAATCGAAGCCGAAGACTGTGTTCATAGGTCCACTGTTTTGGGAGACACCCAACAAAGACTAAGAACCAAATAAGCGAATCAGTATGTGTCCAATCCTGAGAACCCAGAGATTGCTCTGGTTGGATCAATGAACAGTTTTTGTTCCCTGCGGTTTGCACCTACCCAGTTGAGCCTCAACCAAAACCTGGGTAGATGACAGTTCGCAAGGGATAAGTGGGTGCCTTGGCCGCCGTTTTAATTCCTTGCATGTTTCTGGGTTGACCATTTTAATACCGATCGGTTTTGATTGTGACTCAGGTGGGTATATTGCTCAAACATTGGTTGCGGATGTCACGCCGTTTGTTGCACCCCTGGCGAAACAAAAACATGGTGGTCCCTGTGATAGGTAGGGAATCACCAAGTCTGGGTTTTGGGAATGAACCGGAACGCAATCCCCTCAAAACAAAAATGCAAGGGATGTTTTTTGGGGTTATTCAAATTCTTGTTTTCTGTGGAGGACCTGCAAGATAAATTCAATTGGAGCTCACGGCGCAGTTTGCCTCTTGTGACACCCTGTTGAGCAGAACTTTGCCCCCAAGGTTCGGGGTAGCTTCCCATGATTTCAAGGGATCAATCTACCCAGACCGCCCAAAATCCAAAGGACAGGGGCAAACACGGGCAAAAAAGCGATGGCTGGGAATGGATAGTTGTCTATAGTGGATCAGTTGCCGAGGTTCTGGACTGGAACCTTTTTGGGAATACCATAGGTGATACCATGGAGGAAATCTGGTCGCACCACAAAATGAAACCATGGATTGAACCACTCTCTGTGGGTTTTCGGGAGGGTTTCTTAGGTGCAGGAGTTCGTCCATCCAAAATATCACTCAATTCTGGCCGTGGAAAGGCTATTAAGTGAGGTTTGGTTTCTTTCCCAGGCTTGGCTGCCTCACATGGGGCACGGCCTTGGGAAAACGAAGTGCCAAACTGGGCTTGGCTGCCACACGGTGGTCAACATTTTGGACTTTGCGGACAACAAGTAAATAATTACAGGCGGAGTCTTGACGCAACAGGCACCCAATTGGACAAATTGGTTGGGTCGAGAAAACTCAGACAGTCTACAGTGCACAGATGTACAGCACAAAAGTTGATCGAGAAAACTTACACCCCAGCTAAGATCAGCTGTCCACAGCCGACCTTTTGACCTTTTTGTTTCCCCTTCTTCCTCCATGGCCCGAAAGTGATCACCTTTTATGCTTGTGTCCCATCCGGACCAACTGAGCATATGAGTCTTTTGCAGCGCCCAATTTTTGGAGCTTGTTCACCTTTTGGTTTCCCTTTAAAGCCACCAAAAAGGGGGGGTTCCCCTATGATGCAATGCACAAATACTTGACGGGATGTGGTTCTTGGTTTTCTTCCCTTCGGGGCCCTGGTTGGTTTGAGTTTCACAGCCGAAATGCCTTCGCCTCTCAGCTCCTCCGGGATGGCGACGTGGTGGATCTGAAGGCGCGCGCTGCTTGAGCTCAGGGTCTTCTTTCATAGCTGGCGCTTCTTTTGTGTGAAAAAACCCGGGAAGGGGTGGAGGGAAAGCTGTGTTTAAACAGGGGAGGGTTTGTTTTTTTGAGAGGGGAGGCAAAATCCTGTTTTTTTGGGGGAGGGGAGGGTTCCGTAGTTTTGGGGAGGGGGGGAAGCCTTGTTTACGCAGGATTCCCCGGGCCATTTAAAGTGAGTTTCCCTTGGTGGGGTGATTAAAGGGGGAAATCATTGGGACACCAAGTCAAAGGGAGGTGCCCCTTTTCTTGCTGGTTCTCAGAAGGGAATGAGGGAAACTTCCCACATTTTTGTTGATTCCCCACTGAGAAAAAGGGGTTTCTTTGCCGTAGAAATCCACTGGAGGCTGGGGGACGTGACCTTTGCAAGAAGTCATTTTGGGACTTGACCAAACGGGCTCGACCCTTCGGGGGGGTTGAGCCGCTGGCATGTGGCTTTCTCGCATGTTTTTCCCATGGTGCCTGAATTTGGTTTTGGTCGTGACACCCTAAAACAAGTGGTGGTTGGGATTGGTGCCTACCGACAGTTTTGGCCCTTGCATGAAATCGCCATTTGTGTGTTTGGGTATTCTCCATGGCTTGCAGGTGTTTGACAGACCTCAGAGGGATTCGCATCCGCACTCCTGAGCTTCATCACCCATTAGCTTGGGTCGTTCCAGATGGTTTCAACGGGCAAACCGCCACTAAGGGAGAACTTGCTATGTCAGCAACAGCCAATATGACAATCATTTGTGGTGAAAGGGGTGGCACGGGCCACGCGCACTAAGTTGTTATTGGAAAATTTGGGTTGCTTCATGCGCTAGTTGGGGACATAGTGAACATTGATAGTGGCTTTCAGTGCAATCGACTATCTTCGGGGGTGAGTCACCTGCCTTCCGGTTCTGTCGCACCAGTCTGGGGAGACTGTGCCTAACGGGGCAGCACCCTCATGAGAAAGCGTCCTTTCTTTGGGAGCCCAAGCTAACGGGGCGATGGATTAGTTACACCTGCAATAAACTTTGGTGCATTTTGCCAAGGGATGTTAGGACTTTAACTTTTTGCCAACTAATGGGTTTTCCATTAAACCACTAAAAGTTAAACTTTTAGCAGGGGAGCAGAAAGATTTTGAGTCGCAACACGTCTTTGCAGATGGATTCCAAGAGAGTATGTCGTGGGCATGGAGGCTGGTCTTGGAAATTGAGAGCCGAGCCAATTTAAAGGGAGGATTATGTTTTACAGCCGTGCTTGCCTGGCTCGGCTTCAGAGCAAACGAGCAGGGCATGACCATTTAGCCACATACCAAACAGCAAATATACGGTTGCAACATGGAGGTGTCCAATCACCAGCCAGTTACTAAGTTACACCTTGCACACTCCAAACTCCGATAGGCGTCAGGGGTCCATAGGGGTCCATATGGGAGTCCTCGCAAGAAGTTGTTTGGGTCCCATCAGAGTCAGGTGTCAGCCACCATTCAGCGGGCCGCTAACATGACAGCCTGACAAAGTTTTGGTGTTTGGCTGAGCTAGTCGTCTCCAAATAATGGTGTTTGGCGTCCGATTGATTTCATATAAGAATCATCCAAAGGGGGTCCAAACAATTTTAGGCCTTCCATCAATCTTTCCGGGGTGTGTTGACTTCTTGATTTCGTTGGGCAACCAAAAGGGTCCTGCATTTGCAGCAATAAGTTGGAATTAGCCATAGGTTTGACCGCAACTGTCCTGCTAAGGCGGCAGATTCGAATCCTTTTTCCATGCAGGAGCGGGCTGCGCACATTTGGCCACGGTTAAGATTGACCGTTTTACTTGGTTGGTGGGGGACACCCTTTAGTGATTTGAACATTTTTGTGAGGGATGCCAACGACATAGAGACAAACAGACATACCGGCAGAGACAGACAGACAGACGCAGACGCAGACACAGACAGAGAGAGAGAGAGAGAGAGAGGGAGAGACAGGGATAGGGACAGACACAGAGACAGGCAGACTGGCAGACGGACAGACGGGCAGACAGGCAGACAGAGAGACAGGCACACAGGCACACAGGCACACAGGCACACACGCACACAGGCAGACAGGCAGGCAGACAGGCAGACAGGCAGACAGGCAGACAGGCAGACAGGCAGACAGGCAGACAGGCAAACAGACCAAGCAACGAAGTAACTAACCAACCTATCCTAGCCTAATTTTACTAACCCAACCCAACCTACCTCACCTAACCGAACCTACCTATCAAAGCTGACCTGACCTGACTGTCTGACTGACATACTGACTGACTGAAGCACATTGACTGCTATTGGGTTGGATCTTTAGACTTTAACTTTTTGGGAAATCAAGGGGTTTTGCACTAAACCCCCAAAAGTTAAACTTTTTGCAGGGGGTCAACAGCAACCAAGAGTGACACACAGAGAAGCTTTTTCTGCGGCAGGATGTAAGGCCGGCGGTCAAGGAGCCCAGAGGCAGTGCTGCGAAGGTGCGCATGTCGCTGAGCGCAACGGGGCGTGTTCAGTTTGTCCTGGCTTGCCTTTTCATATATTTTTCGCAGGAGTTTGGTGACTTTTGGCGTTTGGACCATTTTTGTGGTAAACAACAAGTCTGGACTTCTTTTGGCCAATCTACTTAGGAAGAGAGTTATGTTTCTCTTTATCTTGCTCTTTCCCTTGTGCCTTTCTATGTCTGCCTCTCTTTCGTTTGCCTATTGCATTTTTTCTACACACAACACGCACAATTGCTTTCGCTTAGGGCCCCATGGAGCCTCTTTGCAGGGTGCAATGTCTATTCTGGAAATTAAGAGTGACTAGTGACACCTGTCGGTTTCCTAAACGAGATACACATCTTGCGGTCTTTTACTGTCGGGTGAAAGTAGATGGCACAATTTGACAAGTCTTTCATTTTGTTTTAGGCATCCCCATTACTTACCCACACAAAGGAACTTGTGATACCCACTGTAGCCCTGGTGTAAAGGGACTGACGCCAAGCTACAAGGATCACACAGAGGCAACTGACATTGCCAACTTAAGATATACTCTTGTTTCTGGCGTTACAGGCTCTGCAATCAGCTTCCTTGCAACTCTTGCAAAAGGCTGGGTTCTTCAAAATCAATCCAACATGTGCGCGCCTTTGTTTCTTCTGGAAGGTTAGGTTACTCCCGATTTCCCTTTTTCTAGTGAATTTGATTGAGTCTGTGATCCCCCAGTGCCTGGGTTACCTGAGCCATGTGATTGTGTTTCAGCTTCCTTCAAGCCGCCTGTCAACTCAAAGCTTAGAGACCCTTCCTTCGTCGACTTTTTTTTTGGGGGAGCATACGGATTTTGAGAATGGCTAAAAGGGACACCAAACAGGAGCCGGGCCCCTGTTTGCGGCTTTCCATTGGTTTCCCTTTTCGGTTTTCAAAGCTAGTTTTTCATTTTCGGGTCGACTTGAAGCAACATCTGAAGATATTGTATTCTGTGAGCCAGGGTCAAAGTCAAAAGTTTGGGCTTGAGACGCCTTCTTGTGGCAGAGATCCCGGTTCCCAGCGCAGATGTGGGCCGGAGATACAAGGAGCCCCATGGATTTGTAGTGCACAATTTCAGGGTTGTGGTTGATCACTCGGGGTTTATCCAACCACTTCTGTGATATCCTCGGGAATCTCCCCCTTGGGGGGTTAGTCTTTGGGAAGATATTTTTGTTGTGTCACTGAAGTGGCTATTTCAGCCCACAGTTTGGTTGTGAGTGACTCGGACTCGGCATTGGTTTGCCTGCAAAGACGCAGCGGAGTAAACGCGGGGTCAAATATGGGAATCAACGTTCAATGCGTTTGCAGAGCCTCCTACCAGCACCTCCCAAAAAAAATCATGTCCAACATCCCAAGTACTGTCCAAAAAGCAGTAGTTGTGGGGGGGGAGGGACGCGGGGGGGAGAGGGAGCGCAAATAATTAAGCCCTACAAAGTCTCACTTGGGCTCCCCTCCCTCTTCAGCTCCCCAGCCCCCATGAGTAGTTGGGGGGCAGCTGGTATGTGCCGGGCGTTTGGTTTTTTTTCTCCCCCCTTTGCAAGTGGCCGATGTCCATCGGAGCTTTCGGTAGGCGAGGCTGGGCTTTTTGACGCCCAAGCTTCGGCAGGCGCTCTTCAAGGCGGGGTGGGTACCTGGTTTTCCTGGGGAGTGATTTCACAGGTATCGGCGGAACACGAAGGAAGCGTGTTTGGGTGGAAATCTCCCCTTTTTTCTCACTACCCGAGTTTGCGGACTTTGGTCACTTTTGGGGGTCTTGACCATTGTAGTGGTAAAAGAACAGTTTGGACGTGTTTGCCAAATGATGCCATACATCTGCCATAATTTCTGGCGAGCTCACTTAGAGGTAAACCAAGCTTATGGTGATCATGATGCTCCACTTCTTGGAGATGCCTTTACTTATGTGTCTTGGACATATCGTAAGACAACATGCAGATGTTCAGGTACCCCTTAGCTTGTCGTTTGGATGGGTGGTTTGGGGATTTGAACCCCTGGCTCCAAACTGCCGGGCCCCAAGTGCTGTATATGCTGAGTTACAAGCGTTTTTTTTTTTTTTTTTTTCGGGCAAAGGCACACATTACTGATTCAGAGCATTTCAGGGCCGTAGCAAAAGGCAAAAAGAGCCGCAGCTTAGTTTGTGGCCAAGGGACAATTGAAATGGCTTCCCAGATAAGCCACCGAGCAAGTGCTATGGCTCTAAATCTGTGGCAAGAACAGGGAAGCCTATAGGGCCACTTTCTGTGAGACAGTGGACCCCTTAGGGACAATGTTGTCCACCATGCCAATTTTAACAGCCAGGGTTGGTGGCTGACACAGAACCCTTTTCTGCCTTTGTCCCTAAATGAGCCACCATCAAAACCCGGGTAGATGAAGGTTAGTAAGGGGCAGTCCCAGCCATAAATAGCTGCGGCCGCCTTCTTAATCCTGTACATGGTTCTGGGTAGACCATTTTGATACCAGGTTTTGATTGTGACTCAAATGCTGTTTTATGGAAGGTCCTGAAACTTGCGATCGGTGCGAGAGCTGCAGGGAATGAGACATGGAATGACCTCGATCTATACACCATCCAAGTGGGGCGGTGTTTTCTTTATTCGGGAATCCAACCAAAACCGGTTCAGTGAGGGGATGACCCTTAACGATGGTTCATTCCCACATTCCCCACTGAGAACCTGACCTCTATAAACCATCAGAGCAGGGAATGAGGGAATGATCCTTATAAACCATCCAACGGGTGGTTTTCTTTGAGGGGACACCCAGGTTCGTTCCCACATTTCCCACTCATCGCACCAGCAAAGCCACAAAGACGCGACAAGCGGCGAGCGAAGTGGCGGAGGCGGAGCCGGCGTCGAAGGCGGCAGCGGAGGTGCCAGAGGAAGCGGAGGCGCGGGGGGTGTTGGATTTCTTTGAGTACCCGGGTTGGTTTATACATGGGTCCCTATATTCCCCTTTTTGGTGGTTATAAGCATCACCTTTTTGGCCCGTGAAAGGTGAGTATCCCTTGGTGGGGGTGATGTTTTAAGGGGCAATATAGGGAGCCCGGTTTTTGGGAAGGCAACGGGGGAGTCCCCCAGTTTTGACAAACAACCATTTGGCCAGTTGAAATGTAGCCTTTTTAGCCGGACCAAAAGAAAACTACTCGTACCATTTCATGGGTATTCTTTAGGATAGTAAAAGCACCCCCCTGATGGAATGTGTGGCTTTTGTGCTTGGTTGCTTTGTGGTTCGTCCCACCAATGACATGAAACCTGACGTTTGGGGGTTCCTTTAAAAGGAGAATGGTCCAACCCAGGACCACCAAAACGAACGCCAGGTTCCATTGTTAATTGGCGGGAGGGTATCCAGTGAAACCTTTTCAGTTTTCGCAGGTCACATTTTGGGGTCACGTGCAACTGGCTTCAGATTTCTTTTGGCTCGGCCTTTGGATCCCAACTGGCTTTTTTGAGGCTCAGTGCCCTGCTTGCGGCCGGTTTAGAGGGACAGCTTGAAGCCTCTAGGGGTTGAGTCCCCGGTCTTTTCAACCACTGTTCTTTTTTGAAAAGACGGATCCCTGGAAAGAATGAGGAAGCTTCCGATCGAAAACTGACAAACACAACTTTTTTGGGAATTCCAACCTAAAACAAGACACACCCCGAAGAGAACCACACAGGACGGCAACGGGCGAGATGTTTTGAAGTGACGGAAGGCGCCGGATTGCTTTTTCGGCTCGGAAAGTCTGCCGATATATGTCGAGCTTGGAAAACAGCTTGCCACTTTTCGGTGGGATTCCCGTGGAATCCCCACTTATTCGGATTCGGATCAGTTGAATGAGAAGTAAGCACTTTGGCACGAGAAGCGATCTTCACATGGGTTTGGCCAATCGGAAGCAAGGCGAGTGGCTGCCGTCTCAACACATTTTAACCAGAAGGGTTCTTAGCCACGAAACCTCACACCCTGAGCTTATGGGCTTTAGTCACTTGGGAAGACCGTTTCGGTGGTAAGTAAAAAGTTCAATCACTTTTTCTGGCCAATCCACTTGAGTGAGTACATAGTTTGGACTGCTGCCAACAAAGGAGCCGGAAGAGCCCTGGGAGCAGTCGCGAGAAGAAGTGGGTGCCTGCCTCAATGGGCAGCCGAGCAGTCGGGAAGGAGTTGCAGGAACTCATGTTTTGGAGTAGTCAACTTTTGGGGGAAGTTTTTGTTTTAGTGGCAAATAGCACTCCTTGTTGTGTGGTGGTTTGTTTCTTATGTTATTTGTATTTTTTTTATTTTTTTTAGTTTGTTGTTGTGAGTTTTTTTTTTTGGGGGGGGGGGTGGGTGATTTGCTCAAGAAATGATGGGGTTTGTCCGGACTATGGTGTTCTACCAACACTATTCCTTGTGGTAAATTGGTTTCCTAGCAGTAGGTAATAGTAACCCCTTGTGGTGGTCAAGGGTAGGTTGGGGATCCAGGAAGTATAAAGCATCACTGTTCTTTGCGTGAGTTATGGCTGCCATAAAAGACAACTTTGCAACCATGCCAAGGTCTGGGAAGATAATATGGCTAGTTGTGTTCGACCTGGGGACCCTTTGGTGGACATGTAGGGGGTCATGTCCAACCACTTTTGAGGTGGGTAACTCTTTTTCATTCGTCGCCTCACTTCCCCGTTTCTAAACTGGATACGTTTTGGGGCTGGGCCGTTCCGAAAAACAACGAGGTTGGTTACTTGCTTTAGGCCATCCACGAGTTTGATCGGAAGTGGCTAATGTTGACCCCGGATAAATAACGTCCAAAAGTGGCCTGAATTCCCACACAGAGGGGACATGAATCAAAATCCACCAGGGTTCCGCCAATCAAAATCAACGCCAAATTTGCTCTCGTTTTCGTTGGTTCTGTTCATGGTTGCTGGGAAGCTGCCCCAAAAAACAAAGCTGCCTAATCCGCGGGTAACATTATTCTCGGCTAACTTAGTAAGTTGTTCGAGACCTTGGTAGCCCACTTATAGATCCCCTTGAGTGGACTTAACCCTGTCATTAGTGGGTTATGACCCAGGCTAACCGCTTACTAGCGTGGCCTTCCCCGCTGCGACTTTAGGACTGCGCCTCCTGGGCGAGCGTCGCCCCTGGCAGCCAGTGCTACAGGATGAGGCCCGCAGGAGCTTCGCCTTTCACCGAGCGCAGGCGGGGGTCGAGGATGTTCGGAGCCGCTTTTGCTACGACTTTTTAGTGGGGATTGGTTGATGTTCACTGGGGGTACGATTTGGATTTTGCCCCACAGCCACATGACCCGGTAGAAACCTCGCGCCGTTTTTTTTATGGCTATTTGCTTGGATCTTCGGACTTGACCTTTTTGGGAAGCCGCGGATTTTCCCATTGAACCCACAAAACGTGAAAGTTAGAGCCCTCAATACTTCCTCAAACATCACCCAGCAGGACACTCGCAAATTGGCCTACGGCGATCTTTCAATTCAAAGGCAGAACTCTAGGAGTGAGCGACGCGGGGACTCACGCAATTGAGTCTGTGTTTGTTCCTTTCTGTGTCTTTTGAAGCCACTCCAAGGATGGTGCAGAAGACTGCCTCGAAGTCCAAAATGAAAGTTCCACTTTGGCCCTTCCCCCACCTCCATGCCTTTCAGGGGGTGGGTGATAGGGTGGGCAGTTTTCCCCAGTTTAAAAATTGGTCGGCAAACCACCGCAAGAGCCAAAGTGAACGATTGCGGGTTCAAAGCTACTTTTGGGGGATGGGTTTCCTCTTTCAACCTTTATTTGGACACTCACTTCATGAGTCAATAGCCAAAAAAAGTCACCAAACTTTTTGTCTACGACTAAAATGGTTTTTGCCACGGAAAAACGAGTCCAGGACCTCAAAACCGTTCCCCCAAAGCGCAACCCAGGGTCCAGCCTATCCCCTTGACCTGTGCTTCTCGGTGACCGCCATGGTATCACAAGGGCCCAATGGAACCTGAGGGAGGTCTGCGAATCCATGCAAAAATCAAATCACTCAGAGCTCTCCAAATTGAACTTCATATGTGAGTTTTTACTTGTCTATATAGATGAAATCGAGACGAATATGCAGATACAAGATGAATGCAACCGATCTCCGCCAAAACACATGAGTTCGATCATTTGTGACATCAGCGCAAAAGTCAATCGCAGATAAACCCGCACAAGAACCGGTCTTTTAGGATGGCACAAGTTGCCGCTTCACTGCTTTCTCGAGGCTAACATGACAATTCAGCTCGCAAGGAATGTCTGGCAACGACCGCGATGGAGATCTATAGCCTTCTTGCGGAGTATTCATAGCCTCCATCAAACACAGCAACTGGCAGGGAGATTTGTTGCGTTGCCGTTTTTGAAGGGAAACCTACAGGAAACCGCCCTTTGGAGGGTTCCCTCCAAAACGACAAACACTCTCTGAAAGACTCTCCAAATGAATATGATTTCGAGTAAACCCTCAAAAAACTGACACACCCTCCAAGAAGGCAAACCCTTCAAAACAGGGCAACCCCTGCGTATAGTTTCATCTTGAACGCGTTTGATCTGCGGACAGGTTTTTCGTTTCCCAACCCCGGGCATCTTGCTGGCTCTGGAAGGAGTGCCCGAACTGAACCGGGCCTGGGGTTAAACCCCCGATTAAAAGAATGGCTTCCCGACAAATTAACATGGAACCCACAAAGGGGGGTCCACCAAAAGGAGCTGCCTCTAGAAATGAGCGCTTTTTGAGGTTTCATGTGAATCTCTAGGAGGGTAGATGAAACTTAGGTGAAGACTGGGGGGCTATATTTACCTCCATTATGTTGATGGTTTCAATCCCAGGCCTGGTTTAGATCCCGAAACGGTGAATTCGCACCCCTCAAAGGTTTTTTTTAACCAGCAAGATGCGAAGGGTTTCCTCTCTGCCTCAGCCTATAAATTTTGGGATACACCTCCAACGAATGTTTCAATCAAGACCCTAGTGAACATAATCACATAATGGGCTAAATCATGTATAATCATAATATACTCCCATATTTGTGACTAGTTCCCAAAAGGAGACCACATTCAAAGCATTTCGACCCTTATATTCTACTCATTAAGATATGGCCATGGGTCAAAACCCCGTACCCCCAGTGAACATCCCAATCCCCACTGTAGGTTCTAAAGCGGGTGGTGAATTCACCTACCAGCCCAAAATAGGGATCAAAGCCAAAACGGTTTGCACAACCGCATATCGCGCAGCGATCAAACCGGGCCGTTGGCCTTCCAGGCGCTCACAGTGGCCGACGCAGAGCGCCTGCTGCAGAACGCCCAAGAGGAGGTCCAGTGGCAGCAGCCCAAAGGCCCCGGGCACCGGGAACCGTTGACCTTCGCCGGCCGGAGCGTTGTGGCAAAATGGTCCCATGGGTAGGTGCCAAAATGGGGGGGACCCCAGAGAATGCATCTTGTTGGTTTTCCGGTCGCCCTTAAAGCAGGGGTGAGATGGATGGGTGGGTGTGTGTGACGTTTTTTTTTTTTTGCGAAGGTACCCTGTTTTTGGGGGTTGGATTTGGTTTGGGCCCCTATTTTGACACGAAATATAGCACCTCACGAAAAGACAGCATCCCAAGTAGCCTATCTTAACGATTTCAGAGACCCAACCCTTCACACTCCAGATCTGACACTAAAACACATGGACCCCATATTTCAAGCATGCTTCCATTTCGGCGACGAAATCCTGGCATCGATGTTGTCGATTTGACAGCCTCAAGCCCCCAAGCCTTACACTCCATTCCTATGCATGTCTGTGGCGCACGGCCCTTACTGATTGGACTGGACTTGGTCGTTGGATCTCCGCTGGTCCAGCCCTCCGCTCGAAGTGAGCAGCGCTTCGCAAGTTCCAGCATCATGGGATGCGTCGATTTGCATCTTGCCCCATGGTCAAGGCTGACAAGGACCCACAATATGAACCATGTTTATACACGTTGCTGAGGTGCTGGAATCCCCAATTCTGAAGTTTCCACGGGCTCAACCGCTAGATGGTAGATTGTTCCTTCAGGTAACCCTCCCCCTAACCTCCAAACCACTATTCCAAACGACCCTTTTTGAGGGAAGCTGGTTTCTCGAATATATATTTATATATAGTCCACGTATGGTCGCGTGTTTTTTTCTTTGTTCTCCTCCAGGCACCTGGGGCCTCATCCCGCGCAAGACCAGCTGGATGACCACGGCCCCCTGCTGCTGCCGCTATGGCTATGGCGGCCTGCGCATGGAGCGGGGCGCCCCGGCCAACGGGCCGCGGGGTTGCGGGGGGCAGGCTCTCCCAAGTGGGCTGGACATAATCTGTGTATCACAGGGTCTCCGATGAAAAGTGAGACCCATGACGGTGGTCCAAGAAGAGATTCAAGAAGATTTGCAAATGGGTCGAACAACATGAAATTTGAACTGTGCTGTTGGCGCTCTTGCTTGAACCACATGGTCATAGTGCCCTGCAAGGAGCCTGATGGTTGTCCAACATCCATTAAAATGACTATGGGTCCAGTGCTTCCCAGGTATATAGTGGTAGGTAACCAGCCATTTTCCCTTTGCTGTTTAAAGGCTGGTTGCTCGGTTCCTTTGGTTTCCTGCTATACAGGTAAATGGAATCACTGGGAGCCCCAAGCAAGCCTTTTGGTGACAATGAAAGAAGAATCGGGACCGCGCAAACGGTGCGTTCCTTGAAAACAACAGTTCTTTAGTTGTATGCCTACTTGTTAGGTGAGAGAAAGAACGAGCTTACACATTTGGCATGGCGATTTCTCACTCTTTGGACTGTCACTTTAGAGTGCTCAAGTATGTGCGATTCTTCCAACATGTTGTATGGGTATGTGTCAAAACCAAGAGGTAGGGCAAAAATCGTGGTTTTCCTGTTGGCTTCTATTTTTTCCATCCCCAAAAGAGGTGCCCTCAACGTAGCAGCACGTGACTCCCATCTTTTGGGCAGGCCTCATTAAAGGCTTATCCTTTGCCAGGGCTCCTTAAAAGATACATTTTGCCCATTTGAAACATGGCTATTTCCACCAAAATAAAGGGAAACCACCATTTGCAAGGCAATGTTCAGGTGTACAATGTAAGGATCCCTGTTTGCTTATCCTGGGCATATCCAGGGATAGCCCCCCCCCATAGCCCCTCTAGGGGTCCATGAGGTAGGTTGCGAGACATTTCAAGAAGTTGGAGGAGTGGTTGGGCAGAAAGCTGTTTAGTTTGTTCTGGGCTGGAGGGGGTAGTCCAAGATAGTCCAAGTATCGAGCGGAGACATCTCCCTCAATTGTCATATCATAACTTGCATCATGTATGTGTTCATTCTGACTTGTTTGTTGTTTAAGAAGAGTGATCCCCTTCCCCGACAATCAACAGCGTGTAATACTATGGTATCGGCATTTGATGCTCCACTACCGGTTTTGCAGATTCCCGATGTATTGTGTTTGTTTTAGTGGCAACATGTTCAGGCACTCGTAGGTTGTTGTGGGTTTCGTTGATTCCGACGTGGTGTTTGTTGAAGAGCTGCAGCTGGAGCTTGAACCCTTACATGAGCCACGGACACAACATTACCGGGGTATTGCTTTCTGTTTCTGTCACTTTTGCAGATTGGGGGGGATCCTTTTTCTCAATGGTTCAAGGATTTCCTTGTGGTTCCCTTTCAAGTCATTCAAGGGGTTCCATTTGGAGAGGGCACATCATATCCTGACTCAAACATGCCACTTGGCCCATTACCCATCTCAAGCCAGGAGAATCAGGAAGGGCCCTGAAACAAGTCATAAGGTCCCAAGATTTAAGCCAAAGCCAAAAGGAACATTAAGACAGTTTCGGGCAATTTGGTTGGGTCTCTGAACTTTAAACTGTTTGGTGGATTTTCCATACAAAACGTTATTCACTTTTTGAGGGGTCCTTACAGCAACCAAGTAGGGGGAATCCCCTTTCAACTCCAATCCAAAAAGTTGATGCCGTTTTTTGCATAGAACTCCACCGGGCTGAGCCAAAGGAACAGGACGGGTGGCTGAAGGCTGCGTCGAAATTTCGCGCGCCGAAAGCGAAATGGGACCTTTCCCAGGCCGGAGCCGATGCCTCCCTGGGTCCTAGAGGCTGAGCTGACCGAAGCACGTCCGCTTTCCCCGCGGTCCGGAGCTGGGGACCGGACCGGACCCCTTTGCTGAAACGTTTCCTTGGTGGCTCCCAGCCACCCAAAGCCTCAGCTTTTCAGTGGTAGTTTCCATTTATGCAACCCACTGAAACTTAAGCTTGTAGCGCGGATCCGAGGGCAGCCCAGTTTTGTTTTTTCAGTTTCCCTTGTTGGTTTTAGAGGCAATCTATATCGCAATATGTTGAGCGAGGTTGGCCGCTTTTAGAGCGGCTGACGTTTCGAGTCACTTGGGTTGACTTGGCCAATCCGCGCCAAGCAGGGAGTGGGGTCTTGAGATGTAAAGGGGTGCCAAAAGCGCCTTGGACATCGTTTCACTGGTCGTAAATCTGGTCTTACAACGAGTGGGGTCTCCATGATGGTTCTGCCTTGCTGAATGACAGCTCGCCCAGAGTTGGGGGCGAGGGGGGGGGGGGAAAAGCATCCTACGATTTTGTTTTGTGTTTTTTCCCCGGGGGGGACAGCACCTATAATCCTAAACATACGAGAAGTCGCAGCTGGTGTTTAACGTTTTCTCGCTGATTTGGAGAGGGGGTACAAAAAACTCGAACCTACGAGGAGAAGCGATCATTCGCGAAAAATCGATCCTACGATCTCATACGAGCTTTTTTGTTGTTGTTGATTTTTTTTTGGGGGGGGAACGCACCTTCAATCCCAAACATACGAGAAGTCGCAGCTGATGTTCGTTTTGGCAGAGGCCATGGAGCTCTGTATGCCACTCTGCGGCTTGTCCAAGGAGGCGCCTGAAGATTCTCCGAGCGTCTGGCTAGGTCTCCCAGTAGTGCCCTTCTCTCCCCTTTTTTGGTTGGGTGGGTTTCGCTACTAAAATAGACAAAACTGAAAAAAGTTGGTACCAACTTATTCTAACCTCTCAAATCTGGAGGACCTGGTTGGTTCTTCACTGACTGCATGACAGGCTGGCCATGTTGGAGGCTCTGGCTTTTGGAGACAAGCCCATTTCCCGATCTGGCGCTTGGTGCGCGACTCAAATCATTCGAGGTCGCCCAAAGTGAGCGCAGGGAGACAGCTTGGTGGGTCAAACAATGTCTGCAATCTGCTTTTTGTTTTTCTCCGCAAATACGGGCCGCAACAAAACATGCTGGAACTTGTCGAATTCATTCTAGTCAACAACCACAAGGGGCTTCCGAATTAGGACCTTGGCTTTGCGCTTTGAAGCAGCCTAGCCAAGACCACAAGGTCATGTTGTAGCTTTGTCTCCAATTAGGGAAGCTTTCAGAATTGGTTACATGGTTCCCTTTTGGTCCCTTGAAAGCAATCCAAAAAGGGTGCAGTGCCTTCGTTTTAGAGACAAACCCATCTAGGACGTGAAGGGCGAATTTTGAACCGCCCAGCCCAAGCCGCAGGAGAGGCCTTTGGTTCGACCTTCCCCCCAACCCACCAGAAAGGTTCTATGAAGACTTTTGAGAACCTGTTCCAAGGTTCCTAGAACCTTTCAATCTCCGCAACCCTGAGAGAAGTGGTCAAAAAGCAGCACCCTAGGATTCCCTTCCAAAAGAGGACTCCACGCCCCTCCACAAGACTTGCCGCTTGCCGCTTGAATTTGCGACAGGAGTGGCCAAACAGCTGCAATCTCAACCTCTACGAAGACGGGGAGCACTCCGTGGGTTGGCACTCTGACGACGAAGCCCTCTTTCAAGGCGGGGGGATTGGTTGCCAGTTCTCTTCGCCAGGAAGAACCGGGCCCTGGAGTGGGTTGCTCACAAACCTTCATCCAGAAGCCGTCCAATGCCGGGATTGACATAACTGGTGCTTGAAACGGGTGGTAGCCATCGTTGCAACAGGTTGAATCGATCCAGCAGCCGGAGACTTTTCCTCGCTGTGACGTGTGTCGTTGTCCAGCGGATTTCAACAAATTCTAGGAATTTTGATGCACTCAAAGGTTCATGCTTGTTTCGAATGGACAGAGGGCGAATAACGGTGGCAGCCTTATTTGTTTTGTTTTTCTGCGCCTACGCTTTTTACTCGGGCACCTTGGCTGTGGAATTTGACAGACATGATGCCTCTCAGAGCCTTGCTTACCTTCTTGTAGCCATTCCAAACTGCAGGTCGTGTGCTAGGCTCGCTTGGCCCTAACCATCTGAGGGCTGGCCACCCCCTGAGCAACCAGAATTGCCTTGTTTGTTCTCGCATTGATTTTGCTGATGCCATCCAGCAGATTTCGCTTTGCAGCTGGTTCTGCTTTGCTACCCTGCCTGCCTCCTTTCTTGCAAATGCATCTGAGCAGCTGTAACACATCTCCCTAAGGGATGTGTCACCATCAGCGGCCCTGACCAGACAGAAATCACTGGTCCCGAGGGGTCCAACTTGTTGTTATAGGTTTCAAAGAACCCTAAACAGGACTCCGATTGCTTGCACCAAAGGACAATGTGTAGCATCCTAGTTAGAACCCATTCAACCGGACACTCACCAGATGCCCATGCCCAGATCCTTGTAGGCGCTACCAATGTCCCCGCAAAGTCTCGCATGTTTTTTCTGAGCTTAGTTGAGTCGGGTTAACAAAGGACAGTTTCAGCCAACAATAAGTGCGGATGTCCATCCTCTTGCTTCATGAATTGAATGTACACTCCTTGACCATATTTTGATAGCGACTCATTTCGCGAGTTGTTGCAGCATGGTGACAAGTCAACCAATAATTTCAGGGCAGGATTGACGCAACTTGGTATTTCCTTTGGGTATGTGTCAAAGAAGGGCTTCAAACATGGGCCAAGCATTTTTGTTCTTTTGGCTTCAAACCAAGCTGCGAGGGTACCCGAGGGAAGAAACTCCAAGAGTTTCTGGTGGAGATGGCCAGGGCCAGGTTCGGAGGGCCACCAAGCCGATAGAAAAAGAGATGCTGGACGCGGGCTGGGTTGATTGATGTCTTTTCTTATGTCTTTGTTTGCTTGTCTGCAGAAGGGGGACTTGTAGATGGCCTTTTACCCGTCTTTAGGGAAAACGCGCTTGGAGAAAAACCGATTCGGGTGGCTTTGAGGCATGTGACTTGGTTGGACGGGCAAAACAGGTCCAAACAACAGAGGCGCCCATTTTGGGATAGGTGCACCACCCATTTTAGTCTATTTTAGTGGGGGTTGGGATGTTCACTGGGGGTACTGGGTTTTGACTCATGGCCATGTGACCTTTTGGTTGGCCGAACAGATCTCCGTTGCTTTCCGGTTGGGCCCCTAACACTGGTTGGGGAAAAAGCCAAAGATTGACCCCATCCGTCCGTTCCACTGCTTAACAACGCTCGCGCGAGGCAAGTTCCAAGACTGCCGGATCATCTCGTTGTCCTTGGGAGCGCCAAGGATCTTTGAGCTGAAGGCAGGTTTGAAGCCGAATGCACGTATAGGTATGCTTTAGAGTACCTTTGTGTATGTCTTTTTGTGTGCAACGTATGTGTGTGTGCGAGTGTTTGTGGCTGAATTAGCAAAGAAACCTGTAGATGTTCTTTTGAGCTAGAGTACCTTTTTGTATGTGTGTGTGTGTGTGCGCGAGTGTTTGTGTCTAATTACAAAGGGACTTGTAGATGTTCTGTTGAGCAACAGTCCAACAACCTGCTTTCGACTCAGTTTATGAGACTCAGGGTGAGCTACAAGTTCATCATGCATGCCCATCAATTGCTTGGTTCGACCTGCAAAACTGTTGTATGTGTCCAGCCACTAAGAAGCCACATGTTCAACTTGTTGCAGGTCAGTTTGACCAACCCGGATGGGGGGTATCTAAATCAAGGGCCCTTTTCGGTACTCCCTCTCTAAAACACGGCACAAGGCAGCACCGTCCGAAAAGTTCGACCGGCCCCCAGACTTGGCGCCAACGCGGTTGATATTGCAGCCCAAACGACAGGGTGATGTTCCTCTTTTACGTGTCTCACCGTCTCATCCCTGAATTCCTGGACTTTAGTCGGGCTTTGGCCATTTTAGTGGTAACCAAACAGTTTGGTTCCTTTTTTGGGCCAAGCCACTCGTTCGGAAGTGAGGGGTAGTTTGGAGATCAGAAGCTTCAGTCGAAGTGTCCTTCGCCAGACCCGGGGTGAGACACACCGACTGCAGCTGCGATCCGGCGGGGAGCCCACAAGTCGATCGGATGGCCGGATGGGTCTGAAAAACTCAGATTGGTTGTGACTCTTTCTTAGTTTTCAAGGACCCCCCCCCCAAAAAAAAAAAGGGGGAAAAGCAAAAAATAGTGTTGCCTGGAAAACAAAAAAGCACATCCACCTGCCCACAGCGAATCGAACTTTGAACCTGTTGGTTCCTCTTTTTTTCCATCCACGAGTGCTGCTGCGGCTCAATGCGACCAAGCGGCGCAACGAGCGCACCAGCTGGGTGCGCACCAGTGAGTGCTGCTTCTGGCATAGCGACCACCTGAGCTTCCTTTTGCGCAGCCAGAACCCCAGCGGCGCAGACCCCACAAAACGGCGCAACGAACACATCAACGGCGTCCACGTCAACAGCGGCGTCAACAGCGGCGTCTGGATGAAACCATTGAGGTGCAGCTGCGAAGATGAGACTATTCCCCTGATCGTCGCCGAGGAACCTGAGATTAGTTATGGCCAACAAAGGTGACCTTTGGGACTGAGAAACTCCTGTCTCCTCCAAAACCAAGTTATATGTCAATCGTACGAAACAAAGTTAGAGAAGCATTTTTCAGAGCACCCCAGATTTGGGCCACGACTAGGGAGAAACTGGGGGCAGGAAAGTGTTGATGAGTTGGGTGCATTTGGGTAACCGGGGGGCGGGGGGAGGAGGGAATGATCTGCCGGGGCCACTCCCAAAGCGCAGAGATTCTCTGCTGACACCGGCAAGACTAGTGCCAGGCCTGGGAATTGAGGCTGCGTGGGACTGAGAATATGACATATTATCAGCTCGCACCCAGCCCGTATTCTAGTTATACGTATCAACTCACATATATATATATATATATATATATGTATATACATATATATATATATATATACATACCTAACCCTATGTGGCTGCGGCGCCAAATTTGAGGTCCGGACCACTGACCAAAACCCGCAGGCTATCGCCCGATCCAAACCGCAACGCTGGTCCAGACAGATCACCGCGGAATGATCCATGCCCGTTGTGTAAGCCATGGCCACGTATTGAGTTCACACCTTGTTGAAATGAATCCATTATGCCTCTGAGTGGTCTGCTTGGTTTGCCCCTGAGATGCTGATTGCTTTTGGCTGCTTGATAGGGACAGAAATGAGAGTGATAGTGTTGTAGGTTTGGCGGCCCGATTTCTTTGCATATCTCATATGTTGGATTCCCATGCCAGGTCCACAGCGGAAGCTTTAGCTGTAAGCTGTTTTCCATTTCTCAGTAGACTAGGTAGTATGGGTGTGTCTTGTTCTAGGGACCCCAGGAATATAGTTTTCCTCTTGGTTTCGCTGACAGCATGATTCTTCGTGTACCCTTGCGGGCTTGCAGGTCTATGTTAAGGGTTTGGGAGGCACTGGGTTTTTGAGGGGAAGGTTGCAGCTCAACATTCAAGTTCAAGGCAAAGAGCCGTGAACAGAATGCACAAGAACTTTGCCTTCTAGTTGATTCACCGTTTTTCGGTGAACAAGTCATGTTGAGGGGACATCAAGACGAGTCATCAGACGCCTAAAAGGCAGCAACTGCAGGCGATCTTTGCACAATGGAGGGCATGCTGCAGAAGCATTACCAGCATCGAGTGCCGAAGGCAGGGGGAGAGGGAAATGGGCTATGAGGAATTGGCTTTGGGGTCTCGGTATATATTGGGGTAGACTAAATATGAAACATGCTGTGAACATATGGCTGTGGACCAAAATGGACCAAAATGGCACCTTGGCAAATGGAACCAAAGACAAAAACCTGCGTAACCTTAGGTCTTTAATTTTGAGCCACACCCATATGTCTTCTGCGCCCCAGGTGTGGGCCAAATTCATACAGTTCGACCTCAGCTCGACCAAAACCAAAGGGTAGCAAATCGATTGCCCAAACCACGCGGGATGATGCATTGTCCAGCCCCTGATTTGGAGGCAGTTCCCATGTAGGGGGTGGATCTTTCACATTCCAAAGTTTTCTCTTCTTGGGCCAGTGTCTTTCACTTTTAAAGGATCAACTTCTGAAAGTTATTTAAACAAGAGTCCCCACTCGCCTGCAAGCGTTCAACCCTTTTTTGGTTCAGCCAAAACAACCCCCATGTAACCCACAAGCGCGTCACTTTTGGTAGGGGATCTGAAAACGGAGCGGCGCTAGCGGCGCCAGGACCGGTCCACAGCGCCACGGGTGAATCTCACATGGCGCTGGATAGTGTGGCATGAGCGCCGCTGCCCCTTGGCGCCGCGCGGAAGGCGAGTGAGCGTCGAGCGAGCGGATTTGGAGTTGGAGGTTGGTTTCGGCGGTGGGTCTCAGGGCTTTCACGAATTCGGCCAGCTTTATTTTGCAAGTAGTCGTGGGTCTCAGGGTTTTCATTTTGTTTTAGTTTCTGGGCTTCTGGCGCTTTTTTTGGTTGGACCATTTTCAGTGGTGAACAAAGGTTGGTCTGTTTTTGGGCCACCCGCTGGTTTGGAAGTGAGGGGTTTATCGGTTTAAAAGTTTCATACATATATATATATATATATATAGGGGTTGCAGGGAGCGCCAGAAAAGGGCTGGACAGCGGGAGTCGGAGTGTCGCAGGGTTGCTAAAAGGAAAAGCTTTGGCATCCCCACCTCCTTACGTATGGAATTGGGGGAGGGAGGTGACCCCTGGATTTCCATTTGTGGTTCCATTTTCCTTTTTATGGGGAAGACTAGATGTATAAAATTGGGGGTCCCCCACCCCCCTCCTCCTTTTGGTAGGGGGGATGTTTTGGCCAAGATCAGAGTTGCAGCTTTGGAGCTTGTGAATCAGGTGACTTTGGAATGTATATAGCATCTTGGGGGACGCTGCGCGGCCTATGAAGGGTTCTCCCATTAGGTTGTGCTGTGAAATGGAGACCAAAACGGGAAACCATTCAGCTTCGCAACAATGGCTAGGCCCCCACTCATGTCGACCGAACCAACGTTGACTTGGTCTTGATCCCGATGACCGTACTCATCTGAGGACTCACCCTAACATTCCCTGATAGTGTGGAACATAGGCTCCAACCAGCTTTAGGACTTTGAATTCGGCAAGGAGTTGACGGCTTAGACTAGTCAGGAGGGAACAGTCATTCACTCCGGACAAAGTGACTACAACCTTGGCAGGTTTGAACATAATAATTTACGGTGAAGGCCCGCAATGCCGCAACGTGTTTGTTTGCGGCTGGTGATTTCTATCTCCTGGTGTGCATTGTTTCTCGATTCATCAACCATCATGTTTGGTTCAACTGCAAGAATGGACAAAGTCCAAGCTCATCATTTGTTGAGCATAGCCCTGGGCTCGTTTTTTCGTAAATCTTCAGAAGATGCGCCTGCCTTATATCCAAACTGAGCCGGGACTCCTTACAGCAACAGGATTGTCCAGATGTTCCATTTTTGAGTTCCAGACCTTACCTTTCGGGCCAACTCAAAGTTGGGAAGCCTCTCGGGTCCTTGCGGTTGACCTATACCAAGCAACCACACTGCTGTAGGTACCTGGACACCCGAACTGCCCTCAACGACATGAAGTTTGCATGGAACCCAAACAAGGCATACCCCATGTTCGTAGATTCCCCAAAACGAGTCCATGGTTGGGGCTTCTTCCGTTCATTAGTGAAGTAACCCTGCTCATGGCGACGAGCCTTTTGTTTCGGGAGGGATTTTCAGAGACACTGCCGCTGTTTGGGGATGATTTTTTTTGTATCGCAAAGGAAGGACAGCAAATAATTTGTCCAGAGTTGCTTGCTTGGATATGAGCATTTGTTTCATACTCGGCCGTTCGGCAAGAGAGATGTTATGTCAAGTCCTAAACCATTGGTGTCCTTCTTGGCTGATTTGGTTTAAAAATAGAGGGCGATTCCTGGTTTACCTGGTGGTTCAATCAACCAGGGCCCCGCCCCCTCGAGAGCTCGCGAGGGTGGGGCAGAGTGCTGCGAAGACTTTCGCGAGGCCTGCGGGCGTTTTTTTTGGTCGGCGACTTTGAGGCGTCTTTTTGTGAAGGTGCCGCATTTTGGGCCATTTGTTGGGGCGGCTTTAAAGGGAGACCAGAACCACAAGGAGAATTGATTGCTTTGGAGGTCCCCTAAAATAGACATGGTGGCTTTTTCCTCTTGGTGTCCCTTTGAAGCCACTAAAGAAGGGTACCATCAAAGAAAGACAGACCCATTTGCCTATAGGCGAACTCCCAAGGCCATGGTAAGACCGGGCCACTCAAACCTCTACATACCGAAGCCCGAAGTGACCGTTCCATCGTCTATTGCCGTCCGCTCTTTGCTTGCCTTCGGCGGAAAGGAGTCAGTCTCCTTAAACAATACGCGGTGCTTCTACAAGCCTTGTTTGCTAAAGTCGTTGGACGCAATCAGCCACGTCGCATTATGATGATGAAACCATTTGCGTCATCCGCAAGTTCTACAACGATTCCAAAGCGTGCTGGTGCTCAGTAGGGAATGAGAGAATGAACTGAATGAACCTGGTCCCCAAGGAACCACAAGGGATCCGGTTAAAAGGGTCATTCCCTCATTCCTTTCTGAGCACCAGCAAGTATACGGGATGTCAGGCCGAGCGCGAGTGTCCCCTGCAGGCCTGGAAGGGAAGCTTGAAACTGAGCACGGCTTCGTGGAAAGCATAGGTCCCCCCAGTGCCCTTCTCGCCCCTTTTTGGGTTGGGAGATTCGGTTCCCCTACTCAAATAGACTACAGAAAAAAGCTGGTAGCCTTATTCTAACCTGGAGGACCTAGCATGGCTACAGTTGGTTGGATGCTTTGCGCTTATGTGCTTGCCTGCTTGCTTGTTTGCTTTTGGCTTGCTAGTCAGTCATTCAGTCAGTCCTGGTTGGTTGATTGGTCGGTTGATTGGTTGGTTGATTGGTCAGTTTTTTTTTCGCCATTCTCGAGTTTAGTTCAACTGATTCCTCGTCCATCACCGATTTTTTGGGTTAACACCATTCAACCCAGCAGTTGAGAAGCTGACTCTGGCTTTCTTGGTGGCGAAGCTGGCCTCCAGCCTGCGGTTCCTTAGCTTTTTAGATCCGGTTCCCAGCCCTCCGGTTCCCAGCCCCCTTAGCTTTCTAACCTAAAAGTCTTCCTGGCCCCTTAGTGTTTAGTGGCAGTTTTTCCGTATTTCACCCACTAAAAGTTGGTCACTTTTAGCGGGGAATCTGAAAACGGGCCCAGTTTTGGATGGCTTTCTGGAAAGCAGGAACCTCGCACCCAACCGAACCCCGATCGTCAGGAAGCGGCCGGCTGAGAGCCAAGCGCAAGGGCCGCCAGGTGGCAAGAAGCGCAAGACGCTTCGCAGCACGGAGATCTTGCTGGGTACTGGATTAAACGTTATTGGGTTCATGGAAGTGGTATTCAATTTGGGATGGCGGGTGCTGGAGTATGATTTGTTGGGTGGTTCCTGGACGTGATGTTCAATTTTACCTATTCCAGGGATGGCGCTGGTGGGTTTTATATGTATGTTTGGAACTCGGCGGATTTCATGTCTGCCACCAGTCACGGGAGCACTTTGAGGATGCATGTCACTTCATTGGACCCAGTGTCAATTCCTTGTGCGGGCCGCTTTCATCCACCCAGACTTGTTGTCGAGTATGTCGATCTCTCACTTTCAAAGGATGTGTTTATCTTGCAAATGGGCCGTCCAAATTGGACAATGGAAAACTTGGACTTGGAGCAACGTTACAGACCTCGCCTGTCAGCAAGTCAAAATAGTGACGCGGAAGAAGGATTGCTTGGGTGCTGGTAGACAGTTGGTGCTCACACTCATGATGTATATATCAAGGGTCCCTATATTTCCCATTTTGGCGATTTTAAACATCGCCTTTTTGGGCCCATGTTCTGAAAGGTGAGTGTCCCTGGGGGAAATATAGGGAGCCCTGTATATGCTCATGAAGCGAGCATGTATTTTTTGGCAACAAGCTGGTTGACAAGGCTGGTTGAGTGCGAATATACTATATTGTAGTCCTGCTGCTTCCAGCGACTTGACCTCACTGAAATGCAACCTTTGTCTGAAGCTTGCAGTGCTTCTTTGGGGGGCATTGACACGGGTGCTATATTATCGTTGTTTTTTTTTTTCTCCCGCTGGATTGGGATTTTTGTCCAGTCCCTCGGGCAAGCAAGCAAGCAAGCAAGCAAGCAGGCAAGCATGCAAGCAAGCAAGCAAGCAAGCAAGCATGCAAGCATGCAAGCATGCACAAGACAGCCAGCCAGCCAGCCAGCCAGCAAGCAAGCAAGCAAGCAAGCAAGCAAGCAAGCAAGCAAGCAAGCAAGCAATGAAGCGAACCCCCCCAGTATACCCTACACCTGCCCCGACCCACCTCAGACCCTAAACGCACCCCAAACCCACCCTTAACCTGCCCTTAACCACCCTAAACGTACCAAACATGCCTTGAACCCCTAAACTGCACACGCAAAACACCCGATCCGAAACCTCACCAAACCCGCCTTTATCCTCAACTGAACCAACCCAACCAAATTAAACTCCGCAAACACACCCTAGACCACCCATAAACCCACCTACACCTGCACGCCACCCGAAACCCACAACTCTGAACCCCTAAACCCACCCTAAACCACCCGACACCCACCCCGAACCCAACTTAAACCAACCCGGAATAGACCCCTGAGCCCAACCTAAACCAATCCCCCAGTGCACCCTAAACCTGAACCCACCCCAAATAACCAAAACCAACACCCGCCTAAACCAAACCTGAACACCCTAAACCGCCCTACAAGAGCCTAGATGCCTGTCACTCAGCCGTCGACTGGCTCTACGTGAGTCGGAGGGTGTATCTGCACGAGAAGCCGAATGTTCGTCCCGACAGCAACTGGCCGATCAATCCGCAGAATGCGTGGGCTCTGAAAACGGTTCTCGAACAGCCATGGCCCGTGCGCTATTGCGCCTCCCATACCATGTTGATGCGCGAAACCCTTGCCCAAAAGGCCGAGCGTCGCCGACAGCAGCGTTGCTAGGTGGAGAAGGGGTATTAATTCAGGAGGGAAGGCGCGGTTTTCACCGCGTGCTTTTCTTGCCAATTAGCGGAGCCATTTTGGCGTGTCTGTTGCTGCGAGTAGCGGGGTCTACGGATCTCGGCGTTTCCCATAGGCCTGACTGGTACCCGAGGTCGCCGGGGCGCTACCCTGAGTGGGCGCGAATCGTGGCGAGGCTGGGACAGATTTTGTTGGGGACAAGCCAGACCGTGGCGCGATGTCACACAGTGACCGCTCCACCCAAAGCTGGGTCCCAACGGCAAGGTTTGTTCTTCTGAGGAGGGGTGCCTGTGGCACGTCTCTCGGCGTGTAAGGTCCCGTGCAGGGATGTGGCAAGGTCACTCAGCTTGCTTTCATCCTCCTGTCCTGTTTCACTAAGGCACCCGCCAAGTATCCTCGTGAATCTGGCGGTGCATGCACCAAGGACTTCCTGGATGACAGTATAACCTCGAACGCACCCAGCCTACCCTAAACCCATCCTACCCTAAACCAAAAACCTGCCCACCCCAAACCCATGCTAAACCTACCCAACCAAAGCCAACCTAAACCTACCCGAAGCCTACCCTAAGCCTAGGACCTTGAACCGACCTTGAACCCCATACAACACTGAACCCCACCCTAAACTACCAGCTCAACTAAACCAACCTTGCGCCAACCCAAGCTCCAAGGCCCCAACCAAACCTGCGCCGAACCCTCCCTTTACCAGGCCTCCCCGAACCCCCAGCCATCCTAAACCCTAATTGCGCCCTAGACCCACCTTAAACCACTCCAAAGGTCCCCGGAAAATGGAACGGATAAAAATTCCCAAAAGCGCTGGAAACAAATCCCGAAGAAAAAAAAGGGTCGCCCATTGGCATTATCGTATCCGTGCCCGATTGCATCACTGCTCTTTCGCGGTCCCTGATTCTTGGTCTGCCCAAAGTAGCAATCGGGCTTAGTGACCGAAAGTCTGGAAGTTCTTTATTTTCTTCCTCATCCTGACTTCCAACTCTGGGTGTCGTCTTGCCCGGCCTGCCGCCTCCCCCCCAACCCCCCCGCTACTTTATAGACTTATTGCAGAGATATAATTGCACCCCTGTTTGAATCATCACTTTTTCAAGTGTCCAATTTCGCGAGAAATATGCTGTCAAATACAAGATTTTAGGTAATCTATGTAATCCATGTATGTCTGTATGTATGCACTTCTTCGAACATCATAGGGGAAGCCCCCCCCCCCGCCAACCCTTTAAATTCTATCGCACCCGTTCTTGAATCATTGCACCCCTACTTGAATCATCTCTTCTTCGAACATCATGGCGGGGGCTGCCGCCCCCCCCCCCCCCAACCCCCCCGCTACGTTTTAGATTTTCTACAGAGATTTAATTGCACCCCTAGTTGAATCATGACTTCTTCGAACATCATGGGGGGGCTGGCGCCCCCCCAACCCCCCCGCTACTTTTTAGACTTTTTGCAGAGCTATTCGAATCATCACTTCTGCAAACATCATGGGGGGGGCGGCCCCAACCTCCCCTGCTGCTTTTAGTTGTTTTTGTTTTACAGGGGTTGAAATGCCCTCCTATTCGAATCATCTTTTTTTTGACCCCGTCAACCCGCCAGCTGCTTTTTTTGATTATGTTACCCACGATTTGTTGGTGATGCTAGGGATGTTGGTCGGACATGCAGGGGATGTTGAAAACGATGCTGGGGATATATTGAACGCCATGAGTTCTCAAATTTTACTCAGATAGAATACAAAGCCCAAGTCTTTTTCTTCCAGCAAGGTCCCTTCCCTTCAATTCTGCTTGGAACTGTGGCAGTTTCATTCGAAGACACCAGTAGCTTGCAAATGGGGTAGGCAGTGGCCCAAACAAATGAGTTGAACCATAATACTTGGATGTTCGGCCAAGCTAGTCAACGCAACCAGGGTCATAACCCAATGACAGGGTTAAGTCCCCTGAAAGCTTCAGGGGACCTATAAGCGGGTTGTAACCCAGGATACCAACTAAACTAAGTTAGGCGAACGTTTTTCTCATCGAGCCAAAAGCCATGACATATGTTGGCGGCTGTTAGTCCAAGTCTGGTGACTGAGACAAACACCCTATGGCTTCCAGGGCTCAGCCCTGGACAAATACAAATGGGCGTTAATTGATGCAAGTTTGCACCGCAGATGTAGCTACGATGTGTTCTGTTATATATATATAATGTATAAACTGCACAACCACTACCAAAAGCACAATACAATTCAATTTGCATACTTGTTCAGCAGCCATGAGCTCGTGTTGATTGTTGTTTGTCAGATAAAAGGCTCATGTTAGCTCGCAGCCATGAGCTTCAAGAAAAAGCGAAACAGCCATGGCGCATAGCAACACGCGTCTTGTTTGCATGGCCTGATGAATAGACCTGTTCTATTAATAGGGCCGTGTTCCCCTTCAACAGCAACCGTGTCTCGCAGAACCCAGGGACACCCACCTATTAACAAACGTGGTTGATGCGGGGTTAGAACTACTGTTTCAACATGTGGTTTGTTTTGGTTTCTCAATCTTACTCTTCAGGGGCAGCGGCATTTTGCGACAGACCCGGTTTCCACACTCACGACCTTTAACCCCGCCTTACTGGGTCAGCATGTGCCATAGCAATCTTAGGTTTTTGCCTCTGGACTAAAAGGGTGAAGCAAGACATGCTAAACAATCCTAGGTTTAGGGTTAGCAGGGGACAGAATGCGACCGTAGGTTCGGCCCTCCTTTAGTGTTTTATCATAGATCACATGATGCGTCAGCTGCCCGGTTTTGAAAAGTAGGCTTTGTCTAATGACACCTTGGCGGAGAATTGTTCTTTTTTGGACCCCGCGAAAGTGAAGGAGCTCGTTGCTCTTGGGACCTGATTGGGACCCGTTTTGGGACCCCAGGGCCGACCTTTGAAAAACGTGTTGCTTGATTCTTTGTGTTTCTCTTCAAACCAACAAACAGTTGTCACTTTTTGCGGGGGATCCGCGTGGGGACCCAGTATTTTTTTTTGGTGCCAGAAGACACTCGCGGTTTTTGAGAAAACGTGCCTGTTTCTGAGGCGTTCTATGAGGCCAAATGATTCCATGTTGATCGCCCTAGGGTTATGACTGGAATTGATTTTACAATACTCCAAAATCTCATGAGTTGTTTTTTTCAGGCCCTTGTAGAACGTCCAGCGAATGTTTGGATGCAGTGGGCATGAGATTGTAACACAGCAACATGGGCAAGGCACGACTGGCAACTCAAGCTTGCCATGCGACCCGTGTTAAAAGTTTCACAACAAGTGACTCCCTCTAAAATTGAACTTGGAGCCCAAAAACGAGGTCCTCCAGACAGAGCTCCTCAAAATTGGTGTGTTTGTAGGTTCCATGTTAAGCTGCATAAAAGCCTTGATGCCTTCCTAGATGTGCAGCCGGCTCGGATTTGCTCTGACGGGTTGCGGAAAGGGGGATGTTGCCAGCCTGAGAAACCAGAGAACTTCTCTAAGCCGCTTCCGATACCGTATGGCCGCAAAACTGCAGCGGCCGTTGTCACAAGCAGTGGCTAGGGCTAACTCAATCTTCACCTGCCGGAAACGCCTCAACATTCCCATACTGGTTTCCGAACAGCCATATCGTATGATGAAACCTATTTTCTAGGGGTACCTTGGCCATTCTTTCCAGGGATCCTTCTTTCTAGAAAACCTCCGGAATCCCACAAAAACGGCTGGTGTTTGAAAATAACGATGGTTGAAAGGAATGGGGAATCAACCCCTAGATGTTTGACAAAATAGGATTGCTTGGGAATCCACCTAAAGCCTTGTTTGGTGTTTGTGACCTCAGCCAAGACGTGTGGTTGGACTCGGTTGGACCCGCCCGCGTGGTGTTTGGCTCTATCCGAGGAGAGCTGTCGCGTGCTCCAAAGAGGAGGTTCTGGCGATGCGTCCGGAGGCTCGCTGATTGCTTTCGAATTCGGCTCTAGATGAGCCACAATCAAAACCCGGGTAGATGAAGGTTGGTAAGGGATAATCCCAACCAGAACTAGCTTCGGCCGTCTTCTTAATTCCTTACATAGTTCTGGGTAGTCCATTTTAGTACCGGATTTTGATTGTGACTCAGATGAAGAGCGGAAAGAGCATCTCTTACTTCCAAGTTCGAAGACTTTGGTCACTTTTTGGGTTTGGACCATTTAGTAAATGAAATGTTTGGTTACTTTTTTGGCCAATCTCCCTCAGGAAGTGAGATCTGGGTTCGAAGCTCTACCAGATAATAGGGTAGACTTCAAGCAGTGGTTTGAACGGGTCAGACGCATAGGTCTTTGGATGTCCTTTCTTTTTCCAGGCCGCGGTTCCATCCCTCAAAGCCCAAGGCAAGATCCTCCTGTTGCAGGCGTTGAATTCTTATCTTGGAGAGGGAGTCGTTGAATTGTCGGACCCTGGTGCCGTTTGGGTGTGTGTGTTTTGAGGGTGCCCTTTTTTCTGTATTATGTTAAAGCATGCCGACAAGGACACCATCATTTCGGGGTTCTCTATTTTTGGCACATACCCACGTTGGCCTGCTTTGTTTGATGTGTTGTGCAAAGTGTTCCAGGCATGTTTGACCAGTCGTCCACCCTCTACTTCCAAGAATCGGTTCAGGATTTTACATTTTGCCGGCGCACCTGTTGTGTTTGGACGTGAATATTGATGCCGGATTGAACGTCTACGAGTTGTCACACCACATCAGTTCCTTGCTTAGCGGCTGTGGTTAAGCTATGTTCTGCCAAGCGACACCCACCAAGGGACGAAGGTCATGTTAACCGCAGTTTAGTCAACCCAGTTTATTAATATGGGGGTGTTCCCCTCCAAAAGTGACAAATCCCCACCAGAGGAGAAGCACGCCCCACATTAATAAACTGGGGTTGATTAGTCTGAGGTCAACATTACACGTTTACACAAAAACATGGCAGTGTGGAGGCCTCGGATTTTTGAAGACACGCATACGGGTCCAATTTTAAATGAGGTTTGTGCACCAAACCATGTTGGTTGGCTAGAGTTCTGTATATGGCCGTGGGTCAAAACCAGTACCATTTTGGGATAGGTGAATTCTCCACCCATTTTGGTCTATTTTAGTGGTTGGATTGGTTGATGTTCACTGGGGGTACGATTTGGGTTTTGACCCATGGCCATATTTCCCCTTTGCTGGTTGCAAACCATACCGCTTGGCCTATTTCCAAATGACTTTCCCTCACGAGGGTGATGTAAGGCAGAATGTAGGGAGCCCGATTGGTGAGTGAGTGGAGGAAATATTAAAGAAAGCACAAGTTACAACTTTTTCGAGCCCGACATGACTTGGTCTGCTTTTGACTTTTGACATTCCTTCTGGACAAAAGTCGTAGATGCCCCGAGCATCACCAGTCATTTTGCAAAGAAAATCGTTTTCCGGAAGTGGTCGACACCCAAAAGCATCACAGTGTTTCAATTGGTGAATAGATTCTACTAAAGGAGATGTCGCTCTGGTCCGTAGACTAACGTGATCGACACCCGTGGTGATGCCGCGCTTTAGTATGAAAATCGTGCCTTTCCGAAGGCTAGCAGTTTTAAAGCGAAGTGACCCAGGTTGGAAAGAACTTTGCCCTCGAACGGCTTTCAAAAGTAGAATTCAAAGCTAGCACAGTTGAACAGATGCATTTCTCTGCACCCCTTTGTTGGCCAAGGTTTCTACACTTGAGCCACAATGAAAACCCGGGTAGATGAAGGTTGGTAAGGGACAATCCCAACCATAAATAGCTGCAGCCGCCTTCTAGATTCCTTACATGGTTCTGGGTAGACCACTTTAGTACCGGGTTTTGATTGTGACTCACTTGGGGGTGTCTTGCCTGCTGCGCTTGGAGCTTCGCACTTCAGGACTCGCTGAGTTTTTGTTTGTTCTCTTTTTTTCGCCAGGCGCGGGCGAGGTGGCTGTCAGAGGCCTTCAAGAGCACGTCGGAGGGGCAGCTGGCGGTGAGCGAGGTGCTGAACGTTGTTCTGGACCCGGCGCCTCAACTCGAACAATTTCTCGTGGACTAGAGCCTGAGGCTATCAACGAAGAACCTCCCATCCCCACCCCCTTGAATATGGAATTGGGGGAGGGAGGTGACCGCTAGAATTCCATTTATGGTTCCATTTCCCTTTTATGGGGAAGACTTGATATATGGCATTGGGGACCCCCTCACCCTTTCGGCAGGGGGGATAACTGCCCAGAAGAAAGGCTGATCCATGGCTTATCTATGGCTTATGCAGGGAGTGTATTTTTGTTGAGGGCACTTTTTGTGGGGCTGGTTTTAAAGCCGTGCCACAAGGGAAACCACCCGTTTTGGGATCCGCCTATTTGACACAAACCCGTTTGGTTGATTCGTTGCCCAGTAATTTCGAGCCAAGCCTCGGGGTGGAGTGTCCGAATCAACACACATCGCCCAGAATGGGTATCCACAGCGTTCCTTCGGTCCGTTTAGGGGACCCCCTTTTCGGCCTGCTATAAGGGGAAAACCAAAAGGAAACGGCCGCTGGCTCTATTGTGCAAGGTGAATTTGGCTTCTGTGTGGTGCATTGCGTAATTTTTTAGCCCGGCGCAACAGTGCTTGTTTGCGCTCGCATTTCAAGACTTTGTTTTTTGGCGCCAAAGTTTGCGAGCTGTCTTGACATGTCTGAGCCCATGTTTGTTGTGGAGCATTTCGCGCGGTGTGTTACAACAATTGTTTTCTGAAAGCCGTCGTTCGCCACGGATATTTCATGTTATTCTGATGTTTTTTCTTGTTGTTTTTTTTCTTCAGGAGAGTTCCTTTTCCCAGACCGTCATTACAACCAAAAGGCAACCACCTATTTTGCGGCTTTCCCTATTTTCACACTCTATTCTTGCTGGTGCGCAGCCGGGAATGAGAAATGGAATGACCGATAGAGAAAATCCATCCAACCTATGGTTCCTTCTAGCCGGGTCATTCCTAACACCTGGACTTGTTGTCACTCACTACCTATCGCCACCAGGGCTTTTTCATTTGGACATCCCCCAACCCCCGTGGAATTGGTGGCATCAACGGTGGTGTCACCATCCCCCTTTTGATGCCGAATCCATCCGTGGAATTTGTCCTTGGAAAGGCCAAACGCCTGCAGTGGGTGGAATCAGTGGCATCAACGGTGGTGAGGCTACCTGTTGTAGGTTTCAGTAGGAAACAACAACCGGAAAATCGTTAGGCGAAGCCAACAGGAATCCAGCCGTTCTTGCTGGTGCTCAGGGAATGACTTTCCGAGTGTTGGGAATGAGCCGGTTTGGGGATGTCCTCAATGTTTGTCAAAGGAATCCACCAGTTGGATTCTCTCGATGGGTCATTTCAGCTCATGTCCTGCAGAGAGCCAGCAAGAACCCCCCCCCGCAGAAGCTTGTTTCCCCCCAAATTTGTTGGTGTCCTTCTGGTTTTCGCTGAAACCAACCACCAAAAGGGGGTTCTCTTAGCTCCCTTCCAGGACACACTTTTGGGGCTTTGCCTACTTAGATGGTCTTAGACTTAGCCAAATGGTTAGCAACCCTGGTTATACTGGTTATAGGGGACGTACAACCGTGCTAAGTGGGTTACAACCAGGCTTACTAACCACTTAGCTATCTCCCAGACCATCTAAGTACCGGTTGCCCCTGTCACGCCTGTCGGTTTCCTTCCGCAGGCAAATTTCATGTTTCCGGAGGCCTTCCTCGCGGGCGCGGAGGACCCCGCCGCCGGGCGGCTGCTGCGGCTGCTGAAGGGCAACCGCCGGCAGCTGGACGAGGCGCGGGAACGCTTCGGAACTCGGAACCCGCCGCTTCGCTTCAGGCGGTTTCGGGCGGTTTCGGCGGTTTTCGGCGCGCCTCGGAGGCGGGACGCGAGGGTTTGGTTTCAAGGCATTGTTTCTTTCAGAGAGACATATTTGAGCGATTGAGCCATCCTATGGAGCCTGCGGGCAATTCTGGTGCGAAGGGCAATCGCCATTAGTGTAAAACGTTTGACCCCTTTGAATTTGCCTCAGGTTTCAAAGGACACCGAAGAGATCGCAAACACGGCCATATAGGGCCTGCATTCTTTTGTTAATGGCATGGCGATCTAGACCTCTGGAGGCATGTTGGTTTGCTTCCCTCCCGCCAGGAATCTGGGACGTCGGTCGCGAGGGAGTTTTCCGGGGGGTCGTTTGGGCATCAAGGCACGGAGTGATGTGTTCAGCTTGGGCATTTGCATGTCTCGCCCAAAGCCAAAGGGTTCAACAGGGCTCCTTAAAAGATCTCCATTTTGCAAGTTGAAACATGTGGCTTACACCAAAAGGGGACACCACAATTTACAAGTTGCAAGGTTCGATCGGTGCATGCGGATCCCTGTTCAACAGGCAAAGCAACACAACCAATGTCTGAACCGCTGGTTGTGGGTCAATGGGAATCCACCCCCGGAACACCCTGAAAAAAAACCCAAAAACAAAAACAAAAAAACGCCACGCTCCAAACCACCAACTAAGAAGCTGGAAAGCCCGAGAGCCGACTTTGCTGTCGGTTTCCGAAGCGAGGTAAACCTAGAGGGTGAAAGATGGCAAGGATTTCTCGGGTAGGGGGTGATTCCAACTGAGGGTGAAAAATAGAGGACCTGTCCAGGGGTACCATTTCCATTCTTTCCAAGCATCCTTCTTTCTAGAAACCTCCCGATTTGAAAAGAATGATGGTTGAACAGAAACAGGAAGCAACCCCTAGAACCAGGTTGACCTGGTTGTTTTATCAACATCTCTACCCTCCCACTCAGACCAACGTCTTCCATTTGCTGAAATCAATATTTCTTATTTTCCCCTGTTGGTACAGGGGAGCTATCACTGCTGGAGATATATGCTTGTTTTTTTTTCCAGGGGAGGTACAGAAGAACGCTCCCTAACATTTGCCACATATCCAAGTCTTTCAGCCGCGGAGCTTTCATGGAATCGGCCTGAGGGTAAGTGATTTTAAAGGGATCCATAGAGAACCATTGAATTCTGGAGTACCCACATTCAGCAGAATCCAGTGTTTTTTTTTTCAGAATCCTTTTAAGCTTTCAGCATCGCACCTACCAAGGGGCTTCGACCATGGCACATGTGACCAGTATTTTGCCGCCCATGGCGTTGTCATTGAGCGTGTTTTTTCTTCCATGGGCGTTGGCTGTACCCGATTGCGAAGCGGGAACTTGTGACCTTGAGGAGTCGTCCTTGCTGCAGCTTCATCGAGTGGATGAGTATAACTTTGGAGGGATTGTGCCAGGCGATCCTCTCTACACAGACTTGGAGGGGGCACACATGCCGCAGCTGCCGTTCTTCGGCACGGTCCCGGCGAACTTTTATGCTGGATCTGCGTGGCCACAGTGTAAGAAGGTGGTGGAACACATCCGGGACCAATCCAAGTGTGGATCTTGCTGGGCGGTGGGTAGCATTTCCACCCTGAATGATCGCTTGTGTGTGATGAAAAATGACACGACGACAATCCTTTCGGCTGATGACCCTTTAGCCAACTGCAATAGCACCATCGATGGTTCGGAGCTTCCAACCTGCGTGCGCCCTGACTTGGGAGGTTGCTTTGGTGGCCAATTGGAGTTTGTGTGGAAGTGGTATGTGGAGATCGGCGCTGTCACCGGAGCAGGATTTCTCAAAGCAGAAAAGGATGCAGGCGCCACCTGTGCACCATATCCCTTTCCTCCGTGTCATGATCCAGCTTGGGCGAAGAGCGCGGCATGCAACAAGGCTTTTGCTACACCTCCAGCCTTCAGCAGGTGTCCTGACAAGCTCTTCCCCGTGTCATATTGGCAGAACAAACTAAAGGCCAAGACGTGGTACAAAGTTCCTAGCAATCAGATCCAAAACGAGATCATGGCTCACGGATCGGTGAGCTGCCAAGTGTCAGCCACCTGTTCCATGCTAAACTACACGGGTGGTGTCTATGTGCCCTCAGGCCAAGTGTGTGGTGGCCACGTCATGCGAATTGTCGGCTGGGGCGTGGAAGTCGACCAGGACTACTGGTGGGTAGCAAACTCCTGGGGGGCTCAGTGGGGCTTGCAAGGCTTCATCAAATGGATCCGCGGCATTGATGCTCAAGGCATTGAGAGTGGCGTGGTGGCGGGGCTCTTGTGAAGAGTGGACTAGCATTCGACTTAAGTGCGGTTATGAGATGCGGTCATTCGTGAATTCAATTTAATCAGATGTGGTGATCGCCCAGGTGGGGGAATCTCCCTGCCACTCTGGCCTTCCACAAGTTACGTGGAATTCGAGGGCAAGCCCAAAGCAGGTGAGAGGAACAGACTTCCAAGAGCAACAGATTACGCGCAAAGATGTATATGTTTGGCTAAGGTTTGAAGGACCCCCGTACCATTTCTTTGCGAAGCATGCCGCTGTAGTGAGCTTCCACATCATGAAGACCGGAGAGGGATTCTTAGCAGCCTCAGAGTTTGATCTCTAGGTTCAGCCTGGTACTTCACGGTTCTCCTGAATACTCCCTGGGAAAATTCACGTGGAACCTCACAACTTGGGAGTTAGGCTAACTTAGCAAGCAGCCAGCCAAGCGGAAAGCCGCCATTTTGTGGGCCCCTCTATTTTGAGACATACCCACATGATTGTTTGGTTGCTTGGTTCTGCTTGGGGACGATCATGTGATGACGAAGCAGGACCAGCTGAGCAAGCAGTTGGTTATTGTTGCTGTTCTTTTGACGATACCTTGTGGGAAGCTTGTTTTTAAGGCAAACAAAAGGAACACACCCATTCTTGGCGCGTCCTCTTCAAGAACGCATAACAAACTACACATTCCTCATTGTTTTGTTTGTACTTTCCGCGAGCGCCCTTTCCTTGGTGGTTCCCGGCCATGCAGTTAGTTTTCAGTTGGTTTAGTGCTAGGGTTCCCATACTTCACCCACAAGTCAACCGCACCTTTAGCAGCTCAGAAAACGGACAGCCCGTTTTTCTCCCCAACCGCTCTTTCAGCTTGGTGTCGATGGCCCCAATCAGCGCGGAGGCTGTCGGAGGCAGTCGGTGTCGGGGCGGTCGGGTCGGGTCCCAGTCGCCTCGATCAGGAACAAGCGCAGCGCCTGGAGCCGCTTTGCCGCGGCCCGAGCTTGCGGTTGTTTTTCCGCGCGAAGGAGGAGAAGGAGCTCTGGGACGAGCTCCATAGGTTTCCTTGCGAGTTCTCCAAACAAACACATGGAACCACCAAACAAATGACCCAGTAGTGTGGGGACGTGTCGTTAACATGGGGGGGGGAGCCCAAAAATGGGGGACCCAAACAACAAATGATCAAAAATGGTGGGGTTTCTTTCGGTGAATCCGAAAATGGTACACTCAATGAAGGCTGATCACACTTTGAGCGACATCGCACTTTGGCCAAACTTTGCTCGTTGAATATCAATAGGGCCAAAATCATTAAAGTGGGGTCGTGGGTACATCATTGAAGTATCATTGAAATGAGGCTGTGGGTACTACAAGATCAAACTCATGTTAATGAAGATTTCTGTGTAATGATTTAGGACTACAATTTATGCCAGCAGACTCATTGATCAGAACACAAGGTGGGGAATGCTTCAGCTTCATGCTTGGAATGAGCATTCGGATCATGCTACGTTGAGATGCAGGAGCGGCCAAGAGGGCATCTATGCCTCACGAGGTTAAATGCATAAGCAATGCATAGATGTCTTTTTATTGAGGGTATCCTTTCTTGGGAGCTGTTCAAGCATACCCATTTGTCTCCCACCAACCTATTCGACGCAAATCAAATATTTTGATATTATCTTTGTGAAACCGTCCCTCAAATGAGCAGCGTTTTTTTTGTTTGTTTTTTTCTTTTTTATGCAAGAGCCAAACGGAGAGGGGAACTGGCATGGTGGCCGCGTAGCCTACTCCTGGGACCGTGTAGCCTCGCGTAGCCTCCGCGTAGCCACTAGCAAAGGGAGCTGTCCAGAATCGTCCGCGTAGCCTCTGCATAGATCCTTTGTCTTGAGCTAAAGGCTTAGGTTGAAAGCTTGCACGTCTCTGAGAAAGAGGGTGTTTTTTTTTGCCTTGCCGGGGCAAAGCTGAGTTCGCTCATTCCGCGTAGCCTCAGCGTAGTCTGCGCGTAGCCTCCCCCTAGCCTCCAAGGCGTATTCAAGGCCACTGGGCCACAGGCCTACTACTACTGCTACTACCACTACCACTACCACTACCACTACCACTACCACTACCACTACTACTACTACTACTACTACTACTAGTACTACTGCTGCTGCTGCTACTACTACTACCACTTCTTCCGTTTGCCCACGCACTTTCGCGTAGCCCCGGCGTAGGCCCCCGCGTAGCCACTTATCAACCAATATGTTCCACGTAGCTTCCGCGTAGCCAAGTTCCTTGGGAGGAAAGACCGCCGCGTAGCCTCTGCGTAGGTATGTGGCTTCCAGTGTATAGGCCCCACACATTAAAATTAAAAAAAACAAGAAAATAAACACGGCTCAAATGGTGTTTGTGCGGGATGTTGATTTGAGCAGCAAAGAGGGGCCTTGGATTTTTTGTCCCTCACATGAAGCTCTGTTTCATTGGGAACCCATTTTTTAATGAATGGTGAAGGACATGTTCGTTTTTGTCTTTCCGGTTGGTGGAACCCACGTTTTCGATAGCTGGCTTTGCTGCGGGTTTTTCTGCCCGGAGCTTTCAGGGTGAAGGTTTGGTTCTTGTGGAGATGGGACATTTCCGCATCATTTCTGCCCCCAAAAACACCTCCGAACCACCGATTCGGATTCAAACCACCAATGGGAAGGTGAAAATTTAAGTCTTCACTGTTTCAGATGTCGCATGAGATCGATTGCCAGGCGAGCAGTGCCTAGCGTTGTCGCAGGAGGCGGGCCCTGCGGCTTTTTTGACATTTATCGACTTAGCGTTCCTCAGTTTCGCCACTTCAAATTGTGTGGGAATTCATGTTGGTGTGAAACCGAAAGGTTGGACATGTTTTTGGTCAACCCGCTCGGAAGTGAGTCACTTTTCACTTGTTGCCTTTTTGGGTTTCCTTGGCAAAGGCAAAACAGCTTTTTGCAAGGGGTCTCAGCATGGCCCAGTGTTGAACCGTGCGGCACTGTATGCATGACCTTTTGGGCTTTTCAAAGGCAATCCTCAATCCTTGGGTTACCCATCTCATGTTGCACGGCCCAGTTTATTTGACCCAACTGTCAGGGACCTAGCCTGTTTCCGGAAAGGTGGTCAACCAGCACAGGATCGGGATGGAAGGCTTGGCTTGTCACCTGCCACGCTTCAATACGCATGAGACCCACGCCGTTAGATTGATTCATTGCCGGCCCCCCTTCCCAACCCCCCCGGAACTAAACTGCCCGTACGTTGGATTGATTCATGTCTCCCCCCCAACCCCCAACCCCCAACCCCCAACCCCTCCCTCCCTTCCCCTTCCCCTCCCTCCCTTACCCCGTCACAATTTTTAAGAGCTCTTACAGTACTCAGATGCGCAAATGTGTTCCAATCTCAGCCGCGTCCCTGGGCAGCTGTTGTCAATGTGCCTCAAATGAGACAACGACCTCACCGAAGATGTGCGGCCTAGCCCATGAATGTGTTTTTGTTTTTCTTCCGGGGAAACCGCTTTTCAGGTTGGTGACTTGCTTTAACTCATCCATGGTACTTGTATGTCCATATTCCCATGCTTGTTCTACGTCAGCGTTTGTCAATATCTTACATTTCTGTCCTTGGCTGTGATGACAAGCAATAAACATATTAAATTCCTAGATTTAGTTGACCAAGTCGCCTTGCCGCACAAAAATGTTTGGTTTGGCCATACATACCTCGATATTCTTTTTGGGTGCTATACTGCTATACTGCTAAAAGCACCTGCTTGCCATCAGACTTAGCCCACCAACACGGAAGTCCAGAGATCCTCTCTCCGGCGCGAAGCCACGGGTGGGGTTAGTATTGTTGATTGCCTCTTAAACCAGCCTGCAAAGCTCACTTCCCCAGTTTCTGGACTTTAGACTCTTTTTGGGTTTGGGCTAGTTCCCTTGGTACCCTTATTCTAAGCTCTTTGCTGGAGGACCCTAAGGCTTGGTTTCCTTTTGGTTTCCAAACAGAAATGCAAAAAAACATTTGCCCCGCCCCCGAACAACTGAAAGGCTGACTTGGGGCTTGGTTGAAATCCTAGCAAACCGTTTGGATGCGTTTTTTTTGGTGGATTTCACTAGTTCTTCCCCCCGCAGGTTCTTTTTCAGTACTCTTTTAGTATTCTTTCAATATCCCGCAGGGGTGGATGCACAAAAGCCACATCATCCCCACCCCCTTAAACATGGAATTGAGGGAGGGAGGTGACCCCTGGAATTCATTTGTGGCTCCATATAGGGCCCCCCCCCTCCCCCTTTTGACTTTTGCTAGGGGATGCCAGGCGCAAACGATGCAGCAGCGCCAGCGCGAGCTCGCAGAAATGAAGGCAAGAGCGGCAGACTCGGGGCTCGATGGGCGGAATCGGAAGCCCGGAGGAATCGACCCCGGTTTATAACAAGCGACCTGCCCCTGGGAAAAGTACACCCCGGTTTATTGGAGTTTTGGCTAGGTTTCGGTTCTGAGTAGTGCCCTTGTACATCCGTTTACCAACTTTCTTGGGGCAGGGTGCCCCTACTAAAATAGACTACAGAAAAAAGCTGGTACCCTTATTCTAACCTCTCTACTGGAGGACCTAGTTGGTTTTCGTGGGGAGTCATTACTGTTGGAGGGAACACCAACTTCGGGTTTATTTATCCGGGGTCAGGATTCAGTGTTTTGCTTGCCCCAAACTGAAGCAACTTGGCGGTTTACAGCCAGTTCATAAGATTTTAGGCTTTTAGACTGTTGCGTTTAGAGTTTAGAGGGATTTGTATTTCATATCCCGCTGGCCCTTCGGGATCAACGAACCACTAAGCTTATGTGTGTTTTTATTTCCTCTGAAAAGCGATCTTTAGGCGTGAGTCGACCACGGGCGACGGAAACAGTAGCGTGTCTTTGGGAGTTGCTTCACTACCTGTTTTGTTTAGAAGAGACACGCAGGGGGACTGACCCATTTTAGGGGCCGGTTAAGTATTACTCAGTTGCCCAGTTTTCCTGATTTGATTGATTTTTGAGGTGAAGTGTTTGAGCTAGCCAAATGCAGTCGGCTGGTCGCAGATGGAAAGCAGAGTCCCGAAAATAGATTTCACCCATGGGAAACTGAACCCGGCACGGAACTTTGGTCCATTCCACGCAGACTGAGAAGTACGGTGCCTTACAATGCGCCCCTCAACTCTTGATGTGCGCAAATTACTTAGAGAAAAATTGATGGGAGCCGGCGCCCCACCATGTTGGTTCTATACTTCTCCGATTGTCGCTAAGGGCGGGTTGGCGATTTTGCCCAAGGCAATGTGAAGTTTCAACATGGGTGTGTTTCTCATATGGCGGCTTCGTCAATGGGAACACTAACACAGAAGAAGATGCAGAGTCGCCCATGCAGGTCCTTACATGTCTTGCTGCAGGGGCCGCTGCCTTCATAGCACTGGGGCCGCTGCCTTGCCTAAAGATGCGTGACTGCCCTGTTAAACAAATCCCAAGTCACATGCGTGTTATTGACGGGTCCAAAGTTGTGGTAGTCCAGTACCATAAGGTGAATGGTTCGAGAAACGGATCCACACTTCACCACTGTCTTGCGAACAGAACTTCCAGCCGTTATCTTCGGTCAAGGGCCGACACTATCACAAGATTTGATTCAAAGCAACATGGTTTATTTGCGTTGTTGTCTTTTGTTTTTGGGGGGGACATTTTATTAGCCTGGAATGCATCGTGGTTGATTGACTTCCTGGGTATTATGTTCTACAAACAAAGTCTTTATTTAAGTCTGATGGAAGCATCGCAGACCCGCCATGCATCCTTCACTGATAGGTTCTCTTCATCCCCATTCAAAAGCGCAACATGGGCCCATCGAGCAATGCAAGGTTCCCTATAGTTTCCTTTGATTAAGGCATCACCTTTTGAACAAATTTAAATTCATTTTCTGTTTGGCGTTGTTGCGTAGGAGCGGTGTTCTGTAGGAAGGGGAATGTGAGTTTGAACCTCCAAACTAGATGGTGTTCCTTTGGGTTTTCCTTTGAACCAATCTCAGCAAGGGTACCCACCGACACCCCAAACTCATAGCCACCCATGTGCGATTGTCAGAGGATTCGGGAAAGTCATTAGCCCCTCAGTACTTGCTAGGGAATCTAGACAATGGACATGGTTCCGCCAAGATCACTCATTCGTGCAGAACCACTAATTTGTCCATGTCCTTCAGTCACAGGTCCTGGCGGGAGGGGGGAGGGAGAGAAGGGGAGGTGGAGGTGGAGGGGAGGGGAAGGAGCCCAAATAAGACTTTAGTAAGAGCTAATTTGGGCTCCTCCTCCTCTGTCAAGGCCCCACGATTTAGAGGAAGTACTTAGATGGGCTGGGAGTTAGCTAAGTGGTTAGTAAGCCTGGTGGTAACCCACTTAGCATGGTTGTAAGTCCCCTATAACCAGGGTTACTAACCATTTAGTCAAGTCCAATACCATCCAAGTAGGGTAATTCTGACAGCGTATACTGGGAAAGAAAACCTAGGTGTCCTCTTTGGTTGGTTTGCTTAAAAATTAGAGGGGCTCCGATTCCTGGGCTTTAGATGGGGTTGCACGGTTGCCCCATTTGCCAGGGAATCCCGGCGATTTTTCGCCAAAAGGCCAGCTATCTTCGCCGTTCTTGGCATGTTTTTTCAGTTTTAGTTTTTTTGATTGTTGCTGGGGGTCTGCAAAAATCAGTCAGTTTTTTGCAAGCCCATACGAAGAGTAGAGATGCAATGGTTATCTACCGATTCTTGGAGTCCATTGGCTCCAGGCGGCGGCCGCCGAGCAAAGGCGACTGGCCGCTCGACAGAACATCTCACGTGCTCGGGTGTATTACGCGCGCCCCAACACCCCAAGAGGGGCCAAAAGCGCTGAGCAGGTGGCGGTTTCTGCGCCTGGGTTCTTGGAGTCGCGAGGCCTATAGAAACCTTTGTGGCCATGCTGGTAGTTCAAAGCAATTCTGTTGCAAAGGGTTGAAAGACCAAGCCCGGCGAGTCAACGGCTAAATCTTTGCCCATTGAGCTGCAGTGGCAACTTGATTTGCATGCCATGCTCGGCAGATTGAGAAACGTGGGCTTTCGCCCTTGGAAAGCACAATCCATGGGCCAGGTCTTCATCTTGTCAGCCAAATGTGAGCAAATGCCAAACATGATTTTCAATCAGGTTGCATGAGCTGGCTAGAAACGGTGCAGCACGTATTTGCAAGTGACACCATGTCCCAAAGCCAAGGCCAACGATGTTCAATGCTCTGTGTAGTTTTCGAGAGCACTGACATGTCACCTGTTTTGATAGCAGCTTCAGCCTCCCGCATACGCGTGCGTGTTGTGTTCTTTAGTCATAGCATGCGTACGAAGATCCTTCAAGATATGCCACCGTGGTAACCATGCTGCCGGCAAAACCAACTGCCAGCAGGTGCTGGCTGTGGTAGATATTGTTATTCGCAGAGGCCCGCTTTGACTGCTGCAAATTCAGCTTTCTATATAATTATTGGTGGTTTGGTGGTTTGGTGGTTGAGGGTAACCGGTAGTGTGTCCCATTCCAGGGGTTCAATTCCCGAAAACTAAAGGTTGCCTGAAGAATGGTCAACGCACAGTCCCCATGTTCAAGACTTAAACCCTGAGGTCTTCTGTCGGAGTACATGGCGATTTCCAGCCACTGGACGTTTGACATATCTCGCGTTTCGAGGGATTTCTGACATGTCGCACCAAAGTTTCTTTTGTTAGCAAGAGATCCGCAAAAAAACACAATTACTTTCGTTGGTTTGCGCTGTTTGGCTCCCATTGTCCCCCTTTTCATTCTGAGGCTACCGACGCACCTGCGAGCGAAGAGACGGCGAAACAAGCGTGCTTTGCGTGCTTTGCGCCTGGGAGACCAGCGGTGTTTTTTTTGGTTAATGTTGACCCCGGATTAGTAAACCCGTCCCATTATTAGGGGTGTTCCCTCCAAAAGTGATGAATCCCCACTAAAAGGGGACACCCCCCTATTAATCAACCAGGGGGGTTTATTAATCCGGGGTTAACATTAGCCTGGCTAGGTCCCCCAGCTAGGTGCCCTTTTACCGTTTCTTTTTGCGGGGGGGTTCCCCTTCTAAAATCGACTGCAGAAGAAAGGGTACCCTTATTCTAACCTCTCTACTGGCGGACCTAGTCAGCAAAACAGGCATAGGTGTCCTTCTCGGGTGATTTTCATGGCACTGGTTGCAGTTTGGTAAGCATGTTGACCCACATCTCGCCAGGGGCCACAAGCGGTCTCAGACTTGTTTGTGTGCTTTCTTGGGACACGGCGGTTTGCTTCCTGCCGGAAAACTCTGAAAACAACTCAAATAACATGAAGCTCCAGACTCCGCCTCAAACTCAAGTGGGGGATCGAGTTCAAGGCTGAGTGAGTGTTTTTCTTCTTAAGTTGAAGGTTGAGGTGTTTCTGTGTTTTTGCTGAGCTGTGCTTTGTGTCGTTTCTGTTTTTGTGATTTGTTTTGAGTCTGTGTTTTCACGAGAGCCATGCGAAGCTCATTTGGGGGTTTGGGGGATATAGTTCGCAATGCGGTCCGAAAACCCAAATACTAGTACTAATTCGGGGCCAGCTGGCGGGATTTTGCGCTTTTTCCTTCTTCTTCTTTTTTTGCCGGATGATGTATGTGACGCAGGGTCCCGCATCCCCAGCATTATTTGTATCCTCCCCACCTCTGCATCCATGCGATTGCAGTGCGGATTTTTCTGTTTTCTTTGGGGGGGAGGTTAGGTTAACATCTCTTTGTCAAAGCAAGCCCCGCAGGAAGTTGCCTGACGCGTGCCCCTCCCTCCTTCCCTTTGCAATGTGCCCAAAGGGAAGCCATGGATCCAAAAGCAAACCCTTGCCGTGTGAGGGGACGAATTCTTATCATGCTAGTCGCACCTTGCCCATTCTTTTCAGGGATACTTCTCTTCAAAAAATGGCCAATCTCTTGGGCAATAGGTGGTTTCTAATGCAAACTATGGGTGAGAGAATGGAATCAACCTGTAGAATTCTTTTGGGAGACCCGACTTGCTGGTGCTCAGTAGGGACTGATCTAGGGTGTTGGTAATGAACCTACGGATTCCCTTAAAGGAAGCCACAATGGATGGTTAATAGGGCATTCCCTGATTCCCTGCTTATCGCCAAGCAACACGATTGCAAGAAACATCTACGATCCGATTCGCTCACACTAGCTTGTGGTAATGGAGGGAGGTAAGGAGCTGTGGCTATCCAATTTTTCTTTTGTAGAGGGAGCTCAGGAGCTGTGGCTATCCAAAATTTATTTTGTATAGGGAGCTATGGAGCTGTGGCAATCCAAATTTTCTGTTGTAGAGGGAGCTAATGAGCTGTGGCCATCCAAATTTTCTTTCGTAGAGGGAGCTAAGGAGCTGTGGCTATCCAAATTTTCTTTTGCAGAGGGAGCTAAGGAGCTGTGGCTATCCAAATTTGGTTTTATAGAGGGAGCTAAGGAGCTGTGGGTATCCAAATTGGTTTTATAGAGGGAGCTCAGGAGCTGTGGCTATCCAATTTTTCTTTTGTAGAGGGAGCTAAGGAGCTGTGGCCATCCAAATTTTCTTTTGTAGATGGAGCTAAGGAGCTGTGGCTATCCTAATTTTATTTTGTAGAGGGAGCTAATGAGCTGTGGCTATCCAAATTTTCTTTTGTAGAGGGAGCTAAGGAGCTGTGGCTATCCAAATTGTCTTTTGTAGAGGGAGCAAAGGAGCTGTGGCCATCCAAGTTTTCTTTTGTAGAGGGAGCTAAGGAGCTGTGGCTATCCAAATGTTCTTTTGTAGAGGGAGCTAAGGAGCTGTGGGTATCCAAATTTCGTTTTATGGAGGGAGCTAAGGAGCTGTGGCTATCCAAATTTTCTTTTGTAGGGGGAGCTCAGGAGCTGTGGCTATCCAATTTTGCTTTTGTAGAGGGAGCTAAGGAGCTGTGGCTATCCAAATGTTCTTTTGTAGAGGGAGCTAAGGAGCTGTGGGTATCCAAATTTCGTTTTATGGAGGGAGCTAAGGAGCTGTGGCTATCCAAATTTTCTTTTGTAGGGGGAGCTCAGGAGCTGTGGCTATCCAATTTTTCTTTTGTAGAGGGAGCTAAGGAGCTGTGGCCATCCAAATTTTCTTTTGTAGAGGGAGCTAAGGAGCTGTGGCTATCCTAATTTTATTTTGTAGAGGGAGCTAATGAGCTGTGGCTATCCAAATTTTCTTTTGTAGAGGGAGCTAAGGAGCTGTGGCTATCCAAATTGTCTTTTGTAGAGGGAGCAAAGGAGCTGTGGCCATCCAAGTTTTCTTTTGTAGAGGGAGCTAAGGAGCTGTGGGTATCCAAATTGGTTTTATACAGGGAGCTCAGGAGCTGTGGCTATCCAGTTTTTCTTTTGTAGAGGGAGCTAAGGAGCTGTGGCCATCCAAATTTTCTTTTGTAGAGGGAGCTAAGGAGCTGTGGCTATCCTAATTTATTTTGTAGAGGGAGCTAATGAGCTGTGGCTATCCAAATTTTCTTATAGAGGGAGCTAAGGAGCTGTGGCTGTCCAAATTTTCTTTTGTAGGGGGAGCTCAGGAGCTGTGGCTATCCAATTTTGCTTTTGTAGAGGGAGCTAAGGAGCTGTGGCTATCCAAATGTTCTTTTGTAGAGGGAGCTAAGGAGCTGTGGGTATCCAAATTTCGTTTTATGGAGGGAGCTAAGGAGCTGTGGCTATCCAAATTTTCTTTTGTAGGGGGAGCTCAGGAGCTGTGGCTATCCAATTTTGCTTTTGTAGAGGGAGCTAAGGAGCTGTGGCCATCCAATTTTCTTTTGTAGAGGGAGCTAATGAGCTGTGGCTATCCAAATTGTCTTTTGTAGAGGGAGCTAAGGAGCTGTGGGTATCCAAATTTGGTTTTATAGAGGGAGCTAAGGATATGTGGCTATCCAATTTTTCTTTTGTAGAGGGAGCTAATGAGCTGTGGCTATCCAAATTTTCTTTTGTAGAGGGAGCTAAGGAGCTGCCGATCGGAGTCGTATGGTTGCAAGTTATTCGTTTCTCTCCCATCCAATCGTAGAGGACCCCGCAGAGCAGCAGCGCCGGTGCGGCATCTTTGGGGGTCTCGCTGGGGCCCCAGACCACCTGTGCTGCCCCGCTGTCTTTTTGGTTTGTGTGGATGCCCTGTTCTCCTTGCCGGAGGGGGCTGCCCTTTGGACAAATAGCATGCTTTTGTGTGGAGTGACTCCGTTTGCCTTTCTTGAAGGCAACCTGCCAAGAAAGGTTGCCCGTTTTTCCCATGGCCTTGCGGGTTTGGGTAAGGAAGGGGTTTGGGGTCCAGTCTTCTTTCATGTTGAAAGCTCCATGTGAGCGGTGCCCAAAGCCAAAGAAGTTAGGTTCTACGTCAAGGGCTTTTGATCACAAGCCCCATTCAAAGGTTGTTGGGTGCATTGAAAACTGTGGCCAATAGCAGTCATTTACTGGTGGTTGTGTTGTGTGGTGCAGTTGAACCTCGAGACACCCGTTGTTGATTTTTGATTTTTCCAGGTGTTGGTCAACATCGATGCCATCGCGGCAAAAAAACAACGCGTGTGCGTGTGTGTGTAAACATAAGGAAGCATTGCGTTGGAATAAGTTACACAACAGAACACTTGATAGCACCATATTCAGGCACAACCTGTTTTCTTCGATTCAAGCACAGATGGTATTTGTGCATTCGCGGCAATGCTCCAACTGCCAGGCTGTCAATCGTCACAAATAAAAGTTTGGTGTGGACTTGACAGGCCCGGTTTTATGTTGAGGCTACATCAGAGGGGTTGCTCTTGAAATTAAACCAAGGGGCCGAAGCCAGCCAAGGGGTCCAAATCCGATTTGCAGGACACAAAGCTGGGTGAGCTTACGGATAATTTTTTTGGTGGAGTGATCAACCTGCGTGATGCAAGACCTTGCAAGACACGATGTTTAACAGATTGTCTGGCTCCACCCATAGGAGTATACGTACTCGGGATTCTCTGGCGGACATGTGGGGATTTCTGAGAGCTCCCCATGGAAGACTGGTCATAGATGGCATCTCCCTGCGGCCTTCATAGACCCCTTACGAGTGCAGCGGCCGCAAAACTGAAGAGCCGAACAACTTCAGCAGTAGACCTTGGTAGACCAACTGGTTGTGGTCACCCTCTTGTCAGATCTGTCAAGGGGAGCATTCACCTGTTTAGCAAAATCTAGTGAACATGCTCAAGACGCAACCTAAGGCTTCAAACGCGCAGTTGTCCGGTACTCACCTTTGTTTCCGCCGTTAACAGCTAGCATCACTGCTTGCAAGTAGGAAGGTGTACGCACCAATGGCTGTGGGGTGTGTCTCAAAGCTGTCAAGCAAATCCGCTTTCTTGAAAGGTAAAGTTGATGTAATTTTTCGGGGAACTCTTGTTGGCAGGAGTTTCCCATGTTATCTCACATGAGTAGGAGCACGCGAATCTTGCTGAAGCTTGAACCTCCCATTCATGTTCACCCATTGTTATTTTGATTCACGCACATGCATCTCTATGTGGATGTTTCTGAAAGAAAGGATCTCTGGAAACGCGCAGCTCAAAGTGCGAAGGGGACTCAATTTTTACCTACCAGGCGATCCCAACCCCATCCTCGAAGTAAGTACGGTATCGACTTGTGAGAGTTAGCCCGAACAACGTGGCCATTCCCATGCATTGTGGCTCAAGGGACACAATGTATGGGGAGGGTGCATCACCGATGCTGTTCGACCCGTTGGAGGTGAAGCAGCTAGGATATGGAGCTCGTTCAACAACCAGTACATAGCAAATAAGAACAAGTGGGACTTCACACATGGCTATACACATTTCAATGGGGAACCACCGCCAAAGTAGTTGGTATACATCAATTATCGAATTCTGATGTCCACTAAGGGGTTCCCAAATTTATCTCCCCTTTACTGAACTGAGGATATTGACCTCGTTTCAACAACCATTCCTAAATGACGATGAGTGGAGCTTCGCGCACATACTCAATCGAGTGGAGCTTTTACACATGTTGCTCTGTCTTCTTTTGAGGGTACCCCTTTCTTGGTGGTTTAACGGGAAACCAAAAGGAACCTCCCCCCCCCCCCCCGTTTTTTTGGCCGGGGAGGGGGGTCTCCTAAAACAACACACACACACACACATGTGTTTTCCCAGTCAGTGGTTGGCAGGTCGGGGCTCCTAAGACGTTTGCCTTTCGCAGGCCGACGTGCTGATGCCGCTCATCGCACGGGCTTTACAGCCAGACGGTGTGGGCCGAAGTCGCAGATCGCGTGCGTGGGTGTTTTTTTGTCGGGTTTCCGCAAAAATAACAAAATGGGGCCATCAACAAATAAGGCGGTGTTTGTGACACCTCATGTGTGCTATGGTCTAAGACCCCTTTATTTGGGGTTGATAGGGCTGGTCATGCACCATTTGAAAGGCATAGTTGAGAATCATTACAGACCATGGCACCTCTTGAAAGTTGCATGAGGCCCGATCAATTCCTGATTTGATGGTCCATTTGGGGACCAGAAGGGGGAGGAACTCACTAACAACCAGGGGACTCGGCAATGTCTCAAACGGCACGATCCCAAAGGAAGTGAAGCTAGTGGCATGGTGGGTGCTGGAAGAAAACATCATCGAGGCAGCCCCTGAAGATTCCATGCTTCCATTTGCTTATTTTTCTTTCCGCTGTTGAATCTATCACTACTGAACATATTTGTAACTTTTTCCCAGGGGACTTAAGCAAATGGAAGCATGTTAGTTGAGGGTACACGAATTGTTGACAGGCAAAGTGAGCTTCTGCATTTGTGGGACTGAGTCTGACTAGGTGTGGCGTATCGCTTTGTTGTCCCTTGAGCCGCAATGAAACCCCACGTGGATGCCAGGGATTTACAACCAAACCAGAAATATTGTGGACGGACCAAATCCTGCACTACCTAACAACCTGGTTTCGAAGTGGTGCAAGATTTCATCCATCCACGGTATGTTTTGAAAAACCTTTTCATTTGATTGTTTACCGATGTTGGGCCGCCTTTACCAGATTTCGCCACTCTTCAAACGGACACTGCGCGGTTCACGATGTTAGGTTCGATCACAATGTGAAGTTTCCTGGGAGGGACGACATGGACGACTCTCAATTTCCCGCAAAGTCCAGGAGCAGATGTGTCCATTTTTGGGTTGGCTTGGTTAGAAGTAGATGGGTTCCGCTGGTTTAGATTGGCTTTATGCCGCATCTAATCCATCGAGATCTTGTCTCGCAAAAAGGGAACCTATAACTAGAACACGCTTTAGTTCAAGGCGAGGCTGTAAGAGCAACCAAAATCATAGCCAGGTAACAGCAACCAAGTCGTGTTTCGGTGGACAGCGCCTGGTTTTGTGTGAACCGCTTTCGGGAACCGGACCTGCTGGCACGGCCTGCATGCTGGAGGATCTTACACTCAGTTGTTCAGTGGCCCCCTTTTTCCTTTTTTTTGGTGGCTGCCCCACAAATGGTCTTCCCAAAAAAGGGTTCCCTTTTTTTTCCAGGGTCACTGAACAACTGAGTGGAGGATCTTACATCATGGCTGCAACGGCTCCCAAGTGAGATGCTCAAGCCAGTATCTCCGCATGGGATGCATCGCTGACACAGCAGAGCTGCGAGGAAAGGCGGTGGGAATGTCCAAAAGGCGCACTCGTGATGGCAAAGCTCTCCGGCAATTGCTTCGGTTCGGGACCAGAGACTTGAAGTTGGCTGTGATACACATGCCTCCAAAAATCTGGTGATGCCCTTTCGGGATACAAGACTGCGCTTCAAACCACCAGTAAAACAACGGTTGGGTTCATATAACCACCATTGTTTCCCTAAGGATTGTCATCATCCACATTGGGTCATCCTTTGATTGAAGGACGGGTTGAACCCTAGGGCGACCGTTTGTGTTGGTCCTTTTCGAAACATCTACATCAGCAACGAGGCGGTCTAAGATGATCCATCCCCTTGAGGACGCCTGAGGGTCAATGAGGTTGAGCCTTTCGACAAGGATGTTCGACGTTTATGCAAGCGGGAAGCTTCAACCATGGAACAACTGAAGCTGACATGAAACAAATCAGTTTCTGGCCTTACGCTAGTTTCGCGGCAAAAGCAGAATCAAAAAACGAAGAAGAACCCTCCATCCGGGATCCAGAAGGGCCGGGGGAGACGCAGACCTGCTGAATGTAGTATTGACACACCGAGTTCAGCATGGAGCAGAGAGCTAGGGGGGCAGCTTCCGGGTGAACCGTGTGCGACCTCAGTCAGAGGTTTGGAGACTCGCACTGTGCAACTTTGGTGTTCTGGGTTGAGTTCAAGGTTTGGGCCTGTGTGTTCGGGCAAACACTTCCGATTCTTTGAGATCCATTCATTTGTTTGGTTAATTGTTGGAGGGGTGTTTCATGTCTTGTAGGTTCCATTCATTTGTTGGGGTGTTTCATGTCTTTCAAGATCCATCAAGAATTGGGGGAGTTTTTGATTTCGATCTGTGTATCAAAGGCTTCGGGAGAGCTTGTTGAGCTTTGTCGGGCTCGGGCCCTTCCGGTGCGAGGCATTGACTTCCTGGAAGAGGGCTTGGACATGTGCGCCGAGTTTCGAGGGCGAGAGGAGCCATCAAAACCTGGGTAAGTGAAGGGTAGGAACAGTCCAACCATGAATAAGTGCGAAATTACGCCCTTGGAATTCTCTACATGCTTGTGGGTATATAGACTACTTTAGTAACTTGAATGCTACGTGTTTGATTGTGACTCAAAGGGAGTGTCAGAGACAACCAAGCATGGACAAGAGCAATCGTGCTGGAAGATTTGGAATTGGATAAGATATTGTATGACTAGCCAACTAGGCAGGAGACTCGTCCTCATTCCGCCCTGCTGCACAACCCAAATATGTTACGCTCGTCTAAACGGAAAAGCGCTTGGATGTTTCCAGACCTATTCATCACCCAACACTTTGAGCTGAAAAGAAGTGAAGTCATTATTTTGTTCATGTAGGCAAGTTGCATTTGAGGATCACCAACCACAGGCATTCCCTTTTCGTGTGGCTCAAGGAACGGGTAGTTGCACATCCTTCATGCAGTTGCAGTCCATGTCGCCCTCACAATGCATCTGGTTGGCCTCCTCCTCCATGAAGCGTCCTTTCGGGCTGTGTAGTGAACAAGTGTGCACATGGGAGAGGCAACCCCGAGGTGCTATTTGGGGGTGTCTTTTTTGGCTTTTTCATCCCCCTTTTCTTTCGTGTTTAAAGGGAAACAATAAGGACAACTGCCATCTTGGTGGGTCTGATTCCTAAAAGAAGACAGACCCATGTTTAGTTTTTTGCAGCTAAAAGCTTCGGGGCCGAAATCGGCCCAGAAAATTCAGGCGTTCGAGCGGTTCCGAGATTTCGGCTGCGGGGGCTTGGGAGGGTCAGTTTTTAGCATATGTTGTGATTTCTTGGAGGGTACCCGAGGCAGGGGTCCCAAATCCGATCGTTCCAATAAACACCACCAGTAAATTGCTCAACTTTTGTTTTGGGGAAATCCAGTGACCCCTGTGAGGCTACACCTTTTTCTAAAGGTTGGTTTAAGTGGGGCAGATGGCTCTGTGCCCCATGTAAACCAGAAACAGTTTTCGGACGTGTCAAGTACAGGAGGAGGTTCATGTGAGAGGATTGGGGGGGTACAGTTGATCCAGCGTGCGCATGCCATGTTTGTAGCAGTCCAGAGCCATTTGATCAGAGTCCTTAGCAGTATCTTCCAAAAAGCTTGCACCAAGGGACAATCATGTGTGTCTCATTCAAACTGCACCCATTCTTTTTGTTGAACCCATCCAGCATGCCACGAAAGCACCACTTGAATTGGGTTGTCCCAAAACAATTGGATCCCCAAAAGATGTTTCGTTGTTCTTTGTCTAGGTCTCTGAGTGGTGCCCTTCTGCCCTTTTTTGGGGGGGCAGGGTTCCCCTACTAAAATAGACAAAACTGAAAAAAAGCCGGGTACCCTTATTCTAACCTCTCAAATCTGGAGGACCTAGTTGTGGTTCCCCTTGAAACCGGTCAAAACCCCACGGGTGCAAACAATCCCCGATGGCAGGCTCACGTTTCTTGCGGCCTTCTGCTCGTCTCCGATGCCGCCTGGGCTTTGGGGCCCGCTGGGAGCCCAGACTGGGTCTAGCTAGGTGCCCTTCTCTCCCAACGAATTTTGAGGGGAAGGTTCCCGAACCTTCCCGTACCAAAATGGCTTTGGCTCAAAATTAAACAGGAGGGTTACGCGGGTTTTGGTCCATGTTTCCACTTACCAAGGTTCCATTTTGGTTCCGGTTTTTGAAGCCACACCCAAATAGACTACCGATATCCTTCTTGTAACCTCTCTACTGGGGGACCTAGCAGAATTCAGCAGAATTCCCTTGGAAGAACCTTGGGAACCTTCCCATTTACCTGTAGAACATGGAACCATGGTGAAATCCAGTAAAAGCCAAAAGGACATTTGGTGGTGTCCTCCTATGGCGAAACGCCTGGGATCCACTAGGCTTGATTGGACGCTCTTTTTGGAGGGAATCCCTCGTCAAGATTTGTGTGTGTGTGTGAGTGTGTGTTTTATTTTGAGAATATCCTTTTTAGGTTGTTGTAAATGGAGACCAAAGGGAAAACCAAAATCCATTTTTGGGGGGCCCTGAACAACAACCGCACCTTAACACTTAGCATTTGTTATTCACAACAACCTCAAAGGGTTGGGTTACAGGAAGCTCTACAGGAAAATGGCTTGTTTAGGCTGTTTTGGGGCCATTTCCTGTAGATTTTCCTGTAACCCAACCCTTTGACAACCGCACCTGAACAAAAAACACGGCCCCATTTGGCAGGTAAAGCAGTCAGCGCACCCATGGCCGAGGTTTCCTCGTCTCTTCCAGGCAGTGTGTGGACGATCCACCGCCTCTCTGCCGCTGCCGGAAGTGCTGGAGGAGCCGCCCCACCAAAAATGATCTTCCCAAAAAAGGGTTCCCTGTTTTTTCCAGGGTCACTGAACAACTGAGGAGGGAGACCCATTTTAGAACCAGCTGATGCAGAGGATCCTCTTGTGAGACTTGGGGATGTGGCAGTGGTTGTCAAAATGAATGGGATCCCATTTTGGCATAGGTGAATTCACCACCCATTTTAGAACCTATTTTAGAGGGGATTGGTGGTGTTCAGTGGGGGCTAACCGATTTGGGTTTTGAAAAGCCCATGGCCATTTGGGGGATTTGTGCATCACCCACTTTTGAGGGAAGCTCATGAAAGCTGGCATGAATCAGGCTCGCGATCTGACTGGCTGGAGCGACCTGCGAGGTTCCCAGGCCTTCCAAAAACGGCGCCTAGCCTCACTGAAATTTTGGTTAAAATCGAAGCCCCCTATGGGTCAAGAAATTTTTACCGGGATATGGACCGCAGGATTTTAGTCCCATAGGGTTCCGTTTTGGGTTCCGTTTTGGGTTCCGTTTTGGGTAGCCGTTTTTGACCCACAGCCCTAGAAAGGGGACATTTGGTGGGGCTTGACTCGGGGTTTCTAAAAGTTTGGTTTTCACGCAGCTTTTGCGCCTTTTTGACAAATGAGCTTCCTTTTGGTGCGGGAAACCAAAAGCGGGCACCTCGTTTTTGAGGCCATTTGCAGCAAATGAGCCGCAATCAAAACCCGGGTAGACGAAGGTTAGCAAGGAAAAATCCCAACCATAAGTAGCTGCGTCCGCCTTCTTAATTCTTTACATGGTTCTGGGTCGACCATTTTAGTAGCAGGTTTTGAGCAAGTGACTCACATGGGCTCCAGTGACTCGGGCACACGGTACACGGCTCGCTTTGCGAATCTCGCAGAATGGCTGGGCTCCGGACTTCATGACCAACATTCTCGAGGTTGGGCTGCCCGGAGGCTCAGATCGCTCAGAGCTTCACTTCCACGCAACAGAGAACATATTGGATTTGGTGTACCCCCGAGATAGGCCAACTCATTTGGATCGTTCATTGGAACCTCTCAACGGGTGCAAGCATGGGGAGGGGGGGTCCTTTGCTCTCCCTTGAAAGCCCAAACAGAGTTCCGCCCGAAAGAAACACCCAACAAGAGCTCGAATCTAAGCGATTTAAAGGACCCCCCCCCTCTCCGTTTGGTTGTTTGCAGTTCCGAGGTACCTTCACCTTGCGTTGTCATGTGCTTGCTCTGTTTCTGCAAGGACTAGTTAGTCTCTTTCAAAACGTGTTCGTCGGGGGGTTATTATTCAGGCTCCAGGAGTGTAGGGTTTCAACATTTTATTTTTATTTTATTTTTTTTAAATGGGGGCCGTGTACTTAAGAGTCAGCTCGTTTTCCAGGAGAGTCCGAAATCATTACGATGGCCAGTCTTGCCGCACCAACTGAGGGCGTGGTGGCCGTTCCTGGAGTGGGTCTGTGTCAACCACAGGGCCCCCGGCAAGGAAACGCGGGTTCGTGGTTCGGATAGGAGTAGGAATAGGAGTAAGAGTAGAAGCAGCAGCAGCAGCAGCAGCAGCAGCAGTCGTAGTAGTAGTAGTAGTAGTAGTAGTAGTAGTAGTAGTAGTAGTAGTAGGAGTAGTCGTCATAGTCGAGGAAAGTTAGAAGTAGGAATTGGGAAGTAGTAGGAAGTAGTAGGAATTAGTAGGAAGTAGGAATTGGGAAGTAGTAAGGTAGCAGGAAGTAGCAGGAGTTTGGCACTAAACAAGTAGGTAGTAGGAAGTAGAAGGTAGGTAGCGTAGGATTTAGGTAGGCAAATAGGCAGGCAGGCAGGCAAATAGGCAGGCAGGCAGGCAAATAGGCAGGCAGGCAGGCAGGCAGGCAGGCAGGCAGGCAGGCAGGCAGGCAGGCAGGCAGGCAGGCAGGCAGGCAGGCAGGCAGGCAGGCAGGCAGGCAGGCAGGCAGGCAGGCAGGCAGGCAGGCAGGCAGGCAGGCAGGCAGGCAGGCAGGCAGGCAGGCAGGCAGGCAGGCAGGGCAGGCAGGCAGGCAGGCAGGCAGGCAGGCAGGCAGGCAGGCAGGCAGGCAGGCAGGCAGGCAGGCAGGCAGGCAGGCAGGCAGGCAGGCAGGCAGGCAGGCAGGCAGGCAGGCAGGCAGGCAGGCAGGCAGGCAGGCAGGCAGGCAGGCAGGCAGGCAGGCAGGCAGGCAGGCAGGCAGGCAGGCAGGCAGGCCACAGCAGCAGTACTGGTAGTGGTGGTAGGCACCTCTTCGATCAACCCTTGAGCAACCCAAGCGCAATGCGAGTGAGGCAATACATGGCCCGGGGGCCCGTGGAGGTCATCCTCACGGGCTCTTGGCCGGAGGCGAGACTCCTGGTTTTCTTTGGAGAACCTGCAATTTGTAGCCCAAGGTTGTACCCTTGGATCAGGGCTCCTTAAAAAGAGATACATGTTGCAACCATTTGAAACATGTTGCTTTTTCAACACCAAAATAAAGTTGGACACCACCATTGACAAGTTGCAATGTTCATGTGTATAATGTTTCCGGATCCCTGTTGATTGACTGTCCCTTAGGCACAAAGCTCTCGTTCTTCCGAAGGTGCCGGTTTGAGAGGACGATCCGACGATCGCCGCCTAAACCATCCGCTACAGATGTGTTGTGGCGTTCAAAGCGTAGCTTTGATAGGGGCCCTGGTTGTCGCGGCTAGTGAAGATGACTGTTGTCTAGCTTAAGCAAATGGAGTTCAGAGGTTCCATGCTGATCTTCAAGGGGGTTCAATTCTAGACGCTTTCAACATTATGACCGGCACTTACGTTGATATGCCCGTATAGTCCATATAAAACACGTGATGAATGTGTTCTGCATGCGCCAGCCGTTTTTTTTTTTTTTTGTTGGGTCGCGCGCAGGGGAACATGACCTATGCGGAGATGATCTTCTGCATGGTGAAGAAGGCCCGGAGAGCGGTCGAGCGGTCGAGCCAGTTCCATTGGGCAAACGGATGGAAGGAGTGAGCAGGGCTTGTCTCGAGATTGCATAGCCCTTTACCTTTTAGTCTCCCAAGCAACCCCCAGTTTGGGTGACTCAAAAAGACATACCGATTCAAAGAAGCTGGCATGTTTTGACTGCCTTGGTTCCCCGGGCCTTGTGGATTGATGCTGATTGAAGATTAGCTGTCCAGCTTTGCCAAGTCTTGCAGAGACGCAGGCTTGTCTTCTCAGATGGAGGGTTCAAGGCAAAGTCTCCTGGCTTCCGACTTTCAGGAACCCGCTTTGCGCTTGAGGATCCCATGAATGTTTGTTTTGTCCAAACCCCAAGAAATGATTGACTGTTTGATATGCTCAATATTTTGCCGTGGATGGACAGGCTGGATGAAACCCTATCAATGCTGGGATAAACCACCTGCCGTGCGAGTTGGATCGTGTCCATCCACAGTGTGGTTACTATTATGGTTCTGGGCACATGAAAGCGACGTAAAGTTTCGGGTGTTTGCGACCTTGCTGTCATAGGGGTGCCTTATTTCTGGTGAGCGAAATATGAGAGTTTCTCATCATGGCGGACCCCCTTTGGGTTGGTATTTAAAGGGAACCAACAGTAAATCAACCATTTAGGTGGACCACTAAGTTGATAAACCCCCCTATGATACTTTTCCCAGATACTTCCCTGGCCTTTTTTTACCATATTTTTTCTTGGCGAGCTCAGGTGGTGCACGTGGAAGGCATCGGCGCTGAGAAGGCGGGGCGACGTATCTCAACATCGCTCGACCCCTTCGCTGGGAGTCGCTTTGAATTGGACTCTCAGTTGTTCAGTGGCACCGTTTTTCTCTTTTTCCAACCTTTTTTTTGGTGGCCCCACGAAAAATGGTCCAAGCCCAAAAAAGGGTTCCCTTTTTTTCCAGGGTCGCTGAACAACTGAGGACTGGTTTTGCCTACCCGTTGCGTTGGGTTTATCTTGGTACGTAAAAAGGAACTTTACACCGTTTTAGCGCGCAAATTGTCATCAAATGCTGTGTCCGTTGACCCCGTTTGAGCCCCTCTTGTATCCGAAGGTAAGGGATTTTTCGGGCAGAGGTTCCGTTCTGCACAACCCCTAGTTCCGCGAGTTCAGGCTGGTGCAGCTTTTTCAACTTGTCGCATGTTTGGGGGTCTACCACCTTCCGCTTCAGCCAGGAAACCGTCAACTTGTTGCAGTCGAAGTCCCCATGAAGCTGCTGTTGGGGGGTCCTAAGACGTGTCTGTTTGGGGCTCTTGGGCCTCTCATTCCTTGCAGGTGTTTGTTGGTACCTGAGGAAGTATGTCTTTGGGGCCAAGGAGTCAAAGCAAGGGACCCTTCGCTTTTCATTGCCATTCTAGGCGTAGCTTCCCCATTCTTTCCAGGGATCCTTTTTTCTAGAAAACCACCAAACACCCTGGGGAAATGGCTGGTGTTTGACAAGAACGATGGCTGAAAAGAATGGTTGGAATCAACCCCCAGAGCTATTGGATCTTTAGACTTTAGCTTTGTGGTTGAAACAGCTCAGGTTCTCCGAATCGAACCCACCAAAAGGTGTATTTGTCGGGTCAACAGCAGCAACCCAGTTGAGGATGCCGCCGCGGCCGTGGAGCTGGGGGCGGGTCTCTTCGTGTACGCTAGCCCGCCAGGCGGGTGAGGGAAGGCATCATATATATATATATATACACATATATCATATATCATATACATATCGTATGTATATATAATTATATATATATATATATTCTATACAATAGCACGCCGTCTTTGTCTCTGTGTCAACAAGGTGGACTGTGAATCTCTGCAGCGGCAGTTTTGTGGGCTGACACTCTTGCAGCTATCGAATAGAGCTTCAATTAACACTTGCATTTGGGTTTGTCTTAAAACATCCCCCAAAAAAAGAAACAAATGGTGGTTTTCTTTGCAGTTCCCCTTTGAAACCACCCCAAAAGCCAGCCCTCAAACAAAAGGGCAGGAGCGTGATATTGCAGATGTTGGCAGCTTCAGAGTTGACCTGCCTGTTGGCACTTTTGACCTCGCTCTTGAGGACTACAGATCAGCTGAAATAGTTGCTGGTGAAGTCGTCCATCTCGAATTTGATGTTGCCCCTCACTCCCAGATTTATGGACTATAGCCACTTGTCGGGGTACCATTTTACTCCATTTTAGTGACAAAGAAAAATGCTGCCCTTACTCCCTGCAGTTTATGGACTTTATGCTTTTGGGGTTTGGACCGTGTTAGTGGCAAACAAAAGTTCCTGGACTTTTGCGAGTCAATCTTAGGCTGCACCTGGCGCGGCTGGACGCCCAGCCGCACTCTTTCTTTGGGCACACTTACACAACTTCAACCATTTGGTCCCGGACGGGGGGATTTTTGGGAGACATGGGAGCTAGAAGTTGGGTGGTCCTTCCATTTGCTGAAATGAATATTGTTTTTATTTCCCCGGTTGATTTTAAAGGGAGTCTATCACTACTGGAATTATGTTTTTTTTTGTCCAGGGGACTTAAGCAAATGGAGGACAATTTCCTGCTGTTGCGAGACATTCGGGGAGTGATAATTGGAATGAACCGGCTTGGGATTCCCTTAAGGGAAACAAGAGGGGATGGTTTGTATGGGTCATTCCATTTCTCATTCTCTGCATCTCTCACACCAGCAAGATAAGGGTGAAACTGTTCTCAAAAGTGCCTTGGATCCCAGCTACTACTATACCAGGTAACTAGATATTTTCCTTTCACATTTTTGGAGAGTGGTTTTGCTGGTTACCTATACAGGTAAGTGGAATCAATGGGCGGGTTGTCTTGGTGTTGCATTCCGGTCCGAAAACCGCGCCAGCTGCCGACGCCTGGCTCGCGCCCTACCTCTTCGAGTTCTGGCGGAGGCCTCAGGCGAAGCAACACGAATCGCCGACTGCAGAAGTCCACGTGGCACCCAAACAAGTGCCCGTGGCTCAACATGGCGTGGTGTTTCTTTCAAAGGGGAAATCTGAGCCCTGTTGCTCAGCGGGTGGGGATGCCTTCAAAACAAGATCCTCAATTAATGTAACTAGGTCACCCAGTAGTGCTCTTTCTCACCCCTTTTTTGGTTGGAAGGTTCCCCCACTAAAATGGACTACCGAAAAAAGGGTACCCTTATTCTAACCTCTTTACTGGAGGACCTAGACCGGGTGTGGCTCAAAGCCAACGAGCCAGGGTTACGCAGGTTTTGGTCTTATCCATTTATCCTGGTGCTATTTTCGTACAATTTTTGGAGACACAGCCAAGTGCCACAAAGAGCGTGTTTCCCGGGTAAAGAAGTATTTTATCCCTACATCATTGTTCATTTCTTCGGTTGGCTTGATGTGTGAGGTCCTCGAAATAGTGGTCACCCAAGTATATTCCTTTTGGTTTGCTTTTTGACATGTACCCATAGAGTAAGCTGTAGATAAGTTGCTGTAGGATTGCTTGTCTTCACTGATCCCGCAGCACACAGTTCATGCAGTTGAATCATAAAGTGGTGCTGCGTAAACTGCGAGGAGGCGAATCACAGTACTCAGAAAATGGACAATTTGGTAATTTGGGATGAAAATTATTAGAGATCGGATTTATCCACGACTTAGTCGACATGATTAACCTCCAACGCGGTTGGAGTCAAGGTAGGAGACATTCCCCCAAAAATTGGGCTTCATTAAGGGGCCCTGAAGTGAGCCATGCGCCGGCGGCTGCTGCCTTGTTTGCTGCTTGGGGCCGTCTGCTTCCTGCAACCTCGGGGAAAGCGCGGTTTTTTTTTTTCCCCCGCGCGAGCGACGGAGCGCGTGCGGACCCGCACGGCAGCTGGGGAGGACCCGCCGGGCACTGGCCAGGGCGAACAGGGGCTCAGGCAGATGCTGGTTCTGCCGGCCAAGATTTCAGGATGGTGGCACCGCATAATCATTGACACTGACATGGTTTTACCACGGGAAAAGCAAAGTAACAGGAACCCATCATTAAAACAGATGACCGAACCTCATAACATGCCCGTCCGGCGTGGCTGATCCCGATAGAAGGAAGCAAGCGGGGGCGTCTCAAACATTGCCCCTTTTCACAGGCCAACAAGGGGCCCGACCTTTGACCGTGCGTCTCTTCTTGCTTCTCGGCTGACGCCAAAGGGAAGCCAAACGATCAGCCCTGTCAATTTGGTGTTCGAGACATAGTTGGGGGCGTTAAGGTCAACCTCCAAAAACACTGGGATGCACCCCGCAACGCCTATCTGTCCTTTACCGAATCGTTGGCTGAACCTGTTTGCCCTTTGGATCCCTGTGCCTTTCTGCCAACTTTTGCCTAGGTGTTTGAGGTTCCCTTTCGACCCGCGAAAGCCACTTTGGGGGCCGTGCATGGCCGGGTTGCTCGGACGCCTCACTCAGGGCTTCCAGAAACATGCGACGTTTTTGTGGACGGAACAGCTATATGTACACATATATATATATATAATATAGGGTCTCGGAGGAGATCGTCCATTTTAGAGAAGACTCAATATGAAGGAGAATCCGAATATATTGTTTTTGGTGTAGATAATGGATATTCTGTGTGTGGGTGTGAGGGTGTGTGTGTGTGTGTGTGTTGTGGCGTGCGTTGTGCGTGTGAGTCTCTGCAAGGAAGCTGGTTGGTGGGACCAGCTGGTCTGGAACGCCGCAGAGACGCTGGGCAGCGCCCGCGCGGCCTTGGTGGGCGCGGAGGATGCCGTGGAGGTTGGGGAGGCCCCCAGGAGCGTGGAGGAGCTGGTGGAGAGGCCGGGGCAGAGTGCAGAGTGCAGAGTGCCGATGATCTGAAGGGTGGCCCGTCTCTTTTTGATGGTACCACCCCTCTTTGGATAGTCTTAAAGGGAAACTTAAAGAAAATCCAAACGAACCCAAAGGAAACAAAGCATTGTTGGGGTCCACTTAAAAAAAAGAGAGACCCAGATGTCTTTGGCGCTTTGGCCCCTGAGTAACTCAATACTGACTCCTGATTAATACACCCCCCACTACCCCCCACTTGGAGTTCAGAGGGTTCCCTTTTTAGTGGGGAATTCTTTCTTGCAGGGGGCACTCCCTGCTGAAATGACTCGGGGTTATTCATTTGGGGACAACATTAGACCTTTTGGTTTCACAAATGGCCCCTCCAAATTAGACCTATGGTCTGTTTGGATCCTTTTGAACCTAGGGAGCAACTGGTGAAAAACACATGTGTAGCTCAGAGTTGGAGTGGTGGGGGATGGTGGCTGTAAGTGGGGGGGAGAAGGGGCAGGTGCGGGGGAAGGAAGGTGGTGCGAGGGAAGTGACAAGATGCGAGGGAAGGTGTGAGGGAAGGTGGGTGGCATGAGGGAGGAAGGTTGTGTCACAGCAATGTAGACCGACAATGCTGGCCATTGTCTCAGGTATTAGAAGCACAGGGAGCAAGCGCAAGTGACTAAGCGAAGAAGGTTGGGAGGTGGCAGGGGGAGGTGGGGGTTGGCTTGGTAGACGGGTGTGCGACCGGGTGGCATGACTTTGTGCCTTTGCTTAGCTGCCTAGACTTGGCCTTGAGTCTGAGTCCGTGGTGGAGTGCTTGGGTTGCAATGCTAACAACATGGCATGGGCAAACCCGATTGGCACCACTTGGGAATTATGTGGTCCCTTTGAAACCCAACCAAATGGTGACTTCCCCCCACCAAACGGGACAGAGCCATTTGGCGTGCCCCGCCGCCTCCCCACTCAAATCCGGGCTCGAGGTTGCGGGCGGACTACGATCGCAACTACTTCCTGACGGGCGACGTCGATGCCGCAGTGTACACCGAGGACGTTTCGGGACCTGTGGTCATAGGTTTTGATCGGTCAGTTTGGTTGAAACTGGATGGGTTCCACTGGTTTAGATTCTTCTGCCATCCATGTACCAGGGAATCCCATCTATTTTCCGACCACACCTATGCCGGTGTTTGGCTTCCCGTTGGTTCACGACCACCGAACCGGGTCCAACATATGTTATATAAGGCTGACTAGATATGGAGCAGGGTCAGCTAATGTGATTCTCTGTGTATCACAAATGTGGGGCAGCCACAGGTATCGCTCTTTGATTTGAGACCCACCATTGCCGGTCGTTAATTGGGGTTGGTCGGCAGAGATGGTCCTTAGCCTCGGGAGTTTAAACAACCAAAGGGGTTGCAGGGAAACCAGGACAGCACCTGCCTCTTCAGAGTTTTGATCGTAGCTCATGAGGACACGCTCTAGTGTCATGTTGCGCAGTGTTGAGAGGTAGTCTTAACAAGGGTTGCCTCATGTTGCCTTTCTGACCTCAAGAGAGAGAGAGAGAGAGTTTGCTAGTCTCTTTCATTCAGATCTCCAACAGTTTCTCAGTACCCACAGAAGACCCCCACAGCCTTGGTTGTTGCAGGTGTTTCTTGGAAGCCCTCTGTGTGCAGTGTTTTTGCAGTGTTTTTGTTGAACGCATGACATTCATCTTCAAAAAGGATGAAACGTGGCCTTTGAAACTTCCAAAAAGAGTGGGGCAGGTGAGTGGCTTTGGGTATTTGGATGACACATAGTCCCGCGAGGACTGCGAGTTCGCAGACCCTTTCACCTCCTTCCGCGGCCGGCAGCGCTTCGTGCAGAATCTCAAGCCGCTTGGGCGGAAGGAGCGGAAGGTCCTCCTAGGTTTTTGGGACCGGATGGCCCCTCGGACTTGGACCGTGAATTTGTTGGTTCCATGAACCCTAGGGAAGGTGATCGACAGACTCCTCAGGAAAAAAGAGCAACTCATTCGAAAGGCCACCTGTTTGAACTTTCAGAAGCCTTTGCACACGCCCAATGCCTTTGCTGGCCAAAGTCGGCAATGGGGAAATCTGGGGTGGTTGAAACCCCGCGCCTCAGGGGACCCTTCCAATTCTGATGAATAAGGAGGACCCGGCAAATCATCTCTGTGCCAGTCAGCGTGTTGGGCCCTGTTGGGCATATTCCCGGAAGGCCATCAGCCCCCGATAGGGGGGTTTTCCTGCTTCCCTTTAAACCGCGACATGCAGGCCCCCGGGCAGTGTGAAGAACGCGGACCCTTGAGGGGCCCTTGGAACCCGGCAATTTATGGCCCAAAACAGTCAAGAGACGCAAGGTTTTTCCAGTTTCCCTGTAACGGTGAAAAGGGTACCCGCAACAAAACATACACACACACACACGGGTGTGTGTTTCATGTTTTTTCTTAGGGGACCCCTCCAAAATGTCGAACAACGGTCTTCCTTTGGGTGTTCCCTTTCAACCAACCCCAACAAAACGGCTGCCAACTCAAAAATCAGTCCATAGTACTTAGGTGGTGCAGGATTTCGTCCACCCACACATATATATATATATATATGCACATGTCGAAGAAAGCTGAGAAACCTCGCGGGGGGCTTCATCACCAACTTCAAGGTGAAGCTACTGGACTTCGACTCCAAGCCCCAGGCTGGGCCTCGATTGGTCCAGCGAGGCTTTTAGGTGTTTTTGCTTGGTCTAGTAATCGGCCGCTGTGGGGTTTTACCCCAAGTGGGTTATAACCCCCAACCAAAAATACAAGCAAGGTTGAGCCCCTTTGTTTTCTTACTGGTGGTTGTGTTTCCATGAAAAACCCGCTCAACGTTTTAGGGCATCAGTTTCAACAGTCCTGGCAGAATGTGTGTAGTTGTTCAGGCACTTCTATTGCTGTGGACAAAGTCCTGGCCAGTTGGACCAAGTTGGGATGGATGAAGCCTGAATCTGGTGATAGCTGATTGATAAGTGGATTACACCGGTCAACCCCCACCAAACATGGAATCAACCCATGGATCTCCAATTGTCATTGTTTTGAAACAGTTGCAGGCTGGGCTGGGTGAGGTGCAGGTTTGGATGTGGCGTGGCAAACCAGAAGGACCTGGCCCACCCCCTTCGTTTCCGCCAGGCGAAAGCCGGCGCTGAAAGCGGCGACGTCCTCGTGACGTCGCGGCTCAGGGTGCAGCTGGAACTGGCGCTGCCCTGGAGCCCGGTGCTGGGCTGGGTCTGGGGAGTGGAGCACCGGTGCCGGGGGCCCCAGCGACGAAACCTCGAGTGCGACGGAGAGAGGAGGGGAATGGTGTTCTTCGAAAAAAATGGGCATGTAGACACAGGAAGGAAAGGGGGGAGGGATACCGTACAAGGGGGGTGTGAAAGGGGCAGGCCCTTGGCAAAGGGATTCTCTTCGAGGATCAAAAGCAGGGAGGGTGCTTGAAAGGGATGAAGGGTGGTGCAGCAACTACTTACCTCTTAAAAACACAACTTTGATGTATTTGATATGTCTTGGCAGTTCCCAGCAATTCGTCCGGTTCCTGGCAGTTCCTGGTGTTTTTAGTTGTTGTTCGTTGGTTTAGTGATTAAATTTCCATCTAATCCACAAATTAAACTTTCAACAGGTGATTTAAAAATAGCCAAAAAAAAAACATTACTCAACGCCTCGATTTTTCACCCTGCGGGATCTTTGGAGCAAGCCTCCAGGAAGGCTTGGCGGGAGGGGGGGTTGCGAGGGAGTTCTCCTGAAAGCGAGGCTAGCCACGGGTGGATAGGAGGCAATTGGTTTGACGAGGTCCCCCAGTATTGCCCTTTTGCCCCTTTTTCTTGGGGAGGGTTCCCCTACTAAAATAGACGACAGAAAAAGGGGTAGCCTTATTCTAACCTCTCTACTGGAGGACCTCGTTGCAATAGACAAACTCCCTTGGTTGCTGTTCTCTTAGGGGAGGAGGTTCCCTTGAAAGGGATGAGGTTCCCTTGAAAGGGAGGAGGTTCCCTTGAAAGGGAGGAGGTTCCCTTGAAAGGGAGGAGGTTCCCTTGAAAGGGAGGAGGGGCCCTTGAAAAAGGGGGTGGTGCTTCTATCACCACGGACAGTGCTTTTGACATTGTATTTTTCCGTGGTTGCCCATAGCAGGGCAGGTTCCCCGAGATGGGGTCCAATCGTCTACATGCTTGGAGAGATGTGGATTATGGTTTTGTTTGACCACCAAGTAGCTTTGCTTTGAAAGTTGAAATGGTAAGATACATTTTTGACATCGTTCTACATGTCAAGGTCACGGAATGTAGATACCCTGTAGAGATGGGTCCAACGTCTCAGGACCGTCAAACAACATACAAGATGGTTGGTAGGGAGCGCTGGTGGCTCATCAGGGGCAGAGATTGTGTTTTTCCTCGGCTACCTGCAACAGGTCCTTTTGACTGTCCCAAAAGTCCTATTTGGAAGGGCCCCCAAAAAGGTACTGGATTGCTCTTGGAGGTATTCCAAAACTTACCTCTTAAAACACAACTTTTCAACTTTTTGGGTAACATGGGCTATATGTCTGTAAAAGATTAACTTCCCCAGGGCTTGGAGTTTTAAGGGGTAAGAAAATTGTCCTGTAGGGTGACAAAAGGACCACCCCATCGGAAAGGTCTCCATATCGCCTAAAAAAAGGCTTCTCCAACACGTGTGGGGCGCAAAACGCGAACGCCCTTGGCATTAAGTGTGCGCGTGTCAAGAACACGCCTGGTATCCTTTGGCGTTTACCCAATGTTGGCAAGAAGTTTGCGTGGCTTGGGTTGCATTTTCCAGCCTCCTTTTGAATAAACTGGGGATGCATTTTGAACAAGTCACTCGCATTCCACTTCCAGATGTCTCTTGTTGAAAGCGGAATCACTACAGCCTGCTTCCCGTTTTTGGTCGGTGGGCTCCGAAACAAAAACTGGTCAGCCCCACGACTTCCAGATCTTGTTCTCCCGGCGGACCAGGTGCCCAGGACGATGACAGATGGCAGTGCTTCCTTCACAAGGAATCTTGGGAGGCGCTGAGGGGCGATTCGCCGGCGGTTCCCAGCGATTCGTCCGGTTCCTTAGCTTTTCAGTTGTTTTTTTTAAAGTGGTTTTTAGCTGGTTTAGTGGGGTTTTCATTTAACCCACCAGAGTGAAACTTTTAGCAGTGGATCTGAGGACAGCTTTTTTTTGTTTCAGGTGCTATTTCGTTTCGAACTTAACTAGCTGCAGCGACTCTGGGGTGCGGATTTGGGTTTGTCTTAAGATTGATTCCAGGGCTCTACAATTGAAGATTTTTCGAACACCAGCCAACGACGCCCATCAACAGTCAACCAAAAAGGATGTCCTTGCAGAGGCAGCCATGTCCATTTGGGTCTGTATTTGTGTTTTGAGTTGGTACCATTTTCAGGTTGGAACCAAACGGAACGCCCACTTTTGGGTCCAAGTCCGGTTTGGTCACAAGCCCACAGGGTGTGCTTTCCCTGATCTGAAAAGAGAGGAGGAAAGCCACAACAGGATGGGAATGAACTTAGGCAGATTCCCGTAAAGGATACCAAAAGGGAGGGTTGTGGGGTTCATTCCATTTGGCTGTGGCCCAAAAAACCGGGACCAAAATGAAACCCTGGTAAGTGGAAACATGGACCAAAACCTGCGTAACCACTCCTGGTTAATTTTGAGCCACACCCATTTCTGGCCGCCTATCCTCGCACCAAGTCAAATGCGGCAAAACTTCGGTCGACTCCGCAGGTCTCAGCCTCCGAGGGGGTGGCGCAGCTTTTTCGCCCGGGCAAGGGTCTCCGTTGAGCCGAAAAAAGTCAGCGGCTCGCCCCCGTGTCGCCCCTGTGTCGCCCCTGTGTCGCCCCCATGTCGCCCCCGTGTCAGTATGCTAGAACAACAGTAGATCGTTGTGAACAACAGTAGTTTTAGCGTGTCACCCCGTGTCGCCCCCGTGTCGCCCCCGTGTCGCCCCCGTGTCGCCCCCGTGTCCGTATGTTAGAACAACAGTAGATCGTTGTGAACAACAGTAGTTTTAGCGTATCACCCCGTGTCGCCCCCATGTCGCCCTGTCAGATCGTGTCAGTATGCTAGAACAACAGTAGATCGTTGTGAACAACAGTAGTTTTAGCGTGTCACCCCGCGTCGCCCCCGTGTCGCCCCCGTGTCGCCCCCGTGTCGCCCCGTGGCACCTGTGTGTCACCCCGTGTCACCCCGTGTCACCCCGTGTCGCCTGCGTGTCACATCGTGTCACCCCATGTGACCGCGTGGTGTTGGGAAGGGGTAGGGATATAAAAAGAAGCTTGTTTTTACTAGATCGGGGATCTGCTGGCTTTTATTTTCTTTGCGGAACTACTGCTAAATAGACGGTAGTTACGAAAATAAAATGAAAGCAGTAGTCGGAGGGTGCTGGTACTGGACTTGTTTTGTTTTTAATGTCCATGAATGTTGATAGGCAACCCACTTTTGAGTGGTTGGTGGACATGAATCCTCACCTAAATCATGCATAAAAGGTCCTCACTTGAATCTCACACCCATATATGGTTGCAAAATCAATTTCGCACCACCTAAACCCGGGAATGGTTTGATTCTCCTGTAAATCCCTAGACACGCCGATTGTGACCGGTTGCCGATTTGCAGCTCAAGGAGTGCTTGAAAGTTGCTGCGGGGCTCTTCGGCGGGCAAAGATTCGCCATGGGCCGCACTGCTGCGCAACAGGCAGGCATCCGCCAGCTCCTGAAAGAGATGCTCAAAGATCCTGCAGTGGCATCTGACCTTCGCGCCAGGGCACAAGAGGCAGTGCCAGGCGCTGTAGCTCGAGAGGGTCGCGGGAAGCGGGCTTAGTGACAGTCACCACTGACCAGCGCCGATGGATGGAACAGGAAGTGGCGACCAAGCACTGGAGTAAGCTCAGCAAAGAAGAGAAAAAGGCTTTCTGCGAGCAGGCTGAGGTGCACGCTGATGACGCTACAGTGCCCGCGGGAAGCGCCGGCAAGAAGCGCGGTGCAGATGCAGAGGAAGCCCCTGCACCAGCGGAGCCAAAGAAGCAAAAGCCTGCTTACCAACCTCTTGCCAACGTTGTAGCCAAAACAAGGGCTCGTCGTGTCACTGCATTGGCAGAGGAGTTGCTGAAGCATGCCAGCGCCAACGATGCAGCTGAAACACTGGCAGCTGCTGTGAAAGCAGTGGGTGCAACTTGGCCAGATTTTGGAGCTGAGGCGCAGCAGCAAATCTTCAGAGCCAATGGCAGCCAGGAGTGCGCCAACTGCAGCGCGCTTCTTCGAGGGATTTGTGGCACACCTTGCTTTTCCAGCCCGAACCCTCCTGATGGAGTAAGAAGCGCCCGGGACCATATCGACCGAGTTGTGAGAGGCATCTTCCCTTCATTGCAAGCTGTGCAGAAGCAAGGATACAACATTGGAAGGATCCGGTGGGATGCCAGCGGACGTGATCGCATGCCAGAAAGAGCGCCCAGGGGAAGAAAGTCCAAGCAAGATGACGAGGTCCAGATTGCTCGAGTGCGCGCTGCTTTGGAAGAGCATTCCCAAGGCAGCAGCCGCTTGTGCTTCAACCGCCAAGCAGGTGAATGGATGCTTGTAAACACGCTCACTGCTGATAAGACCCACATTTTCAATCAGCAGGACGCTGTGAGCGCAAACATGAGCTTGTCAACCATGTCCCGCATCATGAGGAAGCATTTGGCGAACTACAAGCCTGCTTGGGTCGAATCAGATTGGTGCATCTACTGCCACGACCTTGATCGCAAAGTCATGCCGCAAGTGAAGGAGGCGGTTGCGCAGCACCGGCAGGTCTTGACCGGCTACATGGAGCACTACTTTGAGGCTTTTGACAACTACGTCACCTCTGCTTCCCTGAGCGAAAAGCCAGGTCTGCACTTGCGTGAGCTGCAGCACTACATTTGGCATCACTGCGAGCGTGACCCATGCAGAAAGCACCAAGGTGGTGATTTCCCATGTGGTCAAGGGCGCCTGCGTGCTCGAGGGTCTGGGTTCCCGCAAAGAAGGCGCACTGATCTGCATGGAGCAGAAGCAGAAGCGTGCAACCATTTGCGAGGACTGAGCAAGTTGCTGGACTCCTACCTCTTCCACCGCTCGGCGAACGAGCACCAAAAGCCCGTTTTAACGCAGCTGCAGACCAAGCCGGAGGCGGGCCACGTGACCCTTTTGTCCGATTGGAAGGAGTTAGTCACTTTGCCAATACGTGCCCGACAAACTGGAGAGGAGTTCTACGCGCAGGCGCGCAAAGAGATCTCCGTGTTTGGCTGCGTTCTATCGGAGCGGAAGGCTCCAAGTTCTGCAGAGGTGGTGACAACAAGGATTTTGATCCTTAGCGACATATTGGACCACACGAGTGCCAGGGCCTGTCAGTGCATTGCTTTAGCTTTGCGGCAGCGAAGAGGAACCGAGCAGGTTAAAACCTACCACCTTGTCTCGGACGCCGGGCCCCATTTCCGAGCCTACGAAAACCTTTGGTTCAACTGCGTTGTCCTGCCGCAGAAGCTGAAGGCGCAGGTTATCACTCATTTTGGCGTCGAGAAGCACATGAAATCTGAGGCAGACAGATTGTTTGGCATGCTGGAGCAATACCTGGCGAAAGCGCGGACCCGCCGCATTGACATCATTGAGATGGAAGACTTGCAAAAAGTTGTTGAGTCTACGCACGCTGAGCAGAAAGCCAGAGACCCAACCACTTCGCCCTTGGTTGTCCTTCTAGATCAAACATCAAAGAAGATTCCAGCGGAGCAAAGGTTCAAGCTGATGGCGGAAGGCTTCCGAATTTCCAAAACATATTGCGTGAGTTCAACACCTTGGCCTGCCAATAAGAGATTTGGTGTCAAAGTATGCAACCACACATTTTCCTCCATGGTTGCCTCGACAGACATTACATCGCAGGCTTCCCTGGTGCCTGCCGAAGACAAACATCTGGAATACCGCAGAGGTTTCTGGAGTGATGGCAGGAAGGGCTGGGACACTGCCCCAGAAGCTTTGGGCCGTCATGCCGAAACCGCTTTGACAAGGAGGCAGAAGGTGCAGGAACACTTGTTGCCCGCAGGGGCTAACCAAGTATACTCAGAGACTGTGACCCAGTCGCAGTTTGAAGCCTTGGTGCAAAAGCGCCAACTGCAGCTGACACAGCGCAAGCAAAGGCGCGACCAGCGGCGAAATCCTGACAACGCCGCTCCTGCGAGCTCCGAAGAGAGCAGCAGTAGTAGCAGCAGCAGCAGCAGCGATACTAGCCGTGGCTAAAAAGCTCTTCTTGCTGACTTGCTCTGCTATGTGGGTGCAGCTGTGCACATATGCTTTCGCCAGTAGAAGGGATGACAACTGTATGTGTTACAGACCAAACACTGGAAAACGATAGGGGACTCTCTAAATTCGAACGTACTTGCCATCAACAGCAAATTTTGACGGAACCTCATATGGTAGCTCGTGGCGCGAGGAGCGGATTTCGTCCTTCTATCCACTGATAGACGGGAAGCGTCGCAGAAATTCATGCCCCAAGTGATATGGCATATTCCTTCTGACGGCTGCCACCATCCTACACCGAACTCCCGTCTACCCACTCACTCACTTGGCGTCTCCCGTTCGTTTGGTCGCCGAGGTCTCGGCTGCCCAACTCGGAGACCAGTGACCTGCGGAGGGCCATCCTGGTGGGCTTCGCGCAGATGCTTTGGCGACCCGCAGGTGGTTGCTTTGGCGGCCGGTCGAGGTGTAAGGCCCTGCGGTTCGGTAAATCTCGACCTAAAATCAAACTGTCTGGTGGGTCCTGTTAAAACAGGGTTTCCTCCATTTCTCTTTTTGGAGCCTCGAAAAGTGGTGATTGTTTCAAGGGAAACCACCCAGTAAATTGCAACTGAAGGGGAAATCCAGCGACCCCTGTTAAATAAACTCAGGTGATATCCCCAACAGCATGCGGATTTCTTTTTAGTGCTCGCACCACCCCGCAGCCCTCGCAGAACCTCGTGGAACCCTCGTGGAACCCTGGTGGAACCTTACCTCAGGGCCGCCCCGGAACACCCCGGAGCCTATCTGGGCTGAGACCCCAAAGCTTTCAGCTGTTGAGGAAAACCTCAGGTCAATGCCACTAAGGAAGAGGAAATGTTGATTGCTCACTTTGGCACGAAATCAGCATGAGGTGATAGGCTCTCCTTTGTCTACCAGCGGGCCGCCGGACAAGGGTTGCTTGATCCCACCAATAGGCCTGAGTCCCTACAGGGTTTGTTCTGGTACATCTGTTTGCGCACCCTGTCTACCCTAGGAGTCCCCTAAATGTGAAGCAAGGAGGGGACCCGTGGAAACTCCTCTAAAATGGCATGACGTGTTACTCACAATAATAGTTATTCAGGGAATCAGCAGATATTGAGACCACCTTTGAACAACTGTCAAAGGTCTCAAGTAATGTTGCCATGCTTTGAGGAACAACTACTGAACGTTTGCGCTTTCAACAACAATGATATTTGTCCCGTACCCGCAGTGAACATCCCAATCCCCACTAGACTAAAATGGGTTGGTGCACCTACCCCAAAATGGGATCCCAGTTTTGACCATTTACCAGGGTTCCGTTTTGGGTGCCGACTTTTTGACCCACAGCCATTTGGTTTGCAACCGCGGGAGGTACAACCCGGAGCTCTTCCTGCGGGCCACGGAGGAGAGAAACTGCAGCGCCCAGCTGTTGGAGGCGGGATCTGATGGCGAAATCCATCAAACGCACAGGGTTGTGGTTGATCACAAGGGGTTTTACCAACCACTTCTGTGATACTTTTGGGAATCTCCCCCTTATGGGGGGTTAGTCTTTGGGGTTAGGCCCTTATTGTTGTATCACAGAAGTGGATTCCATTTCCCACAACCCTGATTTCGCACCGGTCAGACACCCAACGGAAGGATTCGGTTCCCCTCTCACCAATAAACAATGGATAACAATGGGCTTCAACCATAGTTTCAAAGTGGTGCAGGAGTTCGTCCAGTGCCCTTTTACCCCTTTTTTGGGGGAGGGTTGCGAACCTTACTAAAATAGGCTACAGAAAAAAGTTGATACTCTTATTCTAACCTCTCTCCTGGAAAACCTAGGCGCGTTTGCTGGCTGAGTTGAAGGGACGAGCCAGCGAGCAGGGGATGGCCCACTGATTACGCCAACTCGGCCCGGTCTTTGCTGCGTGATTCAGACGGAGCAGGGGATGACCATTTACCCACTTACCAACGAGCAATGGAGGTTTTTAATCACGTGCTGGTTTGTCCTTTCCCTCCGACCAAGAAACCAACCAACAACCAACCAATCAGCATTTCGCAACAAAAAACACATTTGGGGGGAGCAACTTCTTGTTTTGACTTTGACTCCCCCTGTTTCCCTTGAGCTTCTGTGGTGGGCTTCCTGTTCGGTCGGTTGCTGCATGATTGCAGAAAACATGCTTTGAGGCCAGCAAGGGAGTCCCCTAAGTGATAAATCAGTCATGGGCATGGTCCACGTTGGTGTCGAAAGTGTCATGTTCATGGAAAGAATCAACCTAGAAGGGAGGAAGGCCTATAAGTCTTAGCGATCAACCCCATTTTGGATACCAGCTGAAAGCTTTTTTTGGGGTGGGGGGAGGGGGGCTTAACTTTTTGGTTGAAACAGCTCGGATTTTCCGAGTTGGACCCACAAAACGTGATTCACTTCTCTGTAAATTGCAGCAACCAAGTGTTTTTCTTTCAGCATGTTCAACATCAACTTGTGGTTGCCACTTTTAGATGAGCTTCCTTTTGATGGGGTGATGTTTAAGGTGGCAGCATAGAGTTTCGTCCTGTTTAAAGGGAGACCAAAATAGTCGCTGCTTACTAGTGGGCGCCCTGCTTTTGCGGACCCCCATAAACCAGAGGTGGAAATTGACATGACGGTGGTGGAAATGAATATGATGATGGAGGTGGGAAAGCAAGGTCCGCTGGATGCATTTGACATTTCTGCCATGGATGTCTCGATTTTATCCGAAGAGCAGCTGTCTCAAAGTAGGGAAGTCGAAGTCTTTTTGTTTGACTTGCAAGCTTCCAACACGGAAAATGGCTCTTTCCAAGAATCTACACTCCCTCAGAACAGCCGGAAGCTCCCAGAAGGCCTCTGTAAAAATGGAGCCCAGTTTCCACAGAAAACCTGGGAGCTTCCATGTTGGTCTGGAGCGTAAGATCGGCGGCTTCCAAAACCCTACGATCAGCGCCCGGGGGTCCGCGGATTTCATGGCCGTACCTGGGGTCCAGCCAGCGAGCCGCGATGTAGGTCCCTGTCATTTTCAGGTTCTGAGAATCCTTGCGGAATTTGTAGATGAGGTGGGGTAGAAATCCAGCCCCAAAAATTGCCTCAACAGCAACACTCCCACATGCATAGGTGTCCTTTTGATCGGTTAGTTTGATGAGTTCCACTGGTTTCTGACCCAAGCCGGGGACACCCCTAGGTTGCCCAAAAGGGTCACCCAATTTGATTAAGAATAGATGCGTTCCCCTGGTTTAGATTGGTTCTATGACGGGGAAAAAAGGGGGGGAGGAAAAACAACAACAACAAAAAACAAAAACAAAAAAACAAAAAAAATGGAAACCAAAAAAAAAGAAAAAGGTGGAAACCCATGCCCACAGGGAGGTTTGGTAGGTGTTGCGGCCTGGAGGCCTGGATGCAGAAGATCTCCTTGGTGAAGCGCCGGCAGCACCGGAAGGCGCGCGCCGGGCGGCGGCGGCGGTCCCATGGGGAGGACATGGAAAGAGGGCTGTGGTCAAAAACCGCACGACTCATATGGAACCCAAAGAACCATGATGTAACTCTTGCTTGCCCAAAAAAACAACACCTCGAAATAGAAGGTTGAACTTTTGGGACCTTCACGGAATTTGGACCACACTTGGGAAACCGCAAGGTGTCATGTGGCTGTGGGTCAAGAATCGGTGCCCAAAACGGAACCCTGGTAAATAGAGCCAATGACCAAAACCCGCGGTCCCCTGGTCGTCTAAAATTTGACCCATACCCAGAACGGTTCCTAAAAAAGAAGTTACGTGGGTGAAAAGGCAGGGACCCAGGTGGAAAAAGGAGAGGCGACCCCGAATTCACCCGGGACCTCCGCCAAAAAATGGATTCTGAGAGAATTTACAAGGGAAAGCAAGGGCCAAAGGGAGGATCTTATCCACGTCCGATCCTCACTCCCTCAGGTCTGTTTCGGATTTCAGGCGCTTTTGTGGGATTGGACCCATTTGACCGGCAACTTCAAAGTTGGGACATTCGTGCGCCAAACAGTTTTGAGTAGAAAATACAACGTTTGGGCCTTGGAGCAACAACAAATGAGTGGTATCGAAAGTTCGAACTTTGGAGCCAAACAGTTTTAGTGGCAAATACGACCTGTGGCTTGGTTACTTTTGTGGGCGAATCGACTGGATGTGGGAACTGAGTGAGTTGATCTTGGCGCAAGCAGGTCACCCTGCTGGCCCTGCTTCAGCTCTTCCGCCTGGGCTGCGCTCAGGCAGGAGTCGATATGGACGTTGCCCTTGGGGCCATGTCCATTTGGCTGTGGGTACCGAAAATGGAGCCCTGAGAAATGGAAGCAGGGACTAAAACCTGCGGTCCCCTGGTGGTTTAATGCCAAAACACTCTTTTTGTCCATGTGGCTGTGGTTTGTCAAAAATAGATTTGGTAACCCCAAAATGGGTTACCCCGGTAAATGGAACCAAGGACGATTCAAATTGCGGTGCAATTCCTGGTGGTGGAAGTTTGGACCCGCAATTTGGACGTTCGTCTTTTTCTTGAGGGTGCCAAAACAACTTTTTTGGAGCGGTTTTAGGAGGGAAAACCAAAGGAAGCCAAAAACAAGCATTTTGGGCGGAGGTTGCCTAAAAAGCAGACACACACCCAATTGTTTTTGCCGAGGTTGAAAACGGACCTCTTTTTTTTTGCAAAGCCCTTGAAGTTCTTCATCGTCAATTTGGGTGGCTCGTCTTTTTGGAGGGTACCTTTTTCGGGCTGGGTGCAAACAGGGAAGCCGCCTGAAGCCGCCTATGTTAAGGGTCCATGTGGAGACAAATTCACAGCCGAGCGACCGGAACTTGGATGCAGGCGCTACCGGCGAGCGTGTCTCCAGGACAGTGAAATGTTTTGGTTCGGGGCCGGTGTCGCTGGACCCTTTTTCCACTACTAGATCCCCCAGCTAGGTGCCCTTTCTCTCCCCTTTTTTGGGGGGAGGGTTCCCCTACTAAAATGGACTGCAGAAAACAGTTGGTACCCTTATTCTCTCCTCTCCACTGGAGGACCTAGATGGTCTGGGAGATAGCTAAGTGGTTAGTAAGCCTGGATGTAACCCACTTAGCATGGTTGTAAGTCCCCTATAACCAGGGTTACCAACCATTTAGCTAAGTCCAAAACCATCTAAGTAAGTGTTTATGGCTGCTGTTTGACCGACCTGGCCTATATTGACTTTGCCTTTGCGGGATTCCTGTGCGATGATCCGGACCATGTACGTGCAACCATTGTGGTGTGGGGTACTTTTTCCGGAGGGAGGGGGGCACTGCACCCCTCATAATGTATCTCCTTGTTCTCTTTCCTGCGTTGCCAATGGCCAGATTTTTGCGGAGAATCTGAGAGAGAGAGAGAGAGAACCAAGCAAATCCCCCTTCATATGAGGGACTGCAACCTGGGTGCGTGGGTGGGTGGGTGGGGAGTTGATTCAAAGACCCCTGGCCCAAAATCACCTCTCCCTGGTTTGGACTTTGCGCGTAGCCCATATGCTTCTCCGCGCTCCCAAATTCACCCTTACGCCCAGTCTACTAGGTCTCCCAGTAGTGCCCTTTCTCACCCCTTTTTGGTTGGGAGGATTCCCCTACTAAAATGGACTACAGAAAACAGTTGGTACCCTTATTCTAACCTCTCTACTTGAGGACCTAGTCGATTTTTTGCACTTTGCTCAACAATGTTGGCTCCTCCCATAGGAAACAGCTTCCCTCTCTGCCTGCCATGGCACCTGGCAAGGGGTTCCCTTGGAAACTGATGGAGGAAGGGTATGTTTCTTGCTGCAACAGCTTGGTTTACCCCCAACAGGAAACATCACCAGTCTGAGGATGATCCAGACTCAAGGCTACACCTCCGGTGAGTACATATCTGTTGGAGTTTGCAGCCCAAAACTCCTCAGTTCAAAAAGGGATCGGCCTGAAACAACCTTTCAGTTTCCCTGTTTGGCATCCATTGTCCAACTTCATGGGGCCTGGGTGGGAAGGAGAGGAGCAGGGAGGGACCCCAAATTAGCTCTTGAGCATTCCGCCCCTAAGCCGGGTGAGACAATCCGCCTCTCTGATCATTTCAGGACTCCCGCACCTACTGCGTGCCATCGCCATCCAGAGCAAGGCCCTCCTCCAGGCCGGCTACGGTTCAAGAATCTAGGTCCCCAGCTAGGTGCCCTATTACCAACTTTTTTGGGGGGAGGGTTCTCCTACTAAAATAGACTACAGAAAAAAAAAGTTGGTACCCTTATTCTAACCTCTCTACTGGAGGACCCAGATAATGATGAGCCCATATTCACCAACCCCAGCTGATGAATAGGGGGTGTCCCTGGGTTTTGTGGGGAATCATCACTTTTGGAGGGCAACGGGCCAACATTCTCCCTGGCGGGGATACGCTTGCGTACAAATGATGTCTCCAAGCGAAGAGGACATCGAACTGGTTGAAAGCATGCAAAAATGGGGGGAGGCTGGGCTTTTTTTGGAAACCTATCGAAGTCCGTTTTGGGCTTATTTTGGGGCTGGTTTTCCCGTAGGCAAGCAGGGTTTCACGAATATATATATATATATATAGATGTAGTCTACCCATCAACAGTGGGTGCGTGCGTCTTTTTCCACCCCCCCCCCAAGGAAAATGAGTGTTTGTTCCTTCGGGTTTTTTCTACAATCGCAACAATGGGGTACCCACAACAAAAAGACACACCCCTTAGGGGTTGCGAAAAGCTTTCTTTCGGTGGGGCTCATGTTTGAAGGCAGGCCAAATATGAACGGCTCAATGTGTCTGTGCGTATGGGTGGCTGTTTGGGCTGGAATAGGGAAACTATGTTGAAGCACTGTTGCTACGCACCCTTGAGGGTGTGCCCCCAACAACTCCAACCATCTATAATGTGATATACTTGAGGATATACACACACACACACTATATATATATATATGTATACGTATGTATGTATAAATAGGAACATCTCATTCTACAGCTAGTAAGTAGCCAACCAGGGCTTGTGGTTTCACTGGGGTGCAACCCTTGGGGTGCCAGATGCGATTCAAGTCGATTGGTGTTGATGGATTCCCGACCCAAAAAAAGAAAACGTCGGGTGGGTGTTTTTTCCTATTCTCCATGGCCTGGAGATAACGAGGAATGGTGCCCTGGTGCAATGTGTAATCGCATCCCAGCGGGGTTTTCCTTTTTGAGACATGCCCACTGTTGGGTGTTTAGCGATTCTGGTTTTGGGGGGTCGAAGGCGTCAAGGTTGTCGAGAACTTAGTTTTAGTGCGACTTTCTGTGACCCTTGGTATCGAGGTAGTCGGGCCACAACCATGTTTACAGGCCCACGTTCGGGCACTTGTTTTGACTTGCTGCCAGGGCAGCCCTCAGCAAGGAAATCAATGGGAGCCAGCTCAGCTCGAGGGTTCCAACTTGTTGAGACACAGAAAAATCGGTGTTTGCCATGTTCCAGCACGGTTTTTAGTTTTTACTATGCTTGCCTTGCTTAAGGCCTGGCTTGCGGTGAAATCATTTTCCACAAAAAGGCTGTTTGTTTGCTTGTTTGATTTACGACTGGGCAGGCAAGGAGCCGTGTGGCGATGAAACCCTTGGAGTTCACGGAATGGGGCGCTCGAAGCCACCGACCACTTAAGTATGACTTGGGTGTTGGCGTCCGTGTCTTTGTGCCAACCTGCCTTCAGGCAACCTTTATCTTGTTTTGCTGGATTGGTTTGAAATGAACCCTTGGTTCTTGTAGCGGGTGCTGTAAATAGGAGAAACACCCCTAAACCACCAAATCACCAATCCAAAGGAAGCTGAGCCTTAGCAGAGCATGTCGCAGCTTTTCGAACGAAGCCCGCGCGAAGCTCCAACAGTGAAATAGGAGGCCAAAATTTGGCGTCACCACATGACACGGCAGTTCGACAAAAAAGGGGCCAGAGACTGAGTTTCCAAAGCTTACCTCTTAAAAGACACAACTTTTCAACTTTTTGGGTAACATGGGCTATATGTCTGTAAAAGATTAACTTCCCCAGGGCTTGGAGTTTTAAGGGGTAAGAAAGGCCAAGCCAAGAGGTATGAATTTATGCAAGTTATATAGCGACATATGCTTCAAGGCTTCCTTTCCCGGAGAGCAAACATTTCTGGCTGATTCAAATACTCCATAGTGAGCCGTAAGCGGGCTGTGGCTGTTACTGGTCCTTGGTCCGGAAAAAAGGAAAAAGAGGAAACAACCACACAATGGCTCCCCTTGCCATGACTTTCAATCAATACTTTTGTGTGTGTGTGTGTGGCTCAAATTCTTAGAGCCAGCGGACCGCAGGTTTTCGTCTACTTGTCCCTTTGCCAAGGTTCCATTTCGGGACATCCCCTTATTTTTCTCGCTCCCGAGTTTATTATGCTTTGGGGTTGGACCATTTTGGTGGTAAACAAACAGTTCCTGGACTTTGTTTGGCCCATCCACTCGTTCGGAAGTGAGTTTTTGAGGTACCTTCCCACCCCCCCCCCCTCCTCTCCCTCCCCCTCCCTCCCCCACCCCCCCCCGCTTTTTGAGCCCCCCCCATTTTTTGAGCCGCATCAGCCACTTCTCCACGTTCCGATGCGCAGGGCGCAGCGCGAAAGCCCCAACGGGCACCTCGTCCGGAAGCCGCCAACAGCGACGGCGAGGATGGGAACGCCCGGTCGAGCGGTCGAGGGACTTCTCTTTTCTTTTTTTTGGGGGGGGGGGGTGGGGGTGGGGTTGGACCATTTTAGTGGTAAACTAAAAGTTTAGACTTTCTTTTGCCCATCCACTCAGGAAGTGAGGTAAAACAACAAAATGGTACCTTCAAAAAGAAGCCCAGTGGGTGTGTGTCCGTGTGTGTGTGTTTTTTGATAGCACCCCCGTCAGGACAACCACAATTTTGGGGCCTGACATAAACTCAACTAAAGCTAATGGTCGGACCTTGCAGAGCTATGACAGGTTTACCGCCTTTTAAGCCCCATGCGAGAAGGGCTTGGGACTTTTCCCCCTACAATTTACAAGCCAAACTGGATTACGCCGGACGACCTTTACTCTTCTGTTTGTCATGGACCAGGGGCTATGGGGCTATCCCTGGGATAAGCCAGGCACAAGCCAAGGATGAGGCCTCAATTCGCAGGGGTTCAGGGTTACTTCCCCTCCCCATACCCCCGGACCCCTTTCTAAGCTCCATGCGTCTGTAGTTTCGCTTTTTCCATGTTTTTCCGTCTGAATTTTGTTCACTCTGAGCTGGAGGTGACGTCTATGGCACGTTGCAACGGACTCGTTGAACTGAGGACATGGGGTCCAGTGGCCAACGGGGTGCGTTGCACTTGTCCAAGGCAGCCGGACACGTTATGAAGCTTGACGGTGGCCCGGAAATGGTTTGTGTTTGCAGTGTGTGTGTGTGCTTTCCTCACTGCAGGTAGGGCTTGTTAGCTAATCCACTCTGGAAGCGAACAAACTGTCAAGGGCCTTAAACTGTTCCCCAAAATTCCTTGTCGCAAGTTTCGCAGGCTTGGACTGTCCTGTTTGAGCATGCTTACGCCATTGTTTGTGGTAATTAATTCATGCCCTGTGAGTATGTCTACAGGCTACATCGATTTGGAAATCGCGAGGGACCTGAGCTTTGCATCTACGTGTCCAAACCAGGTGCCAGGTGTTTGAGGAACGGAGGCTCCGTAAACGGCAACCTTTGCGTGGAAAGGCTTCTCTAAAAAGGCCCGTTTTGGGAGGAAACTTCTTTTGGGGCATCTGTAGGGTTTTCGGGCCCGATTTCGGTGATGTCACACAAGCGTGAAACTCCATTTGGATGTGTGTCTTGTTTTCGAGGTTAAGGTTGTTTTTTGGGTGAAGGGAAACCAAAAGGACAACCAGCCATTTTCGGGGGCCCCCTAACCAGACTTACTCCATTCGATCCGAAGACACCTAGGAGGACGCCGGCAAATTGGAGGAGGCCAGGGAGGGCCCGGAACACCAAAACCCATCGGAGGGGACCCAGGCGGCGCTGTTTGCATGGCCTCTGGGCGTCTGAGTTTCGTAGGTGGTTCAGGTCTTACCTGGAGTGCCCCTACGCAAACCTCTGCAATTTGGTCAAACATCCAATTGCTTGGGTTTACTGAGGATGGTCATCCACCTCTCAACAAGGAATTCAATTAGGCAGCCACTGCAAGCGTTTCTACTAAGGGAAGCATGACCAGAGCATACGAGCAGCGACCAAAACCGATTCCCGTTAGCTGGGTTGGTGGTTCGACTCCTACGTTCTACGGGTAGCAGGGCCCACATATTTGCGACACATGTTGGTAGAGGGGCTGCAAAACTGGGCAGTATGGTTTGGTTTATCTTGAAACACCAGGCTTTGGGCCACTTGGCGCACAGGGTCTTCATTAAAGTTTACTAGACCTCTCGGTACCCTGGAAGCTCGCGAGCTTGCGACTGACCCCGTGCGTTGGTGATATGTAGAAGATGTAGCCCTGACTGGGCTGACCATATATATATATATATTGCATAGTTAAGTTATGTCTTTAGTCTTGTCCCGTTCCTGCGGCTTCAAAGATCGCATCTCAGGCCAAGGCAAACTAACTATGTTTCTTCAACAGGGAGATGCCTTTTATTTAAAGGCAAGCAAGGGAACCCTGTATCCTGCGTATTAACTTCCCGAAACCGCCAACTCACAGTCTTGGGTGTCTGAGAACAACTGGCTCAGGCAGTGGTATAGGCCTGTCAATGGCATGTCCTGCACGCTGTAAAAGGAAGCATCTTGCAACTGAATTCGTGCGTTGGTGATATGTAGCCCTGAAAGGGCTGACCATACATATATATATATATATATATATATGTATAACATATATATATATATATATTGCATAGTTAAGTTATGTCTTTAGTTTTGTCCCGTTCCTGCGGCTTCAAAGATCGCATCTCAGGCCAAGGCAAACCAACTATGTTTCTTCAACTGGGAGATGCCTTTTATTTAAAGGCAAGCAAGGGCACCCTGTATCCTGCGTATTAACTTCCCGGAACCGCCAACTCACAGTCCTGGGTGTCTGAGAACAACTGGCTCAGGCAGTGGTATAGGCCTGTCAATGGCATGTCCTGCACGCGGTAAAGGAAGCATCTTGCGACTGACCCCGTGCGTTGGTGATATGTAGAAGATGTAGCCCTGACCATATATATATATATATTGCATAGTTAAGTTATGTCTTTAGTTTCGTCCCGTTCCTGCGGCTTCAAAGATCGCATCTCAGGCCAAGGCAAACTAACTATGTTTCTTCAACAGGGAGATGCCTTTTATTTAAAGGCAAGCAAGGGCACCCTGTATCCTGCGTATTAACTTCCCGAAACCGCCAACTCACAGTCTTGGGTGTCTGAGAACAACTGGCTCAGGCAGTGGTATAGGCTTGTCAATGGCATGTCTTGCACGTGGTAAAGGAAGCAAGATTGAACTACAGTGACTGATGCCAGATGCAGCTAAAGCAAGTGACCTCGCGATACAAATGCATGTGCCAAAGGTATCCAACCTCGGCTCGAGATCACGACGAATGATTGAAACTAATGGACATTGTGTGACTTATCTTGTCCAACCCCTTCTTCCCCCGTTCGGTGGGATGGGGTTTCCTTTGCAATCCGCGACCTAAGGTGTGTCTCCTAAATTCGAGGGGTTCCTTTGGTGTGTTTGTTTTCTTCCATGCTGAAACGAATATGTTGTATTTTCTCTTCTTGGTCTTAAAGTTGGCATCTATCACTGGAAATGTGTTTATTTGGGGGTACACACGCAAATGGAAGTTTTTCACAGAGGCCTGGATGGGCAGCTGACCGTACGCAGTGTCCAGACTTGGGGGGGGGGGAACGTTGTTGTTGGATACATATTGACCACTGACAGAAGTTTATATAGGTTGGTGACATGGTGTTTATGCATATATATATATGTATATATACATATATATATATATATTATTATTATTAATTATTATTATTATTATTATTATTATTATTATTATTATTATTATTATTATTATTATTATTATTATTATTATTATTATAATATGTAGGTTGCATAATGCTACAGTTATTCGCATTCTTCCCTGGGACATGGTTGGTTGCCGGTTTGTGCGGCCTTAACCTTGAAACAATTTGAGGACTCTTTAATTACCAAGAAATGGATCGAGCTGTGCGGGGTCAAAACGTAATTCAAGCGGACATATTCACCCCAGCAACATCCAAATGCATTGCTGGTCTTTGTGACCAAATCGCCCCTTAGAGTCTTTCTTTCAGAAACAAACTTGCCTTTCCATATCAAATGCTACCAAACAGTGATGCCTTTCCACATCAAGCCTACAAACAAAAAATGTGCTTTTCCACGTGAAACCCACCGAACAAGTGATCGACCTTCTCCGGGGGAAGTTCCGAAAAGAGCACCCCGGCGAAAACCTCGGCCCAAATCGAAAGGTGGCCATTGAGGGTCGCAAATCCCAGCATTGCTGGTTGAAAGAGAGTCCACTCGGACCAGTGGTGCCCCCTTTTTCCGTCTTTTGCTGGGGTCGCCTTGAAGTCAACCAGCCAAACACATTTGGCTGTGGGTCAAAATCAATGGGATCCCATTTTGGGGCAGGTGCACCACCCATTTTAATCTAGTGGGGATTGGGATGTTTACTGGGGGTACGATTTAGATTTTGACCCATGGCCATTTGGTGTCCTATGTTCTTCTGGCAACTGGAAGCCCTGGGTTCACCGTTGGATTTTGTCCAAAGCCGGGGTTTGACGGAAGCGTAGGGAACTTCCGTCGCAACCGCTGATTGGTGCGGCCAGTGTGCGCATTTTGATACTTTTTACCGAGGGTGGGTAGACTCCAATAAAAAGTAAGCTTTAGTTATGACCCATTTGATTTAGTGGTTGCGTCGGTTTGTGAAGCTGAATCCCTGGACAACAGTCCCCCAAGCGCCCGCCCAAATCAGGTGTTGATTATTTCTGACTTTGATTTCAATATAGCTTTCAATGGTGTGGATATTGTTTGCTGGGGCATGTTGCTTTGGTTGCCTACCCATGGATCTGCTCTCGCCGAGCAATGGGGTGTGAGCTAAGCCATGGGCCCAGGGTGGTTTGAAGTGAAAAGTTTGATGGGGTTCTCAAAATTGCCCATCAGTCCAACCCGGCAAGAGGTTCCATTTTAAAGGAACATGGTTTTCCATGACCCGTTTTTGAGGTTCCATGATGGACGGGAAGGTATGTTGCAGGTGGTTTCCCTTTAACCCATTTTGAGCCCACCTTTTCGAGGGTTTGAGGATGTTTGAGGCACTTCACCGGGCTGAGTAATCCATACGAAGCCACAGAATGCCTCTCTTCCATTTGCTGAAATGAATATGTGTTGTTGGTTTTTTAAAGGGAATCCATCACTGGAAATATGTTTGTTTGTCGTCCAGGGGGCAAAATCGCAAATGGGTGTGGGTCAAAATTAGCAGGGGACCGCAGGTTTGAGCCCTTGTTTCCATTTACCAGGGTTCCATTTTGGGTACGTATTTTTGACCCACAGCCAAATGGAAGAATGCCTCTGCAGGTCCTTGAAAAGCTGCGGACTGCCTCTGCTGCAGCCGATGGCTCTGAGGATGGCTCGGAGTCCGAGGCGGGATCGCCAGCACTGCGCAGTGCCGCACGTCAGTCGGGCAAAACGTTTGTGGAAACGAAGATTTACCCTCGCTCCCACGTTGCCATGGCACCCTGGCAGGGGGTCCCTCCAACCAAGATCTTCCAGGTACCATCCCGCTGTATATCCCACTGGTGCTACGTTAGTGGAAGGGAGGGTAGTGGTAAAACAAGCGTGAAACCTGAAAGTTGCTGTTTGGAAGGCCATTTCCCTCTCGCAGGGATTGCACCGCTTCCCTTTGTGGGAGTAAACATGAAACTGGAGACTTTAAACCCACCCTTAGGGGCCATACGACAGAACCCTCCATTTGCGCTGTCTTATTTTTGAGGGTACTCTGCTTTTGGGGCTCTCAAACCCAAAGGGAGGGAAGTGCCGGGGTGTCTCTTGAAGAGAGCTTCATTAAGTACCACGGTAAAGATCTCGCGATCTCGCAGCATGCGGCTGAGGCAACTAGTTAAGCCCATTCAACTTGGCTTTGGATTCACAACTCCCTTGGAAGAAGACGGTGGTCGCTGTGGCCAACAGATTGTTTGGCAAATTCCGCTCGCCTTCGCAGCATCTCTGCCAAAGAAGATGTTGTCGGGCACTGTCTGAAAATTAGAGTACCCCTTCTGCGAGTGAAAGGAACATCTTGTACTTCATACTGGGTCCGTTCAAGTGGCAGCCTCTCAACTTGTTGTATTTGTTTCTGGTGGTTTAAACGGAAACCCTGAAGTTCAACGTTTAAAACACGGTCAAAGCGAGTTGCCTGAGGGATTTTGGACGGCCCTCCTCTTCGAAGTTTTTTGGCTGATAGGGTGGTCTACCGCGCGCTTCGCCGCCGCGCGATCCAAGTCAGGTCAGGGTTCCATTGGCGTGGTTGATTTCCCAAGCGAACCTTGTGGGTTTAAGTCTGTCCAAAAATTGGACTTTGGCTGCTTGGTTTGACCTTTGCCCTGTTCAGGCAAAACACAATGGCAACAGTTCGACCCACCTGGTTTTGAAGGATCTGGCATCCCAATCTAAGGGACAGAAGCCCACCCCTCCCCCTTTTTGTGTGTTTTGGGTGGGGTACCCTTTTTGGACCCAACACAGCCCACCCTTTCTGCCCAGGTTCCGCACATCAACCCCCCCCCTTTGTCGGCAGACGTGCCAGGAGAGCGACTCCGAGGACTTCGAGCCGAGCTCCATGGTGGACTTTCAGGCGGACTTCGATTCGGTCGGTGCATTTTGCCAAGGGCAAATTCCCATGGTTTTCCTTTTAGGACACAAACTAGGTCCCCAACTAGGTGCCCTTTTACCAACCTTTTTGGGGGGAGGGTTTTCCTACTAAAATAGACTACAGAAAAAAGGATACCCTTATTCTAGCCTCTCTACTGGAGGACCTAGCAAAACAATAGGCCCATATTCCCCCAAACCGCCCCATATCTCCTTGTTGGGGCCGATAGATCGTTTGCCAAGGGATGTTAGGACTCGAGAACTTTTTGATCCAACTAATGAATTGGTTTTCCGCATTAAGCCACTAAAAGTTAAACTCACTCTTAGCAGGGGAGCAGAGTTAGCACGCGAGGATTCGGTCGCTTTCCGTTTCCGACCGAAGGACTTGCCCCAAAACACATTTGCGGAGCTGTTCTCTTGATATGGGGGCTGGGGGGGAGGGGGGGGCAGGGGAGGGGGCGACCAAATAAGCCCAATACTAAATAAGCCCTTAAGGCCTGAATTTTCTTGCTGGGGTAGGCAGGGCCCCTGAAATTGGAACGAACTCGAGAGAACCATTGACTCGCCGAAAAAAAAGCACGAGGATGTTTTTTTCTCTTGCTGGTGCGAGAGATCGATAGGCGGGGGCCCTGATAATTGGAATGAACCAGGAAAAAAAGAAGAAAAAGAAACATCCAACTGGTGGTTTCTTTTAAGGCAATTGTCTAGGTTCATTCCCACATTCCCTACCGAGCACCAGCAAGTTTTGGTAGCCAGTCAAGTTGGCAAGCCAAAGGTTCCTCACCTCTAGGTTTCACCATGGATGGTTTCCCCTGAGTACCCACTCTAGTGGCAACCTGGTAACCGGAAGCACCGGAAAAAGAGGTGATCGATCTTTTTTGCTTCGGGCTTGGAGCAAGCCAGATACGCTCCCTCGAAACAAGCATAAGGTTCGGCTGAAACATCCTAAATTTGAGGGATGCGGTACTTACTGGGCTTGCCATTGTCCCACAAAAACCTAGAAACTGACTAAATCTCACAGAAATACATCCATTTGCTTAAGAATATGTTTTATTTTCCCTTGTTGGTTTTGAAATAGCTTTATCACTACTGGACATATGTTTACTTTTTCCACGGGTCTCAACCAAATGGAAGATAATATTCAAGACTTGGGGACTCATGTCCTTTGTGGGAAGCAAGTAGTTGCCGCTCACATGGCAGTGTCTTGGGTCCGAGGCACCTCCATTGCTGCTGAAAAAGGTGTCCTTGAGGTCAGTTGGCCAGTAAGGTTCGGTTCGGTTCGGGTCGATTCGGTTCGAATTTGCCGGGGTTCCGAAAATTCCGGTTCGGTTTCGGTTTTAAGGAAACCATTTCGGTTCGGTTCGGTTCGGTTTCTGAATATTGTCCAACGGTTCGGTTCGCTTCCCGAAGGTTTGTCAAGGACTCGGTTCGGTTGGGTTCCGACTCTTAAAATGAAGCTCCTATAGTTCCACATATGGGGGCTTTGAAAGGAGGCCCAATGCTTGATGGGTTTCGCAAGAGATGTTCTACCACATTAAGCCTGCGGCCCTCAGCCAATCCATTTGCAGTATTTCCACACAGTATTTTGAGACTTCGTGAATGAGAGGCTCCACGTATAGGGCTTCTCATTTGGAGACGACAGACGAAATGTGTTTTGTGTTTCTGTCTTTGGGCGCATCCAGACCTCGTACATTGGCAGCTGAAGCTTCTTCTTTTGAGGAAATCAAAGTGGTCCACATACGTGGTCCACGTACGTGCTTGTCAAAGCAGGCTCCATGTCTTTCGCTTTGGGCACTTCCAGGCCTTGCACATGGAAGCTCCAGATGTAGAGGGGTCTCATTTTCAGGGAAACTCTATTTATGATGGGGGTTCCCATTCCGACCCTGAACCGGAAACTCCTACTGTTCCACACGTTTAGACATTGTGCCCCTCGGAATTTAAAGCGATCCACGGTCTCATTTGGGCAAATCTCCTTGAGGGATACGAAGGGGTCCGCGCATGTGCTTTGCCACGAAATGGGATTGCTCCACGTATCGGGGGTCTCATTTGGAGAAGCCAAGTCAACATATGACGAACTGTGTTTGGCGTTTTTCCCCTTTGGGCGGATGCTCCACATAGGGGGGGCCTTGCGCATTGGAAGCTCCACATATAGGGTGGTCTCAGTTTAGGGCAAAATGGGGGCTTGGCTTCCCCAAATGACTCCGATGCCAGACCGGCGTGATGTGCATAATGTGGCGTGGGCCGTGCCACGCGCCGCCTGTAGGGGAGTCTCTGGACTCTTTTGACATCGTTGAGATCCCGAAAGATGGCAGATGCATCTGGCACGCAGTCAGTGCCAGCGATGTCGGAGTGGAGAGGTGGATGGGCCTCTCCTGAGCGCACATCTGTCGCCGGGCATGCTCTGAGTAGATGTCAGCACTTGCTGGACCGGGCACGCTTCGAGCCTTGGGCCACATCATGTATTGAATATCGTCAGCAGCATGGCCATAGGCAGAGCTTGTGGAATTGACCTTCTTAGGAAAAGGTAGGATTGCGCGGTGCGCTGGTATCTTGTTAAGGACGAGTTTTTTTTGGCTTGGTAAGTACATCCGCATTAGGCTGAACATCTGCCCAGCGTATCCATTCGTATGCTACGGCTCGGCGGGCAGCGTGACCTATTATGTGGACCTCTACCACACAGTGGACCCGGAGCACTTTGACTTGCTAAGGCCGTGCAGGATGTCTTTTCTCCGAGAGCTTCCGTGGCGCCCGAGAAGCTCAGTGCTCAGCTCACGGTACTTCACCGAAATCCTGAACGGGACCAAGCTGGTGGAGTTCCGTGCCGCGCCTTCAAAAGGGAAGGAGCCGAGTGTTGGAGGGCTTGGACCACGTATGGAGTGGGGCCGCGTATGGGAAGTGAGGGTCCACAACTTTGGATGGGGGGACCACATATAAGAAACGTGGTTTGGTGGGTCCACGTATGGAAGGAGGACCACGTATGGAGCCAGACGGGGAGGACACGTATGGGGCCGACACCACATATGGGGGCCACGCGCGCAGGGGGACAATGCGAGGGACCACGTATGGGGGCAAGTCAAGGCACACGTATGACGGCCCTCTATGTGATGTGGGATATGCAGGCCGCAGGGCGCATATGCCGCCCAGGCCAAACCAAAACCTGCTACGTCGTCCGCCTGTTCACAGCTGACACTGTAGAAGAGCACATGTTCGAGACGCAAGGGCGGAAGGCGGGAGGCAGCGCAGAAGATACAGCAAGGTAGCGTGGAGGACTACGCGTCGATTGTGCCCAAGGTCCCCGCTGTGAAGAGGCACTTGGTGGCCACACTTCCTTCTAGCCACCAGACCTCGCATTTGCTGCTTTTGAAATGGAAAAGGTTCGGCTTTCATTTTTGCACCCCTCACGTGAAGAGGCTAAAATTGCCGCTTCGGTTCTGCCCGGTTCCATGGGTTCCTCAGCAGTACGGTGCCTAGCAGCTCGGCCGCCCGGTTCCGGTTCCTTTCGGTTCGGTTCCGCCCGGTTCCTGAGCAGTACGGTTCCTAGCGGTTTGGTTCCGCCCGGTTCTGTTTTTTTTGTCGTTTTTTTTTTGGCGCGGTTCGCGGTTCGGTTCACGGTTTCGGTTCGGTTCGGGAACCTTACTGGTTGGCTTGAAACTGCCTTGGCTCCTGGGACTCTTACATGACATCATTTTACATGTTGGGTTCATAAATAAATAGATATATATATATAGAAATATATATATATATATATTTATGTTTATTTGGACTTGTGGCAATGCTTGTTTGGGGGGAACCCTTTGCTGGTTGGTGTTGAAAGGGAAACCAAAACGACGCGTTTCCATTTTTTTTTGGGGGGGGGTCCCCTGGTTTAAGACAAGCCCATATACCTACACTATATATATATATATATTCATATTTATACGCACCCCTCCCATCGACCCTGGTTTTAGTGCCTTTTTGGGATGATAAATCTACAATTCAGAGATTTAAACATATCTTTTCGGGGGGGGTACCAGATATACATATATATATATATATCTCATTACTATTATCAGTATTTTTTACTCATTAGTATTATCACTATTATTCTTGTTATTGTTATTGGTACTAATATACAATTTGGGTTCGATCAATATGGAAGAGCCAAAGGTGACATTTTTGTGTTGAGGCTCATACGCCCACAAGCGGCAGTCCGCTAGGGACTCAAAGGGTTTCTCGGATTTGTTGATGCAATGGACTAGGGCTTCGTACCAGAGGATTGTATATATATATATATATGTATGTATGTATATGTATTTATAGATATACTTATACAGAGAGAGATACACACACACTATACATACATGTATGTATACATATGCTCCAAATCCGTTCTACTCTTCATCTGCCTCGGACTACTTGAAATTGTTCAAAACACTGTTTTTTGGCTGTACCTTGTTCTTGGCAGTATTGCAGGGTGGGTGTAGATCATGTTTGGGGGGGACCATATACATATATATATATAAGCATTACACATATAGAAGTTGAGCAGATCGCTGAAACCCCCCTGTCAACTTTCACATGATTGCTGGAAGACATGTCCCATGTGAAAAGGTAGGTCCAGCGAAACAGCTTAGCTCCTCGAATCAAGTTGAGACATGGCCAATTCTTCCAGGCCTCGTGTTCCCACCTCATGTGATGGTCAGGGCGACAAACACAAGCCCACCGGCTTGGGAAGAGGGCAAACGCCGCGCCAAAAATCTCCAAAAGAAGCCAACAGCATTTCGAGAGAAAAACAAAAAGCACGCGATCCATCCACAACGCCTCCGCCCCCTTCGACGCCAAGCGCAGCGAGAAGCGCAACGGGGGGGGAGGCCCAGCGCCCCAGCCGCCTGGACTCCTTGGATGCGCTGGAGCTCTTGCGCCAAAGCTTGCGCCAGGCGCGTCGCTCCGAAAGGGTTCCATTTCCTTTGGGTGTGGTCTTGGTTCTCCGGTTGGCTGGAAGGGAAAGAAAAGAAGAAACAAACAACAAAACAGGCACTGTGTCAAGTGTCTCACTCCCTGAGTTCATGGACTTTACTGATTTTTGTGGACCATGTGAGCAGTATACAGAAGGTCTTCACTTTTTGTTTGGCCCATCCATTCGGCCGGACATGACACATTTCAACGACGTGTGGACTTTTTTGGCACCAGGAAGTGAGTGTTCAACGGCAATCCTGGTAGCTGCAACGACTCACCTGGATTGATGGTTGTGGGAATCAGGCGGGGGAGTTTCCAAAACGGACACGTGTGAAGGGATCGCCAACTCCCAACCTGGCATGAGGGGTTAGTTCCCACTTCTGCGTCTAATATTGGTATGGCAGAAGTGTTCCCACAATCCTGCTCAAAACCAAGCTTTCGACCTTTTTGAGAGAACTCTGGGACTCTACGAGGACTACTTTGAAGCGGACACCAAACGCGTGAAGTGTTATTTCCCAGCGATTTGGAGAAGAAGGATTTGCTCGATGAGCTCGACGGCAGAAAGGTCCCTGAGCAACGGTCAATCAATTTTTGTTTTTGTTTTTTTTGAGGCGACCCTTTTGAGCTTTGTTCTTTGATCTTGCGCTGGCAAACACCGGATGCCGTTATTTGACCATTGAACTTTTCCAGCAAACCAAAAGGAGACCGCCAGTTCCGGTGGGGTGATGTATTGCTCTACGGAACTCGTCTCTCGGCCCCACATTTTTTGATCAGGCGCCAGCGCAGCAAGTGGACGCCTGGATAGGTGTGGCACTCGAGGGAGCAGATGTTGGGGGTGTTTGTCAGAAGAACTGAACAGTAGGGTTGCTCCGAGCCAATACTTGCAGGGGCGGGTACTTAGTAAGTGGGTTATAACCATGCTTACTAACATCTTACTAACCACCTACTAAGTACCCTGCCCCTTTAAGTAAATAACCGAGGGTCGAGAATTGATTTCTTTGCGTTTTTTTGACCAGGCACCGAATTTCCCTTGTTGCGATCTGGTCTGTGGAGCAATCTTGAGCCGGTATGTGAGAGCAGCAGGTACAGCCGAAGAAATGACGAGCCTTTGGTCACTTAGAGAGAAACACCCCCCTATTAGTAGGACGGAGTGGTTCCGGGGTCAACATGACCTCCGTAGAATTTGCCCCTTAGAAGCTCAACATATCCTAGGTTTCCAGTCGGAAAATGGGGGGGGGGAAGAGTTGAGACATTTCCCTGTGAGCCAAAGGGGCCCCAACGATGAGAATCCACTTTGAAGGTTTGCCTCTTGACTCTTGACCCTACCTGGGCTTAGATCTTGATTCTTGGGTGCCATTTGCCACAAGCACTGAGCTATTTGGTTATTTTGTCCGAAGCAAGACTCAAGCACCAAAAAGCCCGTCTTTCTTTTTTCGCCCAAATCACTGGGCAACTAGAAATGGAACTACTTAATAGAATCGCGTCTTGTTGGGGCGGCTTCTTTTTGGCTGGATTTCAGCATGACACGATCCCAAATTTTGCCTTTGCCACAACCACGACCCAGTCGTGGCACCCCTTTGCAGCAGGTAGATTCAACCCCGAAACGAAATGACCGTGTTTCAAAAAGCATCATAGAAGGATGTTTGTGTCCTTGGTCTGCTTGGTTGATACTGGTCTGCTTACAATATAAATCCATGATCTCTTTTCTAGTCAGTGATGGGACCCCTGCTTTGGCACAAAAAAGGCGCCAGTCCATGTTCCCTGGATCTGGAAAAAAAAAGATCTGGGAAAAACACACACGGAACGCAGCCCTGGTAGCCAGGCGGCGAGCTGCAATCATGGCTTTCTGAGTTGGACGGCAGATGAAAAAAGAAGCGGGCGCTTCCTGCGTGGTGCCGCGGGGGCAGCTTGTGAACATCTTAAATCAAGGAGGCAGCTGCCCTTGCGCCAGGCCTACCGGACTGCCGCTCTTTGCCCTATTTTTGGCGGGTTCCTTGTTTCGGGTCGGTGATTCTGAGCTTTCACCCTGAAAGAGTGTGTGCGTGTGTGTGCGCAACCCGTTTTCCAGATGCCTGATTGAGACCCAAGCCACGACGTGCCCCCAATGAAATTGTGGATTCTGGTTGCGGTCAGCTTTCTCATGAAGGTCCCTCGCGAAAGTGAGCTGTCAGCTGCAGCCCAAAATAGCCAAATAGCTTGCCAAGTGTTCCTGATTTAGAGAGGCAATTCAATACGCATCCTGGCTGTTGCCTACTGGTGACACCTTATACATAGTCCCCTCCCCCCCCCCCACAAAAAAAAAAAGGACGAAGCCTTTCCTTTTAGTTTCCTTTAAGACCACCAGAGGGTACCCTCAACAACGGTCACACGAAGGTTGAATTGGACTTTTTGAAGGGGCCCACAAGGTTGGCAGCAAAGCCGCCAGAAATACATTCAGGGCACACACCAAAACCCCTCTTTAATTAATGCAGACTGGTTTTTTGGCCCCCAAAATATGAAAATATATGAAAATAGAACCAACACTTCTCCCAATACTAACTCCCTTCATAGTTCCCCCTCTCACACCGAAGCATCAGCTAGCTGGAAACAGATATTATCAACAACTCTAGGCTTGACAAGCTCATGAAGGGTACCCCCCTTTCAAGGCCAGTCCATACAACTCTATGCATGGACCATCAAGGGGATGGGGAGGGGCGGCTATGACTTATTAACCCCTTAATAACTTCCATTTGCTTAAGTATATTTTTTTATTCTCCCTTGTTGGTCTTAAAAGGAATTCATCACTACTGCAAGTATTTTTTTTATTTTTGCCAGTAAACTTAAGCAAATGGAGGCTTACCTGTCTTTGACCTCCATTTTTACCTTTTTGTTTGGCTTATTGGTTTATGTGCGCAAAACAGTTAGGGGTCCCCAGCACTCGACAGCCGAAGAACACAGCTTCCCTTTGCTTTCCGAAGATCCTTGGGTTTGGGTTCTGTTCATTTTTAGTAGGGCTTTCCGATCTTCACTGTTCTTGGATCAAGTTTTCGTTTTGGGTTTGGGTTCTGTTCATTTTTAGCAGGGGGCTGCAAAAAACACGTTTGTTTTGTTCCAATCCAAAAGTTGTGAAGCTATTGCTGTCCTATCGGCCACAAGAAGCGGACGGACCGGAAACCAGCGATTACAGGTTGGCCCAGCAAGTCCAGAATGCTTTTGTGTTGACCTTGTCAACCTTAGCGGTTATTGCTCAGAGAACGATTACCCGTTGCCTGCCTGTGCAGTCGGTTCCTCTAAATGTTGCAAAGGGACGAGGAAGCTTTCCGTAGTTCCACATGGTTTTTGGTCGGTTTACTGCCTGAAAGCATTGCCTCTGAAAGCCGCAAGATGTAGCACCAGGTGTTACGCCCAATGCGCAGTTGGAGTGATCAAGCCAAGGCCCGGAGAAGAAAGCCTGACGGTTCTGGACATTTAGCTTGTGAATGTTGGGAATATATGTTTCGTGGTACAGTTGGGTGAAAGTATCGGGTGTACTCCTTCTGTTTGCTCACCCCCAAAAAAAGGATTGTAGCAACTCCTTTCAGACTGGAGTAAACAAGTGAAACAAAACGTCCCAGAAAGTCCCCTTGAACGTGATAATCTGATACAGCGATACTGTGATCATCGGAATGGGACTCTCACCTTGATCTCCAGAAATGGTGCCTTTCTCGCAACCATGCACACATTGGCGCGGAATATGAGGGACTGTAAGCGGGTGGCGGCAGAGTCGATTCAAGCCCCTCACCTCGTGTATTCGACCCAGCGGCCTCTGGTCGGTGATTTGGCCATGCGAAGAGCGTGCCTCGCTCTGCTTCTTGCAGTCGCGGTGGGGCGGCTTGAGATTGAGGCGGGCTTAGCATAGCCATTCTCAGTGAGACTGACGTGGGCAACCTGCAAAAGCTTCCATGTCAACGAATACCGCAGCGGCCCTTATCCCATCGAGATGAACACAGGGGACTTGGCTGCTTGGCTGCTTTTCGCTACGTTTTACATCTTTTGGCTTTGTGACTTGTTGACCCCTGCTAAACATGTTGGTTTCATCTTGCAACGTGTTCAGCGTTTGACAGTTTCATCCTCCCATTACCATGCTCCACCAACCTAGGTCAACGTTTGGTGCCATCTTGCATTACTTGCCATTTGCTAAAATGGGTATGAGTGAAAATTAAGCAACCAGGAATTTGCCAGGGCAACCCATGTTGGGGTTAATTACCCTATTTTTGCCAACCACAGCCATATGATGATGGTAGAATGCGTGGTTTGGGATTGCATGTTGATCCAGTCAGCGTCAGTCAGCCTGAGATTGGGGACGTCTTCTTCGCGCTGCAGCTGGAGCTCATGCTGCCGTTGGTTTGCCCGGATCCCAAGTGGCCCTACCATGACGACTGCCACAACAAGGCGGGATGTCTCGAATCGATCAAAAAGAATCCGAGGCCCCGGAGTTCAACATTTTTATTTTTTTTACAATATAAATATATATATATATGTGTATATATATTTTCGGGTGTTGGGAATGAACCGGCTTTGCGGGGATTCCCGAATAAAGGAAGCCACGAGGGATGTCATTCCCTCATTCCCTGCTGAGCCCCAGCAAGTTTTTGGGAGTGCAAGCCAACTTATTTCGTAATTAGAGTAGCGCCCCTTTTGTCTATTCAATAATTGGCCTGGGGTTACCATTCCAATATTTGGGCGAGGGGTCTCATGACCCCCAGTTGTTCGGAGGATGCGTTTTGGTTGGGTGGGCTCCAACTAGTAGGGCAACTCTGAGAGAATTGACTTGTTGAGTGGAACCGAACGAAACCCACAAGGCGCCCAAGATAATCGAACATGTCAGCTTATTTGGCGATTTGCTTTGTTTTTACCTGTTTTCCAGGGAGAACCCAAGCATGCGAACTGGGAAAACCATTTTGGTTCTGCTCATCCAGGAGGTTGCTTTCCTTGTGGATCTTGGGACGTCTCTTTGCCCTTTTACGGGCACTCGGGACAGCTGACCAAAGCGCAACTGAATGGGAGCTATCGTGAGTCACTGCTAAAGACGGGTCAAGTGAAGGTAATGGGTGTAGGGCATCCACCCTCTTGCTTCTTCACATTATTTTGGGTTTTGGGCAGATCCCGTTCCCTTTAAAACCACAAACAAAGTACCCTCAAAGAAAGGGCACATCCACTTTCCACCCTTGTTTGGGGTCTCCTCCAAGTATCTTTTAGACTATAGGGTAGGCTCAATATGGAACCGAGTCAGAACATATCTTGTTTTCAGTATACCTCAGATGGCCAATGAAAGTCAGGCTACCCTAATTGGCTTAAGTTGGAATGGGGAACTTCCCTGGTTTTTGGGATGGGACACATACGCCGTTGGTTTGGATGGACCAATTGGTTTGGTTTTGGACCTCCAAACCACAAGGCCCCGGGCCCCAAGAGGGACCCAACAAAAGAGCGGGTGACTTGTTCTGTGGCTGTGGCTGGCAGAGCTCCCCCCCAATTGGGACCCTGCCCATGAGGCAATAGACTGTTCTTGGGGTTGGTTCCTTTTCCCAAGCTCAATGGCTCCAAGGTTGGAGCATCAGCAGGTCCTCATTAGCTCCCTAAAGCATATCACCCGTAGGTCTAGGGCCTAGGGGTTCATTCCTTTTCCATTATTTTCAACCATCATACTTTTCAAAAACCGATCGCTGTTTCCCCAGGGTTTTGGGTGGGTTTTTTAGAAAGATCCGGATGCCTGGAAAGAATGGAAATGGAAGGTACCCCTAGAACTGTAGCCCTCTGCGATCTTTGAAGCCCTTAAAGAAGGATGAGCCGCGGACATCACCTAATCATGGCTCACCAAATGAGCAATGAATTAGCAATATGCTAGGGGTTGATCCCCCATTCTGTTCAACCATCGCTCTTTTAGAAACCGGCTGTTTCCCCTGGGTTTTTGATGGTTTCCTGAAAAGAAGGATCCCTGGAAAGAATGGGAATGGAAGGTACCCCTAGAAATATGATGTGTTGCTGATGTGCTGGGGAACATCCCCTAGGTCACCTTTTGTTAAAGCAAAAACGATTCGGTAGTTGGAACCAAACTGAAACCAGAGGATGTCAATGCAAAAGGCAAACGGGCGCCAGGCTCGTCAAAGGATAAAGACTTTATAGTAGGTGCTGCTAGGGGGGGCCCTTGACAACCATACTGTGCAAGGACGAAAACCATCTCGCACCGCAATCAGAAACCTGGACTGGTCTGATTCCCTTGTAAATACAGCTCTTGCTTTTTTCCAGCACATGCGAAGGGATTTCGCTTTGCCATCCATAGGACCCTCGTGAAAGGGTGGAATCAACTTGACTGCTATTGGGTTGGATCTTTAGACTTCAACTGTTTGGTTGAAATCAAGTTGGGTTTTCCACCAACCCCCCAAAAAGGGTTTTTTTGTTTAAAGCAGGGGGTCGTTACAGCAACCAAGTCCAGGAGATCACCTCGAAGGACCTCGTGGTGAGCCGCCTTGTCCTGCAAGTGGACCCTCAGTGGAGCGCATACGCGGCTTGCAACCAGGGCGCCTCGGCGATCGGCTCGCTCGACCCGTGACGCAACGTGACGCGAGGAGGGTGACGCGAAGAGTTTTTCTCCACCTCTCAGGTGAGGGTCTCTAGATCTTATCTCAGTGTCGCCTGCCTTCTCCTCCTCCTCCTGCTCATCCCCTTCCTCCTTTTCCTCCGTTTCTCCTTCTGCGCTTGGTGCTCCCGTTCCTCCTTTACTTCCTACACCGGGGCTGGCTGTGGAGTGTGCTGCGCTGGACTTTTTGCGGGGCTGGCTGCGGAGTGTGCTATACTGGACTTTTTGCGTCTAGCTGCGGAGTGTGCTGCGCTGGACTTGTTCGAAGGGCCAGACTTGTCGAAAGGCCCGACTTTTCGAAGGGTCTACTTGATCTTACTGTATCTATCTAATCTAATCTAATGTAATCTAATCTAATCTAATCTAATCTATCTATCTATCTATCTATCTATCTATCTATCTATCTATCTATCTCTCTCTCTCTCTCTATCTACCGAGCCATTCATCTATCACTATATCTATCTATTCTATCTATTTGCTTAGGGAACTCCTTTTTGGTTGGATTTCAAGGCCACCCACAAAGAAAACCTCATTTTCTTTAAGATTCGTCCTTTAAAAAACGACGAATCGACGCAAAAAGGGTTTTGGGGTTATGCTGCCACCCAACACGCTCTGCGCTCAGACAATTGCCTCAGGTCTACCTGGAAATGTGGACGAGTACGGCAACCACTGCGCGGAGGGGACGTATTGCTGCTTTTGCACCTTTCCCAAAAGCTCGGGACGTTTTCCTGTCCGTGGTTTTTCAATTGCAAGCCGCCTGTAAGGGAAATTTTGGGAACATGTTGCCACATCAAGAACCTGAGAAGAGAGTACGAGAGTGGGAGAGAGTGTGGAGAAAAGAAAGCCTTTCCCATGTTTTGGGCCAGGCACGATCATGGCGGGGGGGGGGGGTCGTCAACATTGGTTCCTCTTGGCAACGCACAAGGCGGTCAACATGTTGGCCGATCGTTCGAAGGCTTTGTTTGTTTGGCGCAAAAGGTGCGCCTCTAAGGCGGTTGTACTTTGAATTTCCTTTCAACAACCCAAAAAGGCTACCCTCAAAAATTTACACACACCCCTGTGTTGGTGCCTTTTTTGTTGAGGTTTCCCTTTTGAACCCCCCCTGTTGAAAACCATTGCCCATAGTGCGCTGGGAATTGAACCCTTAAATGGGAAACCACTTTGGAACACCTCCAAACCACCAATCCAAAATACCAAGTAGACTCAGTAACTGAGGCGGGGAGCCCTACTTTCGCCGGCCTCGGCCCTGCAATGGCACCCTCGGCCGCAAGAACGTGAAGAAAGACCTGCACTTTGCGTGCCCCGGACGTCAACGAACAGTCGATGGATGTTGCCCGGCCCTTGCGGATTGACCAGGGTAATGTCGACCCAGGATTAATAAACCCATTGAATGAATAGGGGGTGTTCCCCTCCAAAGGCGGTCTGATTCTCCACTAAACCCAGGGTTACCATTACCAGGCCCCTGCATTTTCGTTGGAAATCCAACTTTTGGATTGGAAGCGTGCCATCCAACGCATTCAATACCCGAAGTCGGCATGCCGCGGCAAGAGGAGCAGAGCCTTGTTGGTGATCCCTAGGGTTTCCTGAAAGACACATCCCCATCACCAGTCTCGCAAGAGGATCCTCTGCATCAGCTGGAGAACGGCATGTTCAGCACACCCAAAATGGATCCTTCAGGCAACTCAGTTGCTAATCGTCGCAACCGCCACAGCTGGGCACAAGGATGTAGTCCTTGACAACCACAAAAGAATGAACACCAGCTCCAAACAAAAACCCACAAATGCAGCACTTTTCGGGTAATTCGCCTTGGTCCCACTAACATGGCACCTGACAGATCCAGTGAGGAAATCGATCTTCCAGGTACCCTCCCACTGCCTTCTGTTGGAGGAAGGGTGCCGATTCTTGCTGGTACGGGTGCTCAGTAGGGAATGGAATGAACCCAATTGGTCGCACAGGAAATCACCGGTTGGATGGTTAAGGCTCATTCCATTTCTCATTCCCTGCATCTCTCTTCTTGCGATCGCAAGAATATGGAACCCACACAACCATCATGTTTCTTACTTGCCCAAAGGACCTCGAAATAAGAGGTCAAGCTTTTGGGACCTTCACTGAATTTGGACCAATCTTGGTAAACCACAAGCTGTCATGTGGGTATGGGTCAAAATCAAACCGCCATGGAATTGGACCACAGGTTTTAGTCCTTGTTTCCCTTTACCAGGGTTCCATTTTGGGGTTACCCTATTTTTGAATATTTTTGACCGACTGCCAAAGATCGGGTAACCCCAAAATGGAACCCTGGTAAATGGAAACATGGACGATTCAACCTGCGGTCCAATTCCCGGTTTAATTTTGACCCACACCCAGGTCGATGCAGGAGAAACCCGAAACCCGAAACCCGAGGCCCGCGCAGTGGTGCAACGAGTCGGCGAGGGACTACGACTGCTGGCAGGCGAGGCTGCACGAGAAGCTGCAGCGACTCGGTCGTCCGGACCGGGCTGTGGCGGGCGAATGTTGGAGAGGTGGCCAGAAGTTGGGGGGTCCTTCCATTTGCTGAAAGGAATATGTTTTTTTTGCCCTGTTGGTTTGAAAAGGAATCTATCACCATAAGAAACATGTCCCTTTTTTTTCAGGGGCTCAAGCAAATGGAAGGTTCCTTCTAGGGGTGCGGGGTTTGCAAGTACAGAATTCATGTTTTTCTTCCATTTGCTGAAATGATCATTTGTCAGTTTTCCCCTGGTGTTTTTTGTTTGAATCGATTTCACTACTCGATATATGGTGTTTTTCCCCCTGGGGACCAAGCAAAGCGAAGTAAACATTACTTCTTGAAATCATGGGCTTGAGTTTCTTTTTGGGTTTGAATTTTAACGGCACTCCCAAAATTTGGATGTTTTTTGTTGGCCCATCCACTCAGGAAGTGAGTAAAATAGGGGGACCCACAACATGGCGATGTGAATCTTGGTTTCTTTGTACAACCAACCTGAAAGGGTGAAGAAAACACAAGCTGAGATATGTCCCAATTTCAATCGTGGATAGAACTCTGCTCGTTACAACAGCAACTGGATACAACCCTCGAGTGGGTTGAAGGGTGGGAACATGTGAGGTGATGAAATTCCTGATTTGTCTATAGTCAATGGTCCATTTGGGAAGGGCCAGAAGGGGGGGAACCTCGAAGTTTTCCTGATTCTCAAAGAACCTACTGGGTATTTCAAGCAAGTGACAGGATTGGTTTCCAACTTCAAGACTTGCTGGTTTTCAGTAGGGAATGAGGGAATGACCCCAACAACAACTATCCAACTTGCGGTTTTCTTCAAGGGGATCTTGGGTTCATTGCCAAAACCCTTGCAAGTTGCTGCCGAGAACGAGCGAGGAATGAAGCACAGGTCCCCCTTAAGGTGAAGCCTAAATAGGTTGTTTAACCAAAGTTCAACTGGGTCAACGTTTGCTACCATCTTACATCTTTGACCTTGACTAAAATGATTAACAAAGAGCGCAATTGAGTCCTAGGTGGCTGATGTAGCGTTGTCCAATCTAAACAATCAGATCATGACAGGCCAATTCGGTCAGGTTCCTTCAGGGTGATGTGTACAGGTTGGACATATCGGCATCCTTTTGGTCGAGGTTTCATTTTGCCATTGGGTTTCTCTTTAAAACCATCCCAACACGGTTACCGATGTTAAGACAGGTCCATATGGAGAAATAAGCTTGGTGAGTCACGTTTTGCGGGCGTGTACACAATTGAACCATTTCCCAAAGCCAAAAATTTGGATGTCCCAACTCGGGTGACCCTGACCCGATTCTAGCAAACGGGGTTCAGCTTACACCAAAGAGCAATCATGATTGTAGCATCCTAGATCACATTTGATTAGAACCAGTTCAGCGTCACCCAACTGAGTAACTGTGGGTTCCACCAATTGCTGCACTCTTTTAGAACTCCTTTACCACTGTTAGCGCTGTGGCAGGGGGAATCCAGTCGATTCCATGCAAACCAACCCCCTGCATTGGCTGTGTTTGTTAAGAGGTGAGCCCCTTGCGACCCCTTAGAAATTAACCAGCCTGTTGGTTTGTGCTGTGCTGGGTTTGCAAGTTCATACTGTCTTCCACTTGCTTGAGAATATGTTTTATATTCCCTTGGTGGATTTCAAAGTTGGAATCTATCATCACTACTGGAAATTGGTTTTCTCATTTTTTTCCAGGGGGCCTAACAAATGGAAGCTTCGGATCAGCATGTCTTATCTTTGAGGTGGAGCGACCCCGGGTGGTGGTACTCAACGGCGGCGGCGGGGTACTGCCCCTACCACCCGCAGAACTGCAGCTGGGAGGTGGTCGCCTTGCAGAAAGTCATCAACCAGACCTGCCACCGGGAGACGTTTTTGCCCGGGGGGCCAAAGAACGGGGGCCTCCTTTTGCCGAAAATCTGGAAAAAACTCTGCGTTTGTTGACATCATTTTTGCGAAATCGTGGGAAACACTGTTTTTTTGCGGGACTTTGGTGCATTTTGCTTGCATGTTAGGACTTTAACTTCTTGCCAGCTAATGGGTTTTCCATTAAGCCGCTAAAAGTTAAATTTTTATCAGGGGAGCAGAAAGTAACCGAGGGGAGACGTTTTTGCCCGAGGGGCCAAAACTAGGTCCCCCAGCTAAGTGCCCTTCTCTCCCCTTTTTTGGTTGGGAGGGTTCCCCTACTAGTTAAAATAGACTACAGAAAACCGGGGACCCTTATTCTAACCTCTTTACTGGAGGACCTAGAAAAAAGGGGGAGACCTACCCTCGCGCAAATCAACATGGAACCTGACAGAGGGGGAGGGGGTCCTGGAAGACCATGTTCCTTTCAAAGGGAATTTCTGTCAGGTTCCATGTTAATTTGGTGTGAGGGTACATAATAACCTTGGCGGATTTTCCGGGATTCGTCCGGCCCTTAGGTTTTTGTTTTTTGGTTTATAGTTGTTTTGATGAGGCAGTGTCCATGTTTTCCACTCAAAGTGTTCGACTCTAGCAGGGGATCTGAGGACCGCCCAGCAACTACTTGGGTGTTCGGCTAACTTAGTAAGTTGTTGGTATCGTGGGTTATAACCGTCCTCCGTTCGGTGGACTTGAAACTGTCATTAGTGGGTTGTGACCCAGTTGGCTCACCACTTAATGGCTTGGCCAAACATCCAAGCAGGTCTCCGCTCTCCAACACTGCTCCAACATTGTCACATCTGAACATTCTTTTCTGTGTGCAGCTGTACCCCAGTGGGCCAAAGGGAGCCCTGTTTTAAGGGGACAGGAGAAAATCACAATTTTTGGGTCTCCAAGACCAATTTTCAAAAACCATCAATCTGGTTTGGGTTCCTCTAGTTTCTCTTCACCGGGCCTTTCTGTGATCTGACGAGACGCCTTTTTGGGGCTCAAAAGGAGGCGGGCTTTTGGACCCTTTTGCAAGCCTGAAAAGCTATAGTTCAGGTGCCAAGTTGGATGGGATTCTCCGGGTTTGATTGATGTACCCTCCCACCAGCGAATTCATGGTTTGGTGCACAGACCCCTGTAGAAAGACGAGTCTTTCCTCTTGGTTAGTTGGCTTTTTTGCACTCACCCACGTTAGTTGGTAAGAAGGTAAGTGTTTCTTTGTGCAGAGGGGAGTAGTGCACCAGAACCCCGCGATCCTTCCCTAGCTGGTTGAAAGAAATGCAGGAAACCACAAGGGCATTGCAAGGAACACTTGCAATATTCAAGTCGGACAAAAAGGACCAAAAGCCCTTGAAACTTGGTTTCTATATATATGTCGCCCTGTTGTGGGTCTCAAACAATGTTTTCACATAGGGAGCCATAGTGAGCCATAGGCAGTCTCCGCAGGAGTCCTATGGCGGAGCTGTGGAGGCCTACAACCGCAGCTGCTTTGAGGCGTGGGAAGCCCGCAATTTTCGGCATCCAAGCTCAGGGGGGGGCTCACCCTTCGACATGTGCCATGGATGAAAGGCATTCCTCCGGTTCCAGATTTTAGTTGGTTTAGTGGTTGGATTTCCATTAAACCCACAAGTCGTTCACTTCTCACCGGGGATCTGAGGACAGCCCACCTGGGGTTGGGTTTTTGTGTGCCACCCTCTTTCAGGGTGTTTTTTGGGTGCGCGAAGACTTTCTTGTTTCGCCTTTCTGGTCAACGCCCTCATGTAGAAGTCAGACGCAGTGGTGAAACGGGTTGGTCACCTCAACTGAGACTAGACCGAGTCAGGAAGCAATTGACCGTGTCAGGAAACATGAGTCAAGAAATGGACAGGGGCAAATCCACCCGTTTCCTGACTCTGTTTCCTGACTCGCCCCTTACCCCACCTCTGCTCGGATCGAGGCGTGCGGGGTGCGGAATATGAGCTCGCCGTGCTGGACGCGATGCTTCTACCAGACGATCATGGGTCCGGAGGCTTTCCCATAGCTCCAGACGGTGGGTGAAGCGAAATCCATACGCACCACGGAATGAGTTACCATGAAGCCATGGTTTGTTGGTTTTTTTTGCGGGGGGGAATTGTATCATTCCAGGGTTTCTCTCTGGATTTCGTCCATCCACAGTAGGTGGGTGCTAAATAGTCCCCTCAGTTTAACTTGGCAGTTCCCGGCAAATCATCCGGTTCCAGAAAGGATTTTAGATGTCTTTAGGGGCTTAGTGGTTGGGTTCCAGTTTAACCCGCAAAAGTGCTTAAAGACATAGCAGATCTCCCGTTTTCGGACAGCCCAGAATCTGGGAGTTCTCCGAGATTGAAGCCAAAAGAGGGGATCAATGGGGATCAGAATACTTCGAGCTTTCCAGCCCGTTGTGTACCGTAAGATTTGGCCAGGCTTCACCAAGGATCGGTTGCCTATTTCTGGTTCTAAACATCACCTGAGGTTGAAATATTTGAACGCCTTCCAGAAAGGCGGAAGTGACTCGAGTCGTCCTTGTGATGTTTAATGGATCCACCAAAAAGCACCTTCCCCAAGGATCTCTTTTGTGGGGTGGCATGTTCGCCAGGATGCTACGGTTTGATCCTTTGGACATCACCTCGGTTTTTGCTTCCCTCCCACAAGGTGCGATTGATGTGCGTTGCATGGATGGCGCAGCATATCAAGCTAGGTCCCCCAGTAGTGCCCTTTTACCCTTTTTCTGGGGAGGGTTCCCCTACTGAAATAGACTACAGAAAAAAGTTGCTACCCTTATTCCAGCCTCTCTACTGGAGGACCTAGCAAGTAGTGCTGGCGCCTGAATAAGGGTTTAGACTTGTGTTGTTTTTGTTCTGCCCTTTAGGCAGCTTAACCAAACCCGGAACCAATCCACCCTCTTCAGCCCAGCCTAAGGCCCCAGACCCACCACCGACAGACTTACAGAAAACTGAGACCACGCGCCAGTCCAATCTAGCCTCAAACTGGGTGTCAACTTGCAGATCTTGCCTTTACCTGGAAACCTTTGTGGCCACTTTGCCACGGGCATGGAAGCCAGAGGCAGAACAAAGGAAGCCAAACAACGACAGAACACAAAATCATAGGTGTCCGTTTTGGTTGATTTGGTTGAAAAATAGAGGGCGATCCCTGGTTTACCTGGTGGTTCAATCAACTACCAGGGCCGTCTATTTTCCCAAAAAGGACACCTACGAGCACAATTCTTCAGAGTCATAGCCTCTGATGACTACTACAAGTTCCGAACTGGAAGGGCGGCTATTGGGCCTGAAAATGACTGGTGCATTTGCCTTGGGAAGGAGCCATTGCCTGATTCGCATGTTGTCAGGGCGGCACACCACACGGAAAACTGGAGGGCCTGAGCATGGCCGAGTTTGCTTCTTGGACTGCAAAGTTGGTACCGGGTCCTTTGAGTAGCTGTGGGTCAAAATTAAACCATCAGGGGACCGAAGGTTTTAGTCATGGGTTCCATTTAGCAGGGTTCCATTTTGGGTACCCATTCTTGACCCACAGCCAAATGAGCGTAGTTCTTCTTGTTGAGGGTACGCTTAGGCTCGTCCACACAAAAATGAATGCTTGAGGTCTATTGCCCAATTGCTTTGGGGTGACCAGGGGGCGTGGGGGCGTTTGCAGGTTCTGCGTTCAGTACTGTGGCTAGATGTCCCGTAAGTTTGAATTACTGCACCCTTTTTAGGACACCCAAGATGGAGAAGTTCTCATGGATTTTCCAGACCCCAAACTTGTCGCATAGGTTGGCAGTCTGCGACCGAGCTTTTCTGGACGTTTTGGAGGTGTTGGGAACCTGCAGCTTCAGACATGCCGTTTCTTCGCAACATAGCCATTTAGTCAGGGTTCCTTAAAAGATACATTTTGCAACCATTTGAAACATGTTGCTTTTTCAACACCAAAGTAAAGGGAAACCACCATTGACAAGTTGCAATGTTCAGGTGTATAATGTAAGGATCCCTGTTAGTCGATTCAAGGGGAAACAGAGGCGAACCACACCACAGGGTTCCCGAGAAAAGAGAGACATAATCCTTTCCAGAGGTCCGCGCGCGCCCGGCCTGAAACAGTGATCGTGCGTCTCGCTTCTCTTAACAAGTGCACTGCCTACTGGGCTGCGGATCAAAAATAGTTACCCAAAATGGAACCTGACAAATGGGAACATGGGCCAAAACCTGCGGTCCAATTCCTGGTGGCTTAATTTTGACCCATACCCACCTAAGTTTATGTTCGGGTCTCTTTATTTGGCTGGGGATGCAACGAAGAAAGTTTGTTGCCAGAATCTCGGGGCTTTCATCCTTGAATGCAAAGGAAATTGTGTGCCAAGTACCCGCCCTAATTACTAAAGTGAGGCTTCCTTTCCTGGAACATGGTCTTCCAAAATGGGTTTGTGCTCTTGCATGTTTGACTTATCCAAACTGGCGTTCCGGGGAATCTTGGGGAAGGCTTCAATTGGAAAAGGCGATTCAAGAAGCTGGGATTTTCTCCTTGATTCGGAGACATAAAATCGGGAAGTCCTTTTCAACCACCCTGTGCGAAGGGGCGCGGTGGGAACTGTCAGTGATATATCGGCAAAGCCTCAGCATGTGCCCTGGGCGACGTTGCGCTCCGGATTTTCCATCTCCGACCCGGAAGCACAGACAAAGCATTCAGCGATTCGAGGGCACGAGCTCTCCATGGAGGCCGTTTGCCCGGGGATCTAATTCATATTCCACTGGCCGAAATGCAAACCACCTACCATTTTCTGACTTGGATAAACAAAATCCCCCAACTTTCATCAAAATCATGAGCCCAGTTTCAGCCTTTTGAACTGCTGCAAACAAGTTGCAGAATCCACCCGCAACCACAGTCATGGGGGCTGGGGAGAGGGAGGAGGGGGGGGGAGGGAGCCCAAATAAGTCCTAAATACGGCCTTAGAAAGGGCGTAATAAGGGCGTAATCCTCCCTCTCCTCCCTCCCCCCAGCTCCCCCCAGCCCCCATGACAAAGCCCGGCCTTCCGAACCCGAACCCAAAGTGTCCGAGGCCAAACTTTGGCGCCGCGCCTTTGAGTCCGACGACCCCGCGCAGGGCGGCTGCCGCGCCCCCAGCCGAGCCTCAAAGAAGCCTTCGCTCCGCCATGAAGGTCCTCACGTTTTGAGCTCGCGGAAACGAAAGTTGGGTCTTGGGGCGTGGTTTTGGTTTGTTTTCCGGGGGTTTAGAATTTGTTTAGGGTGTTTTAGCGTTGGTTCAGGGTAAGTGTCGGGCTCGGAGCATTTTGAGTGACACTTTTCGGGTTCTGACTCACCTTGTTTTTCGTGGCGAACCACCAGTAAGGTGGGCCGTTTTTCGGGCCAACTCAGAAAGTGAGATTCAGGTACTCCAACTCAACAAACAGGGAACCTGCACAGGGGGTCCCTTTAAGAGGAAACCGGCCTTCCAGGAACCCCGGCGTTCTTTGTTTGTGGGAGGGTAGTCCTCAATTGGTGGGATTTGAACCTGTTCTTGTAGTGGTAAATGGGAAACCCCGGGCCCCGAACCAGGAAGGCACAAGGGAAACTACAATTCTCCCCTAAAACCCACGGACAAAGACACAAACATAGACACACACACACACACCTGTTTGAGTATAAGCCGACTTGTCCAAAACCAAACTTTCAATCTCTTGAGCCTCTGTTTGTTTTGGGCTGGAACCAAGGAACAAATGCGTGGACACATTCAATACTATTTGGCTTTCGCTCCTCGCGGACCAACCCCCTTTGCTTTGGTTCCCTCCGCTTTCTGTGCTTAAATTCAACCGTTTAGTTTGCTTGACCTCATGCTATGACGGGTATCTCAGCACTACGTGGCATGCTGTCATGTAGCCAAGAAGGCTTCTCGCTGGTTTTGAGCGGCTGCAAGTTCGGATGCGGCAACATGCAAAGAGCTGCAGGTCTGCTTGCTTGCGCAGCTGCGAAGCGCAGACGGTATCCCAGTTGCCCAGTGCTGCCCTTTTTTCCCTTGTTTTTCTTTTGGGAAGGCTTCCCTGTAAGCTCAACCAACCAAAGGCCACTGGGCATCTGAGGCATGAAGAAGCGCATGGTGGCAATCAGTTTCTGTGACAATGTTGTAGAATCCCTCAAGTAGTCACAAGGAATGGGGGGATTCCGAACATAACCTTGAGGCAGCTTTTTTGCTTTGATCATGACTTAAGTTGTGTTTTACAATACCCCACAACCCATGTCCATCACTTCGGCTATGTTATTGCCCTTCTCTGCTTTTCCCGTGTTTTCAAAAGACACTGGGGCCCGAGTTGCAAATCAGACAATTTCTGACATCTACTTTGCTCAGGATTGGCAAGCCCTCGCTGCGTGTCCACTTGGTATCTGTCGCTTGCGAGGAATCCGGTTGGGATGCAGTCATTTTTTCTCTGCAGCTGGGCCCTTGCCTTGAGTTTCCTTCGAATGGGGTTGCATCCGCCCCTCCTTTTGGCATGGCGAAGACGGGCTCGCGAGGTCCGGGCCTGACGCCGGTTTTCCCGCAGGCAGGGCCGGGGGAAACGAAAGGAAAGACGGGGCTTCGCCCGATGTGCTTGATGCTTTTGGTGAATGGACCAACGGAACACCACTCGTGCTGCCAGTTTGCCGGGGTGCTCTGGGTCCTTTGGGAGTCTCAAGCCGAAAGTTTGCACAGGTGATCCACCTGGACCTTCCCTCTGGCCCCTTCGAAAGCCTCCACCAATATCAGGATTTTTCCTTTGTATACGTGCACCTGTGGAATTTTCCATCCTGAACACAGCACAGCCTGGTTACGTTTTGGCATCTGAACCTGCACAGGTTCAGACGTTGCCACTTGGTTTAAAGAACCCTTTTCTTGGGCGGGGGGAAGGAGTGCAAGAGTACTTTGGCGTTGCTTTTTTTTGTTCTGGGTGTCTCTTTGACACCAAGCCACCGAACAGGGTATAAGTCGTTTTTCCCCTTGACCACTGGTTGCGCAAGGGCGGCCGATCAAGTGCCATGTTTTTTGACCAGGTGGTGGTGTAGTCTCTCGCATCGGCTTCCAGGCGGGGGTCGACGGTCGCAGGTGTTTGGCCGCCCATGTTTAATCGTTGGTGCATGTTGCTTGGATGTTAGGACATTTTTTTGCCAACTAATGGGGTTTCCATCAAACCACTAAAAGTTCAACTTTTTGCAGGGGATCAGAAAGCAACCGAGTTTAATGTTAGCAAATCCGGAGTCTACCAGTCAGAGCAGCCCCGAGAAGCAATGCGCGGCGTCCCCACAAAAAGAGGTCAACCCCAAAAAGGGTCCCTGTTGATACCAGGGTCACTAAGCAACCGCATATGTTATTCGAGCTCAAGGTCCCTTAAGAATTCCCTGTTTCCGGTGCGTGAGTTATAACTTCCCCAGACGCTTGAGTAGGTCTCAGATATCAGGGAAACCCGATGGTTTCGAAGGACACCGAAGAGAAGCCAACCACTTGAAGACAGGGTTGTGGTTGATCACTCGGGGTTTCTCCCCACTTCTGTGATACAAGGGAATCCCCCTTTATCAGCAAAATAGTCTTTGGGAAGCTTTTTCAGTTGTATCACAGAAGTGGTCATTCCCCACAGCCCTGCTTGAAGATGTCCGAACATTTTGAGAAGCACCTATTGGTTCGAGTTCGATCAGTGCGCGCATTTGCTCACCTCCGGCCCCATGGTGAAGGTCTGTTGGTTTTGGGAGGTCCATCTTTCTTGGCTATAGCCCTTCTCTCCCCTTTTTTGGTGGAGGGTTCCCCTACTAAAATTGACTATAGAAAAAAGGTTACCCGTATTCTAACCTCTCGACTGGAGGACCTAGTTGGGCTGCCCCTGTGTTTTCTCCACTGCTCACCGGGATGCTGTTTTTGCATGATAATTTACAGTTTCGCGCAGCCAGCCGGGGAGAGAGAGAGAGAGCGAGAGCGAGAGAGAGAGAGAGAGAGAGTGAGTGAGTGAGTGAGTGAGTGAGTGAGTGAGAGAGAGAGAGAGAACCATCGTACTTCGCCGCCCAATTTGATCACTTATGAACGGTGAGCGCCGCAAATGGACCTCATGCCAATCCACTCTGGCTTACATCCGAATCTTTCTCCTCAGGTTGAAGCGTCTCATTTTTCTTGGGGACCGGGACCCCCAAAACAAATAATGAATAAAGTGGTTGTCCTGGTCGTTTCCCTTTCAAACCAGCCCAAAAAGGGGTCAACGCAGGGATGTGGACCGCATTGCAATTGTCTCCAGCTTTCCGCATTTGAACAGGCCCGGGGCCCTCAAAGGATACATCTGCAGCTGCCAAGTGACCCCGTTCCAGTTGATTTGGGTGTGGCTCAAAATTAACCAGGAGGGGCAAACCGCAGGTTTTGGTCCATGTTTCCACTTACCAGGGTTTCATTTTGGTACCGGTTTTTTGAGCCAAAGCCATTTAGGAGATCCATGAGGATCACCCCAAAAAACATTTGGTTCACAGCTTGTTGCTGTAGAGTGGATCTGGTGTCTTGCATCCAGGCGCAGGGCTCTTGCTCTCAGGATTGCATGCCTGTTTTGAATACGGCACAGAGTACGGGTGCAATATATGAGTTGCACAACGATGAAAGCGCCAGGCCCCAGCAAGTAGGTTGTTGCAGATGGTTCGGCAGTAGTGTGTCCCTCGTCAACAGGTTTCTGGGGTCTCCTTAGAAAGCCGTTGTTTGTTTTTTGGTTGCTACAATGTGACACAGAGTCTGGAAATGTAACACGGAGTGTGCACAAATATGTATACATGTGTATATTATTGTTAGTGCACCCCAGAGTTGAGTCAAGGTTTGCACTGCCCACGCGACAGGCAGCTGCAATTGTCGAGGGGCCAGGCAGCCTTGGTCCGATTTTCTTGCTGAGCCAAGTCAGCGTGAGGGAAAGCTCTCCCAACCTTGGCCGTCGCAAGTTGGAAGCTTGACCGGCCATCGGATTTTTCCGGGAATCCGTTCATGTCGCAGCGCGTACTTGTTTACTTCCATTTGCTGAAATGAATATTGTGTATTTCCCCTCTTGTTGGCTTTCAAGGGAACCTATCACGAGTGAAAATTTGTCATGTTTCAATTGGACTTAAGCAAATGGAGGATTAGAAGCTTTACGAGGTGACAGAGCTGGAAAAAAAGAGCCTCAAGTGAGGGAAAGCTCCAGCCGGCGCAATCAATGTGGCAAGCTGCGCGTTTTTCCGAGTGGAGTTGCGTTGCTCCAGTGCTGCGTGAAACACAACATCCTGCATGCGGAAGTCAAGCTGTCGATTCACTAGAGCGGAGATTTGGGGATAGAGGAGTGCCAAAGCACAACCGTTGCCTCAAACTGTCTGGGAGGTATAGCTAGCCCAGAACTGGCTTGTGGATACCCTTTTTCGTTGAAGGAAAGTAGTCTTCCAGAACCCTCCTGTCATCTTTAATGATTGGAGGGAGGCTAGTTGTTTCAATCTGGTGACCTGCTGAATGCGCACCAACAAAAATGCCCGAGGTCTCAGCCTTAGAAGACATACATGACAGACAGCTCCGACCTAAGAATGCGTGTATTCTGATAGCCTTGTCAGCAAAGCAGAGCTATCCCATGAGTCGGATGTAAGAATCTCAACCCACTTCTGCCTCCCAGTTTTGGGCGCTCACGAGATTGTGTGGTCCAGCAGTTGCTGACTCTACCATTTACACTTCACCTCACGGCGTGTGACAGTTGTTGGCTTTATGTCCGACAATTCCAGTTTCTAACTTTGCCCATGGAACTAAGCAGATAGCGATCTCAAAGGGGGTTGCGATCTCACCCAGGGGGCAGGTTTGTTTTGGGGGAATTCCTTCACTCAGGTGAATGATTTATAGCATGTTTTTGGATGAACGCAGAAATATGCCCCGAGCAAAGTCGAGCTGAGCGGTTGGCTCATGGTGCCATGGCCAGTGACGGACATACCTGCTCCTTCTGCAATGGAACGTTTACATCCAGGAGCAAGCCAGTTGGTTGCAAGATGCGTCTGAAATTGAAGGACCTCAAAAACATATGTGTGTCTGTGTGTCTGTGTGTCTGTGTGTCTGTGTGTCTGTGTGTCTGTGTGTCTGTGTGTCTGTGTGTCTGTGTGTCTGTGTGTCTGTGTGTCTGTGTGTCTGTGTGTGTGTGCGTGTTCCAAATGGATGTCCGTTCGCACTCCAAAAGGGCCCTCGGAAAACACACGCTGTTGGTCACGCGGTTGGTCAAAACGAGAGGGACCTTTTCAGAGACTGATTATAAGGAAAATGGCATGCGTCGTCAAACAGAGGCCCCAAGGGAGGACCCCGTTCAAAAAGGCGGCGTGACATGCCGGTCTCCGATTTTTGACCACTCAATTGGGATCCCTTTGACCAATATATGTCGCAGTGCCCCCAAGCGGTGCAGACGTTCCTTGGATACACAGCTACTTCCTCCAAGGGAGCTCGTTGCCCAGAGGCAAGTGGCAATCTGTTGCGTTCGTTGTTTAGGTTTCCCACTAAACCCTGTTGCACTCCAGAATGGTTCCCGACCTCTCTACCAGGCTCAATGGGCAACTGGGAAGCTGAAAGAGTTGTAAGTAAGAAGGCTGCGCAGTCAGCAAAAGGTTGTGTTCCGAAGCCAACGTGCGTCCTGTTGAGTAGGTCTCAAGAGAGTGCCTATCCACTACCCTTGTTGCCACGTGGCTTTCAGTGAATCGATGAGATTGGCACACGGGTACTTCCCACCTAGGTGTTTCCTAGCGTCGGGGGCCCCTGAAAAAATACCAGTGCATCATCCAAGAGATCCAGGCTATTTGCACATCCATCCCCTACCCTCTTGCTGGGAGCTTGGAAAACCCGCCCATGCAGGCTCCCTTTTGGTGTGGCCCTAACTTTATGTTGGTCGCGAGCAAGTTGCCGCTGCATCGCAGCCAATAATCCAACCGCCAGCTGCCTTTGCACCATGTGGGTGCGGGGCAAAACCCAGGTGCCTTTTTCTGGGTCACCCCCCGTTTGTTTGGTCAATTTTACAAGGGGACGTAGGGGGTAGGCGGGCACCGGGGTTTTGACTCACAGCCATGTGTTCAACTGTATGGTTTGAATTCACTGGACGCCCAAGCCATTGAACTTCATGTCAAGATTCATGTTTCCTGGGGTCATATTATGCTGTTGTTGGACATGATTTCAGCTACTGAATTTGAATTTATTGGACCCCATATGGATGTGTCTTTCTTTAGGCGGAGACAGACCACATGGTGATTTTCGTTTGGTTTCAATTTAAGCCCACCAAACAAAAGACAAACCAGCATGGCTTTTTGGCCTTCGACCGAACAACAATGTCGTACGTGCTTTTGTTAATGAATTGTTTTCAAGAAACAATTGAACACATGCAAATGACCGAAAAGAAAGAGGTCACGGGTGTGACCAAAGACGGGGGATTGACGGAAAAGCACAAAACGGACATACTGGGTGCCAGGTTGCTCCTATCACGTATCACATGTCTAATTGCTTCTATGGTTTGTTCGGATTCCGAATTCCTATGAATAGTCCTGGACAACATGGGATTTCCAGAGAAGGGGGAGGTTGGTTTGCCTCTTGGCTTCCCTAAACAGGAAGACGCATTCAACAGGGTTCCTCTCGTGCGTATCCGTTTGTTAGAGCCCTGCCAAGCCAAACCCAATTCGGCAGGAGCCCATTTGTTAGATTCAACGGGTCCGCCCAACCTAAATTAACTCAAAAAGGGTTCACCCTGCGGTTCAAACCACCATTAAAACAAGAGGAGCAACACCGCACTACCAGGGTCCCTATAAGATGATTCGCTGGCATGCGTGCTGACGACAAATGAGAAAACACAGCAAACACGTGTACTACCACAGATGCTGCTTAAAGTCGGGGCGAAATTTACCAACTCCATGTTCAAGAGAACCATTAAAAGAAAACAAAAACATTTGTTGGCTTCAACGGGTCCAACTTGAGTCAACTCAACAAGGGCTCACCCTGGAATTCAAAGCACCCTGAAAACGACGGGTGTTCACCGATTCGCCTTCTTGGCTTAGGCTCTTCCAGCACCTCCGTGGCTCCGGCTGCGGTGCCGCGGCGGGCCTGGAGACTCGTGTGCCGCTGGAGCACGTGGCGCTGGTCGTTGGGGTCGCCGCTCGGAGTCGAAGCCAAAAAAGGGTTGCGGATTTTGACGCATACTGGGTCATTACATGGTTGTTGTTGGGAAACATTTTTCCACATTTTTGCTTATCGTGGTTTAGTGGTGGAAATCCAACCACTTATCTGCTAAAATTTGAGAATCTTTGCTCCCCTTCCAACGTCAACCAAGATTATGGTGACTGTTTCTGGGGTTATCAAAGTCAGAAACTGGTTGGTTGTTTCCTTCAATCACTTTAGAGGTGACTTTGATAAAGGGAAAATAACGAGGCCAGTACTAGGTCCCCCAGCTAGGTGCCCTTTTATCGTTGCTTTTTTGGAGGGAGGGTTCCCCTACTAAAATGGACAAAAAAAAATAGTTGGTACCAACTTATTCTATCCTCTCTACGGGAGGACCTAGCATACTAGAAGCGGCTAACTATTTACCAATAGCAGTGCGTAATCATGACCAAGTGTGGTTCAAAATGGCCCACGGCCCACAAGCGCATTTTTGGTTTTGTCTCACAATTGGACCCTGAAAATTATTGTTTTGGTTTCCCTTTAAATCCATTCCAAACAGGGTACCCTCCAAAAAAGACAGACTCGTTCCACCAACCCCCAACTCCTGCTTTTTGGACTGTACCAAGACGAGTTTGGACATGGGAAACCAACCCTTGTCTTCCATTTGCTGAAACGAATATGTTTTATCCCTGTTGGTCTTAAAAGTTGGAATCGATTTCACTACTGGACATCTCATTCTTATTTTTCCAGGGGCGAACACGGACATGGACGTTTTGCGACCCAAACGATTCCTTACGAAAGGCCCGGAGAGAATGGCGCGCGCTCCTGTGGCGCGCTCTGGACGCGGCCCGAGCGAACGCCGAGCCGAGCTATGCGCCCGCGGGACCGCCGGGCGTCCCGGGCGCACCGACGGGCGCAGGAAGCCCCACAGATCTTCTGAAACAAATTTGGCTATGGATTTTAATCAGGGTTGTGGTTGATCACTCGGGGTTTATCCCCACTTCTGTGATACAAGGGAATCTCCCCCTTTAACTGGGGGGTTAGTCTTTGGGAAGCCCTTTCTGCTGTATCGCAGAAGTGGTCATTTCCCACAGCCCTGATTTTAATGGTTGGAACCCCCTGAACGGTGGTTGGTGGACATAAATCCTCACCTAAATGACGTCCGGCCAAGGGTCGCTAATTTAGACTAAGATTTTTCTTTGACTTATTTGAGCTTTTTGGAGAGCAAGCGTTTGAGCCTTTTGTGTCCTGTTCAACTTTGGTGGCTAGGGTTCTTCACGATAAAGCCTCCAAAAGCTCTGCACTCGGCTCAACATGTAAGCAGTTTGGGGGGGGTTGCTTATGCTAAGAAACATGTTTTCTTTTGTGGCTTTCCGTGTGTCCTTCTTTGCTTTCCCTGAGTCTTCTCTGTGTCGGTCAATATCCGGTTCCATGGCCGGGCTATATCGGAACCCTGGGTCCATTTCTTCGGGGTGGAGGGGTTGGTCCCAGAGACCCCCAAGTGGTCTGTCTTTTTCTTAGGAATCGGACCCCCAAAATGGTGGGTTCTGCTTTGGTTTCCCTTCAACACCATCCAAAAAGGGGTAACCTCAAACACACCCAAGTTGGCTTGGAATCCCCCAGTGATCTTCTCCAAGGAAACAGCTTAACATGGAGGGGTGGAATCCGCTAGCGTTGGGAGACAAGTTGTTTGCATGTCTCAGGCAGGTCGGTTAAAGAACCATCCAATATGTTGCGACGGTTTCCTTAGCTGTGCCTTTTGCAGCACATACGTCTCCCGAAGCAGCTGAAATGCGATTTGTTCTTGGGTTCTTTTTTGCTTTTCGAAAAGGCTGGCGAGGAGATTATTGTGAATGACCTCAGATGGAAACTCCAGGCTCCCGAGGATTTTTCGCCCTTCAACATGGGTTGTTTTGAAGG